GCTGACGGCAGAACGCTCGTCCCTGCAAAACGGCCTCACAAGGGCACAATCCCAAGCACCTGGCACTCCGATTCAGCCCGCACCACAGACATCACAGCACGAAAGTGTGGGGCAACCCGCGAGCGCGGCCAGTGATGGCGTCGTCCGCCCCGACGGAGACGACGACCACGGCACGACACACCCCGGAGCGACGAATGCGGCCCCAAGTCAACCTCGCGTCACGATTTCGGCACCGACCCACGATTCGGGACTGCCGTCACCGATGCCGCTGAAGCCGCAGCGTCCGCCATGCTTTGACCCGAGTCAACGGGGTGGTCCTACCGTTCAGGCGTGGTTGTTCACGATGAACGCGTTTTTCGATGCCAACTACGTCTCGGAGGATTCGGCGAAAATTCGCTACGCCGTGTCGCTGCTGCGAGGACCCGCCATGGACTGGTGGCGCGTCATCGTCACGAAGCCGAATGACTACGCGACTCTACCGACACGGGAAGGACAAACCGGACCCTAGGCGCCGTCGTATTTCGTGGAGGTGCCCCAATATCGCACGTGGGACGCGTGGTGCGCAGGTCTGCGCGCTCGATTTGAGCCAATTGCGGCTTCGATCGCGGCGCGACAGAAACTCCGCACTTGGCGCCAACTCGGTTCCGTCCAGGACTACAGCAGCGGGTTTCTGGCGCTATGCGAGCAAGTGGGCTACATGCATGAGAGCGAGCGCATCGACCGCTACATCGGCGGCCTGAAGCACGACATCGCTCAAGAAATTCAGCTTCGCGGCGTCACCGATTTTCAGGAGATTCTCGCTATGGCGGAGAAGCTCGACTTCTTCCGCCGACCGAGACCGGGGTCCTACGGCAGTAGCAGCAACTGGGGACATCGGTCTCGTGGGACGAACGAGGGTGCTACGATACGTGCCGTCGCCGCGAATGCCGCTGCCGCACCGTTCAAAGGGCGCTGCTTCGCGTGTAATCGGCCGGGACACCGCAAGAGCGAATGCCCGAAAAACGCTAAGGGAAAGGGGGAAGCTGAGCAGCAGAAACAGACCAAGCAGCAGGGAAACGCTGGGAGTCAGTAGCAGACGGGCCCTCTACTGACAGGTCACGCCGCTCGCCCGACCCAAACGACCCTCACCGAGTGATTGTGCCGGTTCACGCAATCGACCACACCCGGCCGAATAAGGAGGGTACTACGGTAGACAGCCCTATACTGCTTAGTGGGAAAATCGGGACGGACTTAGTTAAAATCTTCGTAGACGGGGGAGCCAGCCACAGCCTCATCAACACCGCTACAGCACGAAAACTGCGACTGCCACTGGACAGATGTTTACCTGAGATCGACGCACGACTGGTAGACGGCACGCCGCTGGCGATACGGGAACGCGTAGACCGGGTTCGGATTCGATGCGGGGGTAACTTCACATTTAGCCAAGAAATGCTCGCAACGACCCTCGACGGAACCGATACTTTACTCGGGCGTGATTGGTTGCGACGACACAATCCGCGAATCGACTGGACGACGGGTGACTGCACCGTGCGAGTGAACGGTAACCACATCGCCCTACCTCGCTGGGGCTCGCCTGAGTCTTCGTCGGTGCGTGTCAACGCGATCACGATGAAACGCGCCGTAGCGGCGGGAGCTGACGTGTACGCGGTCGACATTCGGGAAGCCGAGGCAACAGACAAGGGAGGGGATTTGCAGAAACTGCTGACCGACGTACCGAGTGACCTGGCAGCACTGTTGAAGCAGTACAGCGACATTTTCCCGGACGACTTACCGACGGGACTGCCACCTCAGCGACCGCACGATCACAGAATAGAATTGGAGCCGGGGGCACAGCCAACAGTACAGCGACAGTTCCGACTGACCCAGCCCGAACTGGACGAACTGAGGAAGCAGCTCGATTACCTGCTCGAGAAGGAGTTCATTCGCCCTAGTTCGTCGCCTTTCGCAGCACCGATACTGTTTACACCGAAAAAAGACGGGGGATTTCGCATGTGCATCGATTACAGAGCACTGAACAGGGTTACCATCAAATCCCGTTACCCCATCCCACGAGCCGACGAACTGATCGACCAACTGCGCACAGCCCGGGTTTTCTCGAAAATCGACCTCCGGGGGGGTTACCATCAGATTCGTGTCAATCCGCCCGACTGCCCTAAAACCGCATTCCGAACACGCTACGGATCCTTCGAATACACCGTCATGCCCTTCGGACTGACCAACGCCCCCGCCACTTTCCAAATGACCATGAACGAAGCTTTCCGCCCACTCTTAGATAAGTGCGTCATAGTATACCTGGACGACATACTGATTTACAGCCCTGACAGAGCACAGCACTTACAGGACATCGAAGCAGTTTTTAAAATACTGAGTGAGAACCGCCTACTGACAAAAGCGTCTAAGTGTGAATTTTTACAGGACCGTCTAGAGTTTTTGGGACACGTTATTTCAGCCGCAGGAGTGGAAATAGACCCGAAGAAAATTGCGACGATTCAGGCTTGGCACGCGCCGACCAACTTGACAGCGTTGCAGAGTTTTCTGGGGTTCGTCAACTACGTGCGCCGGTTCGTCCCCGACATGGCGAAGCTGACTGCCCCGTTGACTGACCTGCTGAGGAAGGGGGTTGAGTACACGTGGGGGGAGAAAGAGCAAGCTGCCTTCTCGGCCCTCAAAAACATTTTGTGCTCACCGCCCGTGCTTCACATCGCAGATCCACACCGTCCGTTCGAGCTCGTCACTGACGCAAGTGACATCGCTGTGGGAGCAGTACTGTTGCATGATTTCGGGAACGGCCTCCAGCCAATCGCGTACGAGTCCCGCAAACTGCACCCGCCCGAACGCAACTACCCGATACACGACCGCGAAATGTTGGCGATCGTGCACGCGTTCAAGGTTTGGCGGTGTTACCTGACTGGCGCCGACGTGACAGTACGGACAGACCACCGATCACTACAGTACTTACGCGCCCAACCGAATCTCAATCCGCGACAAATTCGCTGGCTGGACTACCTCGAGTCCAACTTCCACTACACGGTTACGTACAAGAAAGGCGCATCCAACATCGCCGACGCACTCACCCGCCCTACCGCCCAACTCCACGCCATCCTACTCGCCCAGACCAACCCGCTGTTAACAGGCCTATTCACCCACGGATACCGCACCGACCCATTTTTCACGACTGGAAACTCACAGCAACTGGCAGAAGCTAAAGGAGTTTATTACGTAAAAACAGGCACCAACCGCATCTGGGTACATGCGTACTCACTACTGAGGGAGCTGCTACTGCAGGAGGCACACGACGGAATTACCTCGGGACACTTTGGGGTAGAAAAAACGCGACAGCAACTGCAGCGATATTATTACTGGCCGGAGCTGTTGACCGACGTACAGTAGCACGTGGGCTCGTGCCCCACGTGTTAGGTGATGAAGAGCTCGAGGAAGCGGAAGGCGGGTCAATTGCAGCCGATACCACCGCCCGAGCACGCCTGGCAGCAGGTTACCATGGACTTCGTCACAGGGTTACCTTCGAACCCTGGGGGTAACGACGCGGTGATGGTCGTCGTTGACAGGCTGACGAAGATGGCACACTTCGGTGCGTGCAAAAAGTCGATCTCAGCCGAGGAGACCGCTCGTCTGTTCATCGCAGCCGTTGTTCGCTTGCACTGGATACCAGCAGCGATTATCAGCGACAGGGACACGAAGTTTACCAGCAACTTCTGGAAAAACCTCTGGGAGCAGTTCGGGACCAGGCTACAGTTCAGTTCGTCGTACCACCCCGAGACCGACGGCCAAACGGAGCGGACGAATCAGACGATGGAGCAGTTGATTCGTGCCACGTGCGACGACCCCACGACTTGGGAACAGCAGCTGCCGCTGATCGAGTTCGCGTACAACAACGCCACGTCAGCGACGACGCAGCAGTCCCCCTTCTACCTGAACTACGGGCAAAATCCTACAGTGCCCATGACGCCGAGTCCGGACAATCCGACACCACGTGCACAACAATTCGCCGAAATTCTGCAAGCTGCCCGCACCAGAGCTGCAGAAGCAATTAAAAAAGCAAATATCATCGCTAAGCGCAACGCTGACCGCCACCGCCGACCCGTCACCTACCAGTCAGGGGATTACGTACTGCTCGACACGCAAAACCTGCGACTGCCCGACGTACCAAAACTGCGACCGCGCTACTGTGGCCCATTCCAAATCAGCCACATGATCACGCCAGTAACCGCGCACCTACTGTTACCGACCGACTGGTACATCAGCCCTTCGTTCCACGTCAGCTTGCTTCGCCCATACATCCCAACCACAAGCCAATTGCCTCGCCACCGCCCGCCATCCATGACTCGCCCTGCATCGGAGCCGATCATCGAGCCCGAAAAAATCCTGAGCCATCGGATTCGACACCCCACGGGAATCAGGAGGATTGAATTCCTCGTTCGCTGGAAGGATCGCACGCCAACTGAGGATAGCTGGGTGCCCCTGGCCAACATTGAAAACCACCCTGCCTTGCAAGTGTACCTGAGGAGCCGGGGATTCCGCGACATACACGCACTCGCGTAGCGGAGGGGGCTTCTTGAGGGGGGGGGGGGGTAGTGTAAGGAATTTTCTCGGCATTCCTTACGGAGCCCGACTACATCGCGTACAGCAACAGCCGTTGTTCGCCCGTTACTGCTAACGGAACTTCGCCAACTTCGCGCGCACTGTTTCACCAAACCTCGCACTGCTGGCCCGGCCGTGCCGGCCTACGCTTCGGGACTAGCCCGAGCCTCGCTGCCAGCATAGCACTAGCTAGCTCGCACGCACCGCGTTACCGTTTGCATGCTTCGCATATAAATGTTCGCTCATGCCTTCGCTCACATCTTTGTGCTCGTTTGACACCTTAGTGCAATTCTCGCTACTTCGATTCATTGCACCCGTAACATATCCAAAGACTCCACTTTTGAAGGACTTCCCAGTTTCACAAGCATGTTGGCATACATACATAGGTTTCATATAACACTTCAGAACGCTACAATGAGCACAGAGGGAGTGCTCAATCATAGCACAGCACATACAAAATAAAGCCCTAGAACCAGCAACATAGTAAGAAACAGCAGCAAACGGCAGGCACAGAGGCAAGAGGAGCCCCCACCCTGCCCTACTCTTGACCCTGTGCTCAGCTTCAACCCCCCAGCTCCAAATTCCATACAAGAAAATAACCCACACCACCCATCTTCTACAAGCTTGATTGCCTTGCCATGCATTACTCCATGCACCCTCCTCACCCAAGATCAAAATCGGGGCTGTTGCATGTTTGAGATATTATCTTCCCACCTTTAAGCACGTATTTTACATAACAAGTGGTTCTGACCTGCAGGTGTTGAAACAGATAATAAGGTAAAGCAGGTGTTGGGGTGGGGAGTGGCGGGGAGGGAAGGGGGTAATCAAGGGTGCAGCAGAGGTGTGCAAAGAAACCCAAGGAGGAGAAGGGCAGTGGGAACAAGACTCTTCTGCGTGAGATGTGAAATTTGAGAGCAACGCATGGTGGTGCTAAGAGTTAAAATCCAGGTATGGAAGCAGGCTTCCTGTGAGTAGCTGGCAAATGCAAATGGCAGTCGATTCTGAAAATTGTACCTACATCATTTATAGTCACATGAAATGCTACATGAAAACAAGATCCGCAAAGATACCAGGCGAATGTGAGAGCAAGGGTACCTACCTGTCACCTGAGCATCATGGGAACAAGCGCACCTGCAATGTGTGGAACCCCAACTCACCTGCATCACAGGACTTTTGATTCCAAAGCCGGTGAATCTCCCAAACCCTTGGATGTCAATCTGGAAAGTGGCATGGCCATGGCAAAGGAGAGTAGAGGATGACACAAGGAGAATAAAATCTTGCAGTTGCAACAACAAGGGCTGATGGCAAAACAGGAGAACGTAAGGGACTTACGACATAGGCAGGGAATTGACAGCAGTGCAATTGCAATGGAGAATTAACACCCGCTTTTTACCGACAGCATTCATTGCAGATAGTGTAAGCAGTGCAGTATTAGGAAGGGAAGTGCATGAAAAAACGGAACAAGTGCAGGATAAAGCAAGGTGGAAGCACGGTTCTTCTCACAACACTCACCTTCGTTGCAAGCACATCCCCCTTCTGGTATATGCGCCATCCTTTCTTCATAGGGATATTCACCAGGTTGAAGGGTGCTTTTACCGGGGAGGACTTTAACGGGTACACGTTCATGGGGGGGAGCTGAGGGCATGGCGCAAGGGGAAAAGGAAGTGGGGAACAAAGTCAGGCACTGTTACAAAATAGAAGAGAAGGGGGTGAATGAGGACCTCACGCATATCCGCTACATCAAGGCACAAGCGCGTCTGTCACCTTGAAGCTGCTGAGGAAAGTGTGCCAGAATTGCACACCTGTGCATGGCGATTCACCTTGGAGTTGCCGAGAAACGTGTTGTTGTACTCCGCGTGCACGTATATAGCGTTGATCTTGAGCCCATACGCGTTGGGGTTGTAGATGAGCGCGTTGAACGTCAGCACGCCTGTGAGGAACACGTCGAAGCCATTCAGCGGGTCGCCGCCCAGCCGCGCGTGCTTCACGGTCCAGTCCATGGTGTCGATCTTCAGCTCCGGCTGCTGCTAGACGCGGAGGTTGGGAGGGAGGTGGGGAGGTGGGGAGGGGGGGTTTGTGGGGGGTGGGGGGGGGGGGGGGGGGGGGTAGACGGGTCAACGTGAGCGCTTCACGGTTCAGTCCATGGTGTCGATCTTCAGCTCCGTGCTTGACCACCCAATCCATGGCGTCGATCTTCAGCTCCGGTTGCTGCAAGGCGGGGGGTGGGGTGGGGTCGGGTGAGGGGGGGTTGAGGCAGTTAAGCGAGAGCTTGAGTTGAGCGCGCGTGCTTGACCACCTAATCCATGGCGTCGATCTTCAGCTCCGGCTGCTGCGGAGGGGAAGCAGGAGTTGGGAGTGGAGGAGGGAAGAAGTAAGAGCATGCATATTCTGTCGCAAGTGTGATTGCTTGTTGAAAGAGACGGACCACTCTGCTTTGGCTATCGCGAGTGAGGGAGTGGAGGAGAAGCGGGCGGGGAGGGTGGGGGAGAGAAAGGGCGCGGCGGGGGAGGGGGGGGGGGGGGGGGGGAGGCGGGGAGAGGGTACGAGGTGGGAAGGATAAGCAAAGAACTGGAGGGGTGTTCAAGGCACGGGTGCCGTGTGCAGGGGGGCGCACCTTGTATGTGAACGGGCTGCTGGTTTTGCGCTGCGCAGACGCCAGAACCCTCTTCGTCCACAGCACCCGTGCCGCGCCATCCCTGCCACGTCATGTCACATCAGAGTAAAGAGGACGTTACGGACGGAACCCGGAACACTTCACGTTTCTCCGTACGGACAGGCGATGCGAGACGGCGGAAGGGAACGATTGCTGACGAAACGTCGCAACATAACAGACCCTCCCCCTCCCCTTCCCCCCTCCCCCCTCTCCCCCAACGAATCATGAGTCCAGTCGTCAGCATCTCGTCCAAACCTCACCCGAACGTCGTTGGTCTCCGCAGTTGTCGCGACGTTTGTACAGTTCCAGCCGTAGCTGTAGCCGCAACCGTAGTCGTCGGCTTAGCCGTAACGGATATACTACTAGATGGACCGTGAGCCGATCTAAGACTCGAAGGAGCTGCTGCAGCCTGGCTTTTAAAGACTTGGTTCCTAATGACGTGGCTGCCTGTAGCGCCCTGGACTAGTGGGTTCACCGGAGCAGCGAAGGCAAGAAGCAGGAGGATCGAGAGAACTGTAGCTATTCGGGATAGCGATGCGCCGATCCCGGGGGAGGAACCTGCCATACGGAGCGGAGATTATAAGGTCTCTCCTAACTCGTCGCTGCTCAGAGCAGGCGAGGAGCCAATAGGAAGGAAAAGCGGATAATTCCTGTGTACAAGATCCCAGCTAGAGATTTCCTTACGGTGAATAGTGAATAGAAGCGACGGTGCTACCATCTAGCCTTGGTCTACTGGTTGAGATATTCTTATTGAGCGACGGTTGAGCGACTAGTGTGATCGGTTGTGAATTGACGGAGGGTGAATTGGCGGAGCAAAGATCGAGCGACGAGATGAAGATAAGTGCTGCCTGCCACTAATGGGGCGAGGGAGCGCTGCATATATTTACGCGTTCGAATCGCTTCGTTTAGAGTCACAGGTACTAAAGCCGAAACAGGGTTCCTAACGAAGGGGGTGCTGGTGAACTGACAACAGGCTCGCCTCGTCGCCACGTGTATCGCGTGCCTGCGTTTCAGTCACCAGCAGCGGCGACGACTGTCTACATTAGAGACGACAAACAAGAGGATGCTTTCATTGACAATTTGCATCACGGAGACGTTGGATGGTAGATAGGAAGATTAACTAGGTATGTGGACCAGAAATCACGAACATATGCATTTCGTGGAGATATCTAGGAGGTACTAGATATGACCGCTAGCTTCGTACAAAGACTGGTCAACTTGGCGTTTAGGAGGGAGAGAAAAAAAAGCGGTGAAGTACGATTTAGCCGAATAATTCACGGTATTCTGGTGTGATGCATTGTGCCGTCATGTTTCCTCTTGAATCTTGGGCCCTCGAAATTGGTTCCCCCTTTTCCAGAGCAACATCCGTCCGTCCGTTCGTCCGTGTGCCTGCTCCAAGGAAGGCGCGGAACAGTGTGCGGTACATATCGAATTTCGCGTCGCTCTTTGCATGCCTGGTAGAAAGGGTGCGCGGTTCGGTTTTGCCCGTCGCTGCGTGTCATTTCTAGAGACGCAACGCAACGGCCTCGAAGTCGAGTCCCCTCGTTAGAAGCGGTGAAATGATTACGTCACCCCACTAACCTCCTTCGTTACAAGCATGCGTTTATCCACTTCGAGTTTTAATATCGTTTGAAGGTAACCTGCTACACATTTTACCGATAATATTATTCAATGAAGGTGTTTCGAATTCTGTATCAAGGATTGGGAAATCTCTGCGCCCCTTCAAACAGAGGGCATCTGAGAGAAATGACTGCGGAACCTTGCGTTAAATATAGCCATCAGTTACAATTACTGCTTCACAAAATCCTGCTACTCCCTTTTTTTGTGTACCCCTGATTCCTCTACAGACGGAGCGCCAGAGCAGGGAGACGAGAGAGATGCATGGTTGGCAGGTGGGGGATCGGAAGCAGAAGAGGGGGATGCTGGCAGAGCGGAGAGAAGGGATTGAGGAGAGGAGGTGTGGGAGTGAGGCGAGGAGGGGTGGGAGTGCAGCCCTTTAACAAGGTGCGAGAGGGAGACCACCTGATAGCCCTGCCGTCTCAGCTCTGGCAGCATCATCCGCAGAATCTGCAAAGAAACGGGGGGAAGGAAGGACGCCTCAAAGTTTATATCACTTGATGTGCAACAAAAGCAGACACGAGCCATAAAAAGCAGTCACAAGAGGCCTGTGCACTTCACCTCTCAAGTTTGAAAGACTAGAAGCAAAGGGCCTGCGGTCTGAGCACGGTGCACCTCCAAAGTTTGAAAAACCATGAGTTTATAAGAATTCTCAAAAACACTGTGCACGGTGCACCTCCAAAGTTTGAAAAACCAGAAGCAGAAGGCCTGTGGCCTCACCTCAACGGTTTGTGTGCCCTGCTGGGGACGATCATGCAGGATAATAATAGCACCTGGGTACACCTGCGTGCAGACACGTGGAAGGGAAGGCAAGGGAAGTGAATTGAAGGGGTGCCTTGCTGTGGGCAGCCGTGCAGAATGATGTTGGCCCCAAGGGGAGGGATGAAACGATGGGGATGGTGGGGATGATGGGTCCATGAAAAACGCAGAGCAGAAAATCGCATCTCCAAAAGGCCCCATACCCGTAGCAGTACCATCCACAAGCAGTAACGAGAAACAGTGAGGCTGCTGTCGTTGAAAGGAAGTCCACAGGGAACACGGAGTGCAGAGTTACAGATAGATAGCTGCAACCTTGCTTTTCCACTGCACTCTACAGGCGCAGTCAGTACCATCCAGAGACAGTAGGCAGCAAGAGGGCGGGTGCTGTCCTTGAAGAGAGGGTCCACGGGGAACACAGAGCCCAGGGCCACATTGTACCCGTGCCTGCTAACCCCCCCCCCCCGATGCACCCAGTAAACATACCTTCCATAAACAGTAGGCAGCGAGAGGGCGGCTGCTGTCCTTGAAAAGCGGGTCCACGGGGAACACAGAGCCCAGAGCCACGTTGTACCCGTGCCGCTGTGCCTGCTGCCGCATTCGCTTGGTGTACCACCCATGGCCCTGGAGGTGGGGTAGGGAGAGAGAGGAGGAGGGTTGACAGAGTTGCCCCCTCAATCTCTTCGAAAGTAGCGGAGGAGCTTGGCGTCCAATTTTGAGATGTCTCGAAATTCGTCCACTGCCAGCAGAGACGACTCAAACAAGAAGGCGCCTAGCAGGGCAAAGCTGACAGCGAAACTAATCGGGCGGAACCATGTGACTGGGTTGCCTCCGGAGTCTGTACGGAAGTAGCGGAGCATCTTGGCATCCACACTAGGCTCAAAGCACACTGACCCACCGGTCAGAACCACTTGACTGGGCTGCCTCCCTGTGTTACTCTAGTCTAGAGGTAGTGGAGGAGCTTGGCATCCAGTGCCAGGAGCGACGACTCAAACAGGAAGGCATGCAATCCACACAAACCCACCTGTCTACTAAACCATGTGACCTACCGGTCAGAACCACTTGACAGGTTTTCCCGCAGCGTCTCGTCGGAAGTAGTGGTGAAGCTTGGCATCCACTTCCAGTAGTGACGATTCAAAGAGGATGTAAACACCAAGACAAGGCAAGGTTGACTGCCAGACTGACCGGTCGGAACCACTTGACAGGGTTGCCTCCGGCGTCTCGTCGGAAGTAGTGGAGGAGCTTGGCGTCCACTTCCAGCAGCGACGACTCAAACTCCCCGGCTGACAGGCGCCAGCTGGGCTCGTCTGCTGTCATGTGGTTGCCCACCTCGTGGCCTGGTGGGGAAGAAGTAAGGAGATGGAGAGGCATAGGGAAACAGATGAGCAGAGGTAGGGAGTGCAGACAGACGCCAGCTGGGTTCGTCCTCTGTCATGTGGTTGCCCACCTCGTGGCCTTGTGGATATCGGGAGGAGCAGGAGAAAGAGAGGCGCAGGGAAACAGATGGCAGGATGAACGTGGTCGAGGATGCGAACGAACAACTCAACACCCATCATTCAACACTTGCAAGCGGACAGGCGCCAGCTGGCTGGGTGTGTTGTCCGTCATGTGGGTGCCCACCACGTGGCCTGGTGGGGGGAGGGGGAGCCAGCTGGGTCCAATAATAAGGTGACCTTGTTTTAATAACGCCACACAACGGCACATTACCTTGAGCGTGCATACAACCCACTATGCCTGGGTACCTGCCCAGGACTCCAGTCACATGGCGGCACCTTACCTTCAGCATGCATGCGATCGACGATGCCGGGGTATCGGTCAATGTTGGATCCAATCAGGTGATCTCTGAGTCAACTGTACAGCCTCCTCGTTCCAGTAGTGCATGGCATGGCACATTACCTACCTTCAGCGTGCATGCGATCCACAATGCTGGGGTATCGATCAATGTTGGATCCAATCACGAAGAACGTGGCTGTGCACCCGTGTTCCTTGAGAATATCCAGCAGCTGAGAGAATCCGTGGCATGATCGGTTGGGGGAGAAAGGGATTGTGAGGATATGATCAAGAACGATGCGGTCCTGCAGTGCACCCGAGGTCCCTTGACCTATACAACTACCGAAAAATTTTGGTGTTAAGTTTTTTTTTTTTTTTTTTTTTTTTTTTTTTTTGGTATACGTATGCAGAACACGAAATACTTCTATTGTTTGTTATTGAGGTTCTTTCACAAGAACCTCCAGACGAATTCTGAAAAGTTTCAAGATGGGCACGCCAAGTATTGCAATGTGTTGTCATTCTAGTTGAGTAAAAATCGTACCTCGTGGGTCGTGTCTCCGTTCGGCCCATCATCGATCGTCAGAGCAACCAGGCGATCTGATTGGTCAACAGGATAGGGAGGGATCAGGAGGATGGGTGGATGGGTGGATGGAGTGATGGGGGGATGGGGTGCATCATGCATGGTAGTGGATGACAGGGAAGGTGAGCGAGAGGGAAGGAGGTTGAGAGAAGGTGGGTGAGAGGGAAGGAGGTTGAGAGAAGGTGGGTGAGAGGGAAGGAGGTTGAGAGAAGGTGGGTGAGAGGGAAGGAGGTTGAGAGAAGGTGGGTGAGAGGGAAGGAGGTTGAGAGAAGGTGGGTGAGAGGGAAGGAGGTTGAGAGAAGGTGGGTGAGAGGGAAGGAGGTTGAGAGAAGGTGGGTGAGAGGGAAGGAGGTTGAGAGAAGGTGGGTGAGAGGGAAGGAGGTTAAGAGAAGGTGGGTGAGAGGGAAGGAGGTTGAGAGAAGGTGGGTGAGGGAAGGAGGTTGAGAGAAGGTGGGTGAGAGGGAAGGAGGTTGAGAGAAGGTGGGTGAGAGGGAAGGAGGTTGAGAGAAGGTGGGTGAGAGGGAAGGAGGTTGAGAGAAGGTGGGTGAGAGGGAAGGAGGTTGAGAGAAGGTGGGTGAGAGGGAAGGAGGTTGAGAGAAGGTGGGTGAGAGGGAAGGAGGTTGAGAGAAGGTGGGTGAGAGGGAAGGAGGTTGAGAGAAGGTGGGTGAGAGGGAAGGAGGTTGAGAGAAGGTGGGTGAGAGGGAAGGAGGTTGAGAGAAGGTGGGTGAGAGGGAAGGAGGTCGAGAGAAGGTGGGTGAGAGGGAAGGAGGTTGAGAGAAGGTGGGTAAGAGGGAAGGAGGTTGAGAGAAGGTGGGTGAGAGGGAAGGAGGTTGAGAGAAGGTGGGTGAGAGGGAAGGAGGTTGAGAGAAGGTGGGTGAGAGGGAAGGAGGTTGAGAGAAGGTGGGTAAGAGGGAAGGAGGTTGAGAGAAGGTGGGTGAGAGGGAAGGAGGTTGAGAGAAGGTGGGTGAGAGGGAAGGAGGTTGAGAGAAGGTGGGTGAGAGGGAAGGAGGTTGAGAGAAGGTGGGTGAGAGGGAAGGAGGTTGAGAGAAGGTGGGTAAGAGGGAAGGAGGTTGAGAGAAGGTGGGTGAGAGGGAAGGAGGTTGAGAGAAGGTGGGTGAGAGGGAAGGAGGTTGAGAGAAGGTGGGTGAGAGGGAAGGAGGTTGAGAGAAGGTGGGTGAGAGGGAAGGAGGTTGAGAGAAGGTGGGTGAGAGGGAAGGAAGTTGAGAGGTGGGTGAGAGGGAAGGAGGTTGAGAGAAGGTGGGTGAGAGGGAAGGAGGTTGAGAGAAGGTGGGTGAGAGGGAAGGAGGTTGAGAGAAGGTGGGTGAGAGGGAAGGAGGTTGAGAGAAGGTGGGTAAGAGGGAAGGAGGTTGAGAAAAAAGGTGGGTGAGAGGGAAGGTTGGAACTTGGATGTGAGAGTGAGGGTGGAAAAACCTCTCAAACCAACCTCTCGTAACGCATGCCGTTGAGTGATGTGTACCCTTGATGACAAGTACTCCCGGTGACGTGTGCCCTCGGTGAAGTGTACCTTTGGTGACGTGTACCTTTGGTGACGTGTACCTTTGGTGACGTGTACCTTTGGTGACGTGTACCTTTGGTGACGTGTACCTTTAGTGACCTGTGCCTTTGGTGACGTGTACCTTTGGTGAATTGAACCTTGTGTCTGTACCTTTGGTGACGTGTACCTTTGGTGACGTGTATCTTTGGTGACGTGTACCTTTGGTGACGTGTTCGAACAGAATGTGCGGCTGGTTCTGCCGCACCCAGGTGATGATCCACCTTGGCTGAAACAGCACCCTGCACCCCACGCCACGCACACAGGCCGTGGAAGATTGCACAGGGACAGTTTTGAGAAATACCTTTTGAGTTTTTCAACAGTGACTCAGATATAGCCGTGGCTGGAACAGCACCCTGCATCCGGCGCACACGGGTCGTGGAAAATTGCACAGGGACAGGAGAGTTCGGTAAAGCATCCCATCCCTGTGCCATCCCAACGCCATGCCATCCCACTTGATGCCATGACATTCCATGACAGGTAATCCCGATAATTGGTTAAACCTACATGCATGAGAGCAACGTGACGAGTAACTACTAGTCTCGCCTCCCTTGTTTCACTTCCAACAAGCAACCTTCAAGCTCACCCCACAGCGAGGAACAGCACGAAGCCCAGCCCAAGCGCGCCTGCAGCGGCGGTGGCGGCGAGGAGGGCGCTAGCAGGCGTCACCCCCACCAGCGACGGCACCAGCACCTCCCACTCCACAAGTAGGGTTACCACACATGTGCAGTGCCCCTACAAACTCACCTTACGGCGATGAACAGCGCAAAGCCCAGTCCCAACGCGCCTGCAGCGGCAGTGGCGGCGAGGAGGGCGCTAGCGGGCGTGACCCCCACCAGCGACGGCACCACCACCTCCCACTCAACAAGTAGGGTTACCACACATGCGCCCCTACAAACTCACCCTACGGCGATGAACAGCGCGAAGCCCAGCCCAAGCGCGCCTGCAGCGGCGGTGGCGGCAATGAGGGCGCTAGCGGGCGTCACCCCCACCAGCGACGGCACCAGCACCTCCCACTCCACGCCGCTGCCGCTCATTGCCGACGCTGTAGCGAGCGGAGGAGCCTGGGTGACTGTAGTGAAAGGTATGGATGATACTGTGCCGAGGGGTATGGCCGAGGCTGTAGAGAGTGGATTTGGAAACGCTGTGGCGTAAGCAGGGATAATTTCCTGGGGAGACGCGGCGGGAGCGGCGAGCGCGGGTGAGGAGCAGACGACCAGAGCGAACGCTGCTGCTGCAGCGACAGCGGCGGCGGCAGTGGCGGCAGATGCACTGGTAGGGGCGACGGTAGTGGCGGCAGTGGCGGGGACGAATGGAATTGCGGGAGACGCGGATAGTGGTGCTGCTGAGCCAATCGCACCAGGAGGCGTTGCGACAGGGCGTGCTGGGGACGAGAATCTGGCGACGAATCGAGCGACGGATGCGACAGGAATAATTGCAGACTCTGCAGCAAATGAGCGGCAGAAATCGTCGCAGGCTTTGTAAAATTGAGCGGAGGGATCGGCAGGAGAGAATTCGCAGGGTGGGAAGAACTTTGGGAGGGGCAATGGCAAGGGCGGACTAGTCTTGATTATGGCGGGAGTGGGTTGCGAAGGCGAGCGAGCAGCGAAAGGGCGTCGGTTCACGCGAAGGGCTGCAGCGCAGGCGATAGACGGTGGGCGACAACGATGGTCTGCGAGTGCGACGGGTGCGACTGGCCGTGCGACGACACCGGCTGCTCGCATGAGGCCAGCGGCACGCACGCGTCGTGGAGAGCAAATGAACCACACAGCCGCGCAGGGGGTATCAGCCAGCAGCCATCCATCAGCCATCGGCCATCAGCAGAGCCCCAGCTTTTCTGATTTGACGGAATATGCCTTGCCAACCAATCAACGGAGGACAGCTTGAGAGCTATCGGTCGAGAAGGGTGAGCTTGGGTTGGGGGACGAATTTGAGGGGGAGGGCGTGAAGTAGTTGGTTTGGGGGTGCTGGCGGTGACGAAATGCTGACGAGAGGTATGGTGGCTGTGATGAAGCATGAGGCACAGCGGACAACGCGCCTTCGCCATTCTGCGAAGTAACATTGGTGTCAGCTGGGAGTTCATAATGTTACAACGTAGCCAATAAACCGCCAAGCCACCTACAAGTACGCAACCTTGGCCTTACCACCTCACATCCATGAAGGCAGGTTCCAGCCTACCATAATCTGCAATGCACCTGCTTGGTGTCAGTAAGAACAAAGCATGGCATTATGAAAAAAGGTACCTTGATGTTTCTACCTAGTTCCTGGACAGCGTTTATGCCGCCACTGGTTTCTAGCTGAGTTTGGCATGTGCCTCATGCAACTTCTCCAGGAGCACTTCACTCATCTTACTGCAACCCACCACCTCCTGCAAGTGAAAACACGCGAAGGACAGTGAGCGGCAACGTTGGACATGGGCAGTGATGCTCAGCTAAGAAAAAAACCTAACAGATGAAACTTCAACAAAAAATAAGCAGTTGAAATACAAAAAAAAAGGGATACACACACTTCAAGGAAGTTGTGAAAAAATAAGGTTACTGAAACTTACCATGCCGGGGGAAGCAATGTCACCAGTCCTGTATCCTGCCTCCAGGGTACTCATGACAGCAGCCTCCAATAGGTCAGCACCACGTGGCAGGTTGAGCCCGTATCGCAACATCATGGCGGCTGAGAGCACCTGAGCCATCGGGTTCGCCTTGTCCTGCCCCGCAATGTCCGGTGCCGAACCATGCACTGGCTCATAGATGCCCGGGCCCTGGGGGGTGGTGGAAGAGTGGGGAGAGGGGGGTCTATTTACATGGTGCCTCAGAAAAAGGTTTGCCTTGTCCTGCCCTGCAATGTCCGGGGAAGACCCATGCACTGGCTCATAGATGCCCGGGCCCTGGGGGGCGGTCGAAGAGTGGGGAGTGAGGAGTGAAGGAGTCCCATTGCAAGTAAGTACCGTGCCATGATATTCTGTCATGCCAGCAAACCCCCTCCCTCTTCGCCCCTCCTCCCCCCTCCTTCTCCGCTCAGCTGACTCACATCAGAGCCAATGCTGGCGGAGGGCAGCATACCGATCGACCCAGTGAGCATGGACGCCTCATCCGAGAGGATATCCCCAAAGATGTTCCCCGATCTTCGCCCCTCCTCCAAGTTTTCCCCTCCTCCAACCCCTTTCACTCTCCTCTCCCCTAAGGACACTCACGTCAGAGCCAATGCTGGCGGAGGGCAGCATGCCAATGGAGCCAGTGAGCATGGACGCCTCGTCGGAGAGGATATCCCCAAAGATGTTGCCGGTGACGATGGTGTCAAACTGGCGCGGGTTGCGGATGAGCTGCATGGCAGCGTTGTCCACATACATGTGCGACAGCTCCACATCCGGGTACTCCTCCGCCCCAATGGCCGTCACGCGCTCGCGCCACAGCTGCGACACCTCCAGCACGTTCGACTTCTCCACGGAGCACAGCCGCCCGCTGCGCTTGCGCGCCGCCTCAAAGCCCACTCGGGCGATGCGGTCAATCTGGCAGGCAAGAGGGGGGGAGCACGGGGGGGAATTGGCGGAAGGGGGTGGGGGAAGGGGGAAGGGGAAGGAGAGGGGAGGGGGAACGGAGAAGGGGAAGGGGAGGGAAAGGAATGGGTGGGAGTCATCTCAAGGTCTTGGAGTGAGCTTTACGTCCGGGTACTCCTCCGCCCCAATGGCCGTCACGCGCTCGCGCCACAGCTGCGACACCTCCAGCACGTTCGACTTCTCCACGGAGCACAGCCGCCCGCTGCGCTTGCGCGCCGCCTCAAAGCCCACTCGGGCGATGCGGTCAATCTGGCAGGCAAGAGGGGGGGAGCACGGGGGGGAATTGGCGGAAGGGGGTGGGGGAAGGGGGAAGGGGAAGGAGAGGGGAGGGGGAACGGAGAAGGGGAAGGGGAGGGAAAGGAATGGGTGGGAGTCATCTCAAGGTCTTGGAGTGAGCTTTACGTCCGGGTACTCCTCCGCCCCAATGGCCGTCACGCGCTCGCGCCACAGCTGCGACACCTCCAGCACGTTCCACTTCTCCACGGAGCACAGCCGCCCGCTGCGCTTGCGCGCCGCCTCAAAGCCCACTCGGGCGATGCGGTAGATCTGGGCGGAGAGGGAAAACCAGAAGCGAGAGGGGGAAAAGCGTGCACGGGAGACAATTCAGGTGTCCTTGAAGCCCAACTAGCCAATGCAGTAGATTCCAACAAATTTGTTCAGATGGTTAAGGTATGGGGGAGGAAGGGGAAAGGGGTATGGTGTGGAGTGAATGGAAGTGGAATGAATGGAAGAGTAAGACGGGTGCGTGCGTGGAGGAACGGGCTGGGGAGAAACTGGGACAGGTGGGAGGACAGGGTGTGGGGGGGGGACCTGAAGTAGTATCTTCACGGAACGTACCTCAGGGGCGGAGTAGATCATGGTGTTGAAGCCTGTCCTGTTGCCCTCTGCATCCTGTCCGAAGCCCTTGGGCTCTCCGAAGTAGATTCCTGCAGCATGTTACGAGCAGCACGCAAAGACGTGAAGGGAACGGGGGGGGAGGGTGGGGGAGGGGAAACATTAATTTCAGAAAATGAAACTCAAGCTCCACATATCGATGACTGCCTTACAGGCTCGCCTAGGATGATCGGCTTTCAATTCTGCTGCTCCTATAATCTCAGGCAAGATTGTTGTCCTCACATCCCCTTTGTTTGCTTCTCTTCCAAATCCTCGCCTTCAATCTCCTTCCATTTCCTTTGCCCCACCTCCATTTCATTCACCTCGTTTTCACTTCATTTGCCCCACACCACGTCAGTTCGCGCACCACCTCGACTCACCGCCCGTAAGTTCGCGCACCACCATGATGTCAACGCCCTCCACCACCTCGCGCTTCAACGACGACGCCTCGATCAGCTGTGTGGGGCGTGGAGAAGAGATGGCGGGAAAGTGGACGGGGTATGTGAACCAGGGGGGCGGATGCATGGGAACCAGGGGGATGGGGGATTTTAGGCTGCTTGGCATGCCATGATCCAGGAGAGCAGAGGGTGATTAAGAAAGACCCAGCCGATACACGTAGAGGTCTCGTCCACGTATTAACGAATCCATCATGATTCAAGCGCGCAACCCGAGCACCGTCTCATGACTAGGCCATTTTGCCCGTTTTTAGAATAAAGTGAGTATACAGTGAGTAAACCAGCTCAACATGCGCGCTGGAGCAATTCGTGCAACGCAACTGGCACAGACACCGCAACCACTCTGTTACTAAATGCAGCCGCACCTGGGTGACGACGGCGGCGACTCGACAGGTAACCCAACTGTGCGCGCTAGCGCAAAGCGTGCGACGCGACTAGCCCCGAAAAACTTCCAGTCTGTTCGACTTCTAAGGCGCCTCGAAGTGCAACTGTCCCGTAACCACTACCGCTAACGGTGTGTTCGGGAATGTCGCCGCACCTGGGGGAAGACGGTGGCGGGGCGCAGGTTAGCGAAAGCGCCGAGCCCCGCGCGCAGACCCAGCAGCCCGCGCTCAGGGCGGAGATCTGCGGGCAGGGTGTCCCACTTGTACCTGCGCAACGGGTGTGGGTAATGGGGGCAATGTGGGGGATATCAAGGACTTGGAAGGTAGTAGTGGTATTCTAACTGAAAAAGGAGGCGTGCACCAGTCGGGAGAGTGAGCATAGCAGAGCGAAAGCAAGCAACGCTTTTTTCATGGTCTTGTGTTACTGCATTGAAGAAATTTCTACCTCTACAAACAAACGGTTGGCGACTCCCACTCACCCTCCAATGGCAGCGAGCAGAACGGCATCGCTGTCGCGGCACGTGGCGAGGGTTGATTCGGGCAGAGGCACGCCGAATTCGTCGATCGCCGCACCTCCGACCAGCGCCTCCTGGAACTCAAAAGTGATGCCTTCCAGTTCGCCGAGAGCCTTGAGCAGCTTCACAGCCACTGCCATGATCTCAGGGCCGATTCCGTCGCCCGGCAGCAGCGTGATGCGACACTTCTTCGTCGCACCGTCGCCCGCCGCCGCCATCACTGGCTGTCTTCTGCGACTGCTGCTCCCATTCGCACAGGTCCTGCGACGGTTAGAGACAGACTTGCGGCTGAGGGGGACCGCAGAGAGACCGTTGGGCTTCACGGACTTGGCGAAAGCCTTCAAAGAGGACGACTCTCCCTCTGCAGGGGAGAGTTGCGCGGCGGTGAAATGCGCGCAGACCAACGAGCGAGCAGTCGCAGTCGCCATGAAGGAAAGGTCACAGCGATGCAGCAGATCACTCTGGTCAACGAAGTTGATGGCAGGGGAATGCACTAAGAGAAACCCTCAGCCCTGGGAAATTCAGCTCAAGGCAAAATGGGGGGTGGAGGGAGTTCAGATGCAATAGGCGAAGTGCAATAGTGGAGTGTGCAAAATCTGACCAGCATGGCACACTTCGGAGGGACGACGTTGACGTGACAATGTGCCAGCGTTGCGGGAGCCAATAACAGCCACGCTTTGATGAGATGTTGCTTGGTGGAACCACGTCAGCCAATGTAGAATTTACAGACTAATGCTACACTTTAGAATCATAAGGCTTTGGTAAGCTAAGCCTCATCCACTTCAAAATCCTCCTCCTGTGGAGCAACAAAAAACTCTACAAATGATGTCCTTGCACTCCTATTCTGCTGAGTTTGGCTCCTTGCCCCATCCTGAGTTGGCTGAGAAAAGGCAGGAAGACTGCCCACACCAAATGCATCTGGAGCATCATTAGCATTTCTTCCACCAGGCCCAGTGGCTCGCATGTTCACAACATGCTGCACTCTCAAGAGGCCATGATGGTCAATTGTCAGTTTACTCGCATGGTTTTCCTTCAGGACAGCAGCAGGGATGCTAGCAGTTGCTGCACTGAGATGCTTGTAGCGATACCTGCACAACGAAGCATGGGAGGTTCAACTATGGCTAATATTGAAAGGAAAAATCCAGAAAATAAGTCCTTACAAGAATGAAACGGGCCGGTGACATTTAAAGTCAACAAAAAGGTTGTTGCATCGCCCAACAAGGAGATCAACCTGAAAGGTAACAAGACGTTGTCATGCCAAAACGTTATGGCTTAATAAATAGCACAGCCTAAAAGACAAGTAGCTATGTCAAAGTGTGGCGTCCATCAATTACCCAACTTGCTGACCTGCAGGTCACCATGGCCTTGTGCCAGAAACGTCACTCCGGCTGGCTGAGGACTGATGGAGATTCGAACACTGGCACCAGGCCATTCCAAATCTTCAATCAACTCCTTGAGTACGCTAGACTGGATAACAAACAAGAAAACGGAAATGAATGAAAAATAATACCTGTCTGAAAAAGCGAAGACACATGGTCCATACTGCACAAATGAGGAGATGCATCGAAGAAAAGCTCACCCGAATTGCAAAGCTGACAGGCGCGTTTTGTGGAGTCGATGTGTCAACATCCAGCGCCCATTCAGGCGGGTTCATATCAGGAAGCAGAGTACGAATCTCCGCTCCAATGCTGCTGTTGCTGTTGGATGGATCCGAAAGTCTGAAAACGCCTGATCGCAAATCCCCCGCCACACAGGCAGAAGAAAGAACCTCACAATCACGATAAGAAACGTATCCCGCAGAATGCACGCACATCTGCTGCAACGTAACCCTTACTTGAGCAACAGCTGGTTATCCGGTCCAGGATACCGCAGGGTTAATACATGTCCTGTGGTAGCTGACGCAGAGAACGCCGACAAGCAGTCAATCAAAAGAGACAGATTGATGCCGAACCGATAACGGACGTCTGGTCGATAAACGTAGTCCACGAAGAGCTGCACAATAACATAAAAAAGATGAGAACATATCATAGAATAACCGCGATTGACCGTTCTGCGGAAGGGTATGAATTGGTTCAGGTGACAAATTCCGACCTCTTTCCTGAAAAACGCACGTGCGTGCAGGCAATTGAGCTCCTCAGCTACGACTACAAGACCGGTCTCGGACATCTCAACAACCGCTTCCTGCAATTAGATTTGATGAGAAAGCTATGTAAGTAACGTCGTCAGTGACCGCACAAAAAATGTATATGATGCTAAATTGGTTCTACTTCTTACTTGCTGACGTTTCCATTTGATCGTGGTAAGCTCGTCAACGAGACTGGACGTGCTCACAAGGGTACAAACTAGGTCGAAATCCATGGCCACGGCTCAAACAGAAGCCACTAGATTGCCAAGTCAACATGGAAAGGGACCAGACACTAGACATTTTCGGAGAGCAGGAATTGTGACTCTCGAGTTAGGAACAAAAGCGTCAACTTCACCCTTTCCCCCAATTGGGACTCGAGGATGGGAAATGGGTTTGTTGCGGTGGATAAGTGGAAAACTAGGCGGAAATATGGCGGAAACTGTTGCAGAGGTTGCTTGAAATCTCCCAGGTTCCACGCAAAGGGGTTGAGCTGTGCGGCTCTGTGCAGGGCGGAGTAGAGCGTTGTTGAAATTCGCGCGTAAATCTCTGGGCGCTCGCGCAAAAAGGCGGAGATTAGCCCCTGCTGATTGGAGGTTTGGTAGTAAGTTGGTCTGGAGACTCCAAGGTTTCGAGCAGATGGGGCCGAGTGAAGTTGGCTCGGAAGAGGGTGTTCCGCGGGAAAGCGGGCAGCAGCCAGCCACAGTGCGCTGTGATGGCTCTCCTCTCCGACCAATCCCAAGGCGAGGTCGAGGGAACACGTCAAACAATGGATGATCCCAAGGCGAGGTCTCTGCTCTGCACTTCAGGGTCTGGGTTCAGGGTGTCTCTGGTCTTGCAACTTTGATGAAAAATGTTATGCAGACAACCACCCAAGGTCATTATTGAGATATATGGAACAACAAATGTTATGGCAGGTAGTGTGATGAAATTCGGAGGCTAAATGTAATATCCATCCAGGGTAACTAACCACCGAAGATAACACAGCTGCCCGCTTTTCGCGATTTGCTCGGCTCCCATTTTGGCTTCCCTTCGGTCATCAACCATCCTTCCTTGCGTCCTCATATCCTCAAACCATTGCCTATTCCTTCATTTCTCCGTCTCTTGTTTGCTGGTCTTTCATCTATCCAGTGAACCTGCCTGACTTTATGTCATCCCCTTTACTTCGAAACCCTTCCGATAGTTGACATGGGGTGGACCTTTCTTCCTGATAGTCTTCCGGATCTTCATTACCGTCGACCGTGCCCTTGACTATTAGCTTAAGACTCACGGGATTGTAAGTTGCATGTCCTCAGCACCTCGTTAAGTGCATTCTTCTTACAGAAAAATAAGTGGTGGTCTTAGAGAACAAAGATATTCAATTAGTGTGACTACTCATCCTGCCGTTTTTCATCATGCATAGGTCGAAGGCCGTCCGTGAAAGGGACTGGTGGATTGTTCTCGAGATTCATAAGTAGCATTTGCCTTCTTTCGCGCGCAAACCTGATAGATCTTGTTTCTTTCTTTCTCACTCATGTAATTTTCCACCATTTTTATAGCAACGATGACATCGTTTGACTTGAGGTGCTGGGATCTGTGGTCTCCCCCCTATATTTTGCATCAGAGTATTTCAAGTGGTCATTTTGCTGTCTCTCTTGCCCGACCCTCCCTGTCTTCTCTTCTCAGGTCAGAGATCGTACTGGAGAAGTTCGGGGGAGTCCAGACTCCCAACGCCCCTCAACCTTCTAGTGAAAGGCAACAACGATGCAGAATCCAAACCAACACCTGCAGCCGGACCAGTCCCACCAGCAGCAGTACCCACCCCATCCCCAGCATCCCCAGGGTCCTCCCTTATCACAACCACCACCCACCCTGCTTTCAGGCCCGCAGCAGCCGAAGCACCTTGGCCCTTCCCAGCAGATCCCATTGACTCAAGCATTAGGCGCTCATCCCGGCCCAACTCCCCACGGAATCCCCCCTCATGTCCTGCAGCAGCGGCATCTGCAGCAGTCCGCGCAGCCTCCGGTGCAGGCGCAGCAGAGGGCGGTGCAACGACAGCAACAGACGCTGCTCACCCAGCCGCAGCAGCAGGGGCCTCTTTCGCAGCCTCAGCATATGCCGAAGCAGCAGCCGTTGTCGCAGCAGCAGCATAAGCAACTGAAGCATGAGCACGCAGCGCAGTCCATGCAGCCGAAGCAGCAGGGTCCGCCGCAGATGCAAGCCATGGCTCAGCAGATGCAGCCGCAGCTGCAGGCGCAGTTGCTGCAGCGGCAGCAGCAGCAGCAGCAGCAACAGCCGCAGGATCAAAGGCGGCAGCCGCCGTTACACCAGCAGGTTCCGCCTCATGCGCTCCAACAGCAAGGCATGCACCCAGGCCAGCCCATGCACCAGCAACAGCGGCAGGTGCAGCAGTCCCCAGCGTTGGCGCCACGGCAGCAGCTGATGATGGCCCAGCAGCAGCAACAGCAGCAGCAGCACGTGCCTTCAGGACTCATGCAGCCGCAGCAGCCGCCGCAGTTGCAGCAGCAGCATCAACAGCAGGCGGGAGTCGCAGCACAGAAGCATCAACAGCATCAGCAGCATCAGCAGCAGCATCCGAGGCCCTTAGGCCAGATTCCCGCTCAGCAGCAGGTACTGATGGGACAGCAGCAGGCAGCAGCGCACGGGCAGAAGCCGGTGCAGCAGCAGGGTGTGTTGATGCAGCAGCCGGGTATGGGGCAGCAGAGACAGCTGAAGCCACAGCAACCGGCAGTGCATGCAGTGCAGACTGGTGCACAGCATCCCGTGCCTGTAGCGCAGCAGCCGCAGCAGCATCATCCGCAGCAGCAGCAGCAGCAACAACATCATCAGCAGCAGCAGCCGCAGCAGCACCAGCAGCAACAACAGCAGCAGCAGCAACAACAGCAACAGCAACAGCAACAGCAACAACAGCAACAGCAACAGCAACAACAGCAGCAGCAGCAGCAACAGCAACAGCAACAGCAGCAGCAGCAGGGCGGTAAACTGACAACAAATGACGCGTTGGCGTATCTGAAGGCTGTGAAGGAACGGTTTCGAGACGAGAAGGACAAATACGATGAGTTCCTGGATGTCATGAAGAACTTCAAGGCACAGCTGTGAGTCCCGCACTTGCTAGTTTGCATGCCATTTATAAATCGCATGATTGCAATCACTCTTGCCTGCACCCTCACCTTCCCACTTCGCCTTTTCTTTCCCTCACTCTTCTCTCATTCCTGCTCTCGTAAGTCTTTGCTCCTCTCTCAACCCCCCCACAGGCTGTCCCTGTCCCCACTTTTTCACACCTTTTTGTTCTTTCCATCTACTGTTTTTCGTGTGCCAGGATCGACACAGCAGGAGTGATAGCGCGCGTGAAAGAGCTCTTTGTGGGGCACAGGCAGCTCATTCTCGGCTTCAACACCTTCCTGCCCAAGGGCTACGAAATCACCCTCCCCCCCGAACCCACAACTCCAGTCCCCGCCCCCGCGCCCGCACCTCCGCCTCAGCCTCGGTCCGCGCCTCCTGCGGTGGCTCGGCCGCCCATCACCCCATCCGGACCTGCAGGGCCCATGCCGGTTGCTCCTGCTGGTGGGATTCCCCTTGGGCCTGGAGCAACCAGTGCAGCACCTCCCCATGCAGCATTGGCAGTGCCGCATGGGGGTGCTGGGGGTGGGACTGTAGCAGCCACGCGCACCCCGCCCCTCCCTGTAGCGCCAGTGGGAGCAGGCACAGGCGCAGGAGCAGGAGCAGGAGCAGCAGCAGGAGTGGGAGGAGCAGGAGCAGCAGCGGTTGCTCCTGGTGCAGGTCACGCTGGGGGAGGTGCACCTGCCGCCGCTGCTGTGGCTGTGCCTGGTAGTGGTGCTGCTGCTGTTGCTCCTAGTGCGGCCGGTGCTCCTGGCGGTGCTGGTGCTGGCGGTGCTGGTGCTGGCGCTGGTGCTGGTGCGGGTGCTCCTGCTGGTGCTGCTGCGGCTGGGCCTGCAGCAGCAGCGGGAGGAGCAGGAGGAGCAGCGGGGGCGGCAGTGGCGCCAGCTGCTCGGAGCAAGATGGTGGAGTTTGACCAGGCTATCAGCTATGTCAATAAGATTAAGGTGGGTACAGTGCAACCCTTCCAAGACCAGTGTTTTGAGTCGACTTAAAACAAATGCACCAGTCACTCAGAGCAAGATGGTGGAGTTTGACCAGGCAATCAACTATGCCAACAAAATTAAGGTACGACAACTACGCCAACACCAATGTCAATGCCAACTCTAGTCACAGCTGATAGGAATACGTGGGCCTTCGCATAATTGCTGCCTTTTTATCTGCTGTGATTCCTCGTTTTGCATGTTGATGCCATGTCAGTCGGTCTTTAAGCCGATTGGATTACCCACGCTCGGATGTCGAGCTCTTTCTCTTGTCTTTACCGTGCGCTTCTCTCTCTGGCCCTCTCCTCTCTCTCTGGCTCTCTCCTCTCTCTCCTCTCTCTCTGGCTCTCTCCTCTCTCTCCTCTCTCTCTGGCCCTCTCCTCTCTCTCCTCTCTCTCTGGCTCTCTCCTCTCTCTCCTCTCTCTCTGCCTCTCTCCTCTCTCTCCTCTCTCTCCTCTCTCTGTGGCCCTCTCCTCTCTCTCTGGCTCTCTCCTCTCTCTCCTCTCTCTCTGGCTCTCTCTGGCTCTCTCCTCTCTCTCCTCTCTCTCTGGCTCTCTCTGGCTCTCTCCTCTCTCTCCTCCAGGCCCGCTTCGCGGACGACGAGTCGGTGTACAAGAGCTTTTTAGAGATCCTCAACATGTACCGCAAGGGTAACAACAACATCGGAGACGTCTATAAGGAGGTCAGTGGTGGTTGCGCTGTGTTGTCTCTGTGCAACGAGCTCACCTTCTTCCTGCCAGAGTGACTTTTGAGTCGCCTCAAAATTCACCTTGTCTACAAGGTCAGTGGTTGTTGCGCTGTGTTGTCTCTGTGCAACGAGCTCACCTTCTTCCTGCCGGACTCTGCTGCTGCTGGTCATACATCAATTGACTTGAACGAATTTCTTGCATCTTTCTTTCGTCCCTACCCCATGCGCACCCGCTCCCTTCAGGTGGCAACCCCATTCAAGGACCACTCGGACCTGCTGGAGGAGTTCACCTTCTTCCTGCCGGACTCTGCTGCTGCTCGTCATGCATCAATTGACTTGATCCAATTCCTTGCGTCTTTCGTCCCTTCCCCATGCGCACCCACTCCCTTCAGGTGGCCACGCTGTTCAAGGACCACTCGGACCTGCTAGAGGAGTTCACCTTCTTCCTGCCCGACTCTGCTGCCAGTCACTTACCCCAGTGGCGTGGGGTGGGCCCGCCCCCCCCTGGAACTGTTGCTGCTGGCGGTGGTGCTGCTGCAGGTGTTGCTGCTGCAGGGGCAGCAGCAGGCGCAGCAGGAGTGGCAGGGGCGGCAGTGGCAGCAGGAGCGCGGCCGGGTGCAGCAGCTGCTGGTACAGCTGGCGCTGCTCCTGGGGCTGCTGGTGCCGCTACAGCCGCTGCTGCCGCTGGTGGAGCTGCGGCTGGTGGCCGGGCAGAGAAGGCCAAGGTGTGTTTGGTTGCAGGCTGTAGCGTCTATTTTGTTTCTTGTTTACTCATGTGCGTGCCTTAAGATCTGCTCTGTTCTTCTGATCTTATCTTGAGGCCCTCAAGTTGAGGGTCTCAGAGCCTTCTCACCTTACGTCTTTAAGAGTCCCTACCTAGTCAATGATTCGATCCTGTGTTCCTCCTCTTGCTTGCAAGTTTTCTTGCTCTGCAGTGGCATCTCTGGCTGCTTCTGCTGTTGTGTGGTGGCGGTGATGGCTCACCGAGGTCCCTTCCAGCTAAATGCTATCCAGCCCTCCTGTCCTTACAAGACTGCCTCCTGCGTTTCTTGACTCTGATGTGCAGAGGGAGAAGGATGGGGACCATCCAGAGAGAAGGAGGAAGGGGGCAGAGGGGCGGGGCAAGGAGAAAGACGCCGAGGGCCGCGGGAAGGTGAAGGAGGAGGTAGAGGAAGACACATCAGCACACCATCCGAAGCGACTGCAGCAGCAGCAGCATGTGGACTCCTCTCATCCGCATGTGCACCCCGCACACCAAGCAGCGGGGCTAGGATTGGGAGGGGTGCAGCAGGCTGGGGAGGAGGGCTCTCACAGAAAGCAGCCTCTGCTGCTGGACCTGCAGAAACCCCCCCGAGACGCAGAGATGCAGGTGGAGGAGAAACGGGTTGGGCTGGTGCCGCCACAGCTGCACCCGCAGCCGATGCAGGTGGATGGGACTGGGAAGGAGGGGCATGGGGAGTGGGGGCAGCAGCAGCAGGAGGAGCGGGAGGGAGGGGCGCATCCTGTGGTGCAGCCGCCGCAGCAGGCGCAGCAGGGGCCGAAGCGGAAGGGGCGGAAGGGGGAGGAGGGAGGGAAGAAGAAGGAGCTTGCGGGAGCGGCAGGGGAGGGTGCAGGAGCGGACGAGAGGAAAGGGAGCAGGGGTGAGTGGGGCTAGTAGGATTTATGGGCAGGGATGTTAGTGCGGGGTCGAATTAAGGGGTTGGGCTGGTATGGTTTCACGAGTCTCTGTCAATGCCTAACTTTCTCTCTCCCTCCCACTTGCCTCCTTCTTCCTCCCTTCCTCTCGCTCCTCACTATCTTCCTCCGTTCCTTGTTTTTCTATCCCTCTCACTTTCTTCCCCTACCTCCCCTTCCTCCCCTTCCCCCCCCCCAGCCCTGGGCATGCACAGGGAGTTGGCGTTTTTCGAGAGGGTGAAGGCGAGGGTGCGCAGCAGGGAGGTGTATCAGGAGTTCCTCAAGTGCCTCAACATCTTCTCCCAGGAGATCATCGCCCGCGCCGAGCTGCAGAGCCTCGTGGGGGACATCCTCGCCAAACACCCCGACCTTGTCGAGGGCTTTAACGAGTTTCTGGCTCGATGCGAAAATCTAGGTGCGCCTTTGAATAGCATTTGGGAAGTGTTTTTTTAGGCGCGCCTAGTTGCTTACTCTTATGTAGCATACATATATCAGGGTTCTTACAGATGCGCGTGCAGATTCTTACATGACTGTCTGGTGTGCACGTGTGCCGGCTGGTGTTTTCACTCGCTTTCAGACTTTGAGACATTGGAGTCGGCAGGAGGAGGGCCAGGGGTGAAGGTGGAGGAGGAGGAGCGGAAGGACGGTGGGGAGAAGGATAGGGAGCATGAGAGAGCGGAGACTAAGGAGAGGGAGAGGAAAGAGGTGGGGGAGCGTGAGAAGGAGGGAGTGAGGAAGAAGGAGAGGGAGAGAGAGCGAGGGAAGGACCATGGGCATGTGGAGAAGGAGGTAGAGGAGCGAGAGAGGGAGGAGAGGGAGAGGGAAGAGAGAGAACGAGAGGAGAAGGAGCGGATTAAGGAGAGGGAGAGGGAGGAGCGGGAGAGGGAACGGGAGAGGGAGCGGGAGAGGGAGAAGGAGAGGGAGAGGGAGGCGAGAGAACGGGAGCGGGAAGCAAGGGCGAAGGAGAAGGAGAAAGAGCGAGCAGCGGCAGCAGCAGCGGCGGCGGCGGCGGCAGCGGCCAAGTCAGTTGTAGCGAGGAAGGAGCAAGTGCAGTATAAGTCCATCTGTGAAATGGATCTGTCGGCGGCAGAGCGCTGCTCCCCCAGCTACCGCCTCCTCCCTAAACCAGTGAGTTGCCTTTCACACAAATGCGATGGGCCCCGTGTCATGCCATCGCAAAGAGCTAGGGATGAAGGTGCTGAACGATGTGTGATGTCTCAACCAAAATGCACTTCCCCTCCCCCCCTCCCCCCCTCCTCCCCTCCCACTGCACGGAGCTGGATGAAGGTGCTGAACGATGTGTAATGTCTCACCCATTATGCACTTCCCCTCCCCCCCTCCCCCCCTCCCACCGCACGGAGCTGGGAATGAAGGTGCTCAACGACGTGTGGTGTCTCCCCCAACCACCACTTCCTCTCCCTGTCGCCCCATCCCTCCCCCTTGTCCCCCCCTTTTCCCCCCTATGCTGCAGCAAATGCGCCCCGTGTCGTGCCATCGCAAGGAGCTGGGAATGAAGGCGCTCATTCACGTGTGGGTGTCTTCCCCAATCTTCTCTTTCACCCCCCCTTCACCCCTCCTCTCGCCCCTTGATTGCAGCAAATGCGCCCCGTGTCGTGCCACCTCACGGAGTTGGGAATGAAGGTGCTCAACGACGTGTGGGTGTCAGTGACGTCAGGCAGTGAGGATTACTCCTTCACTCTCCCACCCTCTCTTCTGCCCTCCCCCCTCCCTCTCCTCTTGCAGCAAATGCGCCTTGTGTCGTGCCATCGCACGGAGCTGGGAATGAAGGTGCTCAACGACGTGTGGGTGTCCTCCACCTCTCTCCTCCCCTCTTACCCCTGCCTCCACCCCCCTTTCTTCCTCTTGCAGCAAATGCGTCCCGTATCGTGCCACCGCACGGAGCTGGGAATGAAGGTGCTGAACGACGTGTGGGTGTCGGTGACGTCAGGCAGTGAGGACTACTCGTTCACGCACATGCGCAAGAACCAGTACGAGGAGTCTCTCTTCCGCTGCGAGGACGACCGGTGAGTGCCACACCGATGCGCACCCAGCCCCACCCAGCTCCACCCCTGCACATCCAGCCCCGTCCAGCCCCACCCATGCCCACGCCTCCCTCCCGCCACCTGTCCGCACTACTCCTTCACGCACATGTGCAAGAACCAGAACGAGGAGTTGCTGTTTCGCTGCGAGGATGACCGGTGAGTTGCACCCATGCCCACGTGAGTGTTTCTTGAGTCTGTTTGACAGCAAAACTTGGGCATTTCTTGAATCAATTGCTCCTATCCCCCACCACACCACCCAGCACCCTCCCCCCCTTGTCCCTTACTCCTTATCATCCTCCCGCAGCTTCGAGCTGGACATGCTGCTGGAGTCCACGGCAGTGACAGCTGTACTTTACCCCTTCCCCCCCTCCCCCTCGTCCTCCCTGCCGTTTTCCGTGCTCTTCCCCCTTGCGTGCCCCCCCTGCCCTCTATCGCCCTCCCGCAGCTTCGAGCTGGACATGCTGGATTCTACAGCAGTGACAGCAATACTTGACTCATCTCCGCTCATCCCCACCGTCCCCCCCTTTTCCCCTGTCTCCCCTTGGTCTCCATCGCCCGCGCGCAGTTTCGAGCTGGACATGCTGCTGGAGTCCACGGCAGTGACAGCACGGCGAGTGCAGGAGGTGATCGACCGCATGCACGGCATGACTGACGCTGAGCGGAGTGGCTTCCGGGTGGAAGAGAGCCTCACAGGTGAACGAGATGGGGACTTTAACAAGTGACAGGGGACTCGTTGAAGGGCGAGTGCAGGAGGTGATTGATCACATGCACGGCATGACCGACGCTGAGCAGAGCGGCTTCAGGGTGGAGGACAAGTTGAGGGGTGAGAGGGGCAAGGAGGGGTGAAGTTTGATTGAAACGGGGTGGGGAGGGACCTTGTTCAAGGGCGAGTGCAGGAGGTGATTGACCGCATGCGCACGCCCACACTCCCACCCCCTAACCCCCACGCGCCCGACGCCTACCCCCTTATCCCGCCCAGCCATCAACATGAGGTGCATAGAGCGCATATACGGCGACCACAGGCTGGATATCCAAGAGCTGGTCAAAGGCACACCAGTGTGCATCTTGGTTCAACCGGGTCATTCCCTGACTCCCGCCCCTCTCTCTCTCCCCCATACCCCCCCAGCCATCAACATGCGGTGCATTGAGCGCATATACGGCGACCATGGGCTGGATATTCAAGAGCTAGTCAAGCGGACCCTGCTTCAACCGGATATTTTCCCCTTCTGCTCCCCTCCCCCCCACCCAGCCATCAACATGCGGTGCGTAGTGCGCATATACAGCGACCATGGGTTGGACATCCAACAGTTGGTCTAGTGCACCCTGCTTCACTCGCTCCCCTGTGTCCCCATTTCTCCCGTACCCACCCAGCCATCAACATGAGGTGCATAGAGCGCGTATACGGCGACTACGGGCTGGACATTCAAGAGCTGGTCCAGCGGACCCTGCTTCAACCGCTCCTCCATCCCACTCCCCCTGCACATTTGCCCACACCCCTCCCTCCCCCCAGCCATCAACATGAGGTGCATAGAGCGCATATACGGTGACCACGGGCTGGACATTCAAGAGCTGGTCAAGCACAACCTGGCTCAACCTGATTCTCCCCATGCCCCTTCTGCTCCCCTCTCCAACACCCCCTCCCCCATGCAGCCATCAACATGCGGTGCATCGAGCGCATATACGGCGACCACGGGCTGGACATTCAAGAGCTGGTCAAGCGCACGCCAGCGGTGGCGCTGCCGGTGGTGCTGCAGCGGCTGAAGCAGAAGCAGGAGGAGTGGGTGCGGTGCCGGGTGGAGATGAACCGCGTGTGGGCGGACGTGTATGCCAAGAACTACGCCAAGTCGCTGGACCACCGCAGCTTCTACTTCAAGCAGCAGGACAAGAAGAGCCTCAGCATGAAAGGTGCGTGTAAGGGGGGCGGAGGGGGCGTGGGTGGTGGGAGGATGGGCGTTTGGCTGACTCAGATGCAGGGAGAGAGTGCGGCAGCATGGAAAGTGAGAGGAGAAGCAGGTGAGAGGAGAAGCAGGTGAGATGGGAAGCAGGTGAGATGGGAAGCAGGTGAGATGGGAAGCAGGTGAGATGGGAAGCAGGTGAGATGGGAAGCAGGTGAGATGGGAAGCAGGTGAGTGGGTGGGAGGTGAAGCAGGAGGAGTGGGTGCGGTGCCGGGCGGAGATGAACCGCGTGTGGGCGGACGTGTATGCCAAGAACTACGCCAAGTCGCTGGACCACCGCAGCTTCTACTTCAAGCAGCAGGGCAAGAAGAGCCTCAGCATGAAAGGTGCGTGCGGGGGAGTGGGGTGAGAGGGGGGTGAGGGAGGGGCGTGGCTGGTGGGAGGATGGGCGTTTGGCTGACTCAGATGCGGGGAGAGAGTGCGGCAGAATGGCAGGTGAGAGAGAGGAGAAGCAGGTGAGTGGGTGGGAGCAGAAGCAGGAGGAGTGGGTGCGGTGCCGCGTGGAGATGAACCGCGTGTGGGCGGACGTGTATGCCAAGAACTACGCCAAGTCGCTGGACCACCGCAGCTTCTACTTTAAACAGCAGGACAAGAAGAGCCTCAGCATGAAAGGTGCGTGAGGGGGAGGAAGGAGGGGTCGTGCCTGGTGGAAGGGTGGCTGTTTAGCTGCTTTATATGCAGTGAGGGCGGGAGCATGGCAGGTCGGAAGCATGGAAGGTTTACACCCCCCCCTCTCCCCCTCTCCCCCCCCGCACACCCACAGGTCTACTGTCTGAAATTCGGGAGTTGAACGAGCAGAAGCGCAAGCAAGACGAGGTGGTGGCGGCAGTGGCACTAGCTGTTCCCACACGCCCCTTTCATTTATCTTCGCCCCCTTCCCCACCTCCCCCCCCTCCCCCCAACAGGTCTGTTGTCAGAGATTCGGGAGTCGAACGAGCAGAAGCACAAGCAGGACGAGGTGGTGGCGGCAGTGGCACTAGCTGTTCCCACACGCACCTTTCATTCACACCCCCCCCTCCTCTCCTCCCTCCTCCAACCCCCCCCCCCCACCACAGGTCTGCTGTCTGAAATTCGGGAGCTGAACGAGCAGAAGCACAAGCAGGACGAGGTGGTGGCGGCACTAGCTGTCCCCACACGCCGCCCGCTCATCCCGGATGTCCGGATGGCATACAACGACGCCGCCATCCACGAGGATCTCCACGAAATCATTAAATTCTCAACAGAGGAAGTGTGCAACTCGCCAGAGCAGTCTGCTAGGGTTATGAAGCTCTGGACGGGTTTTATTGAGATGTTTTTGAATGTGCCCGTGGTCTGGTCGAAAGTTGTTGCCGAGGAGAAAGCTGCCCGGGACGCGGAGATTGCTGCCCGAGAAGCTGCGAGGGCTGCCCGGGGGGGGCGTGAGGGGGAGTGGAATGGAGAGGCTGGTGGGGGAGAGGGGGAGGGGGAGGGGAGGGAGAGGAGTAGAGAGAAGGGCAGAGGAGGGGAGGAGAGGAAGCGGGAGAGGCAAAGTGGGGAGGCAGAGGGGCAGAGGAAGAGAGGGAGGCATGAGGGGGAGGGTGATGGGGCGGGGGGTATTAGTGAGGGGCAGAGATCAGGGGGTAGGGAGGCGGGGTGGGATGGGCTGGAAGAGGGCGAATTCAATCCTGGGGGAAAGGCGTCAGAGGGAGCAGGAGGGGGAGAGGAAGAAGAGCCTCATGTGGTGAGGAAGAGCAGAAGCAGCTTGGTGCACGTGGGTGGAGGGGGCGGGGGCGGAAATGGGGGAGGAGCAGGGGCGGGAGGGATGGTGAATGGGGCAGCACTGGGGGGAGCAGCAGGGAAAGGCAAGGATGCTAGTTCACGAGCTGCCGCTGCTGCTGCTGCTGCTGCTGCTTCGGCTGCTGCTGCTGCAGCAGCAGCAAAGAGGAGGAAGAGGGGGAGGAGGGAGAGGGAGGAGGGGGAGGATGAGAGTGTGAGGTCGGAGGGGTCTAGTGCGGGCGAGTCTGATAGTGGGGGCGATGAGAGGAGGAGGCAGAGGCGGAGGAGGAGAGAGAGTGAGGGGCGTGAGGATGAGGAGGGGAGAGGGGAGGAGGAGGAAGACGAGGAGGAGGCAGAGGATAGGGAAAGCGGGGGGGAGATGGGGGAGGAGGGTGGGGCGGGAGACGAGGAGGAGGAGGATGAAGAGGAGGAGGAAGGGGCGAGGGGGTGGATATCGGGGCTGGGACCCAAGGAGAGGCGGTACAGAGGGGGGAAGAAGTGGGGGAAGCATTGGTACAAGGCGTGTCGCCCTGTGGTGGCTCATAGGGATTCGTTTGAAGCAGCTCGTTTGGAGCTTCGTGGTATACTAGCTGGTGGTATACCACCCGCTGGTGTGCCTCTGCTGCTCCCTGCTGCTGCAGGAGAGGGTGTGGGGCGCAAAGGGGGGGATAGTGGGAATGGGAGGAGGGGAGAGAATGGTGCTGGTGGGATGGGAGAGGGCAGGAGGGTGAGGAAGGGGAAGGGGCGAGCAGAGGCAGGGGGAGACGAGGAGGGCAAGGAGGGGAGGGAGAGGGAGGAGAAGGAGGAGAGGGAGAAGGAGAGGGAGAGGGAACGAGAAAGATGGTTGTCTGAGGAGCTGTGGGGAAGAGCGCAGGCAGAGGCAGGGGCGAGCAGAGTGATGTATGGCAACGACAGCATGTACATGCTCTTCCGATTGCACCATGTGAGTAATCATCTGTTCCCGAGGCGGTTCTTGGAAGTGAGTGATCGTGAGTCCTTGAGGTGCTTCTTAGAAGGGGCGAGCAGAGTGATGTATGGCAACGACAGCATGTACATGCTCTTCAGGTTACACCATGTGAGTAACAGCGAGTCATGCCATGTTGAGTAGTATGTACAGTTGTGCTTCTTGCACGAGATGACTGTGTGGCTTGAAGGAAAGGTGTTAGTAAATTCCGTGGCTGCAATCGACCTGTCACATTCCGTCACATTCCGACTCGGAGACTTTGGCTGGGATTTCAGCGTCTCTTCGACCAGCTTTTGATCGAATGGAGTGGGTTAAGGCTGTGACCGCAGATTATAAGACATGGGTACCCTGCTGGGAGGTAGCACGGTAGCACTGTGACTTACCCATGTCTATTATTCTGCAGTCACAGCCTTAACCCACTCCGCTCGATCATAAGCTGGTCGAAGAGGCGCTGGAATCTTTCCAGCCACAGTCTCCCAGTCGAATTGTGGAGGCATTTATGGCAGTGTGGCAGCAATCGACCTATCACATTCCGTCTTTCATCATCTCACCACCTGTCTTTCATCATCTCACCACCTGTTCCCCTGCCTCTCTCCCTCACCTCCTTTCTGCGCCCCTCTCCACCACCAGACGCTGTACGAGCGCATTCTGAGTGCCAAGGTGAATGCGCGGGCATCAGAGGAGAAGTACCGTGCACTCAACCACTCCGACTCACCTCTCTCCCTCACCTCTGCACCCTTCTCTCTCCCCTCCCTTCCCCCCCTCCCCTTCCACCCCCCCTGTCACCAGACGCTGTACGAGCGCATTCTGAGTGCCAAGGTGAATGCGCGTGCATCAGAGGAGAAGTACCGTGCACTCAACCACTCCGACCCACCCGACCTCTACGCCAAGTGAGTGTCTCTGCACCAAGCAAGCGTCTCTGCACCACTCAAACCTTTGAGTTTCACACGTCACAAAGACTGGAGAAGTACCGTGCGCTCAACCACTCCGACCCGCCTGACCTCTACGCCAAGTGAGTTTCTGTCACTTGTACTGCTTTGGGGAGTTTGCGCAAGTTCCAGGTGCAAGTCTTGCAAGTACCAACTTTTCAACAGAAACTCTTCTTGGACGCCTCAGGAACAGACTTCGCAACCTGCTGGATGGGCAGAGAAGGGCACGTGGTGTGCTGCGCGTGCGCTAACTGTTGACTTTCTTGATTTCTTCCTTTGACCAAGCAGGTTCTTAGAGGTGCTATACAACCTGCTGGACGGGCAGAGAAGGGTACATTGTGTGGTGTTTGCTCTAACTGATGACTTTCCTGACTTTCTTGACTTCTCTCATCACCTGAGCAGGTTCCTGGAGGTGCTGTACAACCTGCAGAAGGGGCAGAGCTGGATGCAGTGGTTCTATTTAAAGACTGTGTTCTCAAGCCTGTGTTCCCCCATTTCTCTCATTCACTGGCCAGGTTCCTGGAGGTGCTGTACAACCTGCTGGACGGGCAGATCGACAACACGCGGTTTGAGGACGAGTGCCGTGCTGCCATCGGCACCCAGTCCTACGTGCTGTTCACCATTGATAAGCTCATCTACCGCCTCGTCAAGCAGGTGAGTTGCCGCACCTCATGTCACCCTCCCGTGCCACTCTCCCGTGCCACTCTCCCGTCACCATCTTCCCATCGGCACCCCGTGTGTGCATGATTTACTGGATCGTTCGCTCATGCCATCATCTCTCCCACCCCATTCTGCTCTCTCGACACCCCCCCTTTCCTCCTCTCTCTCATCAACAGCTGCAGACGTGTGCGGGGGACGAGGTGGGGGCGAAGCTGCAGCAGCTGCACGACTACGAGGTGGCCAAGGGGGCGCGCGGCTACGTGGACCTCGTTTACCAGGCCAACGCGTGTGCGCTCATGCATGACGACTCCCTCTATAGGATCGAGCTGGTGAGTGAAGGAGGGGCATCACTTTGCTGGTGAGTGAGGGATGGGTGTTAGAAGGCTGCCAAGGGGGGCACGCGGCTATGTGAACCTGGTCTATCAGGCCAACGCGTGTGCGCTCATGCACGACGACTCGCTGTACCGGATCGAGCTGGTGAGTGAAGGAGGGGCATCACTTTGCCGGTGAGTGAGGGATGGGTGTTAGAAGGCTGCCAAGGGGGGCACGCGGCTATGTGAACCTGGTCTATCAGGCCAATGCGTGTGCACTCATGCACGACGACTCGCTCTACAGGATCGAGCTGGTGAGTGCGGGAAGGGCAGCGGGAGGGGTGATGTAAGGCTATTTGAGGGGCGCGTGGCTATGTGGACCTCATGTATCAGGCGAACGCCTGTGCACTCATGCACGACGACTCTCCCCCTCTACTTCCCTCTCTGCAGCTAGAGCAGCAGCCACGCGAGGGGGAGATGATGGTGCAGCTGATGGAGAGCATAATTGACCCCACCAATCTCACCCACTGCATCCATCCACGAGCTAATAAGCCCGATTTCTTCCCCACTCCCTCTCTTCTCCCCCACTCCCCCCTTCCCTTCCAAACCGCAGCTGGCGCAAAAACCAGGCGAGGGGGAGATGACGGTGCAGCTGATGGAGGGCGGGCCGGAGAAGGTGGAGGTGCCGGCAGCACCACCCTCTCCTGTCTCGTGTTTCAAACCCCACCTCTCCACTCCCTTACTTCCTGCTTTTTCCCCCATCACAGTTAGCACAACAACCAGGCGAGGGCGAGATGACAGTGCAGCTGCTTCTTCCCCCATCACAGTTAGCACAACAACCAGGCGAGGACGAGATGACAGTGCAGCTGCTTCTTCCCCCATCACAGTTAGCACAACAACCAGGCGAGGGCGAGATGACAGTGCAGCTGCTTCTTCCCCCATCACAGTTAGCAACACTCTCTCCCTTACCCTCTCTCATCCTGCACCCTCCCTTCCCACTTCTTCCCCCCACTGCAGCTAGCGCAACAGCCAGGCGAGGGCGAGATGACGGTGCAGCTGATGGAGGGCGGGCCGGAGAAGGTGGAGGTGCCGACAGCAGCCATGGAGTCCGCCTTCCTGCACTACCTCTGGCACTTCCTGCACTCGCCTCCCTCCCACGCACCCGCGCGTGGTCATGTGTTCCTCGCCAGGTATGGGCTTGTCTCTCTCTCTTGTCTGCATGGGGTGGGTTCCATGAGTGTCCCATGTGGTGCCGGCAGCAGCCATGGAGGCTGCCTTCCCGCACTACCTCTGGCACTTCCTGCACTCGCCGCCCTCCCATTCCCCTGCTCGTGGTCAAGTGTTCCTCTCCAGGTATGCGCTGCACTCCTGCCCTCCTCTTTCGCCCTCCTTTCGTCCCGCCGCTCTACCTCTGGCACTTTCTGCATTCCCCGCCCTACCTTGCACCGAGCCGCATCCATGCCTTCCTTGCCAGGCATGCACTGCTGCCTTGCGCTGCATTCCTGCGCTTCTCTCTTGCCCCACACTCTCTTGCCACTGCTTCTTCAGATGTTGCCATGTCTTTTGAGGCGCCTCAAAAGCCAGGCTTGCACTACTGCTTGTGTGCCCTCCTCTCTTGCCCCACACTCTCTTGCCACTGCGTCCTCAGATGTTGCCAATGGCTGTGCGTGCGCTGTGATATGTGTGCACTTTCCAATGCGTGAGCATCACCAGGAACGTGAGAAAGGCATCATCGTCTTCATCCTCAGCAGCAGCAGCAGCAGCAGCAGCAGCAGCAGCAAAGAGGGGGCGCAGCAAGGAGGACGAGGAGAGGGCAGCGCTGGAGAGTGTGCTTATAGTGAACGGCCTCGAGTGCAAGCTCTCCTGTGTCACCTCCAAGGTAAACCCTAACACCTCCCCCCGTCTCCCCTCCTGGTGTGCTTTGAGTCGACTTAAAAGTGCGCTCTGAGTCAAAACACGCCTCGAGTGCAAGCTCTCCTGTGTCACCTCCAAGGTAACCCCGCATCACCCTTATCCTGTTCTCTCTCTCGCATCTGAACATCCTGCTTAGGTTGTTACCCTGGGCGAGCCCTTCTCACTCATTATTTCCATTACCGACCCTCAAGTTGCCTAAATAATCGTACGACTCCCCAACTCATCCGATCTTCATCCTACCAGGTGTCTTATGTCCCTGGTAGTGACACGGAGGACTACCTGTTCCGCCACAAGAAGCACCGCCGACCCAGGAGTGCATCCCAGGCACTGGCTCTTGCCTGCAATGCCCGACCTCTTTCGTAATCCCTTGCCTCCCCAACTCGCTATACTATTTACACCCCATCCAGGTGTCCTATGTACTAGACACGGAGGACTATCTGTTCCGCCACAAGAGGCACCGCCGGCCCAGGAGTGCTTCCCAGGCACCAGCGCTGCCGCACAAGGCCCAGGGGACAGCTGGCACGCAGGGATTGGCCGAGCACTCGCACCGAGCGGCAAGGCGGTTACGGCGTTACCAGCAGTGGATTTCGGCAGGCGTGCCCCCGCCCTCCTCATGAGGGGTTTTTTCCGATTAAGTTAAACGGGCAGCTCGAGCAAAGCTGTAAGTGCTGCTGCTGCTATTGTGTGATTTGATCATGTGTAGAACCCCCTTCGCTCCTCTCGAAAAAACTTTATTTGCGTAAGGGTATGGAGGTGAAAGTGCTGGTGCTGTTTCTTGCTGTGGTCTCGCTTTTAAGAATTTGCCAGCGGCTCTGTTTCCTTCTGTGTTGCCCGCGCTGTTTCCTTCTGTGCTGCCCGCTCTGTTTCCTTCTGTGCTGTTCACCTTGCTTGCACTCTGTGCTCTTCAGTATTTTCTTGAAACCATTTGATTTGACCCTTTTTCGTTCCCTGCCCTCCTTCCCTCCATCTTTGTGAACAGTGTGCCATGCAGAGCTCTCCTTGCTGCTGCTCTTAGGCGGGCATTAGGCTGCGTGGTGTTTAGATTCTAGAGTAATATGTGGATGTTCGTTATCCTGTATGTGGGATGAGCGCTAAGGAGGTCTCCCTCCCTTCATGGCCACAGCATTTTGTGGCCCCAAGTTACCGTTCCGCATGTCCCTGGCAGCACTATTTTTTTTTTAATGTTGAATGCTGACCTGCCCTTGTGAGAGTTTTATTGCATTGTGTTCCGCAGACAGAACCTGAATGCAGTGCGCTTAGGAAGGGAATGAATATGAAAAGAGAGGGGCGTCAGTTCACAATAAAGAATGGTGAAACTCGGCTGTACACGAATCAGCCAATATCGAACCCGCACAAAACTTCAGTTCTCCCGCAGTTGCACTTTGTTTACCCAGGGAGACGTCAACTGTCTCGTTTTCGGATAGTCTTTCGGGAGACTGCAGGCACACTTCCTCAACGTTCGCTGCTTACTGTCGCACGGAGCAGCAACGAAGAACCCCTTCCTTCTCGCCTCACTTCGTTCCCTCTCCCCCCCGGTTCTCGCGCCTCCTCTCCCCCGTCGTTCGCGCCAATGGCGGCGGCGGCGGCGTCCGCGGCGCTGGGCGATCTGCTGCTGCTGCAGGGGCAGGCGAAGCGCGACCCGGAGGGGTACCGCGAGGAGTTCGAGCGGCAGCACCGGCACTACCGCGCGCTGCTCGCCGTGTTCTCGTTAAAGCCCCACGCGGAGAGCAAGGAATTCGGCGACCTCGTCATGTTCCTCGCGCAGGTGGGCTTTAAGTCGCTCCTTCGAGCGGCTTAAAGGCTGCTACAGCCGATATAGCACTGGCGCTAGAGCACCGCTGCTGCTGCGCGCCGGTGGCCGTGTTGCTCTTTGACCCGGAAGCTGAAACAAGGAGTTATTCACTTTTGAGAATTTGAAGAGGGGATTTTGTAGTATTCTTTGCGCGCGGGGAAGGAGTGAGATTGAAGGTTAGGTTCAAAGAGCAGCTACGGTAGAGGTTTTTGGTTTCGGGTGAGGGTTTTCATCCTGTCTGCGAGGGTTAGGGTCGGGGTTAGGGTTAGTGTTTAGTTATTTACAAATTTAGGTTTTTCGTCTGCGAGGTATATGCTTGGTCCGCTCCGCATCAGTCCGTTTATGTTCTGAACCTTCAATCTCAAAACCTCTCCTTAAACCCTTAACCCTGAAGCCCTGTGGGTCCTTCCCCCTTTGCCCGCCTTGTCGTCTCCCCCAGCCCCTCTCACCACCCCCTTCCCAGCTCGCGCCCTTCTACCGCAGCACCATGGGCGGGTTCCCAGGCGAGGTGATGGGGCTGCTACAGTGCACACGCGCATGAAACCCCCATTTTCACCTGTTCTCCTCCCTTCTCCCCTTCTTTTTGTCCCCTCGATTTCCCCCCAGCTCGCCCCCTTCTACCGCAGCGCCATGGGAGGGTTCCCGGGGGAGGTGATGGGGCTGCTGCAGTCCCACGTGGACGTGCTTCACCCAATGCTACGCCGCCAGCTGGCACACGCGCTCATCCTCCTGCGCAACCGCCAGGTGCGTGCGTGCCTGCTTGCAAGGTGGAATATTTTGCACCCTGCCTGCTTGCTCCCCTTGCTCCCCTTGCTCCCCTTGCTCCCCTGGCTGTCTCGCTGGCTGGCTTGCCTTCTCACCTGCTTCCTCGCTTTCTTGCTTTGTCCGCCTCGCCCCCGCACTCGGCACGTTACACTTACAGAAGAGCGAGCCTGGCACTTAGAAGAGCGAGCCTGGCACTTAGACGAGTGAGCCTACACGTCTGCTTCCTCGCTTGTGAGAATTCCACAGATAGGCATCGAAGAGTGTGAGCCTTGAATCAAGTTCAGTGGGGAGATGAGTCTAGCTGCTTGATTCTGCGCCTCTGCTTGCCTCGTCCACCTCCTCCTCTCCCTTCCTTGCAATCCCTCTCACCGCCCAACAACCCACTCCCACCTGTTTTCCTGCAGCTATTGGGTCCCACGGACCTCATTCCGCACTTCTTCCGCCTCTTCCGCTGCCCCGACAAGGCCCTGCGCAAGCTGGTGTTCGCCCACATCGTGAACGATATCAGGCGCCTCAACCAGAAGCACAGGCACGAGGGGGTCAACCGGCCCATCCAGAACATGCTCTTTTCCCTTGTGCAGGTATGGATCCCCCTCTCCCCATGTGCGGTGGTGGTTGTGCAGGTGCGGTGGTGGTTGTGCAGGTGCGGTGGTGGTTGTGCAGGTGCGGTGGTGGTTGTGCAGGTGCGGTGGTGGTTGTGCAGGTGCGGTGGTGGTTGTGCAGGTGCGGTGGTGGTTGTGCAGGTGCGGTGGTGGTTGTGCAGGTGCGGTGGTGGTTGTGCAGGTGCGGTGGTGGTTGTGCAGGTGCGGTGGTGGTTGTGCAGGTACGGTGGTGGTTGTGCAGGTACGGTGGTGGTTGTGCAGGTACGGTGGTGGTTGTGCAGGTACGGTGGTGGTTGTCCAGGTACGGTGGTGATGGTGTGAACGGCAGGTGAGACATGTGGGTGGTCACGTGAAGCGAGGTTGTTTTTGAGACGTCTCAAAAACAACCTCGCCTCACATGGTGTGAACGGCAGGTGAGGCATGTGGGTGGTTGGGCACGGGTTGGTGGGACAGGGTGGGTGAGACAAAACCCTCCACAAGCTGGTGTTCTCATCTCACACATCGTGAACGATATCCGGCGCCTCAACCAGAAGCACCGCCACGAGGGCGTCAACAGGCCCATCCAGAGCGAGCATGGTGCCGCCGCTCTTCTCTCTCGTCCAGTCACGTGCGGCACCATGCTCGCTCTCGAGCGGTGTTGTCTCACCGCTCCTTGAGAACGGTGTTGTCTCACTCCGTGCTCCCGACCACGCGCTCCTTCCAATAGGAGGAGATCGAAATGGCAGCCAACAAGTCCCTGGCAGTACTAATCGAGCGAGCTACGCCAGCGCAAGGTGTGGACCGATGCCCGCACTGTCGTCTATATCACACCCTTTCCCCCCGACATCGCCCTCCTCCCTCTCTCCCCCCAAACAGGAGGAGAATGAAGTTGCAGCCAGGAAGTCCCTGGCAGTGCTGATAGAGCTCTACCGTCGCAAGGTGTGGACCGACGCGCGCATCTTGCTCTATCTCACACCCTTACCTCTCCTAACCATGCGTCCCCCCTCAAACAGGAGGAAAACGAGATGGCAGCCAAGAAGTCTCTCGCCGTTCTGATAGAGCTGTACCGGCGCAAGGTGTGGACCGACGCGCGCACCGTGAACGTGATCGCCACAGCCTGCCTGCACCCATGCACGCGCATCATGGTGGGCGCGCTCAAGTTCTTTATGGGGACTCTCTCTCTCTCTCTCAGCCTCTCGAGGCACTCTCTCTCCCTCCCCTCACCACCCCCTCACCAGGAGGAGAACGAAATGGCGGCAAAGAAGTCCTTGGCAGTGCTGATCGAACTCTATCGGCGCAAGGTGTGGACCGATGCCCGCACTGTCGTCTATATCACACCCTTCCCCCGACCTCGCCCTCCCTCCTCCCTCTCTCCCCCCAACCCAAACAGGAGGAGAACGAAATGGCAGCCAAGAAGTCTCTCGCAGTGCTGATTGAACTGTACCGCCGGAAAGTGTGGACGGATGCGCGCACCGTGAACGTGATCGCGACGGCCTGCCTGCACCCGTGCACGCGCATCATGGTGGGGGCTCTCAAGTTCTTCCTGGGGGCTCTCTCAACCTCTCGAGGCACTCTCTATCCCCTCACCCCCACACCAGGAGGAGAACGAGATGGCTGCAAAGAAGTCTCTCGCAGTGCTGATCGAACTGTACCGCCGGAAAGTGTGGACCGACGCGCGCACTGTGAACGTAATTGCGACAGCCTGCCTGCACCCGTGCACGCGCATCATGGTGGGCGCGCTCAAGTTCTTTATGGGGGCGGACCGGCAGGGCGAGGGGGAGGACGGGAGCAGTGATGAGGAGGAGGACGAAGAGGAGAAGAAGAACCGCAGCAAGGAGAACTCTGCTCTGGCTTTGGACAGGAAAACGGTTTACACGGTGAGTGTGTTGTCTGGTGGTGTCTTGGCTTGCCTGGTGGTCACTTTGTATGTATTGATTGCAAGGTGACTTCTGAGTCGTCTCAAAAGTCTTTGAGTCGACTCAAAAGTGTGTGTGCCGGTGTCTTGGCTTGCTTGGTGGTCACTTTGTATGTCGGCGACACTCACCGGTTGTATGTCACCAAGTGTCCGCCTATATGTGGTCACTTTGTATGTCGGCGGCGACACTCGCCGGTTGTATCACTCTCCCACCAAGTGTCCGCCTGTATGTGGTCACTTTGTATGTATTGGTTGTAGGCGGACTCAGGGAGTATCTCAAAGCCCGTGTTGCCTTCCTTTCCTCCACTGCCATGCCATTTCTTCCCTCGTCTCCTCTTCGTCTCCCTTACTCCTATCAGGCGTACCTCAAGGGAATTCCCGCCAGCAAGCGCAAGAAGCAGGTGAAGCTGAAGCGAGTGATGAAGGGGCTGCGGAAGCAGCAGCAGGGACTGCTGATCAGTTCCCCCCTGCCCTTCTGCCTGTATATTCCCCTTCTTCCACCCCGTTGCCCCTGCCTCTGCCTGCCTGTGTTCCGTTCTCCCATCTTCCCTCCAGGCATACCACAAGGGCACGCCAGCCAGCAAGCGCAAGAAGCAGGCGAAGCTGAAGCGAGTGATGAAGGGGCTGCGGAAGCAGCAGCGCGCCGTGATGGGCGGAGGGGGGGAAGGCACGGGGGAGGGCGAAGGGAACATGCACTTCGCTGCGCTGCACTTGCTGCACGACCCGCAGGTGGGTGATTGGTTGTTGTTACAGGGAAGGGTTGAGGAGGGGAGGTTGGGGGGAGAGAGAGAGAGAGGGAGAGGGCACAGGGGAGGGCGATGGGAACATGCATTTTGCTGCACTGCACCTGCTGCACGACCCGAAGGGGATAGTGTGGGGGGAGGAGGGGAGCAGGGAGAGGGGGGAGGAGCAGGAGCGCAGGGTAGGTGGTGGGTTTTCCACCTCCTTACACTTGCTGCACCCTCCTCTCCTTTTATGTAACGTGAATGCTCTGCTCCCTCCTATGTGGCAGGGCAGAGCCCCTCCTATGCTCAGCTGCAAAGCCTCCCATTCTCATTACGAAAGAAAGAAAGGTCCACCCAACTCATGTCGCCCCTGCTTCCTCCATCCCCTCCCCCTTTCCTCCTCTTCCCCCTTGTTTCTGACTCACTCCAGGGCTTTGCAGAGAAGCTCTTGAGCCGCATGTCCAAGTGCAATGAGAAGCCTGTAGTGCCGAATTCATGTTCACCCGGCTTTCCATTTCCCCTTCCCCTTTCTCTCTGCGTCACTGCAGGGCTTTGCAGAGAAGCTCTTCAGCCGCGTGTCCACGTGCAATGAGAAGTTTGAGGTGAGAGGGTGAGATCGACAATCTCTGAGAGTGCATGTGATGTGGGTGAGAGTGCATAGACCACGTCGCAACGTTTGAGGTTGGTGGGTGAGATAGATGATTGGATGGGAGCGACGAGAAACGAGTGGAGGGGAGTCGTGCGTTTCTCTACTCATTGAAGAGCATGGCGAGTTGCGTTCTCTCTATACCCATTCTCATGCACTTCAACACATGCCATCTCCTTTCCCACCTCCTGCCTGCCCCAGCTTTTTTTTTTTTTTGTTTTTTTTTTTGTTTTTTGTTTGTTTTTTTTTTGTGTGTGTGTTTTTTTTTTTTTTTTGTGTGTGTGTGTGTTTTTTTTTTTTTTTTTTTTTTTTTTTTTTTTAAATCAAAAATATTATCTCCCCGTACCACCATTCGTCATGCTTCCTGGCTCCCTGCAGGTGAAGCTGCTGATGCTGAACGTGGTATCGCGCGTCATAGGCACACACCGACTGCTCCTACTCAACTTCTACCCTTTCCTGCAGCGCTATCTCATGGTACATATCACTTGTACCTTTTTTCTCTGATGTTTACTTATTAATTTACACATTCATTCATTTAAGGTGCCTCTGCCCCTTCCCTTTTCAAGGTTGCATCTTATCCGTCGATTTCTGCCGTTGCATCCCATCTGTTGATTGCAGCCGCACCAGAGGGACGTGACGCACCTCCTTGCCATCGCCGTGCAAGCCTGTCACGATCTGGTGAGTGAGTCACAACCTGGTGGGTGGGTGGGTGGGTGTTGTGGTTGACCACGTGAAAGAAGATTGTTTTTGAGACGTTTCAAAAACAACCAGGTGGGTGGGTGGCTTTTATTGTTGGGCTGAACACCGTGGGGGAGGCGTGAGCGGGAGCTGGTCTCCCCATTTGCATACTTCCTCCTCTTGTCTCCCCATCCCCACCTCTCCTCCCTCGTCCTCCCTTCACCTCTCGCCCCTCCCCCAGGTCCCCCCAGACGCAGTGGAGAGCATGGTGAAGCAGACCGTGAACCTCTTCGTTCACGACAGGGCCCGTCCCGAGGTCATAGCAGTGGGGCTCAATGCAGTGAGGGAGGTGTGTGCGCGCATGCCAGTCTCCCTCTCGCCTTTCCGTCCCTCGCCTCGCCCCTCCCCCAGGTCCCCCCAGACGCAGTAGAGAGCATGGTGAAGCAGACCGTGAACCTCTTCGTTCACGACCGAGCAAGGCCCGAGGTCATAGCAGTGGGGCTGAACGCTGTGAGGGAGGTGTGTGCGCGCATGCCCCTGGTGATGGGGGAGGAGCTGCTGCAGGACCTGGCGATGTACAAGAAAGCCCGCGAGAAGGCCGTTGCAGCTGCTGCTAGATCGATCATTTCCCTGTTCCGAGAGGTATGTTGGGGGTGAAGAGCGGTACAGAGAGGTACAGAATGGTACGGGAGGTGTGTGCGCGCATGCCCCTGGTGATGGGCGAGGAGCTGCTGCAGGACCTGGCCATGTACAAGAAGGCTCGGGAAAAGGCCGTTGCTGCTGCTGCCAGGTCTATCATCTCACTCTTCAGAGAGGTATGGAGCAGTACAGAGAGGTGCATGAGGGTTGAGGAGCTCTGGTAGGGTTTGGGAGGGAAGGACAAGCCAGGGAGGTGTGTGCGCGCATGCCCCTGGTGATGCACGAGGACTTGCTGCAGGACCTGGCCATGTACAAGAAAGCACGGGAAAAGGCCGTTGCTGCTGCCGCGCGATCCATGTTCTCACTCTTCAGATAGGTACGGAGTGGTACAGAGACTTACAGAGAGGTACAGCAGAGAGGTACAGAGAGGTACAATGCGGTACAGATCCATTATCTCCCGCTGCACTCATCCCCCACCAATCCCCCGTGTCCCCATCCCCCATCACTTCCCCCCCTCCTCCTTCCCCCATCCCCCCCCTCAGGTGAATCCGTCTCTGCTGCAGCGGAAAGACCGGGGCAAGCCGGGGAAGGCAGGGGAAGTCAGTGCCTTCCCCCTACACCTCCGCCCCGCCCTTGCATCCCCCCACCTCCCCCCTGCCCACCCCCCCGCTCCCCCCTTTGCGCCCATCCAGGTTAACCCATCGCTGCTGCAGCGGAAGGACCGGGGCAAGCCGGGGCGGTTAGTGTGTCAGCATCCTCCCCTCTCCTTTGCATTTCCCTAACCACCCCCCCGCTCCCCCCTTTGCGCCCATCCAGGTTAACCCATCGCTGCTGCAGCGGAAGGACCGGGGCAAGCCGGGGAAGGCAGGGGAAGCTGTGCAGCCAGTGGCGTTTGGCCACGTGGCAGTGTCTGACCACGTGCCTGGGATTGAACTGCTGGGGATTCCGGAGGAGGAGGGCAATGGGGAGGAGGGGGAGAGTGAGGAGGGAAGTGAGGAGGGGAGTGAAGGGGAGAGTGAGGAGGAGGGAGGTGAGGAGAGTGAGGAGGAAGTGGAGGGGAGTGACGAGGAGATGGAGGAGGGAGAGGAGGGGGAGGAGGGGGAGGAGGTGGAAGGGGATAGTGATGAGGAGGGGAGTTCAGGGAGTGAGGAGGTGGAGAGTGAGGGAGAGGAGGAAGAGGGGGAGGAAGAGGAGGAGGAGATGGAGCAAGATAGGCCAGGAATTTCCAGAAAACGAAAGGCAGAGGGGGAAGCGAGTGGAGATGGAAAGCGGAAGCGAGAAGGACCGGTGAAAGTGGAGGGTGCGAGTCTGAGGCAGCTGAAACGACTGGCAGCACAAGGGGAAGAGAAAGCCGGAGAGGAAGCAGGTGGAGGGAAAGCAGGGGAGAAGGGGGAAGGGGAGGAGGAGGAGAAGGATGGGTTTCTGTCAACAGAGGATTTCAGGAAGATCAGGAGGATGCAGGCGAAGCAGGCTGCTGAATCCATGTTGAGGCGCAAGGGCATGAAGAAGGCGGCTAATGCGCTCGCTCACTCGCATCAAGCCCGCTCGCACTCTCTCAGTGACCGCCGCGTGGACGCGTCTGACCTGGAGGTGAGTTGTGCTGAAGAGAAAGAGGAAAGCAGAGGTGATGATGCACTCGCCCACATGCACTCGCCCACATGCACTCGCCCACATGCACTCGCCCACGTGCACTCGCCCACGTGCACTCTCCCACGTGCACTCGCATCAAGCACGCTCGCACTCCCTCAGAGTGAGTCGTGCTGCTTACAAAGTCTCAAAAAGTCATAGTCATGCTGACGTGGATAGGACTTATACTGTCTGTGGCATCGACATGTGGTCGCACATTTTCCACCACAGAACTTTTCTTTCTCTCTTTCCCTTTTGAGCCTTTACCAGCAATTCTTCCTCGGTTCTGTCTCCAAATGTGTAACGTGTCTCTGTATACGCAATTGTGTGAGTGCATCTCTGTCTTGGTCGCTGCATCTCCCCTCTCTTCTTCGTCCCCTCACCCAACCCCGCCCAAGGTACACATAAAGACACAGATGGGCAAGGAGGAGCGAATGGCAGCATTGATGGCGGGCAGAGAGCACCGCAGCTTCCCACTCACCCCTTCATTCCCCCTCACCCATTCTCCACGAATTCGCTCTCCTCCACTCCCCCCTCCCTGCCCTCCCCCCCCCCACAGGTGCACATAAAGGCACGGAGGGACAAGGAGGAGCGCATGGCAGCAGTGCTGGCGGGCAGAGAGGACCGCAGCTTCTTTGCCAAGTCGAAGATGAAGCAGCAGAAGGTACGCAGAAGCTTCTTAAACTGTAGGCAAGAACTTTTTTGCCAAGTCGAAGCTTGAGCAGCAGAGGGTAAGGCTGCCCCCATCACAGCACCGAACACTCCGCGATACACGGTGCCTTGATGCATCAAGGCATCCACAGTCCAGTGCATCATGCGACGCGTTCTGAAGACGTGACTTAGCGAATTTTCAAAATCAACTCTTTGCGATGCACGTCGCCTTGTGAATGCCTCAAGACATCAACTGCATCCTGCAACGCATTGTGAATGCCTCGATCAGTCTTTTTTAAAATTTAATGCGCCTCATGAGCACTTCGCGGTGCGCGTCACCATCAAGACACCCATCCCTTCCTCTCACCCCCTCCTTCCGCTCCTTCCATCCCTCTCAACCCCTCCTTCCGCTCCTTCCATCCCTTCCTCTCACCTCTCCTCTCACCCCTCGCCCTCTTCTCACAGGTGGGTGGAACATCCAACAGAGAGAAGGAGAAGCGCAAGGCAGCGCCAATGGCAGCACAGCGGGTGCATCCCCTCCTCTTGGGTCCTCCCTAACCCCTCTCCCTTCACTTCACCCTCTGTTCATACCCCCTCCTCTCATCCCCTCCTTGTAATCGGTGCGTGCCTGCAGGTGGGTGGAACGTCCAACAGAGAGAAGGAGAAGCGCAAGGCAGCGCCCATGGCAGCACAGCGGATGAAGCTCAAGAGGCGCACGCAGGGCAAGCGGCGCAGTAAGGGGAAGAATTTTCAGGGGAAGAAGGCCTGGAAGACATGAAGTCTGGGTCTCTCAATTCTGATATAAGCTATTGTTAGTTAGTTCTATTTGTTATGTTGGTATTTGTTCACGCATGCTCAAAATTGTATATTCGGCTTTCATTTCGACCAATTCCCGCAAAACTTCCCCTCAGCTGTATAATTGCCCTCGCATTTCTCAGGGATGAACAAATCTGATCTCGAGGAATGGCGCTGTTCAGTTCCCAGCGCAGGATTCACACTTGCAAGGCCTAGCCATGGCGTCCGTCAAGCGCACTGTCGCCGTCGCATTGGCTTTCGTCCTCGCGCTCGTCGCCGCGTACACCGCTGTTCACAGCGTCGCCCTCCTCGCACCCACGCGCGCGCGCAACTCTCGTCCCCTTTCTTCCCAGAACTCGCTGACTTCAGAGTCGACCCAAAAGAACTCTCCTCGCTCCCTCGCACCCACGCGCCCACGCGACTCTCGTTCTCTCTCCTCCAAGAATTCGTTTATAAGGCTGTTCGCATTCACCGCACCCGTCAGAAACCCACAGTCAAGCGTGAATGACGCCGCAATCCCCGCTGTGGTCCCCAGGCCCGCGCCGCCGCAGCTGCAGCAGCAGCCCGCGATTCACGCTCCCGCCGACAGCGCTCCGCTCGAGCGCGTGTGCGGCTCGCCAGCCGTCGACGGCTACGCGCACGTGAACGCCACGTGTCTAGAAGCGTCGCCCACGAATCGCATGTGGTGGTCCATGCATCCTCAGGTGAGTCCTCTCTCTGCTTCAGGTGAATCTCCAGGAAATCTTATGAACCTCCTGAGGAGTTGTTCCTGAAGCGCAAAACAGCACGTCTGTCGCTCCTTGCCACGTGACTATGATTGTACGCAGTGATTGAATGAGCTAATCAACTGTCATGTCGGAGTGTGAATGTGCGCGCGACTTACGGCATGTGACTGACGGCATGTGACTGACGGCATGTGACTGACGGCATGTGACTGACGGAATGTGACTGACGGCATGTGACTGACGGCATGTGACTGACGGCATGTGCCTGACGGAATGTGACTGACGGCATGTGACTGACGGAATGTGACTGACGGCATGTGACTGACGGCATGTGACTGACGGCATGTGACTGACGGCATGTGACTGACGGCATGTGCCTGACGGCATGTGCCTGACGGCATGTGACTGACGGAATGTGCCTGACGGCATGTGACTGACGGAATGTGCCTGTGCTTGTGTCGTTTGACATGGTTGTGTGTGTGGGCAGGGAGGGAGGAGCGGAGAGGGGTTGGATTGCCACATGGAGCGGGAAGTGAGCTTAGATGGGCTGGCCGTGCGGTGGGGCATCGGGCACAAGACCACCACTCCAGAGCAATGCTGCCAGGCCTGCAGGTAAATCTTACATGGACTGGACTCACATGCCTCCGAGGTGCCGTAATACTTAACTAAGTCACCATAGATGGGCTCGCCGTGTGGTGAGGCATCGGCCACAAGACTCACACTCCAGAGCAGTGCTGCCAGGCCTGCAGGATAAGGATGGCCCCTTATCCCGCTTGCCCTGAATCATCTGAGTCTACTGTCCTCCCATTATTCCAATTCCACTACTGATACCCTCTCCTCTCCGACCACCCTTTCTCCCTTGAGACCACGAACAGGACCTACACCACACCTGGGCGGGCCCTTCCCCCCCCCCTTACAACAGCTGGTTCTTTTGCGCCCTTCTTATTCCACCACCCCTCGCCTGTTCTCTTCCCACCCCTTTCCCCCCAGGGACCACAGACCGGACCCACAAGTTGCAGATCCCTTCGCGCACCTCCCCTGCAACGTCTGGGTATTCTGCTGCGCTCCGACCTGCTTTGAACCCGACGCGCACACGCACACCTTCGGTGACTGCTGGCTCAAATTCTCTGAAGCCCCGCAGAGCCCCGAGGTGAACGCGCGGGGGGAGTACCCTCGGGAACTCCGTGCGAGGCATGCCGAGGCGCCTGAGCGGTGCCAGTGGGTGGCGGGGGTGCTGCTGCCGCCCGGACAGACACTCACCAATGGCACATGGAGCCCAAGACATGAGTGGTAGAGAGGGCCTACCAATGCATGCACTAAGGCAGCGCCTTTCATGATGCAAAGAGGATCGACGACCAAGAGAGGATTGTGCGTTTACACACTGGTACGTGCATGCGGATTTATGCCTAGCAAGCCCTTTTTTTTGTGCTTTTTACTACTTTTAACAATCATGCTGCTGCCTACTGTGCGTGTGCAGGCTTCCTAGTTCCTCCAATGACTCGAGAACATGCAGACGAAATAGGAGTCGTCGCCAGAAGGCATTCAGCGAACCTCCCGCCAGCTCTTGTTAAGAGTGCATCATTTCACTTCCCATCCATGCCCTGTTTGTTGGGTTTGATTGACCAGACACCCTCTCAAAATGTTGCAGCTTCAAATTATTTTAGAAATGCCATCTCTTTTACGCGCTCCAATAGCATTCAATGCACTGTAGTATCAGTTGCTGCAATTGCCGCCATCTCCTGTCAGCTCTTTTGAACTATCGCCCTTGGTCTTGTCAACTGACAGATAACAGCGAGCCAAACCCTGTGATCAAGGCCTTGTGTACGGAATTCTTTGACACGGTCTGAATGAGTAGGCTTCAGGAATCCGGAGCCGCTGATCAGCGTCGTGTACGGTCAGATAAATCCGAACAAGCGACTACTCTTTTGTAAATCCACTAACCATTGTCGCTGTTGATTAGTCAGTCATGGCGGCGTTGCTGCACGCGATCTGGGTGAGGTATCTCGACTCGCTCAAGCATCGCCCGGTCCTCACCAAGGTGCAACGGCCGTGATTCCACCATTTCGATCATCACTCGCATCCTTCTCACTGTTCGGATTCACGCATCACTCCCACCTGCTCCCCCCGTACACGTTCCTCACCCGGAATATGTATCGTTTCGAATATATTGCCGTTTCTTTCGCCAAATTCCGCCTCTCCCGTTGTTCAGGCGCTAACGTCAGCGTCGCTAGCGGCCGTGAGCGACCTGATGGCGCAGCGACTGGCGTCCCGAAAGCCCGTGGAGCTCAGGCGAACGATTCTCATGTGGGTGCGTGTAGGAGGGTGCATGCAGGAGGGTGTGTGTAGGAGGGCGTATGCAGAGGAGATCGCTTGTTGAAAGGAGGGTGAAAGCGGACATGCCATGCAAAAAAAAAAAAAAAGGTGTCCAGTCGTGTTTTGCTTCCTCGTTTTGAACCACTCACAGTGCGGATATGGAATGTGTTAAGGCCGCGATCATACCCTGCTTCTCCTAATCGTTACCTCATTGGTTCGTTCTCCCTTATTAGTCCCTCCACAATCCTTCCAAATTATGGCTGGCTTCCATGATTGCTCCACCCCTCAATCCACCCCTCTCTGCACCTCTCAGCTGTTCGGGCTGCTCTACATGGGTCCATCGGCGCACATGGTGCATCGTGCGCTCGACGCCATTTTTGCAGCCAAGAGAGACACCAAAACTGCGTTAAAGAAGGTAAGCAAAACGAGCTGAGTGACTACTAGTGAGAGACGGGGGAATGGATTGGCGAACGAGAAGAAGAGGGGAGAGGCGGAACGGGCATGTAATCAGGGTGTTGAGAGTGTGTATGCATTGCAATGGCCTTGCAATCCTCCGCTGTATTGTAAATCGAAAGGCTCAAAATATCCAAATTTAGTTGGACGCCTTTATTTTCTTGTTTTCAGGTGGTGGTAGAGCAGTTGACATACGGCCCGTGCTGCAATGTGGTGGCCATTATGTGGATCGCCTATGTGGTGGAGCGACGCTCATGGATGGCATCCAAGAGACGGCTCTTTGCTGCATACCCAGGGATCCAGATCAATGGATGGAAGGTAAAGTATAATGTATTGCTCTGAGCTTTTTGTTTCATCTGGGTCCCACAGTTGTGGTCTCACTTGGCCATGTTCTTGTCATTATGTCTCTGCTTCAGGTGTGGCCGCTTGTAGCACTGATTAACTACAAGTTCATTCCATTCAACCTCCGTGTGCTCTTCTCCAATGTTATTGCCATCTTCTGGTGAGTCTTTCAAGTTGCATGTGATTGTGTTCTTTGCACAATCTGCATCTTTCTGAGTTGCTGAGGTATTTCATTGCGGCATCTTATCCCACCTTCCAGGTCTACGTTTCTCATTCTAAAAGCACGAGGGATCAAGGACAAGCAAAGCTTGGAATAACGCGTGGATGCGCCCTTTGCGACAATGTAAATACTGTAGGCTGTACAGACTCCTGATTTTAATCACCAAACACTGTTTTCCCACACTGGCCAGACCATGGACTACATGGCCAACAATGGCACTATGAGTTTGGCATAAATAAATATAGATTGACTATTGTGAAGAAGGCAAGTATGATTGAATTTTAATATCGAGTTTTCCTTTAGCAACACCATTCACGGAGCCGACAGGGCATGCGACTGTCTTGCTAGGAGGGGGTGTCGGTCGGCCTCTGACGAAAACACGCGCCGCTAGAATCTGCGTTGTGTCAGGAGGGGCTAACGAGCGGCGTTTGGCCAATCACGTCAAATGACGCCTCGTTCGCTGCCAGTCAGCCGGTGGGAGCGAATTTGTGGTGTGGAGGCAAACAAACCGCGTGCGACTGCTTCGCATTGCGTTCTGGAAAGCTTCGCTTCGCCTTCGTACGTACAGTGCACCACTTGCCGAGGCTGACAGATGGGCGTGGAGAAGGTGGGCGGACGCACCAGATTCAGGGGAGGTAAGCAGGGGAGGTCAGGAAATGAGGTACGCGCCCTAGACGACAGAACCCGAACCGGGAACAAGCTAGCAGAAAACCATCGGTTTGGGGAGAAGAGGGCACCAGAGTCTGCACTGCAGCAGCCAAACCTGCACCAGATTCCACTCTTCACAGTTCAGAAACAAGAACGGTCCCTCCATACCTACCCAGTTGTCCCTCCATACCTCATTCCGAAGTGCAGTTCCTTATCTCCCTCCCGCTCCATTCCCTTCCCTCCCTCCCGCCTGCTGCTCTGAGCGGTCCTTGGGGCCTGTGAGTCTTCTTGCTTGACCTTTTTTTCGCACTTGAAACTGTTCTTCGCCGTCCTTCTGGCATGCTTCTTGAGCTTTCTCCGTCCAAATATCCCGCGCTTGACTTCACTGCGGGTAGTCCCAGTTCCTTCCATCAGATTGCACCACCGCCATATCCGAACTGCATTTCAATTAGTCTGTCGCTTATGCGTAGCATGCCGTACTAGTCTGACTGAGTCCATCCCAAATATATTTAGGACTAGTGTTCTTTTTTAGTTTCCCTTAATTGTCGCCATTCGTTCTGAGGCCGCCATGAACCGTAAGCCGGTTCTCCTCTCGCCCGCCAAGGAATGGCGCGACCCAATATTCGCCGCGCCTTCACCATCTCGTAAAGACACTGGGCCACTCACCACCCCTCGGCACCGAGAGCCGCCGCTCTCGCCATTCCGCTCGCCATTGATGGGCTCCACAAACCCCGCAATCCCCGCGGGATCTCCGCTCGGGTCGCGCTCCCGCCGCGCCTTGGCCTCTCCGGTGCGTGACGTGCGCCAGGCGGACCGCGGGGACCACGGCGGCGGCGGGGGGAACAGCAAGCGGTTGGCGCAACTATGCATTCTCCGCACAGCGCAAGCGCAACTCAACTCCGCGAACCCCCTGCGCCCCCCGTCTTCCGCGCAGCCGTCCCCCATTTTCTCCGCCGAGTCCCCCAGCTCTCTGCTGTGTCAGGCGGGAAGCGCGCTATCGTCTTCCGCGCAGGCGCGCGCGTCCTTTGAGTCGGTTCATGCGCCGTGCAGCGCGCCGAGCGGCCCCATGTCCGCGCAAGACGGCGCAGCGGACATGTTCGACCCTTTTCTCCTCCCCGCGCCCGCCTTTCCGCTCCGCGACCAACCCTCCTCCCCTCCGCCCCTACCGGTGGCGCAACCCGCGCAAGCGCCGTCGGCGGAAGACACGGGCGCAACTTCCGCGGACCGCGGAGAGAGGTGTGAGATGGCGGTACATCTCCAGCATGCTGATGTCGATGCCACGGCAGCTGCTATGGCGGCGGAAATTGCGGAGAAGGATGTGACAATGGCGAGGGATGAACGGAATGGGGAGAATTCGGGAAAGCAGGAGGGAAACGGAGTCGGGCGGATTCGGATGGTGGGCGAAAATGGCGCGCAGATGGGCGTAATGCGGGCTGGGAAGGCGGCTCAGGCGGAGCCTTTCGGAACGCGCGCTGGCGCCGAGTGCGCAGATCGTGAGAATGTGGGGCGCATTGACAGTCGAGGGAACTTGGGGGGGAAGCGGGGCGAGAATTCGGGCGCGTGCAGCCGCGACGCGCAGAACGCGTCAGTTCGAAGCACGCTCATGGAGCTGGCAGCCAATAAGAAGCTGCCACATGGCCCGCGCAAGGGCGATCCAATGTACGAGTGCAAGCGCTGCCCCTTGGCTTTTCCCGCCCGCTCCCCCCTGTCCCACTCCGCCGCGCTGACTCCCCCCGTGCACCTCCCCTCCCGCCTGCACATCCCTGCTGCACTTACCGGTTTGACCCGCGGGGGGAATGGGGGGTTGGGCATGGGGAGGCTGGGGCTGGCGGCGCCTGGAAGCTGTGGTAGCAGCCCCCGAGGAGACTGTTCCTCCCTGTGGAGTCGGCAGCTTCAGCAGCAGTACGGGCAGCAGCAGCAGAACCAGCAGCAGCAGCAGCAGCAGCAGCATCATCATCAACTGTTGGTGCAGCAAGTAAAGCTGCTACAGCAGCACCAGCAGCAGCACCTGAGTGAGTCGCACTGCAAAGAAGATACTCATTGCTCTGGTGTGAGTCATCGTTCGCTGCATCCCAGTCATGCCAGCTCAGCGGCCACGTGTCCCAGTGGTTCCGTTGCTCCACTTGAAGCACAACTGGTGTCGGCCTCGGCTCGCAGGCTCGGCCGGAGAAGCAATGGAAGTACACCTACCGCACCCACTGGGATGGTTGGAATGGTTGGAATGGGAGGAATGGGGGGAATGAGTGGAATGGGAGGAATGGGAGGAATGGTTCCTGCTTCATCAAGAGAAGGAAGCCGTGCGGCCTCTCCTAACCGCTCTGCAAGGCGTGCCATTTTGTTCGGAGGAAATTGAAGCAGTTGGCTCTAATCCAAGGCAAGACCGTACATGCGAGTTCTCTTACGCGTTTCAGCAGCTATGTGAACCACATGCAAATGCCCTAGTGTGGCTTGTTCAGGCAGGGTTTTGATATAACCTAGATAGATTGACTAGTTTCCAATGTACAAAAGTTATTACCGCAATCAATACAATCGCTCAATCCTTCACTATCCGAACTTTTCGGGTAAATATGCCACACGTAACGAACATGGGACCCGATAACATGAATGGTACAAAAAAAACGTTTACGGTCACTGTATCGGGTTTCCTGACGGGTTTGGTAAGTGGGGTCACGGATTCAGTCACTAACAACAGCTAAAAAATCATGCGAATGGTCACACATGTAACTCCCGCCAAAACTTCTTGAAACTCTACAATGTTCCCGCTCGCGTCCAACCAATCAGCTAGCTTCTAAAAAAACTAAAACCCAATCGGAATTGGATGCGGTTTGGGAATGGATCAACACTAAACACCTGGCGAATTGCGTTTAGGGTTGATTCATCCGAAAATGCATCCAGGTTCGTTTTGGGTATTATATTTTTAAGGCGGGAGTTTCATCTGTGACCATTCGCGTTATTTTTTCCCAGTTGATTGTGACTGATTCCGTGAAACGTTTTATCAAACACGTGAATACACCCTTTCCAGTGACCGTACCCGGTTTTTTTTTACCAAACGAATTATCGAGACCCTTGTTGATTACGTGTGGCATATTTTCCCGAACTTTTCTGGCATCCTCGAGAATCTCGTATGATTTCTCTCATCCCGCCTCCCGCTCTTTCACCTCATTCATTTCTTCTTCACGTATCACGACGCCGTTTCACTTTTTTCCCAGCGCGTATGACGCTCGCTTCCATTGCACGGCTCTAGCTACGATGCCAGCCGCTTGCGCTTCGACCCTAAGCTGTCCCGCTAGCAACGCCAGATTCGCTACTGCTGCTTCCTCGATACCTTCGCATCACCGCCCAGCCATGCTTTCTCTCTCCCGTTCCGCGCAGCGCGTTCTGCGGGGCAGCGGAGCCAGCGTCGGCACCGCGATGCTTTTAACGAGAAACACAATACAGCGTATAATCCCGGCCGCGTCTTACTCGTCAGATCAGTTCGGCGAGAGAAAGGGGCCGTACCGGCCGCAATCGCAGGGCTACAAGGCGGGAAATCAGCAACGGTCATATGAGAAGCCGTCGTACGGCGGGCAAGAGTACCCGCAGGCGAGTCAGTATAAGCGGTCCGATCAGCAATCGCCGTCTCCGAGTCAGTTTTCCCAGTTCGACCAGCAGCCGTATCAGTCTAGATCGCCGGGCTCGTATCAACGACGGGGCGAGCAGCAGCAGCAACAGCAGTACGGGCAGGAGGAGCCGAGCGATGAGATTAAGACTATTGAATGGCAATCCGATCTGTCGAATTCCGTGAATCTGATTGGTCAGTGAATCTGTTCTGAAAATGCATCCTATCCATGCGCCTGTATGTGCCGCTCCTGTTTCACATGCACCCATGCATGCATGCCGTCTATGACCCATGCACAATCCATTCATGCCTTATCCAGATCCCATCCATGACCCATTCATGATCGATCCATACCATGCATATCCCATGCGCGCCCCATGCAGGCAACTTGGCAGCGGATCCAGAGTATCGGTTTTCCGACAGTGGCAAATCCGTGGCGAGTGTGAAGCTGGCGGTAGGGTGGAAGAAGGCGAATCCATGACCCGTGCATGCCATTCATGCCCCACGCCATCCATAACCCATCCATGGCCCATGCATATCCCATGCGCGCCCCATGCAGGCAACTTGGCAGCGGACCCAGAGTATCGGTTTCTCGACAGTGGCAAGTCCGTGGCGAGTGTGAAGCTGGCGGTGGGGTGGAAGAAGGCCAACGGGGAGAAGCACACTGACTGGTGAGGAGGACCATGCACCTAATTCTAGACCTTCTGGACCAACTACAAGACGTCTCAACACTCTTGAGGCGCCTCAAAAGTAATTCCAGACCTTCTGGACCTTCTGGACCGACTACAAGACGTCTCACAACTCGGCTTGTAGTGCTCAACACGTACGCTTGTCCGTGCGTGCGTGTGTGAATAATTGTATGCATGTGTGTGTGTATCCGCGCCTGCATGTGTGCCCACACAGGTACACAATACAGATGTGGAACGATGTGGCTACGCTTGCGCAGAACCTCAAAAAGTCTAGTTTGAGGCGCCTTAAAACCACACTGCTTGTGTGTGTTTCCATGTCTGCATGTGTGTGCATGTGGGTGCATGTGTGTGCATGTGTGTGCATGTGGGTGCATGTGGGTGCATGTGGGTGCATGTGTGTGCATTGGGTGCATGTGGGTGCATGTGTGTGCCCATGCTGGTACACAATACAGATGTGGAACGATGTGGCTACGCTTGCACAGAACCTCAAGAAGGGCACGCGCGTGTATGTGAAGGGGCGATTGCACATGGAGGAATACACAGACAGCAGGGGGGCGACGAGGCTGGATCCCAAGGTATGGCTACTTGTGCTGTTCACTCCATAGGGCGTCTGGGTGTGGGTGGGTGGCTTTTGGCTGGCTGGGTGGTTGAATGGCTGGGTACGCGCATGTATGTGAGCGAGCGGCTGCACATGGAGTAATTCACAGACAACAGGGGGGCGACGAGGCTGGACCCCAAGGTGTGGCTCGTGCATGGTATTATTGGGTGTCTGGGTGTTTGGTACGTGTGTGGGTGGGTGTGTGCGTGGGTGGGCTTACATGCACGGGGGATGTGAGCGGGCGAGTGCACATGGAAGAAGAGGAGTACTCGGACAGCAGTGGGGCGCCCCCTGTGTGGGTGGGTGGGTGGGCACCCATCCTGTAAGCACAGGATATGTGTTCAGGCACCCGCATGTGGATACGAGGAAATAGCCCTTGTAGCCAGCAAGTTTGGCGGCAGCAACAATGCTTTCTGAGGCGGTTAAGAGCTTCCTCCCTGAAACTTTTCCTTCCTTCTGCCTCCTCGCCCCCGCAGGTTGATGTGAAGCAGATAGCCCTCGTGGCCAGCAAATTCGGCAGCCGCAACAAGAACCAGGGCAGCAGCAACTGAGCCTTTCTTTCCTTCTGTCTTCTCTCTCCCCGCAGGTTGATGTGAAGCAGATAGCCCTCGTGGCCAGCAAATTCGGCAGCCGCAACAAGAACCAGGGCAGCAGCAACTGAGCCTTTCCTTCCTTCTGTCTTCTCTCTCCCCGCAGGTGGATGTGAAGCAGATAGCCCTCGTGGCCAGCAAATTCGGCACCAGCAGCAACAACAACCAGGGCAGCAGCAGCAGCAGGGGCCGTGAAACCAGTCCTGGGGGTTACAATAAGGGCAGTTACAATCAGGAGGGTTACAATCAGGGGGGTTACAACCAGGGGAGTTACAATCAGGGGGCTTACAGCCCACAAGAAACTGCATATCCTGAACAGAGCAGCTACAGCAGAAATCAAGGGAATTACAGTAACCAGAGTTATGATACCCAAGGCTTTGGTAACCAGGCGGGAAGCAGCGGGCAGGGGGGAGCGATGGATGGACCAGTGGTGGCTACAGATGACAAGGGGCTTCCTCGGATTCCACGATTTGATGGCAAACTGACTGGTGCGTGAATGGGGAGGGGTGGGGGGGTTGGTTTGAGCTGGATGGAGCAGCGGGCAGGGGGGAGCGATGGATGCACCGGTGGTGGGTACAGATGGTGAGGGCCTGCCTGGGATTCCACGATTTGATGGCAAACTGACTGGTGCGTTGTAGAGTGGGATTGAATGTGGGGGGTTGAGTGATGAGCAGGGGAAGAAGAGAGAAGGAGGAGTTGGAAAGGAGATTTTGGGGAGGGGGAGAAGGGAAAGAGAGACACTTAACACTCTGTCCCCCATATTCACGCCCATCCGTCACCATTCTGTCCCCCATATTCACGCCCATCCGTCACCATTCTGTCCCCCATATTCACGCCCATCCGTCACCATTCTGTCCCCCATATTCACGCCCATCCGTCACCATTCTGTCCCCCATATTCACGCCCATCCGTCACCATTCTGTCCCCCATATTCACGCCCATCCGTCATCATTCTGTCCCCCATATTCACGCCCATCCGTCACCATTCTGTCCCCCATATTCACGCCCATCCGTCACCATTCTGTCCCCCATATTCACGCCCATCCGTCACCATTCTGTCCCCCATATTCACGCCCATCCGTCACCATTCTGTCCCCCATATTCACGCCCATCCGTCACCATTCTGTCCCCCATATTCACGCCCATCCGTCACCATTCTGTCCCCCATATTCACGCCCATCCGTCACCATTCTGTCCCCCATATTCACGCCCATCCGTCACCATTCTGTCCCCCATATTCACGCCCATCCGTCACCATTCTGTCCCCCATATTCACGCCCATCCGTCACCATTCTGTCCCCCATATTCACGCCCATCCGTCACCATTCTGTCCCCCATATTCACGCCCATCCGTCACCATTCTGTCCCCCATATTCACGCCCATCCGTCACCATTCTGTCCCCCATATTCACGCCCATCCGTCACCATTCTGTCCCCCATATTCACGCCCATCCGTCACCATTCTGTCCCCCATATTCACGCCCATCCGTCACCATTCTGTCCCCCATATTCACGCCCATCCGTCACCATTCTGTCCCCCATATTCACGCCCATCCGTCACCATTCTGTCCCCCATATTCACGCCCATCCGTCACCATTCTGTCCCCCATATTCACGCCCATCCGCCACCATTCTGTCCCCCATATTCACGCCCATCCGTCACCATTCTGTCCCCCATATTCACGCCCATCCGTCATCATTCTGTCCCCCATATTCACGCCCATCCGTCACCATTCTGTCCCCCATATTCACGCCCATCCGTCACCATTCTGTCCCCCATATTCACGCCCATCCGTCACCATTCTGTCCCCCATATTCACGCCCATCCGTCACCATTCTGTCCCCCATATTCACGCCCATCCGTCACCATTCTGTCCCCCATATTCACGCCCATCCGTCACCATTCTGTCCCCCATATTCACGCCCATCCGTCACCATTCTGTCCCCCATATTCACGCCCATCCGTCACCATTCTGTCCCCCATATTCACGCCCATCCGTCACCATTCTGTCCCCCATATTCACGCCCATCCGTCACCATTCTGTCCCCCATATTCACGCCCATCCGTCACCATTCTGTCCCCCATATTCACGCCCATCCGTCACCATTCTGTCCCCCATATTCACGCCCATCCGTCACCATTCTGTCCCCCATATTCACGCCCATCCGTCACCATTCTGTCCCCCATATTCACGCCCATCCGTCACCATTCTGTCCCCCATATTCACGCCCATCCGTCACCATTCTGTCCCCCATATTCACGCCCATCCGTCATCATTCTGTCCCCCATATTCACGCCCATCCGTCACCATTCTGTCCCCCATATTCACGCCCATCCGTCACCATTCTGTCCCCCATATTCACGCCCATCCGTCACCATTCTGTCCCCCATATTCACGCCCATCCGTCACCATTCTGTCCCCCATATTCACGCCCATCCGTCACCATTCTGTCCCCCATATTCACGCCCATCCGTCACCATTCTGTCCCCCATATTCACGCCCATCCGTCACCATTCTGTCCCCCATATTCACGCCCATCCGTCACCATTCTGTCCCCCATATTCACGCCCATCCGTCACCATTCTTTCCCCCATATTCACGCCCATCCGTCACCATTCTGTCCCCCATATTCACGCCCATCCGTCACCATTCTGTCCCCCATATTCACGCCCATCCGTCACCATTCTGTCCCCCATATTCACGCCCATCCCTCCCCATTCTGTCCCCCATATTCACGCCCATCCCTCCCCATTCTGTCCCCCATATTCACGCCCATCTCTCCCCATTCTGTCCCCCATATTCACGCCCATCTCTCCCCATTCTGTCCCCCATACTCACCCACATGCATGCTCTGACAGCCGGGCAGGTGGAGGCATTGTGGCGGGATTTCTTTGACGATCCAGTGCAATTCTTTGACTACCGGGAGATGAAGGTACAGCGTGGGTTGAAGGGTGCAGTTTGTGGGCATGCTGTGTGTGGGGCTTGCTGTTGCACGCTTGCTGGTGGGGGTTGTCAAGGAGGGCAGGTGGAGACATTGTGGCGTGAGTTCTTTGACGACCCTGTGCAATTCTTTGAGTACCGGGAGATGAAGGTATGGCATGCATGGGTTCAAGCATGGGTCGTGAAATCATGCCCGTGCGTGGGGTTTCTGGCTGGTTCAGTTGCTGGTGAGGATTGTCAAGGAGAGCAGGTGGAGACATTGTGGCGTGAGTTCTTCCACGATCCAATGCAATTCTTTGAGTACTGGGAGATGAAGGTATTATGCCATGCATGGGTTCAGGGGAGGCCAAGCGGGGGTGTTGGAAGCATGCCATGCTGTGTGGGCCATGCTCGTGCAGGCTTGCTGGTTAGATTGTTTTGACCCTGCGGGTAGCCACGGGCGGCGAGCTACTGTGGGTGCACGGGCGAGCTACTGTGGGTGCACGGGCGAGCTACTGTGGGTGCAGAGCCATGGCACCCCTCCATGGGTGCACAACACGTTGCTTCAACATGGCAAAGGCTTCATGAACCCTCTTCCCTTCCTCTCTCCCGTCGCAGCAACACGGGGAGGTGGCTCTCAAGTATCCGGATTTCAAGAAGTCAGCCACAGGGGAGCCGCTGTGGGTGGATAGCCGGGGCACCCCTCCCTGAGTGCACAACAAGTTGCTGAAACGCAGCGAGTGGCTTATGAACCCTCTTCCCTTCCCCTGTCCTCCCTTCCCTTCCCTTCCCTCGCAGCAACACAATGAAGTACCACCCAAGTACCCGGATTTCAAGAAGATAGCTACAGGAGAGCCGCTGTGGGTGGAGAGCCGCGGCACCCCTCCCTGGGTGTACGATTCCTTGCAGAAATACGATGATGCCTTTGCTGCAGCACTGGCAGGCATGCCGCTTAACGGGCAGGGGGGCGAGGAGGGTGGTGCTGGTGGGGAGCAGTTTGGGGAGAATTACAAGGAAGAGTTTGGAGGAGGGGCGATGGACGCCCGTGGGTTTTAATCAGGAAGGGCTTCGGGTTTCAGGTTTATGATTTCTTGTGGGTGCAGAGTCGGGACAGTTCCCCCCTGGGTGCATGACTCCTTGCAAAAATACGATGATACCTTTGCTGCAGCACTGGCTGGGATGCCGCTTGACGGGCAGGGGGGCGAGGAGGGCGGTGCTGGTGGGGAGCAGTTTGGGGAGGAGTTTGGGGGAGGGGCGATGGACGCTCGTGGGTTCTGATAAAAGGAGGATTTTCACTCTTCCTTGCAGGTGGAAGGGTAGCGACCCCCTGGTGCTAGTAAGCTTGTGTTTTGGATAGTGCAAGGATCGCCATGCAACACTACCTTGTGATAGGCTCTAGCTTGTACCGTTGTGGTTGATTTGGTTGCTCTTCATCAGAAGCTTGTCTGCATAACCGCTTTCTTCTGTGGTATCGATGTGAGGCAGAGGTTCATAACAGCAATCACTGTACACTGTACCCGTGCACGGTAAATGTCTTATTCCAGATTGAAAACACTGCATCTCTCCCCATAAGCCATAAACTATGTAGCTTGTGCGCACCTACATCAATGTGGGGATGATTTTAAATAGAGCCAGCAGGCCCATGAGAGCAATTACCGCATACTGCGGCACAGTGTACAAATATATGTCGGTACCCAGCTTACGAGCACTGTAGCGCTCCCCGTATGCAGCACGAAAGACCACCCACACTGCACCCAGTGCTGCTGCTACTGTGCCGCCTTGGAACAGCGTGCAGAGGAACATGGACGTGATAAATGACGGCTGTGATTGTAACGAGCGGGTGGGGAAGTGAGAGGGTGGGAGAGAGAGGAAGAGAGGGGAAGGGAAGAGAAGGCGGGGGAAGGGAAAAAGATTTGGAGATATGGGAGAGGGGGTTGGAGGGGGTAAGAGAGAGTGGAAGAGGAGGGGGAATGTTTGAAAAGGGCGTGGTGGTGGGGGGCATGGGGATGGCAGAAGGGAGGAGACAAGGAGTGTGCAGGTGATTCAACGTCATTTTCATCTTCTTCTGTGCGACGTACGAACCGCTCGAAAAGACGCCTTAGAATAAGTATCAACCCCATTTCTGAGGGTCAATCATGTACAAATTACTCGACGAGGACGCCTGAGAAAGAGTATCAGCCGCACTTTTAACGGTCAATCACGTACGTATTGCTCGACGAAGTTGGCCTGCACGCGGATGACGCGGTCAAAGTCGGGATTGCCGGACATGGCGGGTGCGAAAATGCGGTGCTTGAGGCGCGCCGCGCGGATGCCGATAAGAGTCTGTGGAAGTAGAAAGGTGGGGGGAGGAGGAGGGGGGGTTGGTAAGGGAAATAGGGGGGAAACGGGGGGAGGGGAGAGGGGGGAGAGGAGGGGGAGGGGAAGGGGTGGGGAAGCGGAGGAAGATGGGGGAGGAAGGAAGAAGGAAAGATGCGGCTCGTGATGCGCGCTCCAGCTGCATGCGAACATGTAAGGTTGTCATGTGACGAACCCTCGGAGAAAAATACGGAGCATCGGAGAGAAATGCAGAGAAACGGAGGAAAATACGGAGGACCGGAGGGAAATACGGAGCATCGAAGAGAAATAAGAAGCGTCGGAGAGAAATACGGAGGTCGGAGAGAAATAAGGAGCGTCAGAGAGAAACACGGAGGACCGGAGGAGAAACGGAGCATCGGAGAGAAATGCGGAGCGTCGGAGAGAAACACGGAGGATCGGAGGGAAATACGGAGGATCAGAACAACTCGCTGATAGGTGAGGCATGGCGAGAGCTAGTACCCGCATGTAGACGAGGTGCGCCGCGAACGCGACGAGCGCTGGTAGCTTGAACTCCTCGCGCAGCGCAAACAATGCCGCCGTGTTTCCCGCCATTGTGGACTAGTGAGTGGTAACAAGTTTAAAACCGGGGTGCACATTCAGCTGAATGTGCATCAAAGGTTATCCCTTGACTGAGTGGGTTACGAGGTGTGCTTTCAACCCCTTCAAGTCGAAATTCGTTTCCCCCCTCCCCCGCAATTTCGTTTCCCCACGCCCCCGCAATTTCATTTCCCCCTCCCCGTCGAAATTCGTTTCCCCCCTCCCCCGCAATTTTGTTTCCCCCCTCCCCCGCAATTTCGTTTCCCCCCCCTCCCGCCAATCTGTTTCATCCCTCCCGCCATTCGGTTTCACCCACTCCCGCCATTTCACCCCCTCCCGCCACCTACAAAATGCCCGAAGCTCTAGCGGAATCATTTTTTTGTCGCCCCTCGTGAGCCAATCACTGTTTTTCTCCAAACCCCCTTCCCAACATCTCAAGCCGAACCGCGCTGAATGTGCACCCTGGTTTTAAGAACCACGGGACGACTAATGAACTGCGCTTCAAAGCTTCACGACCTGCTCCTGCGTGAAACGTAACATGTTAAATTAGGAAGGAGCAATAGGGGAGAATAACTGGTGATTGTGGCGGCGACCGTGTAGATCAATCCAGCATCAAGACACGCGCGACACGCCATTTCTGTTGCAGAAATGCGTTGGAAAGTACACCTGACCTGACCAGAGTTGCTGGAAGCTGGTGAGAGGGAAGGGCATGAGGATGGGGGATTAGCGGGGATAGGGAAGGAGGAGAGTACACCTGACCTGAAAGGTGAAGGCCTATTCAATGTGCAATGAAATGGTAAGCTATTATACGGAAAAAACATCATACAAATTAATGGCTACGCAATTTATTGTGAAGGACCCTAGCTGAGCAGGGGTTTGGCATATATTCATACTTCCCAATGCTGGTTGCACGCAGTTTAGCATAAATGTACAGTTTCCAAATAACATCAGTTTTTTTTCTACTTCCAAAGTACTAAGAATAGGGGGTAGAGTCATTATATTTATCATAATAAAAGTGGAAATTAATTTGCTATACCCGTTCACATGAAAATAAACCTGATTTCCTGAGAATCTTAAGAAACCGTTGCTCTAGCTGTTCCCATGTTGGGTCTTTTCCACAAATGATACATCACTTGAAAACAGACCCTTATAGCATAGTATGATAGAGATGTCTTTTAGAATGACTGTAAAAGAAGGAATTTCAGTTACACACCCTGCTAATACAACAAAAAGGCGGTCCAAACCAAGGCAGACTTGCACGTGCTTTAGAAAAGTGCACAGAACTGCTCCTGAATCGAAGGGCAGTGAAAGTTCTGTGTGAAGCTTGTGAATTACGTCACGAATGAAATCGTGCACATCAATTTGACTTCTTCTGGCATTCGCATGTCCAGTAGGCCTTGACGTTGGGACTGTGTGGGATTCGCACGGAATCCGCCCGGATTGCGCCCTTGACTGTAGCTCTTATCTACGAATGAGAGGCCAACAATTTTATTGTTGGCCGTAGAAAATTGTCCAAGAAATGATGCCCGTTGCCGAATGGAAGACCCTGCCTGATCGGATTGCACCTCGGTTGGAATTTGGAATCGGATGTCAATGTGTGCCAACAACCTACCCAATATGCCTAGCTCGACCTGCTGCGCCTGCGGTTCCCGCTCACACCCCTCACACCTCCTGCCTAGGGAGTACTGTAGTGGGTGAGACCTCCCCTCTCGTTTTCAGCCACCCTGCCATTTCAGGGTTTTGGCAGCACGCAAACTCGCCAGGCCAGGTAGCGTGCTGAAACTCCCAGCGCAGGCGGGGTTAACATCTTCCTGTCCACTGACTTGAGATTAACATCCTCCCTGTCCACTGACTTTATTTCGAACCCAGGCCCGCCTCAGAAGACTTGGTACAAACTAGGAATATTCGCGTTAAAACACCCTAAAGGCGTCGTTACGCGGGTCGGAACGAGAGTCAACGCCCCCAGTTAGTGCCCCTTGACTAAGTGGTTTCCCAAACTAGGAGTGAAATGGGTGGCTCTACAGTTGTACTGTATGTCCAGGTCACCCACTCAAGCTTGGAAACTGCGGTGGTTTCGTAAGGGCACACACACGGTACTGTACCCCTCCTTCAGTGGGCCACCGATGTGAATCCATGAATAGTTACTTCGACAGTCGATTTGATCCAACAACCACTCTACACGCGCAAAATGAGTACACTGCGTGTACCTTTTGTATTTTTCTGACCCGGATCGTCGATCGTCAGGAAAAGTTTCCCCACAGGAATGATGAGAATGCTCCCCGCGTAAAAGTTGGGACCAAATTTCAACGCGCTTTTGGGCATGGATTCGCAGATTTGACACCGACTCGAAACATGCTTCGATTTGGCCCACAAGCACACCCCTCCGCCCCTCCCTCCCGCCCACCCCGTCTCCATCCCATCCCGTCCTCCGATTCCAGCTGGCAGCCCTCCATTTGGTCCTTTGGCCTTGAACCTAAACAAGAATTGAATTCCTTTCTTGCTGCTCGCTTCGCTTTGCTGCTCACACATCGAATGAGGGCCAGATTCAACCTCAAGGTTCGTTGTGAGCCGGGTTTCTGTGCGGAAAACAGCCGAGGTTTCCGTACATATAACTCGCAGTGACGAAGCCCTGAAGTTTCCCGATAGTTGACCCTTCCAACCTTAGTACCGACAGTTTCAACTTTCTAGTTTCTTATTCGGAATGATCGCCGTTAACGCGAACGACACGTTTTACGCTGATCCTTTTCCCGTTCCATTTCTCTCTTCGGACAGCGTCAACACCCACGCCGCACAACCACCAGCATCTTCCGGTATCGACCCAAAGATCGCATCACACGCCGTCGCTTCGCGCGGCGAGGGAGAACTTTGGGATTACATGCGCGCCTCGAACGAACCCAGCAGCGACATGGCGGCGGGTGAGCTCGAGGACATTATTCTCCGCGCCGCTTCGTCGTCCGCTGTTCAGAATGGCGTAGCTTTACCATCATGGTCGCTCGACTTTGCATCGGATGCCGTGGTTCCCGCCGCGACCGCCGCTACCTCAGCTGGGGGGGTTGGCGGCGGATTCTCGTACTACACCGCCCAGGCCGACGCAGCGTCACTGCCGCAGAACACGGCGCAAAACGCGCCGCAGAACACGGCGCCGCAGCAGTTTCACCAGGAGTGGTCGAATGGCGGCGCATGGGCGAACAGCGGACGGGAGTATCAGTCGGGAAACGGGCGGGGTTTGGCTGACTTTCAAGGAATTCGCCGACAAAACGCCAGTACTGCCAGTACGATAGCCGATGCTGTGGCATTCCAAGGCCGCACGGACAATGATTTTGCCAACATCGGCGAAGGCATGTCGCAGTTTTGGTCACAGGATGCCGGCGGAACCGCAACCGCCCCCGCCGCCGGCGTTACTAGCCACGCCGCGAGTCATGACGGCGCCGGCTTCAGTCCTGGCCACCTACCCGCCATCCTCCGCTCCCTCGCGGCGCACCAGCAGGCCGTTGAGGCCCTCGCGCCGCTCGCTACCGAGCCGCGGCGGCAGACTGGTGAATGGGATGGGCGCGCGGGGGAAGGTGCCGTCCGCGCCGCTGCTGGATGGTGCAGTTCCGCCAGCCTGCCCCCCGCGATGGCGGCGGCGGCGGCGGCGGCGGCAGCGTCTGCGCCGGGTTTCCTGCCGGCGGATGGCGTTTTCCCGCCGCTTCCCCTCACACGCCCGGCTCTCACAGCTTCATTCCAGCGCTCCCCCCCTTCCGCCGCGCTCGCCGCTGCATTCCCCGCTGCATTCCCCGCGTCATCCTCTTCCGCCTCGTCCGCGCACCTTGCCGCGTCCGTCGCCGCTTCCCTCGCCGGCGAGCGACTCGCCTTGGTAGGAGGCGGAACGAGTTTCGAGACGTCTCAAGACCCGCAACTTCCGCAACTCGAACCACGGGACGGCTCGGCAGGACACGGCTTGGCACGCGGCGGAATGGTGTCTAAAGCGGGTGCAGAAGCGACGGCGGAACCGGGAGCAGCGCAGAACTCGAGCGCCATTGACGCTCTCGCGTCCATGATCCTAGTTGCTGCAGCTGCAGGTGCAGCGGGCGGGCAAGGTGGCGGATTCGCCCCCCGGGGGCCCCAGCAGGCGGGGATGGGCGGCGCCAGCGCCAGCAGTGGCGGAATCGCTGGTGGTGATGCAACTGGGGGAATGTGGGGAGGAATTGGAGGGGGAATGGATGGGGGAATGGGTGGGGGGATGGTTGGGGGGGTGGGGGGAGAGGGAGACGAGTGGTGCAACGGTGATGTGGTGGGGAAGGTGGAAGCAGATGGAGCTGGGTATGGGGACTTTGGGAATACTAGTGCTGGGCATGGTTTCTATGGGCACGTGGATGTAGATGCGCAACTGCAGAGGAGAAACACGGCAACCAGCGGCACTGGGAACGTGGGGACCATTGGAGACGTGATTGTCAGTACCAGTACCAGGGCTGATGTGAAACGCGCCCGCAGGAGCAGCAGCAGCGGCAGCTTGCCGCCCCCCCTGCACCACTCCTACGAGGACACGTGTCCAGCTTCTGCTGCTGCCTTCGGAATTTCCCAAACTCGCCAAGCTTCCGCTGCTGCTGCTGCTGCTGCTGCTGGCGCTGCCACTGGTGTCGCTGCTAGCAGTGCCATGGCGCCCCTGTTTGCAGTGCATCAGAAGTCGTCCCCACAGAACTTACGCCTGCCTGCTGCTGCTAGCGCCGCCTTGCCTCTTTCTGCGCAGATTCCACAGAGCCTGCGGGAGCAGCTACAGCAGCAGCTGCAGCTGCAGCAGCTGCAGCGGCAGCAAAGCAATCTGAGTGGCAGTGTCAGCGGCGGCGGTGGTGCGAGTGGCGGTGGCGCAAGCGGCGGTGCTGCGAGCGGTGGGGAGGGGCGTACCTGGGCAGGTACCACCACCAACACCACCACCACCACCTCCCTTGGGGGGATGGCCGGGGCGGTTTCAAGAGTGCTCCCCCTGCACACTCAGGCAGTACCTATTGCCCCCTCGGCTTTTGAGACGTCTCAGACGGTTTCTGGGGCGTTCCTCCTGCACACGCAGACAGCCCCTATCGCCCCCTCGCCCCTCCCCATCCCCCCCCAACCTGTCGCCAATCCCCTTCACCCTCCGCGTTCCACTTTCCCCCCTAGCGCCCCCCCAGATTCGCCACTAATAGACGAGAAACCAGATGCAGTGGCCCAAGCAACGGCTGAGGTGGGCAGGAAGCGGCAAGCGAGAGGGGAGACTCGGAAACGCGGACGGGGAGGCGAGAGAGGGGGCAGAGTGGCAGGGGGGAGGCAGCAGGGAGCGAGTGACGGGGCGTGGGAGGAGGGAGGTGCAGGGAGGATAAAGCAGCAAGGAGCGAGTGAAGGGGCATGGGAGGTTCGCGCAGGAGACGGAGGCGCGGGCGGTGGAGCTAGTGCTGCTGTGGGAGGGTTTGAGGAGGGGGAAGGTGCGGAGGGAACGCGAACTCTGGGAAGGGTGTCTGGCGCATGTCTTGCTGCAAGGGTGAGTTGGCACATACCTGAAGCACCTGGCAAAAAGAGTTGACTTTTGATTCGACTCAAAAGTGTCTGGCGCATGTCTTGCTGCAAGGGTGAGTTGGCACATACCTGAAGCACCTGGCAAAAAGAACTCGGGTGGGGTGGAAAGTGCACTATCTCCTGTGTTTTCTCGCGCTGTTTCTCCGCACTCTCTCCTCTCCTCACATTCCTCGCACTCTCTCTCTCTCTCTCTCTCTCTCTCTCTCTCTCTCTCTCTCTCTCTCTCTCTCTCTCTCTCTCTCTCTCTCTCTCTCTCTCTCTCTCCGTCTCCTCCCCACTCCCTTCTTCCCCGTGCAGAAGCGGAGGGAACGCATAGCGAGTCAGATGCGCACGCTGCAGCGGCTGGTGCCGGGCAGCAGTCGAGTGGACACTGTCTCTGTTCTCTCTGATACCATCCGCTTCCTCTGCAGCCTCATTCACCAGATTCAGGTGCGTGCAGGGCACATACACACCCATCGCAGCATTTCTCTCTGTAGCTCCATAATCTGAAGCTCATGATCCAACGCTCATGATCCAACGCTCATGATCCGACGCTCGTGATGTCATGCTCATGCACTGGTGCTTCTGTCTTTCAAGCAACGACACACCCCCCTCTCTTGCCGCTGCCGTTTCTCTTTCTCCCTGTGGCAGTCGCTAGGAGCAGAGCCGGAGGGGTATTCCACCAGAGAGGCTGCAGAAGCAGCAGCAGCAGAGGTGCAAAAGCTGGTTCGAGACGACGTGATAGCAAGCCGTCGCCCTACAGCCAATCAGAGGGCTCCTTCTCAAGGTGTCACAGCAGCAGACCCAGCTGTAGAAGGAGGGGCGGCTGTAGCAGCAGAAGGGCCTATAGTACCAGGTAGGGCTGTAGCAGCAAGTGGGGCAGTAGCTAGCCCCAACGCCCCTCAAGGCAGCACACACACGTCCTCCCAGGGGCCCTCGCAGTCAATGCTTCCCACTGTCTCCACCACTTCACCCTCGTTGGAGGGATCCATGGCCCGTGGTGACGGTGATGCTGTTGCTGATGCTGATGGCAGCAAGGATGGTGACTAAGGGGACATGAGGTGATGGCATGGAGCACGAGTCCCAGACAGCTGCTTCCCACTGTCTCCACCACTTCACCCTCGTTGGAGGGACCTATGGCCCGTGGTGACGGTGATGCTGATGGTTATGCTGATGCTGTTGCTGTTGCTGATGCTGATGCTGGTGCTGATGCTGATGCTGATGCCGATGCTGATGGTAGCAAGGATGGCAACTGAGGGGAGTGAGATGGTGGCACGGAGAAGATGCCTAGATCAGTCCTGCACATATCACTAGCAGCTCTTGCTGAAATCCATTCTTTCATTTGTTGATGATACGGTCCTTTCACTGGCTGAATCCCTCCTGCTGGCCCAATGCTTGCTGCTCCACTCCACGTCACATGTACCACGCACCCACGCACGGCCCAAGCTGTTTCTTGCACGCGCTGCCCCACCTGTATCCAACACCCGCGCCTCCACATGTATCCTATCATATACTCAGTGCTCCACATGCATCACATGGCCCTTGCTCCATCTGTATTCTATGTCCTCGCGTGCTGAACCCTGCAACCAGAACACAAGTGTACTATATCCACCCTGATAACTGCTCTGTACGTTGTTGTAACACTCTATACAGGGAAGCTGGGGCGCTAGGGTGGTAGGAAACGGCAGTGTGTTGGAACGTAGCCTTCCGCCTTCTAGGACCGTATGCATCCTTCAATGGGACGTAGGTATCAGAGACTTCAGCACTGGATCAGGAGCGGCTGCTGCCGGGAACATACCTACAACACTTGTTTGACCAGGGTGTGAAAAAACAGCAATTTCTCCACAGCGTTAAGGGACAATAATGTGGGCGGGGTGGGGTGTCACGACTCAAGACTCAGGAGTCAACTGTCACGGGGGAAGCACCCGAAGCACCCAGTTGAGTGGGTGGTGGCGGGGTTGCTGCTCGGCCCTCCCTCCCCACCCCCTCGTGCAGCGAACAGCCGAGTGGCACCAACTGTGTGTGAAGGGACAGTGAGTGGTGGGGGTGACATGTCACGAGTCAACTGTCATGGGGGAAGCACCCGAGGCATCTACTTGAGTGGGTGGTGGCGGGGTTGCTGCTCTGTCCCCCTCAACCCCTGCTGCAGCAGACGGCCTACCAGCACCCACCGGCACCCCTCCCCCCCCTCCTCCTCCCCCTCCTGCCGCCACAACTGCTGCCAGCTCTCTTGAAGGGTCCTCCTCCAATGCTCCTTGTAGCTCCTCCATCTGCCCATGGGAGAAGGGGGGACATACTCACAAGAATGAATACAATACGACACAAGCACCCCTCCTCCTGCTCCCCCTCCTGCTGCCACCACTGCCGCCAACTCTCTTGAAGGGTCTTTCTCCAATGCTCCTTGTAGCTCCTCCGTCTGCGCATGGGAGAAGGGGGCAATCTCAGAGAATGAATACAGCACGACACAAGCAAGCACGCACGATGATATGATGTTTATTGAATACGGGAGCGTGGACTGCTTCAGCCACAGATCCGACAACCTCCACCGCGCCCACGTTTCCCCTTCCCCCGTTGCAACAGCTGCTTGCTTACAGCGCCCAGCCCACATCCACTATCCACATGCAGCGCAGCGCACCCTTCTTTCCATGCGCTGTCACCTCCGTTTCCACTATCCACGTTGGTACTCACCGTGTGCATCAGCAGCGCGAACTGCTTCCGCCGCAGCTCCACCACCCTCCCCGCGCCCACGTTCTCCGCCTCTAGCGCCTCCACCTCCGCCTCCAGCGCCGCGATCCGCGCCTCTGAAACCGCGCGCGCAGGCTGCGCGGCGATCTGCCGCCGCACCAGCTCGCACTCCTCCTCGTGCTGCCGCTGCCGCCGCGCCTCCGCCTCCTCCGCCATTAGGCTATCCACTCGCGCCACCGCCTGATGTTCATGCGCGCGGGGGGGAGGAGTGGGGGAGGAGGGGGAAAGGAGGGGGGGGAGGAGAGGGGGAGGAGGGGGGGGAGGGGGGGGAGGGGAGGAGGAGGAGGAGGAGGAGGAGGAGGAGGAGGAGGAGGAGGAGGAGGAGGAGGAGGAGGAGGAGGGTAGGGGGAGGAGGATGGGGAGCAACGCGGAGGAAGGATGGCGAATTGGGAGAATGGTCGTGGTTGAGACGAGGAAATGATAAGGAAAACGGACGAGGAGGATTCGACGAGGAGGAATTCCAGAGTCGTCACACGGTTATCCATCGCACCTCGATAATATCCGCTTCTAGCTGTTTCGTCAGCTCGTGAAAGTGCTCCTGCTCCCTGCGGTTAGCGTTGATCACGGCGCGAGACATGTTTAGAGGCTGCTCAAATCCCGCCAATTCGTGCAGCACGGAGCGCGCTAATCTCTCGCAGTCATTGATGCTGCTGTCGGGCCGGGCCGCTTCTGAGGTAAAAGCGAGGAACTTCTTCAGGAGCTTTTTCATCGGCGGCTCGCCGCGAGTGACGGAGGTCCGCGTGAGCAGCCGCTGACGTATGATGGCGTCATCTTCCTGCGGGCCTACCGCGAAATGCGCCGCCATGAGCGCAAAACACGAGGATACTTTCGGGTTGATAAGAGGACAAGTACGAACCGCGGTTGCTGGAAAAGTGCTAGAACGAAACGCAGCAGTTTTTGTAACTTAAACTCGAGGTCGACACGTCGTCCTAGACAGTTCTAAACTGATCGCACCACGTCCTGCTCCGAGCACCCGCCCAATCAGAAGCTAGACAATCATGTGGATATTCTACCGGAAACCTGCTATGCTAGAACGGGATCCTTCACTCGTAACAGCTCTCGAATTCAAGCTCCGATCCGGAACCCTAATACGCAGAGTTCACTAGAGGAGCCTGATTCAGCAGAAATAGTGGCTGTGAATCCTGCTGGCCGCTTGACACTCACGCGAAGTTCTCGAGGTTGCGATATAAGCGTCGCTTCGGTTGGGGTAGTAGAGATGAGTGACCGTTCACACTTGCCCTTCCCAAGAAAATCGTTTCACATTTTCTGTGGTCTCGATAGTTTTAAGGACAGCTGGCTTGTTCGGGAAGTGTTTCGGCGGGGAACCAGACCACGTCAGCTGTTGACTAGTTGTATGTGTGGGTGCAAGACGGGGCCACGTCACGGGTGAACCCCTCCTAGACGAATCGCGCCATGCAGCTGACGAAACATGGAAATGTTCGCTGAAACTGCTGCGGAACTGCAAACTGCCGCGGCCCCACTTGCGATCGCGCCCTCAGTCACATTTCCCTTGGGAATTCCCCCCAGCCTCAAATTCCTTCCCCTACTTGTTGCATTCATCTTTCCATTATCACTCATCCCATTCACCGCTGCTAGCATTGCCTGTCGCGTTACTAAGGTTTGCGGCGGATCGACTTTTGCGGAATTCTCGAGGTGAATCTTGAAGGTTATTGTCTGGATTACACAGCACTTCAGGCATCGCCATTTTTTCAAACCTCTCTGAATTCGTCCGTTGGAATCAGGCAGCACATCAGGCATCGCCATGGCTGACGCGAAGCCGCAGACCCTCCGCGCGTGGCTGCACTCCGCCGTGGAGTCGCGCGGCGACGTGGCGGCCATCGTAGTCACGCAGGGAGGCCCCACCGTGACGCACGCCGCGCTCGAGGCGGCGGTGGATGGCGTGGCGGCGCAGCTGAGGGCTCTGGGAGTGCGACCCGGCGATCTTGTGTCTCTCGCTTTCCCTAACTCGCTCGAGGTACTCGTCAGTGCGTTGACTTGAGTAGACTGAGAAGTCAACTCGATCTTGTGTCCCTCGCTTTCCCTAACTCGCTCGAGGTACTTGTCAGTGCTCATCGTGCCAGTTTCGAGTAAACTCAAATCACGTTGTGCACGATTCCTCTCGTTAAATTCCATCGCGGGACCACTTGGGATGCCCTCTCCGTCCCTAATTTCATTCCAAATATTCCATCTTAATCATCAAATTTAACTTGTCCTGATGTCGGCATCCTTCATTTCTGTCAATTTGTGTGGATATTGCGAATTTTCATAATATTTTCCTTTCTTCCATCCCCACCTTCCCACTCTTCCTTCCCCCTTCCCTGCCCTTTCTTTCCCCCGCTCCAATATACCCCTCCTCCCCCCACCCCACCCCTCTCCCCAGTTTGTGATCCTTTTCCTCGCAGTTACGCGTGTTCGCGCCACAGCAGCTCCGTTAAATGCAGCGTACACGGAGGAGGAGTTCAAGTTCTATATGGAGGACGCGCAGGCGCGCCTGCTTCTTCTCCCCGAGGGCGGCACTCCCAAGGCTCAGGCGGCCGCTGCTGCCTTGGGAGTACCGGTGGCGCATGCTGGGAGCTACGGAGGCGAGGTGAGATTGAGCTGTTGATTCTCAAGGTTTTGTAAAAATGAACCGCGGTCTGAGATCGTTACTGGTGCCTGAGAGCGTTACTCCTCAATACCAAGGCTCAGGCGGCCGCTGCCGCCTTGGGAGTATCGGTGGCGCATGCTGGGAGCTACGGAGGCGAGGTGAGATGATATGAGCTACCGCTGCTCGAGAGCGCTACTGCTTTCCCACAGCGCTACTGCTGTCTGAGACCGCTATTGTTTTCTAAAAGCGTTGCTCCCCTTGCCTCCTTTTCCAAAGCACCTCCCCCCCTCTCCCCTTCTCTCCCTCCTCCATCCAACCTCCCCCCCTCGCGCTCTCCTTCTATCCCAGGAGGGAGTCCCCCTGTCCCCCCTCCCAGGCCTCTGCACCCTCTCACACGCCCGCATTCCCAACGGAAACCCCTTTCTCTCTTCCTCCCACCCCCCTCTGGTCCCCTCTCCTATCCAGGAAATAATTTCTTTGCGCCCCTCCCCAGGCCTCTCCGCCCTCCTACACGCCCATATCCCCAACGGACCCTCCTCCCTCTTTTCCACTACACCCCCTCCCCCTACCCCCCCTCCTCCCTCCTCTTTTTCTCAGGAAGGAGTCCCCCTGCGCCCATCCGAAGGGCTCTCCGCCCTCCCACCCGCGGACATCCCGGACGGGCCCGGCCCCGGGCCCACGCCCGACCCCGCTGACGTGGCACTCTTCCTGCACACGTCAGGCACGACCAGCCGCCCGAAAGGCGTGCCGCTGACGCACGCCAACCTGGCAGCATCCATAGGGAACATCATAGACACATACGACCTCACTCCTGCCGACCGGTCTTACCTAGTCATGCCTCTGTTCCACGTGCACGGGCTGATGGCTGCTCTTCTCGCCTCTCTCTCCTCTGGGGGCTCCGTGGTCCTCCCCGCCTCTGGCCGTTTCTCCGCGTCGACCTTCTGGGACGAAGTGGTGCAGAGCGGTGCCACGTGGTACACCGCGGTGCCCACCATGCACCAGATTCTCCTCTCCCGCCACCGCTCCCACGGCCCGCCCACCCTCTCGGGAAAATCTCAGGGGGAATCTCAGGGGGAATCTCTGGGTGAATCCACCGCCTCTGTCACTGCCTACCCGCCTCTGCGTTTCATCCGCAGCTGCAGTGCCAGCCTGGCAGCGGCAGTGCTGGAGGAAATGGAAACAGTCTTCGGCGCTCCCGTGCTTGAAGCATATGCTATGACCGAAGCAAGCCACCAAATGACTGCCAACCCTCTCCCTTCCAAGGGATCCCACAAGGCTGGGTCTGTGGGGTTGCCGACAGGAATCGAACTCGCGATCTTGGACGAGCAGGGGCGGGAGCACGGGGTGGGGGAGCGCGGCGAGGTGTGCATTCGCGGGGCGAACGTTACGGCTGGTTACCGCAGCAACCCGGCGGCGAATGAGGCGGCGTTCGCGTTCGGGTGGTTTCACACGGGAGACGAGGGGAAGAGGGACGAGGAGGGGTATTTGTACCTGACGGGGCGGCTGAAGGAGCTGATCAACAGGGGTGGGGAGAAGATCTCGCCGCTGGAGGTGGATGCTGCGCTGCTGGCCGTGAAAGGCGTGGCTGAGGCCGTTGCTTTCTCTGCGCCTGATGCCCACTACGGGGAGGAGGTGAGTGGTATGGGGAATGGGGGAGGAAAGGTAGGTGACTTGCTTGTTAATCCAGGAGCGCTGTCACCATGGAAGGGGGTAGTGGAAGATTTTTTCATGTATCATTTTGCCTGTCTCTCCTATTTCATCCCCTTCCCTTCCCCCTATGCCCCATTTCCCCTTTCCTCCACCATATAACTCCGTCCCCCTTGCCCCCCCCAACCTCTCCCCCTCCTCAACCCCCACTTCTTCCTCCCCCGTCCGTCAGGTGAATGCAGCAGTGGTGTTGGAGCCAGGTGTGTCTCTCACCCAGGAGGAGGTGCAGGAGCACCTGAAGAATCACCTGGCGGCCTTCAAGCTGCCCAAGCGCGTCTTCTTTGTCGACCATCTCCCGCGCACCGCCACCGGCAAGATTCAGCGTCGCTTCGTTGCCCAGGCCATGCTCAGTGGCGAAGGCACTGCTGCTGCTCCTGCTGCAGCTTCGGCTGCTCCTGCTGCTGCTGGTACTGCTTAATCCGATCTCGTCCTTAGCTACTGGGGCCTGTGGTGGGTCGGTCAGATTGCTCCACCTGCTGCTTCTGCTGCTGCTGCTACTTGCTCTTATTGGCCCTACTGGCTCATAGCTGACACTTAGGGAGATTGGTTGGTAACAGGCGGAGAGGATGATGAACAGTGAAATTAAACAATGCAATTCTGTGAAAACATTTTGTGGCAAATTGTTTGTCGATGTGGTATGCAACCTTGTCTATTTCTCTCTTTCTGTTTTCCTTCCCTTTTTTCAATTCTCTGCTGCCTTCCATCCCATCTCCCGTCTCTCACTTCATCTCTGCTTTCCCTCGTCACTCTAGCCTTTTCCATCCCTATGCTTGCTCCCCAACGCTATTCCAGTAACCTCCTTCCCTGCACAACCCCTTCCAGCAGCCCCTCCTCCTCTGTTACTCTAGACGCCCCTTCTCTCATCGCCATCTCCCTCGCACGTCTCGGCGTCACCCACCTATTCAGAGTTACCAATATCCCTGTCACCGCCGTCGGCACAGCAGCACAGCAGCAGGGAATGCGCTTGCATCCCATCTCTGCTCTCTTTCCCCCTCTTCCTTCACCCCACGGCGGCGGCGGCAGCACAGCGGCCCATGCCTGTTCTCTTGCTTCTCATCCCATCTCTGCTCCCTTTCCCCCTCTTCCTTCACCCCACCCCCTCTCCCAACAGCCCCTTCCCCCTCCCCCTCCGCTACCCTAGACGCCCCTGCTCTCATCGCCCTCTCTCTCGCTCGTCTCGGCGTCACCCACCTATTCGGAGTCATCGGCATTCCCGTCACGGCCGTCGCCACAGCAGCGCAGCAGCAGGGGATCCGCTTCCTCTCCTTCCGCAACGAGCAAGCAGCAGGCTACGCCGCAGCAGCCTACGGTTACCTCACAGGAACCCCCGGCGTGCTGCTTACAGTGTCAGGCCCGGGGTGTGTGCATGCACTGGCAGGGGTGAGTCATGCTCAGGTGAATACCTGGCCGCTGCTGCTGCTCTCAGGGTCTTGCACACAGGAGGATGTGGGCCAGGGGGATTTTCAGGAGTTGGATCAGGTGAGAGTGGTTCGGCCGTTTGTGAAGGAATCCGGGCGGGCGAAGTCGATTGCGGAGATCCCGGGGGTGGTGAAGTGGGCGGCGGAGGCGACGGTGGCCGGGCGGCCCGGTGCGGCGTATGTGGACCTGCCGGCCGATGTGCTGCATGGGAGTATTTCTGAGGAAGATGCGAGGAAGCTTCTGGAGGACGTGAAGCCCCTGGTGCCGCTCTGGCGCACCGCTCTGGACCCCTCTGCACCGCTTGCATCAGCCCTCGAGTCAAGTCTCACAGAGGCGATTGCTTTGCTGAGGGAAGCTAAAGCACCTCTGCTGGTGGTGGGGAAGGGGGCAGCATACGCTCACGCTGAGAACCAAATAGCAGCACTGGTGGAATTGACTGGGATTCCCTTCCTCCCTACACCCATGGGGAAGGGTGTTTTGTCCGATACACACCCCCTGTGCGTCTCTGCTGCTCGCTCATTGGCTCTTTCCCAAGCTGACGTGGCGCTTGTGGTCGGCGCGAGGCTGAATTGGATCCTGCATTTCGGCCACCCGCCAAAGTGGGCGGCAGGAGTGAAGTTTGTCCTGGTGGATGTGGACGAAAGCGAGGTGGCGCAGAGGCGGCCGGCGGTGGGGCTGGTCGGCGACGCCAGGGCGGTGGTTGGGCGGCTTGCGGCACGGTGGGCGGCGGAAGGAGGGCAGAAGGTTGCAGCAGACAACCCCTGGGTCTCTAAGTTGAAGGTAAGCAAGCCGAGACATGTGAAGCTCAGGCTGTCTTGTACCCGTCCCTCATGCCTCTCAATTCCCCCTCTTGTTCCCATTCCTATCCCCCCGACCCCTCTCCGTCCTCTCACTCATTGCATGGTGTTGGCCATTGCCGTCCTCTCACCCATTGCATGGTGTTGGCCATTGCCGTCCTCTCACCCATTGCATGGTGTTGGCCATTGCCGTCCTCTCACCCATTGCATGGTGTTGGCCATTGCCGTCCTCTCACTCATTGCATGGTGTTGGCCATTGCCGTCCTCTCACCCATTGCATGGTGTTGGCCATTGCCATCCTCTCACCCATTGCATGGTGTTGGCCATTGCCGTCCTCTCACCCATTGCATGGTGTCGGCCATTGCCGTCCTCTCACCCATTGCATGGTGTTGGCCATTGCCGTCCTCTCACCCATTGCATGGTGTTGGCCATTGCCGTCCTCTCACCCATTGCATGGTGTTGGCCATTGCCGTCCTCTCACCCATTGCATGGTGTTGGCCATTGCCGTCCTCTCACCCATTGCATGGTGTTGGCCATTGCCGTCCTCTCACTCATTGCATGGTGTTGGCCATTGCCGTCCTCTCACCCATTGCATGGTGTTGGCCATTACCGTCCTCTCACCCATTGCATGGTGTTGGCCATTGCCGTCCTCTCACTCATTGCATGGTGTTGGCCATTGCCGTCCTCTCACCCGTTGCATGGTGTTGGCCATTGCCGTCCTCTCACCCATTGCATGGTGTTGGCCATTGCCGTCCTCTCACCCATTGCATGGTGTTGGCCATTGCCGTCCTCTCACCCATTGCATGGTGTTGGCCATTGCCGTCCTCTTACCCATTGCATGGTGTTGGCCATTGCCGTCCTCTCACCCATTGCATGGTGTTGGCCATTGCCATCCTCTCACCCATTGCATGGTGTTGGCCATTGCCGTCCTCTCACCCATTGCATGGTGTCGGCCATTGCCGTCCTCTCACCCATTGCATGGTGTTGGCCATTGCCGTCCTCTCACCCATTGCATGGTGTTGGCCATTGCCGTCCTCTCACCCATTGCATGGTGTTGGCCATTGCCGTCCTCTCACCCATTGCATGGTGTTGGCCATTGCCGTCCTCTCACCCATTGCATGGTGTTGGCCATTGCCGTCCTCTCACTCATTGCATGGTGTTGGCCATTGCCGTCCTCTCACCCATTGCATGGTGTTGGCCATTGCCGTCCTCTCACCCATTGCATGGTGTCGGCCATTGCCGTCCTCTCACCCATTGCATGGTGTTGGCCATTGCCGTCCTCTCACCCATTGCATGGTGTTGGCCATTGCCGTCCTCTCACCCATTGCATGGTGTTGGCCATTGCCGTCCTCTCACCCATTGCATGGTGTTGGCCATTGCCGTCCTCTCACTCATTGCATGGTGTTGGCCATTGCCGTCCTCTCACCCATTGCATGGTGTTGGCCATTGCCGTCCTCTCACCCATTGCATGGTGTTGGCCATTGCCGTCCTCTCACCCATTGCATGGTGTTGGCCATTGCCATCCTCTCACCCATTGCATGGTGTTGGCCATTGCCGTCCTCTCACCCATTGCATGGTGTCGGCCATTGCCGTCCTCTCACCCATTGCATGGTGTTGGCCATTGCCGTCCTCTCACCCATTGCATGGTGTTGGCCATTGCCGTCCTCTCACCCATTGCATGGTGTTGGCCATTGCCGTCCTCTCACCCATTGCATGGTGTTGGCCATTGCCGTCCTCTCACCCATTGCATGGTGTTGGCCATTACCGTCCTCTCACTCATTGCATGGTGTTGGCCATTGCCGTCCTCTCACCCATTGCATGGTGTTGGCCATTGCCGTCCTCTCACCCATTGCATGGTGTCGGCCATTGCCGTCCTCTCACCCATTGCATGGTGTTGGCCATTGCCGTCCTCTCACCCATTGCATGGTGTTGGCCATTGCCGTCCTCTCACCCATTGCATGGTGTTGGCCATTGCCGTCCTCTCACCCATTGCATGGTGTTGGCCATTGCCGTCCTCTCACCCATTGCATGGTGTTGGCCATTGCCATCCTCTCACCCATTGCATGGTGTTGGCCATTGCCGTCCTCTCACCCATTGCATGGTGTTGGCCATTGCCGTCCTCTCACCCATTGCATGGTGTTGGCCATTGCCGTCCTCTCACTCATTGCATGGTGTTGGCCATTGCCGTCCTCTCACCCATTGCATGGTGTTGGCCATTGCCGTCCTCTCACCCATTGCATGGTGTTGGCCATTGCCGTCCTCTCACCCATTGCATGGTGTTGGCCATTGCCGTCCTCTCACCCATTGCATGGTGTTGGCCATTGCCATCCTCTCACCCATTGCATGGTGTTGGCCATTGCCGTCCTCTCACCCATTGCATGGTGTTGGCCATTGCCGTCCTCTCACCCATTGCATGGTGTTGGCCATTGCCGTCCTCTCACCCATTGCATGGTGTTGGCCATTGCCGTCCTCTCACTCATTGCATGGTGTTGGCCATTGCCGTCCTCTCACCCATTGCATGGTGTTGGCCATTGCCGTCCTCTCACCCATTGCATGGTGTTGGCCATTGCCGTCCTCTCACCCATTGCATGGTGTTGGCCATTGCCGTCCTCTCACTCATTGCATGGTGTTGGCCATTGCCGTCCTCTCACCCATTGCATGGTGTTGGCCATTGCCGTCCTCTCACCCATTGCATGGTGTTGGCCATTGCCGTCCTCTCACCCATTGCATGGTGTTGGCCATTGCCATCCTCTCACCCATTGCATGGTGTTGGCCATTGCCGTCCTCTCACCCATTGCATGGTGTTGGCCATTGCCGTCCTCTCACCCATTGCATGGTGTTGGCCATTGCCGTCCTCTCACCCATTGCATGGTGTTGGCCATTGCCGTCCTCTCACCCATTGCATGGTGTTGGCCATTGCCGTCCTCTCACCCATTGCATGGTGTTGGCCATTGCCGTCCTCTCACCCATTGCATGGTGTTGGCCATTGCCGTCCTCTCACCCATTGCATGGTGTTGGCCATTGCCGTCCTCTCACCCATTGCATGGTGTTGGCCATTGCCGTCCTCTCACTCATTGCATGGTGTTGGCCATTGCAAACCCCATGGACCTGGGCAGGACCTTGCTGATCGCCCCACTCCCATCCCTCCTTCTCCCTCCCTCCCCCTCCTCCCGCCTGCTCCTCCCATCTATCCAGGCCAAGGCATCAGCCAACAGCGTCCGAATGGAGTCTCTTCTTTCCCAGGACGCCCACCCCCTCAACTTCCACTGCTCCCTGCGGGTTCTCCACTCCCCACCCCCTCCTTGTCTCCCAACAGGCCAAGGCGTCAACCAACACTGTCCGAATGGAGTCTCTTCTTTCCCAGGATGTCCACCCCCTCAACTTCCACTGCTCCCTGCGCGTCCTCCGCGACAAGCTAGCCGCGCTGCCCCCCTCCGTCACCACCCTGCTCTGCTCTGAAGGCGCCAACACCATGGACATGGGCAGAACCGTCCTCCCCCAGTTAACCCCGCGCTCACGGCTTGATGCGGCCACCTGGGGGACCATGGGCGTGGGGTTGGGGTATGCAGTGGCTGCTGCTGTGGCGCCGCTAGGGGAGGAGGGGGAGAGTGGGGGGAGTGGGAGTGAGGGTGGGGAGAAGGGGAAGAGGGAGCGGCTGGTGGTGGCGTTGGAGGGGGACAGCGCGTTTGGGTTCAGCGGCATGGAGATTGAGGTGAGTCATGGGCATTGGCATAGTCATATTTATCAATTAGGGAGGCTGAGGTGAGTCGTACTCATAGACATGAACAATGGAGGCACTTTTGAGACATCTCCCCTACCTAAACCCACTCTCTTTCCCCCGCCCCCCTCTTCCTCTTAATGCTGTACAGACCATGGTGCGATGCAATCTGCCCATAGTGGTCATGGTGATGAACAGCGGCGGCAACTATTGTGGCCTCCTTCCTCACTCACCCCCTCTTCCCTGCCCCGCCTCTCTTCCCCCTTGGTTACCCCTCTACCCCTCATCATCAGACCATGGTGCGATACGATCTCCCCATAGTGGTGATAGTGATGAACAACGGAGGCCTTTACGGGGGCGATCGCAGGGAGGCCATCCACCTCCCTTCTTACTCTCACTCCCCCTCTTCCCCTCCTGACGTGCTCTCACATGCCACACCCATTCCCCCCAGACCATGGTACGATACAATCTACCAATAGTGGTGATAGTGATCAACAATGGGGGCATCTACGGGGGCGATCGCAGGGGGCCCGTCCACCTCCCAGACGCCACCCGCAGCGACACGCCCCCCACCTTCTTTGTGCAAGGCGCACGATACGACCGCCTGATAGAGGCGTTTGGAGGATGCGGTTACCACGTTACCCACTCTCCCCTGCTCCCCCTTTCTCTCCCCCCTTTCTCTCCCTTCTTCCCAACCTTTCCAGACCATGGTGCGTTACAATCTGCCGATCACAGTCATAGTGATGAACAACGGAGGCATCTACGGGGGCATCTACGGAGGCATCTACGGGGGCGATCGCAGGGGGCCTGTCCACCTCCCAGACGCCACCCGCCTTTCTTTCCCCTCCATGTCCCCCCCCCCTCCTTCCCTTATTTCCAGACCATGGTGCGATACAATCTGCCCATCATAGTCGTAGTGATGAACAACGGAGGCATCTACGGGGGCGATCGCAGGGGGCCCGTCCAACTGCCAGACAGCACCCGCAGCGACCCGCCCCCCACCTCCTTTGTGGAAGGCGCGCGCTACGACCGCATGATGGAAGCATTCGGAGGACGCGGTTACCACGTTACCACGGTGCAGGAGCTGGGAGTGATGCTGGAGCAGGCGTTTAAGGAGAGAAAGCCTGCGGTGGTGAATGTGGTGGTTGACCCTTTGGCTGGTGCTGAGAGCGGTCGTCTCACCCACAAGAACTAGTTAAAGAGAGTTGGGTGCTGTTACCACGTTACCACGGTGCAGGAGCTGGGAGCGGCGCTGGAGCAGGCGTTTAAGGAGAGAAAGCCTGCAGTGGTGAATGTGGTGGTTGACCCTTTGGCTGGTGCTGAGAGCGATCGTCTCACCCACAAGAACTAGTTAAAGAGAGTTGGGTGCTGTTACCACGTTACCACGGTGCAGGAGCTGGGAGCGGCGCTGGAGCAGGCGTTTAAGGAGAGGAGGCCGGCGGTGGTGAATGTGGTGGTTGACCCCTTTGGCTGGTGCTGAGAGCAGTCGTCTCACCCACAAGAACTAGTTAAAGAGAGTTGGGTGCTGTTACCACGTTACCACGGTGCAGGAGCTGGGAGCGGCGCTGGAGCAGGCGTTTAAGGAGAGGAGGCCGGCGGTGGTGAATGTGGTGGTTGACCCCTTTGGCTGGTGCTGAGAGCAGTCATCTCACCCACAAGAACTAGTTAAAGAGAGTTGGGTGCTCTTACCACGTTACCACGGTTCAGGAGCTGGAAGCGGCGCTGGAGCAGGCGTTTAAGGAGAGGAGCCTGGCGGTGGTGAGTGTGGTGGTTGATCCCTTGGCTGGTGCTGAAGGCGGCCGCCGCACCCACAAGAACTAGCTTTGGAGGAGAGACTGGGAGCAGGCGTTTTGAAAAGAGTGGTTGGAGCAGGCATTGCGTTTACCGAGAGATAGGAGGCCTGTAATGGTGAGGTGGACGTGGCGGTGGTTTTCCTGGCTGGTGCTGAGAGCGGCCGCCGCACCCACAGGAACTGGTAGATGTTGATGTCTATGTTTGAGGCCATTTGGAGATATCACAAACCCTATTCTTTTATGGCCGCCTGGGTGTGCCTGTTGAGAGGACGATTGCTGAGAGGAGAGGAGGCTTGCAGTGGTGAGCGTGGTGGTGAGTCTGGTCTGGTGGTTGATCCCTTGGCTGGTGCTGAGAGCGGCCGTCTCACCCACAAGAACTAGTTTTCTGAGGGACACTAGGATATGCCTTTTGGAAGGGGGGTTGCAGCGAGTTTTTGCCTGAGGAAGAAGGGCTGTGGTGGTGGTGATTGTGGTGGTTGGCTGGCGCCGAGAGCAGCTGTCTTACCCACAAGAAATAGTTTCAGAGGGGCGCCCTGGATGGATGTGCTTCTTGAGAGGGCATTTGCAGAGAGGAAGCAGGGCTGCGGTGGTGAGTGTGGTGTTTCACCGCATGGTTGGTGCGGAGAGTAGTTGCCTCACCCACAACAAACTTCGGTAGTCAGTGAGGGAGGGAAGGGAAGTCCTGAGAAGGGGCATTCCCAAAGAATCTGAGAGGTGAGAGGTGGTGTGGTGAGTGTGGGTAACATACGAACTCGTGTCCCAGGGCGAGACTCGAGAGGTAACATTCATGTGATAGACATTACCATAAGAGAGAGAGGGCGTCTGTCTGTAGATGGAAACCCAGGCCTATCTCATGAATGTTAATGATCCGCACTGCAGCAGCAGCTTCAAGAAGCAAGGACCACGGGTCCCCTCTGCCATTCCTGCAGATTCCTCTTTTCAGGCTCCCCACCCCACCCCAAACATCGCATCAGATTTTCTTCCTGCACTTGTTGCGGGAAGCTCGGGGAGTCTGAAGAATCCTCGCCAGTGTCTCTCTTGCAGGTACCATATGTTTCGTTCCGGAAATAGTATGTGTATTGAAACCCATGGTTGCAGCTGTGCAGTTTAAAGTATGAATCCTTCTTGAAACACGCCAAAAAATATTATAATAAATAAATTCCTACAATCCTGCTCTCTGAAAAAATGTACTACCCTACGCATACTCTAAACTGAACAGCTATCGAAACATCTCAGAAGAGTACAGTACACTGATGCGGTAGGTACGGGTATGATGATGATACAGGGGAGAAGATAGTCCACCCGCATAACTTGAACAGCTGCCAGCTGCATTTGACAAGTTTCTTCTCTACTCCTTGCCATCTGTGGAAGGGCACACCAGCACGGTCAGCCATTACCTCTCCTCTACTCCAGGTTACGCGCCCACTTGCCAGTGAAGCTCTCCTGTCTTCCCAGAATCTCAAAGTTGGTCACTGTGCACTGAACCATTCGGAGCCGTAGCCAGTTCAGCGGCTTTTGAGGCGCCTCAAAAGAGCTCTCCTGTCTTTCCAGCGTCCCAACGTTGGTCATTAAGCTCCGAACCATTCGGAACCATTGCCACTTCAGCCGCTCTCTCCTTCTTGCTTCTCACGCTCCCACCAGCAACCACACATGCCAGCGCTGCTGCTGCTGCCTTTCCAACGTCTCGAAGCTGGTGAAGGGGTTAGGGTGAGAGGCTTAGGGCTGTCCCCCGAACGCCTTCCACCTAAGCCTCTCCTCCTCGGCTTCTATGAAAGCAACCAGAACATGCACACTCGCCAGTGCCACTGCGGCCTTTTTGTACCATCTCAATCATCAGTGTGCCCCGAACGCCTTCCACCTGAGCCTCTCCTCCTCGGCTTCTATAAACGCCACCAGCACATGCACGCTTGCCAGCGCTGCTGCCGCCTCCTCTACCGTCTGAACCGTCTGAAAGCTGCTCAATGCGCCCCAAGCGCCTTCCACCGCAGCCGCTCCTCCTCCTCTTCTATAAACGCCACCAGCACATGCACGCTTGCCAGCGCTGCGGCCGTCTCTTCAGGAGCATCAAACGCAAACGCCACCCTGTCACCCGTCTGCCGGTCTGTTACTGTGAACTGCTGCCCCCCTCGCACTCGTGACACCTCATACCGTGCATCTCCGGCAACCCCCGCACCCCCCTGCCCTCTCCCCCACACCTCCCCACCATGCCCTCCCCCACCTCCCTCACTCGCCCCCCCACTGCTCGCCTCCTCCCACACTATCTCATACGCAAAAGGATCCGCTCCCTCCGTTTCCCCGCCCCCTCCTCCCGCTTCCCGCTCCTCCCCAGCCCCTGCTCTCCCCCCACCCGCTCCTCTGCCTCCCCTCCTCCCACCCCTCCCTCTCCCTCTCCCTTTCCCTCTCCCACTCCCCCGCCCCCCACCATACCCCTTCTGCTTCAGCCTATTCGCCTGGTGGTGGCCCAGTAGCTGGATTGCCCCTGTGAAGGCTGCTTGCCGCTGTGCCTCATCCAGTCCCTCCACGAGAACCACTGTTGTTTTGGTTGCAGTGAACACCACGGCTGCTTGCCTCCTTGCTGGTCGCTGCACCCCGTTTCTCCTCCCCCCCTGCTCCTGCTGCTCCCCTCTGATCCCTTCTCCCAATACCCCTACCGCTTCCCCTCCCCCTCCCCCTACCGCTCCCCCTCCCCCGTCGCCGTCATCCCTCGCAGTGGCATGCGTACTCACGTTCCCCTCCCGTCGCCCCTCCGCTTCCCTTGTAAATCCGTCTGCTCTTCTCCCCTCATCTTCCTTGGTGGGCCCCTTTGCTCCTTGCTCCGTTACACCCTTTGCCCTCCACCCATCTTCCCCATTGATCCTAACACCCCCCCCGTCGCTTCTCCGCTTTCCCCTTACAGCTCCCCCCCTCGCCTTCCCCCTACCCTTCCCCCTTTGCCCCGCTTCCTCCCCCCAGATCTTCCCTTCCCCTCCCCTCATCTTCACCCTATCCCCCTCAGATATAGCAGCATGGGGGGTGGGGGAAGCAGGGGGAGCAGGGGAGGCAGAGGGAGGGGAATGGTGCGGAGAAGCAGGGGAGGGGGGCCGCGGAGAGAGGGAGGGGGAGGGGTGGGCGCGGATGGGGAGCGGGGGGGAGGGAGAGGAGGGAACCCAATGGGGGGAGGAGGAGGTAGGTGGAGGGGGGGGCGCATGTGAGGGGAACCGAGGGAGGGGGCAGGAAGGGGAGCGGTGGGAGCGGTGGGATGGGGCAGGGAGGGGTTTGGTAACAGGCGGCAATGGTGGTGCTGCTGGTGTTGATGATACTGGTGGTACTGGCACCATGGGTGGTTTGGTGGAATGATCTAGCACAGTCGTACTCTTGAAGGGGGGTGAACCACTCCTCTCTCGCACCTGTACAGCTGTCTCACTGTCACTAGCGCTCTCACTCCCACTCTCACTCCTGCTCTCACTCCCACTATCGCTCCTGCTCTCACTCCCACTCTCACTCCTGCTCTCACTCCTACTCTCACTCCTACTCTCGCTGGAACGCTCACTATCACTCCCACTCGCACTGCCACGTCCACTCTCACTACCACTCCCACCAGAACCAGCACTGCTCGAATCCTCATTTGCCCGCCTTTTCTCCTCCCTTCCCCTGTTCTCCTCCCTTCCAACTCCCTCCCTCCACCCATCCCTCTCCCTCTTCCGTACCTCAAATCTCCCCACCTGCCGAGGCACACCAACATTCTTGAAGCCTGCTTTCCTTTCTTCTCCAACCAGCCCAGTTCCCTTCCCTTGCGGACGGAAGCCCGCCTGTCTCTCTTTCACTGGATCAGTCCTCCCCACTTTCGGAGGCATCTCAAAACGTGCCGCTTCAGAAACCACTTCAGCTGGATTCGTCTTCCCGACCTGCTTTTGAGGATTCTTTGAAGTCATTTCGACTGGATTCGTCTTCCCCACCTGCTGCACCTCTGTTCGCCTCCTCTTCTTTGGAGTGGGGAAGCACTGGCCGTTTGTCTCATCGTCCCACCGAAAGCTTGCAACAGAGGCGGAGGGAGCAGCAGATGCAGCAGCATCAGCAGCATCAGCAGCATCAGGAGAATCGGAATCAGGCGCGACAGCAGCAGTATCAGCAGCAGAAGATGCCGCTTTGAACGCTACAGCATTGGTTGCAGCAGGCCGGAAAGACGAGCCGCTAGCAGCAGCAGCACCGGAATGAGAAGCATTGACAGCAGGACCAGACATAGGAGCACTGGCCACAGAGGGAGAAGCGGAAACAGAGGGCGAGAGAGACACCCTACTAGTACTCCAAGGTACCCTGCCCTTGGCCTTCTGAGCCCCTTTCAAACCAACCTTCCCTTTGCCCGGAACACCTGCACCCTTCTCCCCACCCCACCTGCCATTGACCTTCCCTTTACCACCCTTGCTCTTCTGCGCAGCTGTAGCAGCAGCACCACCACCACCAGCGCCACCTGCACCAGCAGCGGCTGTAGCAGCAGCGGCTGTAGCAGCGGTGGTGGTGGAGGTGGTGACGTGCATGAGCTCCTTGAGGCTGCGGCACCGCGGCCTCCTCCTGCTACAGTCCGCTCCCACCAACCACTCGTCCTCCCACTCCCACTGCCCCCCCAGCTTGCCCTGCTCCTCCTGCTTCTCCTGCTTACACTGAATCGCCTGCGTTCCCTGCTCATCTTGTTTTGAGCATTGCTGCGCCTCTTGCATGCGCTCCACTGCCGGTTGGCATTCCACTTCCTCCTTACTGTCTTCCTGCTGTTCTTCGTCCCGATGCTCTGCCTGCTGCTGCCCCTTGAACCTTCGCTCTGCCTGCTGCTCCTCATCCCTACGCTCTGCCTCCTGCCCGCCATCCTTGCAGCCTCCCTCCTCGTCCCTACGCTCTGCTTGCGGCGCCTTGGCCTCACATGTCGCTCTCTCCTCTTGCCCCTCAATCCATGTACCGTGACCGTAACTACTCGCACAGCCCGCACCATCAGCAGCACCACCCGCACTATCAGAACCACCCGCACCATCAGCAGCACCACCTGCACCATCAGAACCACCCGCACCACCACCAGCACCACCTGAGCCACTTCTATCTGTGCCATTTCTCTCCAAGGCACTGTTCTGCCTCTGCTCCGTCGCCCTATCAGCACCATCTAACACCACAGCCCCACCCGCACTGCCCGCCTGTTTGCCATCTGAAACTGCCTGCTTCTTTGCTCGCTTGGCTGCCGGCTTAGCTGCCGCCACACGCTCTCCTCGCTTTCCGTTACTCTTCTCAGCTGACTTCTCTACCCTCTTGCTGCTTGCATCGCCAGCTAAGTTCGCCACTGCTTCTGCTTCTGCCTCTGCTTCTAATTCTGTTCCTGTTTCTGCTGCTGCTACTCTCGCTCCACGCTTTCCGTTCCTCTTCTCAGCTGACTTCTCTACCCTCTTGCTGCTTGCATCGCCAGCTAAGTTCGCCACTGCTTCTGCTTCTGCCTCTGCTTCTAATTCTGCTCCTGTTTCTGCTGCTGCTACTCTCGCTCCACGCTTTCCGTTCCTCTCCTCAGTTGTCTCCGCTACCCTCTTGCTGCCTGCATCGCCAGCACAGTGCGCCACTTCTGCCTCTGCCTCTGCCACTCCCGCTTCTGCAACTTCTGCCTCTGCTGCTGCTGCGCCTGCTTCTCCTTCTGCTCCTCCTCCTGCTCCATCCGCGCATTGTGCGTCCTCATCTGCCCTTCCTGCTTGCGGATCCACACACATCACCCTGCCTCGCAGGTTCTCAATGCACACAGCAGCACCACGGCTGCCGTCCGCCTGTCTCTCCTTCCCCCCTATGCGTCCGTTCTGTCCTTCCTTCTGGACCTCGTCACTACAGCACCTGCCCTCCTCCACCGCCTCCCCGCCCGCCTCCCTCAACCTTGCCAGCGCACCTTCGACTCCTCCTCTCCTGCCGCTTCTCCCCGCTCTTGCTGCTGCCTTCCCACCCCATCCTGCTGCTGCCTGCCCTAATGCCTCTCCTACCCAGAATGCCTTCCCTAATGGTACCCCTCCTGCTGCTGCTGCTTCCCCTCTTGCTTCTGCATCTCTTTCTGCTGCTGCCTCCGTTCCTGCTGCTGCATCCCCGTCTGCTGTTCTCTGCCCTATTCCGTCTAACGCACGATGCTCAGCAGATGCCGCATCCTCTGTGTCTCGCAAATGCGGCCGCGCTGCTGTGCGTCCAGAATCCGTACGCGGCAATTCTCGTTCCTCGTTAACAATACTATTATTCTTCATAGTAGTACTGGTATGGTTGGTGGTAATCACATTATCACAACCGATAGTAGCCTCCTCATTTCGCTCCCACCCCATACATACAGACATCCGCTGCGGAACTCCTTTCCGCCATCGCCGCCCGTGGACACCCGCGCGCGGCTGCCTGCTCCCCGCGCGCTGGCGGAGAGCGGAGAGCCAGGAGGGTGAGGCACCCCCCGCAGCGCCAAGTGTTTCCGCCAGGAAAGCTTCCGCACCCGTCATAACGCGACCACAATCATATCTGGTACTAGTACCAGCAGTAATGGTGGTAGTAGCACTAGTGACGGTTTTCCGTGGCGCTACACCCAACGTTTTTCTTTCACATGAGGCCACATAAGTAGGGTCGCCGATTACCACCACGTCTTCTATATCTTCCGAGCATTCCTGATCCCACACGCTCCGGCCGCTCTGCTCCCTTTCCGCTGCGGAGTTGCTGCGGAACCCTGTGGCCAGATGGTGCTGCGGCGGGGCGCAAGGGGGAAGGTAAACTTCCCCTTGAAGGTCAAAGAAACAGCCGGCGGCGTCCGCGAGTGTCGCGGCGGTGGGAGGCCATGCGGTCACCGCCAACGCTGGCGTTGCGATAGCGGTAGTACTAGTAGTACTAGAAAACGGCTTGTCTGATTCGGACGGCCGCTGTGGCTGCAGCGCCGCCGCCGGATCATGAAGCGTCGATTCCAATGACATCATGACCAAAGCGGTGGTTCCCGTTAGTGGATTGTGAGCTTTGCTGCTAGTACTAGTACTACTAGTAGTAGTAGCACTTGAAACTTATTAAATACTAGTACAGGACTGATCAGACGATCTAACAAAGCACCAATGTATTACTAGGTAAAGCACCGTTTGCAATTGACGGGCCCGTCATCATCCCTCTCTTACTCACAGGCCGTCCGACTGATGAGCACCCTAGCACTGGTACGATCACTAACACCACTAGTTGTAGGAATGGCAAAACTTTGTTGGGAAGATCTCGTCAGCCCGATGAAAGAGGAAGAGGGGGATGAAGGTGGAAGAGGAGGAGGCGAGGCGAACGGTGGAGAGGAGAACACGGACAAGAGCTCAAGGACGACTGGTGGTGGTGGTGGTCACAGAGAGACACAAGACTGTTCAAAGTTTGGCGCGACAGCGTCGGGATCATCGTGAAGAGCATCGGACGGTTCAGGTGAATGATGGATGCGAGGGGCGGACGGAGGTGAGGGAGGGGGGAGGAGGGAGGGCTGCCTTGCGTTGCTCCTGACAATTGATCAGCCCGGCGGCACTGTAGATTCTTCCCGATTCGGGCAGTTCATCCCTTGCGAAAAGAACCGACTCGGGCCTTGGGTTTACCCTTTTTCCCCTTTCGAGTCCCCAGAATACAGCTGGATTGCTGCATTGCTCGCTGGTCACGCATAGAATGAAACGCGTAGAATATGTACAGTGTGTGGTAAAGTGTACTATATCTTTTTTTAGTCAACTGTAAGCCGAATCAGTTTGTAGAAAGTCGTGGTGTCGTGGCTTGGCAGTGGGTGGCTGGGCTGGCTCGCATTCCCGCGTTTCTGCCCGTACACCCGAAAGTTCATCCTTAACGATTTCGGCATTTTCTTAGCCATCACAGCTTCACCTATAACGGGTACCACTCACCAATGATCCCTTTTTGCCATAATTCGTGCATAACCACCAAGCCCTTCAGTCTGTGATCACCGAATCTCTGATTCCAGCTTGCAGTCCCTTGCATTCCAATTCAAGTTTCATGAAACCTAGGTATGTTCTTGCTAGGTGGCCCAAGGTCTCGTGCTAAAATGCATTCTGCTCCCACGTACCCGTGGTTTTAGCTCCTAGATTTCACTTTTAGGGTTCGCCGCTACGTTTCTGGCATTCAGTCATGCGCCGAGAGCTTAATATCGTTCCTCGTTCTAGCAGCACTCCGTTATCCCCGCCCCTCCAGCGCCTTCTCTCGGCTCTCCACGCCTGGCTTGCTGCGTCCGCTGCGCCGGATGCCGCGCCGGTGGCTCCGCCAGCGGCGAGGGGGCGGGCGGAGGCCGTAGGGCGGGGCTGCGCGAGGAAGCCCGCGCGCGTGCGCGTGGTGAGGGCAGCGGAGGCCGTGAGTGAGGGGATGCTGGCGGAGGGCGCACGGGGAGGGGGAGGTGCTGATGGGAAGGGGAATGGAATCGACAATGAGAATGTGGGTGATGCTAACGAGTATGTGACTAATGCGAAGGGGAACGCAGATGATGGTGTGGATGCAGGAGCAGAAGACAGCCTGGCATGGCAGGTGCTATGTGGTACTGATGCGCCTCGGCTGATGGTCCAAGCCATGGCTGCTGCAGGGTACGGTGAGAGGTGAGGCACGGTGAGAGGCGAGGTACGGTGAGAGGCGAGGTACGGTGAGAGGCGAGGTACGGTGAGAGGCGAGGTACGGTGAGAGGCGAGGTACGGTGAGAGGCGAGGTATGATGGGATGGGAGGTACGGTGGGAGGTGCATTGAAAGAAGATGAGAGGCACAGAAGGGGTCAGACGCTGGGAGATGCTGTAAGTTGGATTCAGGTGCTGCAAGGTGCTGCTGCGTTGTATATGCGTCTCTTCCCTGCTGTTGCTTCATTTTGCTTCATTCCCCTAGCAGTTGCGGATGCGCACGCTGCCATGCAGCGGTCGCAGCGGCTATGGCGTCACTGGCTGGCATCTCACCTCTTCCTGCTGCTCCCCCACCACGCCCTCTCTGTCTTCTGAAGCGCCTTAAAAGTGCGTCCATTACCTGCTGTAACATGTTGCTACATTCACCCCAGCAGGTGCGAGTGTACATGCTGCCATGCGAGGGTATCAGCAGCCATGGCGTCACTGGCGTCGCTGCTCTTCCTGCTGCTCCCCCACCACGCCCTCACTGCCTTCTTCCCCGCCCCCGCCCCCGCCCCCACTGCAGGTAAGCACCCATCACGTGAGACCGCTTTCCCAGACTTCAGAGGTCTCAGATCTTGGTTAGATCGTTCTGCGTGGCTGTTTTGCCGGCACACCCGCGGCTCTGCTGTGGCCATGCGTGCGTGCATCACTATCTCTCAAGAGAGCCAGGTCATGTGTCGTGTCAGTCTTCTTACAGAATCTCCGTGTGTCTATCCGTGGCCTGTTTTGAGACGTCTCAAAACACGTCTTCTTACAGAATCTCCGTGTGTCTTTCCGTGGCCTCCTTGTCACATGCCGTTGTTGCTCTTCAGATGAGGCTAGGCCGTCAGATGATGCACCAGCGGCAGCAGCAGCACCACCACCGCCACCAGCAACAGCAGAAGCAGTAGCAGCAGCAGCACCACCGCCACCAGCAACAGCAGAAGCAGCAGCAGCAGCAGCAGCACCACCGCCACCAGCAACAGCAGAAGCAGCAGCAGCAGCAGCACCACCGCCACCAGCAACAGCAGAAGCAGCAGCAGCAGCACCACCACCACCACCAGCAACAGCAGAAGCAGCAGCAGCAGCAGCACCACCGCCACCAGCAACAGCAGAAGCAGCAGCAGCAGCAGCACCACCGCCACCAGCAACAGCAGAAGCAGCAGCAGCAGCAGCAGCACCACCGCCACCAGCAACAGCAGAAGCAGCAGCAGCAGCACCACCACCACCACCACCACCAGCAACAGCAGAAGCAGCAGCAGCACCACCACCAGCAGCAACATGCATGGGTGCTTTTTGCACCGAGAGGCAGTGCCACCAGCCGTGTCTGCTAGCACACCTCTGCTCCCTCCTACACTCGCCTCCTTCCTCCCTTTCCTCCCCCTCGGCTTCTTCTCCCTCGCGGGCCGCCACCACTGCAGCAGCGCGCTGCATGGCTGACGTGGCGTCGTCGCCTCTCGGGGCCCACCTGGCTCGTCAACACAACGCCCTGCACGCGCTGCTCTCTTCCCTGTGCGTCCTGCTAAGTTGTGACACTTTTCAGAAGACGTCTATCTACACGCGGTTTACACCAGCTGATGCATTGTGCAACTTCACTTCACCCTCTCGGGGCCCACCTGGCATGCCAACACAACGCCCTGCACGCGCTGCTCTCTTCTCTGTGCGTCCTGCTACATACCCTGCCCTTCTCCCTCTGCTGTGTTCTCTGCTCTATACCCCGCCCGTTGTGCTCCTCCCCCGATGTCTGTCTGTAGTGTTGTGTGTGCCTTACCCTGCTCATTCATTGTTCTGTGCTCTCCCGTTCACTCCCTCCCTTACTATACTGCAATCTGGTGTGTGCTACATGGTTTGGAGTACTCCCACAGAGCGTCATGGCAGAGAGATGATGGGGGGGAGGCGGACGCACAGAAGGGACGAAAAGGAAGAAGTGGGGAATGTGGAGAGACGGAGAGGGAGGAGGAGGAGGAGGAGGAGGAGGAGGAGGAGGAGGAGGAGGAGGAGGAGGAGGAGGAGGAGGAGGAGGAGGAGGTGGTGGAGGAGGAGGAGGAGGAGGAGGAGGAGGAGGAGGAGGGGGAGAAGGAGGAGGAAGGGGAAAATGAGAGGAGTGCAGAGGGTCAGACACACGAGCACCTGCGCACACATGTGGACGCCCTGTGGTCGCTGCTCTTCCTGTCCCATTCCCAGCCCACTCATTCTCACCCCCATCCTCACACCCACCCTCACTCTCACTCTTCACCCCTCCCATCCTCCAACCTGTCTCTTCCTTCCTCATCTCCCCCTCACCTCCCCACTCTGCCAACCTCCCCCCTCCCCTCCACCTCTCCTCATGACCTCCCTTCTCTGCCGCCTTCCCCCTTACTCGTGTCAGCCCTGGCGGTGCTCCGCCGGGAATACTCCCGTATTCTCAGAAAGGACAACTCGTGCCGCCCGCAGCAGTCTCAGCTGGATGGCAGGCGGTGTCATCTAGCGGCTGTGATGGCATGGGTGGGGATGGCGCTCGCTGTAAAGGCAAGGGGCGGGGAGAATGGCGATGCAGCAGAGGAAGCGATGGTGGAAGCAAAGGGAGATGTGCCTGAACAATGGATGCATGCAGAAGCATGTGGCAAGGGAGTTTGTGTGCCTGAAGCGAGTGTGGCTGAAGCGAACACGGGTGCAGACGCATGCAGCAGGCGGGCAGAGCAGCTGCTGGGCATCACATCGAGCTCATGGCCTGCCTTCCTGTCCACTGTATGGGAGAAGCGCCCCTTCCTCTTCAGAGCGCGTGGGGGAAAAAGGGGCGTAGAAGATCAGTCACTCCCTCATCAGCAGTCTTCTCTCATACCAAAGGAAAACCCTTCCCGTCCCTCACGCCATCACTTTGTGAGGCGCATGGAAAATGGCCGACTCTCTCTCACAAGTCAGGGCCCTTCCCTCGCAGCTCTAATCCACGCCATTCCGCACCTCGGAACTGCCTATGGGCTCCTGGATTCTTTTCTACCCGGGGCAGCGTACTGCCCAGGAATGAGCGCGGGTGAAGCCGACCCGTTTGCTGCTCTGAGGGACATGGCCGTGGCAGGCGAGCTTGGGCGGCCTCTCTTGTCCTCACCTGACGTGTCCTTTGTTTGTTCGCAGCCGTCTGCTGTGGGGGGATCTGCATGTCATCACCATGCTTCAGAGACTGCAGCAGAGGATGAAGTAGCAGAAGAGGGGGAAGCAGCAGCAGAGGGACGACGAGCGTGCAAGCGCAGGCGTGTCACTGCAACCACCCTGCCGTCCGCATCCCTGCTGTGTTTAGCCCAACCAGCTTCAGCCCTGGCATCATCTATCTCCCCAGCGTCAACGCACCAGCACACCTCGCCAACCGTACCGAGCCTGTCAACCAACTCAGCCCCACCATACCGCCCAACCCTCCCAGCCTACCCACCATCGAACCCCTTCCATACAGCCTTCTCTCAGGACAGCACCATCGCTCTCCGCAGTGTCAACTGCCGCTCGCCTGCTGTGGCGTCCCTCGCACACGCCATCGCTGCCGCCCTCTCCCTGCCAGCTGTCGGGGTCAACCTATACCTCACGCCGGGCGGCGGGCGGCAGGGCTTGTCTCAACACTGGGACGACCACTGTGTGCTGGTGTGCCAGGTGGGTGGGTGGGTGGGTGGGTGGGTGGGTGGGCTGGCAGGCAGGCAGGCGGGCGCTGGGGTGGGTAGGGTGTAGGGCGCTGGACACAGCTTCTGAGGAATGATTGTGTGTTTCTGTACGCCCCTTCGCTCTCTTTGAGTTTGTGACAGGTGAGCGGGCGCAAGCGGTGGCGGGTGTTCCGCCCCACGCCAGGGAACGAGCTGCCCCGCCTCTTCTCCGTGCCTGGCCTTGAATCAGCCCATGCTGCGCTTGAATCAACCGGCACAGGCGCACGCACAGCAGGAAGAGAATCGGATTCCAATACAGCGGCTGATGAAGCTAGAGGGGGGAACGCTGTGGCAGAGCGTGGCGGTGGTGCGAGCGACCAATGTGGAGTGCAGGAGGGAGGAAAATCAGGCCTGGAAGCTCATGAGAACGTCGCAAAGCAATGTGCAATGCGTGAGGGAGAAAGAAAACCAGCCCAAGCAGGTGGCGCTGATGCTGGTGGGGAGGGGGCGCATTGTGAGGCGCCTCAAGACAAGCAGGGGGAGGAGGAGGAGGAGGAGGAGGGGGGGTGGGTTCCAATAGGGCGGCAATTTAAACTGAGACAAGGAGATGTGCTTTACATCCCCAGAGGGTACCCCCATGAGGCTTGCACTCCCTGTGAGGCCACCTCAGTCACTCCAGTCAGGTCCCAGCAACCCCTTGGTCTACAATCACATGAGGAGCCCTCCTTGCATCTCACCTTCGCTCTTGAAGTGGACGCTCCTTACACGTATGACACTTTCTTGAGTCCTCTCTGTCTCCCTCCCTTTGCTCCTACGGCCTTCCTTTCAGGAGCACGTGTTTCTCGATTCTCCATCATTGTATTGGTTTCCTTGGTTTCTCTGTTTCGCATAAAGCACTAAGTCTTGTTCATGCCTTCCCTTGTCCGTTCTTTTCATGCCCATTTCCCTCCTCCCCCATTCAGCTGGGAGGGTTTCTTCCATGCAGGGCTGCGATGCTGGTCACACTCCCTCCCTCCCTCCTCAACGCAAGCTTTTGAGGCGCCTCAAAATTCCTTCCATGCCCATTCTTCCCATGCCTCCTCCCCCATGCAGCTGGGAGGGTTTTTTCCATGCAGGGCTGCGATGCTGGTCGCACTCCCTCCCTCCCCAACGCAAGCTTCAAATTCTAAACTCACTGGATTGTAAGGAGGGAAGAGCAGGGAGTGAAGAGGAAAGGGGAATTGCTGGAGCGAGTGTGCGAGAAAGTGGGCGGGCGAGTGAGAGTGAGGGTGTGACATGGGAGGTGTGTGAGTCGCTGCTCCATGCCCAGCTGTGCCAAGCAGGAGACACCTTCCCAGACCTGCGTGCCTCCTGCACAGCTACCGTTCTGCACCCCTCTTCACCCACCAACATGTGCCCGACAACCAACTATGGCTGTTTCTCACATGTGCTTCACCTGCTGGAGCAACCACAGGCGTTTTCATGCCCCCTGCAGCCTCTTTCCCAGCTTCTTGAATCCATCAACCACACTGCAGACAAAGACCAGTGCGTCTCACAGGACGGTCATCAGCATACGTCTGCCTTCCTAGCGTGTGCGTCTTGGTTGGCCCACCCCCCTCCCTCGCACGCTCACACTCGTTTCGACATTCACAAGCACATAAACGCACACTTGCACCAGCAGCAGCTAAGGCACCAGCAGCAGCAAAGGCACCAGCAACCGCAGCACCTGCAGCACAGCCATCAAATGCAGCAGCAAAGGCAGCACGGCACAGCGGGTTCGGAGCCACAATGGCTGAGTGCAAGCATTCATCACACGCTCGCCCGTGTTGCACGTGCTTTTCTCAGCGATGTGGACAGCTGGGTGCCTCTTGCAAGAGAGTATGTTCGGTGTAAATATGACCTACAGCTGTGGAATTATCAAGTGATGGAGGCTGCACTGGCAACGCTGCAGGTTGATTGATATCATGTCTTGTGGCGCCGCCTAGTTGGAGTGTTGCGCACAGCTGGGTGCCTCTTTCTAGAGAGTACACTCAGCGTAAATATGGCCTACAGCAGTGGAATTATCAAGTGATGGAGGCTGCATTGGCAACGCTGCACGTTGATCGATATCAATAAAATCTAGGCGCCGAGTCAAGCACACTTTTCTTAACAATGTGGCTGTTTACCGTAGGTTGGTTTGGGTACCCCTTGCTAGAAACTAGCTAGAAGCTATATGCAGAGGTACCGTACGGTAATAGGACTTGCACCAGGGCAGTCGTAAGGAACAAGAGGCAACACTAGCTACACAGCTGGTTGATGGATTTCCTACTACACGCAATGGTGGATGCAGCTTGACTGGGAATGGTACCATATAGTTATGGGAATGTATATACTGGTAGATGGTGGTAGGGTACATGAAACTTCAAAATTGGCTGCCATGCCATTGCCTCCCTCCCTATCCTCACATTTCTCACTCCCCACGTGTCGGGTTTCCCCCTACCTCGCTTGTTCCTCTAGCAACCTTCGCGTTCCCTTCATCCATTGCTGCTTTCGCTCGTCTCTGCCGCTTCCTTTTAGCGGCACGGGACTCCCGAACCACCGGCTGAGGTTCGGTCCGAACGTCAGGATGTGCTCTGGTGGCATCACTGTCATCACCAACATCTGCCATATTGTTACTTGAAATTCTCGCCATTTCTGTTGTTCCATCCGGACTGGCTGTCACGGCATCTGCTGCTACTGGTGCTGCTGCTGATGCTGCTGCCATTGCTGCTGCTGCCACTGCTCCTGTTTCTGCTTTTGCATCTGCTACCCCTGCTCCCGTCATCACTGTTGTTCTATCAGCATTTGCTGCCTCATCAGCAGCACCTGCCACATCAGCAATGCTTGCCATGTCAGCAGCACCTGCCACATCAGCAACGCCTGCCACGTCAGCAGCACCTGCCACGTCAGCAACACCTGCCACGTTGCGCTCAAAGAGTGCAACAAAGAATCCATCGGTGCCATCGGTGGCAGGATCTGTGCGCACCACTTGGTGGCCTGCAGAGTGTGGGGAGGGAAGGGGGGGGGTTCAGTTCAGCAGGGAGGTGGGGGGGGGGGGGGCAAGAGGTACTGGAGGTTTGGCTTCACCACTTCAGGTTTGAGGTTTCTGGATTTAAGGCAGCAGGGAAGGGGAGGGTTTCAGTTCAGCAGGGATAGCAACAGGGAGCACACTGCCACCAGTACTGCCTTGTTCACGCGATTCACATGGCGGATTTGAAAGGGGCGTACTTACCAAAAGGGTAGGACAGCATCCCTCTCCTGGGCCAGGCGGGCAGGGCCGGGGCGAGGCGGAAGCCACAGGAGAGAGCCGCAGGGAGCACTGCTGCTACCACTGCCTCGTTCTCCCTCTCGTTGATGGAGCATGTGCTGTAGGTGATGCGCTCTGCTGATGGGACTGGGGGATACGGACAGAGGAGTGCAGAGGGGTGCAGAGGGGTGCAGAGGGGTACAGAGGGGTGCAACGGGGTTTCAGAGGGAGCACTGCCGCTACCACTGCCTCGTTCTCCCTCTCGTTCACGGAGCATGTGCTGTAGGTGACGCGCTGTGCTGCTGGGACTGGGGGTAGAGAGGGGTACAGAGGGGTGCAAAGGGGTGCAGGGGGCTTCAGAGGCTGCACTGTCTGTCATCAGCTTTGCCTTGTTCTCCCTCCTGTTGACTGAACAGGTGCTGTAGGTGATGCGCTCTGCTGCTGGATGCAGAGGAGAATAGAAATTGCCGCTGGGACTGGGAGGAAGAGAGGGGTGTAGTGGGGTACAGAGGGGTACAGAGGAGAAGATTGAGTCCTGCTCTTAAGAGCAGTACAGTGCAGTGCATGCTCTTAATTCAGTTTTAATACCGCAGAATGCCCAATCATGAGAAGTGAACTATGAGAAGTGAACTATGAGAAGTGAACTATGAGAAGTGAACTATGAGAAGTGAACTATGAGAAGTGAACTATGAGAAGTGAACTATGAGAAGTGAACTATGAGCAGTTAACACGTACATGAGAGGGCATGCCTCAGCGCGGCTTCCTGGAAACGAGCCAATCTCTCCACCCGCTCGTCCTCCCCCTGGCGTCCGCTGCTGGCCTCTGCTCCTTCAATCCCCCCATTCCCCTCCTCCTTGCCCCCTCTCCCCCCGCCTCTTCCCCCATCTCTTCCCCCGCCTCTCCCCCCACCTCTCCCCCCACCTCTCCCCCCACCTCTCACCTCGCCTCTCCCCCCGCCTCTCCCCCCACCTCTCCTTCCACTCTCCCCGCCCTTGCTCCCTCTCCCGCCAGCCCTGTCATGGGAAGATGCGGGCCCCTGAGAAAGGAGCAGGTCCCCTCGGGAGTGCCGAGTGCCTGATCCTGAACAAGAAGGATCCAGCAGGATTGCTCGCACCTGGAATTGGGGGAGAGGGAAGGATGTAGCAGCACACACGCAACACAGGGGCGCACAACGAGGCCCCATTGAGAAAGGAGCAGGTCTCCTCGGAGGGGTTTCAACGGCGACCACACGACTTGCTGCGTTTCGAATCCTTCATTACTCCGCAAGAGGTTCCCATTGAGAAAGGAGCAGGTCTCCTCGGAGGGGTTGAGCAGGATGGCTTGCACCTGAAGGGGGGAGGGGAGGGGAGAAAGCGTGTTGGAGGACAGAGCAGGAGGGTCACAGCAGCGCAGTGCAGAGCAGCATAGCGCAGAGGAGGGTGGGGAAGGGAAGACGCATTGGCATGCGTACGACACAGGGGTCGGAGGATAGGAGATGAGAGGAGCTCACATCGGCGAATTCAGGTGAGGCAGGGTCGATGGCGAGAAAATCCCCCTCATGCACGTGTGCACCTGGCGAGGAGCAAAGGGGGAGAGGGGAGGCGGGAGAAGAGAGAGAGAGAGAGAGGGCGAGAGCTTTCGACATGAGAGCTGCCGCGTGAGTGAGTTACTTCTGAGAAGTTCGAGAGAGCCTCTAGTGGTCACCTTTTGCCCCTCATGCACTCACAAAGGGACGCACCATACCTCTTACACACTCACATACGGCCAGTCAGGACCTCGAGAAACACCTAAACACCTATGGCCATGAATGCAGCCACGTGGGACATCTTGTTACCCGTCACTCCCACGCACTCACATAAAGCCTTTCTGTGAACCTCAGCAAACACACAGTCACTCACATGTCACCCCTGCTTTCTCCAGGTTCTTTCGGAGCAACGTTGCTCTCTTGGCATCTCTCTCGCATGCTGTGAGCCGCCCTGTGTTCGCCATGAGTGCAGCCACGTGGGATGTCCCTCATCACTCCTCATCACCCCTCATCACCCCTCGCACACTCACACGTCACCCCGGCCTTGTCCAGATTCTTCCTCAAAAGAGCAGCTCTCTTGGCATCTCTCTCGCATGCTGTGAGCCGCCCTGTGTTCGCCATGAGTGCAGCCACGTGGGATGTCTTGTTGCCCGGCGCTGCACATGCGTCCAACACATGCCACCCGGGGCGAGGCGCGAGGATGAACGCGGGGAAGCAGCTGGCGCGACCCTGAAGGAGAGCAGAGAGAAAAAGAGCAGGGGGGTGGAGAAGCAGGATCAAAACAGAGTTTTTAAAAGACATGAGACATGAGCGACAAGGAGGGCATTTGGCGAGGATGAACGCTGGGAATCAGCCAGATAAGGTCAACCAACCGTGCCACTTACGCCACCCACCCACCTGCAGAATGAGGTCACCCCTCTCCACCACAAGAGCGTGCCGGTGCAGCTCTGTGCCCGGGGGAAACACTAGCACGTCTGGAATCAGCTCACTGGGTGAAGAGGCTCACACACACACACACACCACCCATGCGCCCACCTGCAGAATGAGGTCGCCTTTCTCCACCAGAGCGTGTCGGTGCAGCTCTGTGCCCGGGGGAAAGACAAGCACGTCTGGGATCAGCTCGTCCTGCTGTACTGAAACCTCCCCCTCCACCCTCAAACCTGCACTCCCTGCACTGCTGCTAGCGCCACTTTCACCATCCCCACTTTTGCTGCTAGCGCCTGCATCAATCCCTCCCTCCTTGCCGCCATTCTCTTGGGAAGTGCCGGCCTGAAATTGCACCAACACTGAATCGGAGGTGGTCCACAGGGTGTTGACTCGTGCATAGCGGGGGTCTGCAGTGGCGGGAGTAGGGGGGGAGGGAAGTGGGGGGGAGGGAAGTGGGGGGGAGGGGAGGACCATCTTCCGCGGCCCTGCCACTGTCCTCTTGGGAAGTGGCAGCCTGAAAATGCGACAGCACTGAATCGGTGGTGGTGCGCAGGGTGTTGACTCGCGCATTGCAGGGGTCTGTGGAGTGAAGGACGTAAGGGGGGGATGAAAGCGAGGGTGGTGAGTAAGCAGGCACGCGCAACATGTGGCTGGCGGTGCGCTGGGTGTTCACTCGCACATAGTGGGGGCGGAAGGGGAGAGATGAAAGAGCAGGCACTAGCAAAGCGCGTGTGTGATTGGAGGGACCAAGCAGTTCCTCCACTGATGCTGCTCGCTGCTTCACCAGCAACCGAGCAAGCGCCACTCTGAGAGGAGGTGACTGTTGCCTAGACCAAGGAGGTGGGAGTGGGGAGGAGGAGGCAATAGGACTCACGTGCAGCAACAGGCGGGTCACTGGAGGGACCAAGCAGTTCCTCCACTGATGCTGCTCGCTGCTTCACCAGCAACCGAGCAAGCGCCACTCTGAGACCGAACGAGTGCACCCGAACGAGTGCACGAGGTGACTTTTGAGTCGACTCAAAAGTCAGCGCCGCTCTGAGGCCGAACGAGTGCACGAGTGAACAAGAGATTATCAAGGAGGCACGCGCAGTGTGGAAGTGGCACACGCACTTTGGAAAAATCTCATAGGACTCACGTGCAGCAACAGGCGGGTCATTGAAGGGACCAAGCTGCTCCTCTACTGATGCTGCTCCCTGCTTCACCACTGTGAGGAGGCAGTCACGGGACTCACATGCAGCATCTGGGTCGCTCTTGAGAATTCCCAAGAGACTCACTCACGTGCAGCAACAGGCGGGTCACTGGAGGGACCAAGCAGCTCCTCTACTGATGCCGCTCGCTGCTTCACCAGCAGCCGAGCAAGCACCGCTTTGAGAGATTCACTCGACCCAGAGTTGTGGCAGTGGGGAGGCAGTGAAGAGACTCACAGGCAGCAACAGGTGGGTCACTGGAGGGACCAAGCAGTTCCTCCACTGATGCTGCTCGCTGCTTCACCAGCACCCGAGCCAGCGCCGCTCTGAGAGCCGCCTTGTGTGACAGCACTACCTTCTGAACCGCTCCTGACCCCAGTGTACCCTGTGATGGAAAAAAGACATAAAAGGGGTTGATGCTCAAGGGTTTAGGGTTCACCAGCAGCCGGGCAACCGTGCTCTCAGGACGTTCTTGTGTGACAGCACTACCTTTTGCACCGCTCCTGACCCCAGTGTACCCTGGCAGGGGCAGGGGGGTCGGATCATGGGAAGGATAAATGAACCCCAGGCATGGGCATATGGCGATGTGAGAGCGATGGAAAGCTGATGAGTGATAGGCGCGGAGAGGAGAGAACAGGCGCGGAGAGGAGAGAACAGGCGCGGAGAGGAGAGAACAGGCGCGGAGAGGAGAGAACAGGCGCGGAGAGGAGAGGAGAGGAGAGGAAAGGAGAGGAGAGGAGAGGAGAGGAGAGGCGAGGAGAAGCGAGGAGAGGAGAGGAGAGGAAAGGAGAGCAAAGGAGAAGAAAGGAGAGGGGAGAGGAGAGGAGAGGAGAGGAGAGGAGAGGAAAGTATGCCTCACCTTGCCAGAAACCACCAAGTCATATACGAGCACATACACCAGGTGGGGCTTTAACGGCTCACCTTGCCAGAAACCACCAAGTCATATACGAGCACATACACCAGGTGGGGCTTGGCCTGCCACACAGACAAAGGTGAGGGAGGGTGGAGAAAGGTACAAATGGGTAATCAGCTCCTTCACTCGAGTGGAGCGATGTGGGCTTTGCAAGTTGAAAAAACTGGGGTATACTGGGGCGGAATGGGGTGCACTGGGGTGCACCAGGTGCACAGGAGTGCATTCGCCTCCACTCCCTCCCCCCACCCCATATTCCCTCCCCCCCCACCTAGTCCATCCCTCCCCCCTCAAACCTCCTCCCCCCACCCCATATTCCCTACCCTCACCCCCACCTAGTCCATCCCTCCCCCTCAAACCCCTCCCACCCGCAACCCCTCTCCCCTCCTTCCCCTACCTTCATCCAGTTGCTGTTAACGAGGCCTGTTGCGGCAATGAGATCCTTGATCACAGGCAGGTCTGATGGGCGGGGTAGAGAGGGGTGAAGAGGGGCAGAGGGGGGTGGAGAGCGGTAGAGAGGGGTAGAGAAGGGCAGACAGAGGCAGTAATGAGAATGTAAGGGTCGAGTGAGGCAGACAAAGGCTTGAAAGCACTAACCCCTGAACCAGCAGGGTTTAGGGTTCAGGCTTAGAAGTTTGTGATGGAATAGAAAGGTAAATGGTCGTGACATCCGCTATGGCGAGCGTTACGCGCTAAATCCACCCCTCAGCAACCTTAAACGCATCGTCCGTTACACCTCAGCAATCCAATCCTTCCATCGCAGGGCCTCTCACATCGCAGCGCTCCTTACATCGCAGCGTCTCGCACGTGACGGCGTGCGTGGCGCGCTTCGCCACGTTGCCCTCCGCGAGTGTCAGCCCCTTCACCGCGCACCCCCCGCGCCTCGTCTCGTTCGCGCGCAATATGCGCTCCACGGCCGCTGCCGCCTGCGCGTGCACCCTGCTAGAGTCCGCGTGAGCGGATCGCCCCCCACTCGCCTTTTCCTGGCGTCTACCCGCACTCGGACTTGAGTTTTCTTGCCTCCTTCCCGCACTCGGCTTTTCCTGTCGTCTGCCCGAGCCTGAATTTCCTTGAAATTTTGCACCTGTGCGCGGGCGAGGCCCATCTGTGCCGCCAGGTTTCGCCATGGATTGCCCCCTCGACACACTGCGCTGCGAGAATTCCGTGCAAATGTGTACGGTTCGACGTGCTGAAAAACAGCTGGCTGTGTGCAAGTTAGGTGACTAGCGTTTGGGGGGTGGATTCTATTCGCGTTGGATTGGATGTCCAATTTGTGAAGCTGGGCATGGGTGGACTCGATATAGTATTATTGCGGTTAGAATTTGAGATAAAGAGGTGTTGAGCAGCATCTGTGACAATAACAGTGTTAAGTAATTAGACTTGTGTATTTGTTAATCTTGGGAAGAATGCAATGAAATAATCTGAGTATGCACATTATGACAACCAGGGTGTGCGCACTGTTGCTCCACGAGTCATTAGTTTTCACGACTAAGACACCCTGGATGTCACCTGAAGCAAAACTGCACACAAATATCTTCACTTTTTTATAGTTCAGTGTCATCCTATCCTGTTGGCCCTTGGTGTTGCCCCGAGTATGGCGATTGACCCCCTTGCATGGGGACTCCGTATTGCTGCTGTGATGGCATTGCTCCGGTCCCTTCCTGTGCACCTTAAGATAAACAATTGGAAACGTAGGGGGATAACAATATCAAAAACAGAATCTACACGCAGATACTGTATCGTTAAGGGATCGAAAGAGGGGCTACTGTCTTCATCACAACATCTCACCTTGGCTTGTTTGCGCCCCAGGGCCTCCTGCAAGCTGGCTGGCACCTCCCATCTGCTGCTGCTCGCCCGTCCCCTGAAATCCTTGGGGTTGTCCTCCTTGCATCTGCTGGAACCCAAAAGGTTGCGCAGCAGCACCAACGCCGGCAACGCCAGCAACGCCAGCTGGTTGCGGAGCGGATGGCATCATAGAAGGGCCTCCTGGAAATCCCCCTGCTGCCTGCGCCGCTTGCGTCGGCCCGAAAGCGGCAGGAGGATATCCGGGATACATGGCCCCAGGAGTGGCTGTCCCTACAGGCGGAACAAACATCCCTGGCTGCGCTGGAAAGCCCTGAGGACCGTACGGCGGAAACACTCCCTGAAGGACAGGACAAAAAAAAAGAGCTTAAATAGATGGGTACCGTGGGTGTAGGGAGAATGGAATGGTGGTAGATGTTATATACCTGTGGAAACCCATAGCCGGCTCCCTCTTGAAACTGCTGAGGGTACCTGGAGGATGATGTACATGGAAAGAACATACAGATCTTGAAACATAGAGTGAGCAGCAGATCGAAGATTTAACTAGAGGGACCAGGAGGGATGATGAGCCTAATGCAACATACCCGAAGGGTGACATGGGATAGCCCTGTAGCGGGTACATGGGGTACGGGTGTTGCTGTGGGTACCCGCCGAACGGCACTCCACCTGCTACCAGAAATTCAGCAGTTAGTGGAGGAAAGAGATTAAGCGACATTAAGAAGGTAGCTAGCGTAAAGAAATATCAGCTGAAACTTTATCGGACGGCGGGATTCTTACCCTGCTGTCCTCGCGGCTGCTGCGGACGCTGCTTCTGTCCTAACGAAGCGAGGTTGCAGTTGGCCCTTCTACCGTCTATGACTGGCGACGGGTCAAGACACGCTCTTTGTGCAGCCTCTGGGTCACTGAAAGTCACCTGAAACGGAGGGAGGCGAGTTATCCTACTGTCATGAGAGTCAGGCTGATGCTTCCTAGAACAGGAACTGGTGTACTGTGCAGCTCTGGATTAGTACATAAACTTGCTAAATAGCTGCTTACAAATCCATAGCCTTTGGAGCGGCCGGTCATACGATCCGTTATTACAACCGCTTCAAGAATCTCGCCGAACTGCTCAAAATACTTGCGCATGGTTTCCGTTTGAGTCTCCCACGCAAGGCCTCCCACGAAGACCTTGGTGAGCGTGGTGTCGCCGAACTGGCTAGAATGGCCGCCGTAGCGAGGATTCCCGGTGCCATGGTGAGCCATGAGGTAGCTAGCAGCGGCGCTACGGCCCGGGATGGCCCACACGGCGGTCGCCGTGTTGACCAAGCCGCTATGCTACTCTAGCACACTCTCCTAGCCTCCAGCGTGCCTTCAGACCCGGAACGCCATGCAACTACGGACAAAAAATTGAAGCAATGTCTCAGATTCTGCACAGTAATACCAAGGCACGGGCCTCAAGTGCACCGTGCAGGCTGTCTTTATTTTGCCAAAACTGGTGAAAGTGTCAGAGATGTAGCTTTATGCACACTCCCTTCTTTCTCATGGCTCCAGCCGAAGAACCCCAAGTGAGGAGGCCTTGCTTGCTCGGCTTGGGGGGGACGCACTCCCCTCAGGCACGCCTGCCTGCTCGCTTTCCCAGCGGAATTGGAGATTGGAGAATCAGGGGTGTGTCGGACCGCACCAGGAGGAGCGCGGTGCCCAATGCCGTAACGTCACGGAGAGCGGATGTGGAAGGCAGCCAATCGCCACATCGCTGCGACCAATAGGGAAGCACGTGAGAGATGTGGCGAATCCAGTCTTGGCTCAGATGAAGGAATGATCGTGTCCGTCCATCCCAGATGACGCTCTCAGGATGTAGGCAACAAGCCCGCTACTGAAAAGTGCTGATTTAGTACATAAGCATCTGCTAAAGATTATGTGTTGAACAATCTCACAACATGTGTTCTTGACTTTGTCATCAAACTAATCTCAAGCATGGTTCTTCTGGGGTGTGATTGCTTGTCCTATTCTCCAGAAATCTAAAAATTCCTAATGAAACTACGGGAGCGAGGGTCGCTTCTACCAAGGCGAAGAACATCGCATGTGAGCAAAGCGATGGAAACTGGGATTGCAGCCCTTATTTTAGTGTAACTGTATCTTGTAACGTTAAAAATAAAGCCTTGTACAGAGTACAGCCGGAATTCGGCCCTCGCTTTTGTATGCATCCCAGTAACGAGTGGATTTGTTTTGAGTACATACACTTTGTTACACTAAAGCTTGGCATTTCGTTCTCCAATGCCACAGCGCATTCTGAGTTCGCAAGGCCCACTTTGCCCGCCCACAGCATGCGCGAATTCTCGAGGCGCTACATATGTTCTCTACCGAAGTTGGTTTTCCAGCAAATTTGCGGTTTGCTGTGGGCAGGGCAATGTCAAACCACCCAACCAAACCTGCCATCGCGTTTCGCATTCCCCCCAGGTGAACCCATCGCATCGCATCGCACCCCATCGCAACCAACCACCATGACTACCTAACTTGTACACAAATTTCTTCAGTCTGCCCCATCCCTCCGTCCATAGCACTGATGATCTGAATTGCCAGCCAGATCCTTGAGAAACTGACGTGGCTTCTCCTTCCTCGCAAAAACATCAAGTGCTGCCATTTCGATCGACACACCTCACCTTACTTTCCATGTTTTACTCATGTCGCTGAGCCGCCTATTGGTGAGTTGGCGGTTGTGAAGAGACGGCTGGCACTGTTTTCCTTCCGACTCGGAACGGAAACGTGAGTCCACGTCTCACCCACCCGCCGTTGTCAGTCCCACCCAGTCGGACAGTGGCCCGGCGGTCAGACGGCTCGTCTCGTCTCGACTCGACTCTCTTGAGTAGAAAAACAACTCCGTGGCGGCGAGCATTCCATTCCAGTCAATGAAAACCGTCCGGCCCCTTATCAGTTCGCCAAAGCCCAACGGAGTTCTGACCAGCGTCTGATGCGGTGCGGGGCCGCACATGAACGTCCCCGCGCTTGGCTCAGTCACATGAACGCAGTGCTTGGTGCGGTAGCTTGCAATGCTCGGGTAGGGGACTGTTAAGTCGACTCAATAGTCACCTGGGTAGCGTGGTGCGTCGCATCGCGACACCGCTTTTTCAACCTGCTATTTTCGGCTTATACGAGCGGTTCGGACTTAGTAATGCGTCTCGGAGTTAGAGCGCGCTTCTCGGAAAATCTCCCGCCGCGGGACCCGATCCGCCAATGTCACTCAGCGCTTGCTCCCGTTTCCCCCCTCTGATCGCGCTCCTTCTCCCGCTTCTCGCGCTGCTCCTCGCACCGCCCAACTCCCTGTGCGCGGCGGAACGAGAGAACCGGTTTAAATCCGCTACTATTGCGACACGCTTCATCCTCCTGCCCAACAACGCTTACGGCGCGAAATGCCTCGACGGCAGGTGCGGCCAGCGGTGGACCTTCACAATGTAATTGGCAATCAAAACGGCGAGGACTGCCCTCGTGATACAGCCCTTGAGGAAAATGTTGTCAGAATCCCAACCACTAGACCATTGGGATAAAAGTGCTTGTTAAGTAGCGGGTCAGTGCGCCCATAACCCCCCAGGACAACGAGCCTGTAACCCTTCCCTAGGATCAATCGGGGATCACCAGTGGACCTCTGACACCCCCCCGCACTGGAATGCCCGAAGTGCACACACTGGGATTCGAACCCGAGACCTTCGCTCTGATACCATGTCAGAATCCCAACCACTAGACCATTGGGATAAAAGGGCTTGTTAAGTAGCGGGTCAGTGCGCCCATAACCCCCCAGCACAACGAGCCTGTAACCCTTCCCTAGGATCAATCGGGGATCACCAGTGGACCTCTGACAAATGTCTTATCATTATCCCATGTACATAGAATCATGTCACTCCCATCATGGAACGATCGAATCACCCCCAACCTCCTCTTTCCCCCTCCCCTTTTTTTTCCCCTCTTTTCACCCACCCTTTCCCCTCACAAGCCCCCCGGCGTATTACTTCCGCGCGGGATCGGGCGCGGGGAGGCGCAAGTGGCACGTGCATTTCCCCCAGGGCGGATGGTGCTTCTCCCCAGAGGGATGCGTCGAGCGCGTCAACTCCTCCCTCGGCTCCTCGCACTTCTGGGCCCGACGGCTCCCCGCCATCGTTGAAAACGGCAAGAAGGTGCCGAATGTAAGTCCCTCGTCACTCCCCGTCTCTCTCCCTCTCTAAAACGATCCTGACTGTTATGTAGCCCTGGATACAGTGCGAGCAACCGAGGCTAGTGGATCTGTAAAACCTGTTCTACAGCCGTGACTGTGGCACCTGAGAAAGGCATCCCACCGCACTGCACCCAACCCCACCCCACCCCAACCCACACCAACCCAACGTACCCTACCTACCCTACCACCAGGCTACGATCTCCTACCCTCAACTGGGCGGCTTGCTCTCCCGCAGCAAGAGAGCCAACCCGGTGTTCCACGGGTGGAACCTGGTGTGGGTGGTGTACTGTGATGGTGGCGCCTACAGCAGCACACGGGGGAGGGCGGACCTGGGGGAGGGCGCATCTGTGTACATGCAGGGGCGGGAGATCATGGCCGCACTCATTGGCGGTGCGCTGGGTGAAGAGTGACTGGGAAGGGGATGAGAAGGGTGGAGTATGGGGAGGGGGGGCTTGGGGGTGGGCACATCTGCTGAGTGGGATTCAGAGAGTGGATAATGAGAAGACTAGGAAGGGAAGAGAAGGGAGGAACACAACCGGGAAATGGCAGTGCATAGCCGCCCACCTATCCACCCACCTATCCACCCACCTATCCACCCACCTATCCACCCACCTATCCACCCACCTATCCACCCACCTATCCACCCACCGATCCACCCACACACCGCCATCCAACCAATGCTCCTCCAATCCCCCTCCATTGCAGATCTCCGCACTCGGCGGGGCATGGGGGCGGCGTCGCATGTGCTCTTCTCGGGCAGCTCAGAGGGTGCCCATGCCATCATCATACCAACCGTCTCCCACCACTCTCCATCCCCCTATGACCCCATCAATCCCTCAGATCTCCGCACTCGGAGGGGCATGGGGGCGGCGTCGCATGTGCTCTTCTCGGGCAGCTCAGCGGGCGGCCATGCCATCATCATGCACTGCGACCGCCTCGCTGCCGCCTTCCCCCGCGCCTCCTCCAAGTGCCTTGCCGACTCGGGCTTCTTCGTTGGTGAGTGAGAGCATCTGGTTGTTGCTGAACGGTTTCTGGTGCTTGGATTCGTTAGTGAGCATTTCGTTAGTGGATTGTGACACGAGGACTCAACCTGTTGTGCCGACTCGGGCTTTTTTGTTGGTGAGTTGCTGTTTGTTGCAGCAGCATCTGTTTGTTGCTAGGCGCTGTATTCTTATTGGTGGCTTCCTGTGTAGCTTCTGGATTCAAAGACGCCTCTTGGGATGAGAAGGTTTGGGCCTGCCAGGGTGACAAAACACTGCTACGGCCTTTCACATGTATCAAGGATGCTCTAGCTCCTGTTCTCCCTTGCACTCCTTCCTGGTTCAACCTGATTCAACCTGATTCAACCTGATTCAACCTGATTCATCCTGATTCAACCTGATTCAACCTGATTCAACCTAATACAACCTGATTCATCCTGAATCTTCATCCCTGTTGGACTCCCCAATCCCTTTCTTTTTGCGCGCCTGCAAGATGCCAAGGACCGATTCGGACAATACTCTTGGCGAGATAGGGTTCGGGAACTCACCGCTCTGCACCGCATCAACGTCCCCAAATGCCCGGCAGGTGAAAGCTTTGCAACAGGCGACCCTCAGGTGAAAATAGGACAGGAATACCAGGTGATTCTCAGGTGTAAACACGAATATCAGGTAATCTAAGGTGCAAACCCAAGTACCAGGTGCCCACGTTCAGATTTTTAGTCGACTTGTAATGAATTTTTAGTTGACGCAGTAATCATCTTGTTCCGCTACTCCCCCCACCCTCTTACTATCACCCTCGTCCCAACCTCCCACCCCCTCAGGAGCACGAGTGAGGGACAACTGGGTCTGTTTCTTCCCCGAACACACCCTCTCCAAGATCAAAACTCCCCTCTTCCTCCTCCAGTTTCACTTCGACTATCGGCTCATCTCTCTGGAAAACCAGCTCCCAGAAAACAGCACCCAGTACGAGACAAACTGCCTCACCATGCAGATCCTCCTGCCAAACGCCAGTGCCGTGGCTCGCAAGCGAGCGTGGGATGGGCTCCACTGGAACCCGAAATTTTGCTTGCCTCAGGAGGTCGATGCGGTGTTTTCGATGGCGTCTTTGTCGTATCGGTCCCTGGCGGTAGCAGTAAGGAGAAAGAGGAATTTGGGTGTGATGCTGGCGTCGGGATTGGGCCACACTGCATTGTTTTATCGGGGATGGTTCACGACGGCCATTAGAGGGGCGAAACTAAGCAGGATATTCAATAGATGGCTTGTGAGCAGCAAAAAAGGTGTATTTCTGCACGAGTAGGATACCTTTATTGCATGAGGCTAACTGCTCATATTGAGTCTATGCATGATTTGCCACAAAAAAAATGTTTTGATACGAATACAGTACTTGTTTTGGCTAGTGGCTTACGTATGGTTGAAGAAATGCTGATATGCGAAAGACCTCCTTGCATGAGGCACACACATAAACCGATACCATGTTATTCAGCCTGCAAAATAATCATTTCGGCCTTGTACAGAGTAGCGAATCTTCCTCAAACTCGCCCAATTTCCGCAATCGTTCGTGAACCAGTGGAATCTTGTTTCAAGACATGCACTATGTTACAGAGTTCCTCGATAGGTTTTCGTGTCCAGCAGCAGCAGCTTTGCATTTCGTTGTCCAATCTCGCGGTGCTCGCAGCGCCTACTTCGCCACACAGGAGGATGCGCAATGCGATGCACGTGTGTATGACCCATTTCGCGAGCTCCTCGAGGCGCCACCTAAACTCTCCACTCCACTCCACTGGGAATTGGCGAAATCGCAAATTCGCCTGAAGATTTGCAGTTACAGTAGCGGCCGCTACAACCAATTCAGACCCCAAGTCATGGATGCATGTCCGCTTGCCATAATCCCCCCTCTTGCGCAAACCTACCTATCAGTACCTCCATCGGCATAGAATACAGTTGGTTGGGATTGGGAGTCTAAGGACTCCCAGCTGGACGGATTCCGCAAGACGGCTCATCTCGAGTCGGGCAATCCACTCTGCGCGAGCATCCCTTCCAGCCCCATACACGTTCAAACCCGCCCCCCACCGCCGCCCTTCCCAGTCGGATGGGTCTAGGTCAGACGGCTCGTCTCGAATCGGCAAACAACTCTGCGGTGAGTAATCCGCGGGGTAGCTCTGTCAAAAGAAAGGCTTTCCTCCGTGTTTGAAAGTAGTACTGTCTCACGCCGCGATTTACAGCTTGGAGTTGAATTGCGCTTATTCTAGAGTTCCCCGCCTCGCCGGGACCTGATCCGCCAATGTCAGTCATTGCGTTCCTCGCGCTTCTCGCCTCCGCCCGCCGCGCTTGCCCCCGCTTCCCCCCCCTGCTCGCGCTGCTCCTCCCTCTCCTCGCGCTGCTCCTCACGGCGCCGCCCCGCCCTCTGTGCACGGCGGAACGAGGGAAGCGCGTAGAATCCGCTAGTGCGACGCGCCTCGTCCTCCTGCGCAACAACACGCGCGGCGCGAAATGCCTCGACGGCAGGTGCGGCCGCCGGTGGAAGGAAAAGCGATTCCGCCATTGTCGTTCCGCCCGGCTACGATCCTTCCGCTGGTGGAAGGAAAGACGATTCCGCCATTTTCATTCCGGATTTTTAGGCGCCTCAAAACTATTTCTGAAGCGCCTCAAGAATCGAGACCGCCATTGTCGTTCCGCGCGACTACGATCATCAAAAGCTAAAACGGAAACCTAATTCCATTGCAATTACGACCATTCCATCGACGGGAGGGACATGATTCTTTGTGAATGGGTTGATGAGAGCTGAACACGAAAACCTAAACCCTCTCATCACCACTTCCCCCACCCTCGCGCGTGTACCTCACAAAGAATCCCCAGGGTGCCTTGCACATTTCTCTCTACCTTTCCTCCCATCCTTCCTCTTTCCCTTCCCTCTTTCCCCAAGCCCCCCCGCGTACTACTTCCGCGCGGGGAGGGGCGCGGGGAGGCGCAAGTGGCACGTGTATCTCCCCACGGGCGGATGGTGCTTCTCCCCGCCTCGATCGCGCCAACTCTAGCCTCGGCTCCTCGCGCTTCTGGGCCACACGCCTCCCCGCCATCGTTGAAAACGGCGGAGCAGTGACGAATGTGAGTTTTCTCGCTCCCTGACTTGCTCCCATTTCGTTTCTCAAACGCCCTCTCTCATGCCTCTTTTCTCATGTCTTGCCTTCTGTTTCCTCGCTGCTCTTTGCCCTCCCCCTCCCTCCACACCGCAACCCACCGTCGTTTCCTGCCTCAAAAGGCAATGTCTGAGGCGCCTTGAGAAGACGTTTCACAAAACCCCACCCAACCACACCCCACCCCACCTCACCACCCCCCACCCCACCCAACTGTACCCTACCCTTTCACCAGGCTAAGGTCTTCTACCCTCAACTGGGCGGCTTGCTCTCCCGCAGCAAGAGAGCCAACCCGGTGTTCCACAGGTGGAACCTGGTGTGGGTGGTGTACTGTGATGGTGGCGCCTACAGCAGCACACGGGGGAGGGCGGACCTGGGGGAGGGCGCATCTGTGTACATGAATGGGCGCGGGATCCTGGACGCGCTTTTTGATGGTTGGTTGGGGAACGGTGGCTGGGAAACGGTGGCTGGGGAACGGTGGCTGGGGAAGGGTGGCTGGGGGAGGGTGACTGGGGGGAGGGTGGCTAGGGGGAAAAGCGAATGGCTGAGGGAATGGCTAAGGAGGGGATAGGGGGAACGGCGGACTCAGGGGCGGACATATCTGCATAGGGGGAATTCGGAAGGGAAGAGGAAAATGTTTTGGGGTGGAAGGGAAGAAACCACACAGGCGGCATGATAAGAGCAGCTGTAAAAGATCCATGCTCTATCCGCCCACACCACACACAGCCATCCAGCCATACTCCCTCCCCGTCCTCTCCCATCCACCACAACCCATACGTGCTGCTGCGTCAACGACAGGATCACCTGCTGCTGGTCTGGCCCTTCCGAATCTGCTCTGTGCCCACCCCCTTTAGCTCATCCCTGTATGGCCCTTCCGAATCTGCTCTGTGCCCACCCCCTTTAGCTCATCCCTGTATGCCTTCCCTCACACGTTAGCTCTCTGTCTCACCCCCCAGATTCTACATGGGGGTAGATTCTACATGGGGGTAGATTCTACATGGGGGTATACCACTGGGGGTAGATTCTACATGGGGGTAGACCGCTGGGGGTAGACCGCTGGGGGTAGACCGCTGGCCTCCCACATTCTCGAGTGTTTGAACTCGATTTGACACACTCCTCTCCGTGTCTCTCTTTCACCCCCCCATGCCAGACCTGCGCATGAAGCGGGGCATGGGGGCGGCGTCGCATGTGCTCTTCTCGGGCAGCTCAGCGGGCGGCCATGCCATCATCATGCACTGCGACCGCCTCGCTGCCGCCTTCCCCCGCGCCCAAGCCTCCTGCCTCGCTGACTCGGGCTTCTTTGTTGGTCAGTGCAGCGCTGTGTTATTTTCTGGTGAGCGAGCGCTTTGATTGTTGCTGATTGGCCCCTGTTGTCTGAAGTGTGGCTTGTGAGCAGGATTACTGTAGCGTCTGTAATAATACGGGGACGTAACTGTAATGATTTCTTGGCCTCTTTTACTCCCCTTCCCTCTGCTCTGTTGCCGCCTGTCAGATGCCAAGGACCGCTTTGGGCAGTACTACTGGCGAGAAAAGATTTTGGCGCTCACCGCTCTGCACCGCATCAACGTCCCCAACTGCCCAGCAGGTGAAAGCTATGCACCAGGCGATCCCCCAGGTGAAACTGGGACTATCTGGTAATTCTCAGGTGAGAACAGCACTGCCATGTATATCTCTGCTGTAAACGGGAATCATCAGGTAATTAAATGGTATGAAGCCGAGTAGCAGGTGATTACCATTATGAGCTTCCAGTATCAAAATTTGAGTCGACTCATCATGATTTCTGAGTTGACTCAGGCTGACTTTTATACAACTCATCATCACACTTGAGTCAACTCAGAAGTCATCCTACCTCCCCCCACTCGTCCCCCCACCTTTCAGGAGCACATGTGAGGGACAACTGGGTCTGCTTCTTCCCCGAAAACACCCTCCCTCAGGTCACCACACCCATCTTCCTCCTCCAGTTTCTCTTTGACCGCCGCTTAATCCGCCAGGAGAATCAGCTGCCGGCATCCGATTTCCAGTATTCCACAGACTGTTTGAGCAAGCAGATTCTCCTGCCAAACGCCAGTGCCGTGGCTCGCAAGCATGCGTGGGGGGGACTCAATTGGAGCCCGTCCGTATGCTTGCCTCAGGAGGTCGATGCGGTATTCTCGATGGCGGCTGTGTCGTATAGGTTTTTGGCGGAAGCGGTACGGAGAAAGAGGAATTTGGGGGTGATGCTGGCCCCGGGAATGGGGCACACGGTGGTGTTTTATTGGAGCTGGTTCAGGGCTTACATTGGAGCGCCGAAACTGAACATGATATTCAATAGATGGTTCGTTGGCAGAAATAAAGGGTTGTTCCTGCATGAATAGGATCTGTATAATACGTGAGGCTAAATGGTGTGCATATTTTTTTTAAACCTGTTTTTCAGTCCTTATGTAAAGGCTGATTCTTACCCGTATTCCCCCGCATATAGGATCTCGAGGACTTTCTTGAAGTTCATAAAAAGAATGCTAGGGTGAACATTATAACAGTTATCTGACCGCTTCCATTTCGATTTCGACGGTACACCGGACCGCACCGCACTGAAAGTCATTACTTGTTTGACTCGATGCTTCACCACCATAATTCGTGGCGGAGCCGCCGAGACTTTGGCAGTCAGCAAAAAAGGCGGCGGGGAGCAGGGAGGGACTCTTTCCGTCGCGTCGTGAAACGGGAAATGGGAGCCCCCTCGTGTTGAGTTGTATTGGCATGGCATGGCAAACAACTCCAGTCGAGTCGAGAGCCAGCACTCGGTGCTCGAGTTGCTAACTTGGTTACCCATGCCCTGCAACTCTGTCGTCGCTTGACACGGCGCGGTTCGGAGTTCATGCTACCGCTCTGGCTATCTGTGTTCTAGGGCTTGACGAGCGGTTTGGACTTGGTAATGCGTCTCGGAGTTAGGACTTGCTTCTCGGAAAGGGTCCCCGTCGCGGGACCCAATATGCCAATGTCAGTCATCGCGCTGCGAGTTGCGCAGCTTGCCTCGTCCCGCCGCACATGCTCCCGATTCCCCCCCTTGCCCGCGCTCCTCCTCCCCCTGCTGGCGCTGCTCCTCGCGGCGCTGCCCCGCTCCCTGTGCGCGGCGGGACGAGTGAACCGACTTAAATACGCTACCGCGACGCGCCTCGTGCTCCTGCGCAATAACGCGTACGGCGCGAAATGCCTCGACGGCAGGTGCGGGCGCGGGTGCTTCACAATGCTTCACTATCGCGGCAGCATCGCCGCGACTCGCGGAAATGCCTTCTCGTGGCATCAACTGATTCGCACATAGAGTCAACTTGAATGTCAATGAAGGTCATTCGCTCCCTTCATTCAACCCATGATGCATGAAAGTCCTTCCCCCCACGATTCCCGAAGCACACCTCTCAAGGTCAATCCTACATCATGCATGAAAGGTCAATTCTGATGTAGAGGCGTGTCCTCTAGTTGGCAGGAACTAAGAATTGTTCTAAGCAGTAGAGCACACTCTTGGCTTTCCAAGGAGCCGTAGAACACGTAATTCGCCCAAGTATCGGCTGAGATACGGCTTTCAACGTGCTAGGTAGTGCTCTAAGATTGAAGGATAGAAAGTCTCTGGATTTTGTGTCGAGTTGAACTGTGTATAGAAAACTCTGATTTTCAGTATATCATGCATACAAAGCAATCACAATATATAGCTACTCAAAACATCGAGTCGCGCATGTAACATACGAGATGCATCGAGAACATTCGCGTAACAATTCGAAGGGGTGAAATTCGGCACCCGAATTTCACCGAACCGAATTCTTCCTTAGTCTCGATCCTTCTTGTGTTGCCATGTGGCACCAATTGAGTGGGTCTTCCGAAGTCAACCCACACACTTCGTGAAACCTGCAGCTCTCTCAAGCGGTGAGCACCGAAACACATTCGGTGGGTTGGGGGCATATCAATTGCCCCACCACCGTTTGCTTCTAACTCACGCGACCTCCAACAAATTCAGTTTGCCTCCTCCACCTTCCCCCCTTGCCCATATCCTTTACCCCGCCCCCCCTCCCCCCCCCCAAAGCCCCCCCGCGTACTACTTCCGCGCGGGCGCTGGCGCGGGGAGGCGCAAGTGGCACGTGCATTTCCCCCGGGGCGGATGGTGCTTCACCCCGGCGGAGTGCCGCGAGCGCGCCAGTTCCCCCTTTGGCTCCTCGCGCTTCTGGGCCCGACGACTCCCCGCCGTCGTAGAAAACGGCGGGGGGATCAACAGCGTGAGTGACAGCCGAATCCTCTAGAGCGACGCAGGCATAGCCTCCCTCTCTCTCCGCTTCGCACTCCCCCGCCCCCCTTCCCTGGGGGGCTGGCGCGATCGCGCCAACTCCCCCCTTGGCTCCTCGCGCTTCTGGGCCAAACGAATTTCCGCCGTCGTTGAAAACGGTGGAGCAGTGAGGGATGTGAGTTTCCTCGCTTCCACACTTGCCCCCATGCCGTATCTCATTTGCCCTCTGGCATGCCTTCTTTCTCATATCATGCCTTCTTTCTCATGTCATGCCTTCTTTCTCATATCATGCCTTCTTTCTCTTGTCATGCCTTCTTTCTCATGTCATGCCTTCTTTCTCATGTCATGCCTTCTTTCTCATGTCATGCCTTCTTTCTCATGTCATGCCTTCTTTCTCATTCCACGCCTTCTTTCTCATGCCATGCCTTCTTTCTCATGTCATGCCTTCTTTCTCATCTCATGCCTTCTGTTTCCTCGCTGCTGCTCTTTGCCCCTTCCCTTCCCTCCACACTGCAACCCACCGTTCCCTGCCTCAAAAAGCAATGTCTGAGACGCCTGGAGAAGACGTTTCATTACACCCCACCCAACCACACCCCACCCCACCACCCCCCATCCCACCCAACCGTACCCTACCAGGCAAAGGTCGCCTACCCTCAACTGGGGGGCCTGCTATCACGGAGCAAGCTATTTAACCCCGTGTTTCACGGGTGGAACCTGGTGTGGGTGGTGTACTGTGATGGTGGCGCCTACTCCAGCACGCGGGGGAGGGCGGACCTGGGGGAGGGCGCATTTGTGTACATGCAGGGGCAGGCAATACTGGCCGCAATATTTCGTGGTTCGCTGTGGAAGGGAGGCTGGGTGGGAGGGAAAAGAATGTACTAGGGGGGAAAGTAAATGGCTGAGAGAATGGCCAAGGAGGGAATAGGGGAGACATTGGACTCTGGGGCGGACAAATCTGCGTATGGGGAGTTAGGGAGGGAAGAGGGAGAAATTTGAAGCTTTTTATATATGATCCTTCTCCTTTCTCTCTCTTTCACCCACCCCCCCAATGCCAGATCTGCGCAGGCGACGGGGCATGGGGGCGGCGTCGCATGTCCTCTTCTCGGGCAGCTCAGCGGGCGGCCATGCCATCATCATGCACTGCGACCGCCTCGCTGCCGCCTTCCCCCGCGCCCAAGCCACCTGCCTCGCCGACTCGGGCTTCTTTGGTCAGTGAGCGCTGTGTTCTCTGCTGGCGAGCATTTGTCCCTGCTGGGTTTTTTTCCGCCACCTGCCTCGTTGACTCGGGATTCTTTGTTGGTCAGTGCAGCGCAGCGCTGTAATAGTTGCTGATTGCCCTATATTGTCTGAATCGTGACTGAGAAGACGTGGCATCGATAGTGGTTTGAGGTCCTCGCAGTTTTCCCTCATGCATTGCGCCTCCCCCCTGCTACCGCCTGCCAGATGCCAAGGACCGCTTTGTCCTTCATTGTCTGAATCGTGAATTGGAGGACGTAGACTCTGTAATGATCTGCGCACTTCACTCTAGTCCCTCGTGCATTCCCCCTCCCCCCTGCTACCGCCTGCCAGATGCCAAGGACCGTTTTAAACGGCACTATTGGCGAGAAAAGATTCAGGCGCTCACCGCTCTGCACCGCATCAACGTCCCAAACTGCCCAGCAGGTGAAAGCTCTGCACGAGGCGATTCCCCAGGTGAAACTGGGACTAGCTGGTGGTTCTCATTGAAAACAGCACTACCATGTACACCTCTGGTGTAAACTAAAATCATCAGGCTGACTTTTGAGTTTGACTCAGGATGACTTCAGAACGACTCATCATCGGTCTTGAGTCAACACAGAAGTCATCCTACCTCCCACCTCTCTTCTTCCCCCAACCGTTCAGGAGCAAGGGACAACTGGGTCTGCTTCAGGTCACCACGCCCCTCTTCCTCTTCCAGTTTCACTTCGACAGTGGCTTAGCTCGCCTGGAAAATCAGTTGCCAACCAATTTCCTATACGCCGCAAACTGTTTGAGGAAGCAGATTCTCCTGCCAAACGCCAGTGCTGTGGCACGCAAGCATGCGTGGGGAGGTCTCCACCCGCCAAACCCGGCTTTCTGTTTACCTCAGGAGGTCAACGCGGTATTCTCGATGGCGGCTGTCTCGTATAGGTCTTAGGCGGAAGCGATGCGCGGAAGGAGGAATTTGGGGGTGATGCTGGCGCCGGGAACGGGGCACACGGTGATGGTCTATATGAGCTGGTTCAGGGCTTACATTGGAGCGCCGAAACTGAACAGGATATTCAATAGATGGTTCCTCGCCAGATATAAAGGGTTTTTCCTGCATGAGTAGGATTTGTACCGTAATTGTTCTTAACCTGTTTTCCGGTCCCTGTGTCAAGGGCTGATTTTCAGTCCTTGTGTTCATATATCCTCAGCTCAGCCTGTATGTGAAGCCTGATTGAGGCCCTTTTCACAATATCAGCGCGTTCAGTCACTATGCGCCAGTATCGAAATTTTGTCGCACCGCCCTCGACTGCAAATGCTTCGGCCAAGGTGTTGATGCTCGGGCAGGTTGATTGCAAACCTGACTTGGATCGAGTCGTGTTCTTCCTACCACCACGTTTTCCTTCGCTTTTCTGCGAGTTCCAAGTACTACAGAATCGCCAGCATCCACGACCTGCTTTCGTGAGAAGTGGTATCGACACTATTAGAAATGAAACTTCACGTTTCATGCAAAAAGGGCAAAAATTCCAACTCCAACTCCAACTGGAAAAACCCACTGTACATGTCGGTCCGCCATTTACGAGCCGCGGATGCAAATGTACAGAATGCTCAGGGCGACGTCAGGTTATACATTTCTCATGGGTTTGCAGTTCTTGTATCGTTATTCAGGACGGTCAAACACGGTGAAAAGCGGTTCTCGAAGTTAACCTCTCTGCACCGTGTTGAAACGAAGTTAACCGCAGTGGGCGTACAAAAAGTTGCACAGCCTGACGTCGCCCTCATGGGTCTCTGTAGCATCTCCGCACATTCCACTCCTCCCGCATTTGGTGACGATAATACCCAACCCCACCCATCCCTAACCTTCTCAAACCAACAAGACCTGGAGGAGTTTTGGTGTTATCGAACTTCCCCTTCTGTACCGTCTCGTTCCGTCTCCCTCCCCTCCCCACCTAAACAACATATCCCTCCCTCAACAACTTCCCCTACCTTCCACTGTCTCTTCAACATAGCGGCTTTCGTTCGCCGCCCTCTGCTTCTGCTGCTCCATTTTCCGTTGTTATTTCGCCACTTCGCCGAATTACTCGCCTCGGCATACAGGGGCACGGTAGCTGCGGCGATCGTAGTAATCGAGACCGTTGGTCCTTTATTCCAATATTTTTTGAAACGCAAAGCATCGATCCGCGCTAGAACGCGAGGCATTTCACTCAATAACACTCGGCCAGACTAATCTGGCACAGCGGAAACGCGGGATCGGCGTGAACGCGATGAGAGAGAGCTATTGTCAAATTCTCCTCTCGCATCGGCTCGACGCGAAGGAGTTCTTCGCTTGACTCCCTTGACCCACATGACTTAATTTGACCCGTTTGACCTTGTTGCGACCAATCACGCGTCGGGTTGGACCTCGGAAGTCCAAGCGCTTCAATAAACGGCGATCTCCACATTTTTAGGGAAACTCGTCCTCCGCGATCACTTCGTTTTTTTATTCGTCTCTGAGACGTCTCAAAAACAACCTCGCTTCACGTGGCTACTCCGCGATCACTTCGTTTTTTTATTCGTCTCAAAGAAATAACCCTTCTCGGCGATCTCGCCGCCGATCTCCGCGGCGGTCATGTTGCTCGCCGCCGTCCCCGCTTTCTCCCGCTTACGAAGAGTCCTCCCGCTGCTGCCCGCGCTCCTCCTCGCGCTATCCCTCTCCCCCCCTTGCGGGGCGCAGCGAGCGAGCCGATTCAAATCCGCCACACGCCTCGTTTTCCTACCTAGTAACGCGTACAGCTCAAAATGCCTCGACGGGAGGTGCGTATCGGACATTTTTAACAATGGACGGAAGCTAGAAAACCGGGGGTCGAAGCTAGCCAGAAGGGTGATTGGACATTTTTAGGTCCTATGGCCGTTGCCTCCGTCGTCTCCCTTCCCCTCCTCTCCCACATCCTTCTTATTCATTTCCTCGCCCTTCCTTTCTTCCACCTCCCTCCCGTTCCCTCCCTTTCCCAACCCCTCCTCTCTCCCCCTCCCTCCCCATCCACTTCCCGCCGCCCAGTCCCCCCGCGTACTACTTCCGCGCGGGGGCGGGCGCGGGGAGACGCAAGTGGCACGTGCATCTCCCCACGGGCGGATGGTGCTTCTCCCCGGGGGAGTGCCGCGATCGCGCCAACTCCCCGCTCGGTTCCTCGCGCTTCTGGGCGACACGCCTCCCCGCCGTCATTGAAAACGGCGGAAGAATCAACAACGTGAGTGGAGTTCTTCCCCGCCCTGCCCACTCCCTCTATTTCGCACTCCCCGGCTCTTCTTCCCCCGGCTAGACGCCTCCCCGCCGTCGCTGAAAACGGCGGAAGAATCAGCAGCGTGACTGACACATCCCCCCGTTCTCTTCCCCATCTCTCCACCCCCTCCTCTTCTCCCCAGTCATACGAGTCCTATCCGCAGCTAGGCGGCTCCTTTCCCAGGACAGTGCAGCCAACTCCTCCCCCTCTCACTCACTCTCTCCGACCCTCTCTTACTCCTCCCTCTCCTATCCCCTCCCCTCTTCCCCACTCTCCCTCTCCTCTCTCTTCCCCGAATACCCATGGTTGGGCGGCCAATCATCCCAAGCTGGCGTAGCCAACCCAGTGTTCCACTCAAGGAGCCTGGTGTGGGTGGCGAGTCGACTCAAAAGTCTGCTCCCACTTGCCCTCCTCCCTCTCTTTCCCCCCACCAGGCATCCGAGGAATACCCACGACTGTGTGGGCTCCCATCGTGGGACAGCGCAGCCCACCACTCTAACTTCCACTCACTCTCACTCTCCTACCCTCTCTTTTCCCACTCACCTTCTCCTCTCCCGTACCAGGCGTCCGAGGAATACCCACAGTTGGGTGGCCTTCTATCCCAGGACAGTGCAGCCAACCCGGTGTTCCACGCGTGGAACCTGGTGTGGGTGGTGTACTGTGACGGCGGCGCCTACAGCAGCACGCGGGGGAGGGCGGACCTGGGGGAGGGCGCATCTGTGTACATGCAGGGACGGCAGATTCTGGACGATATTATCACTGGTGAGGAGGGAGAGGGGAGGATAAGGAGTGGGGAATGGGGTGGGGGGGCATGGGGGCAACGTCGCACGTTCTATTTTCCGGCAGCTCTGCTGGCGCCCATACCATTCTGATGTCAACCGCCTCCCACCCCTCTCCACCTCCCTATGACCCCATCAATCCTTCCAGATCTGCGCACTCGGCAGGGCATGGGGGCGGCGTCGCATGTGCTCTTCTCGGGCAGCTCAGCGGGCGGCCATGCCATCATCATGCACTGCGACCGCCTCGCTGCCGCCTTCCCCCGCGCCTCCTCCAAGTGCTTTGCTGACTCGGGCTTCTTTGTTGGTGAGCGTGCTCATTAAATAGCGGTGAGCGCAGGCTTGTGCTGCTCGGCGCTGTGATTTTGTTGCTGCTCAGCGCTTTGATGTTGTTGCTGCTCGGCGCTGTGATTTTGTTGCTGCTCGGCGCTGTGATTTTGTTGCTGCTCGGCGCTGTGATTTTCCTGGTGAGCGCCTTTTGGGACGTCTCAAAAGTGCTCATTGACTCAAAGGTGAGCGCAGGGTGTTGCTGCCTCAGCACTCTGATTCTCCTGGTGAGCGCTCTGTTTTGCTCTTGAGTTTCCTGCGCTGTTTGACTTTTGGCTTCTTCATTGGTTTAGAGCTAAGAAAAAAGTAGCCGTGGCATGCTCCCTCCCCCTTTCTTCCTCCCCTCTTCCCCCCTCTTCCCCCCTCTCCCCCACCTCCCCCTCCCCTCCTCCCCCTTTCCTCCCTCTTTCCTTCCCCGTCCACTGCAGATGCCAAGGACCGCTTTGGGGTGTACTCATGGCAGGAATACATCCGGCTGCTCACCGCTCTGCACCGCATTGAAGTCCCCAAATGCCCTGCAGGTGAAATCAGCACAAAAATACTACCTACATGGTGCAAACAGAACAGCATAGGAGACAACTTAGCAGGTGAAAACAGGATTGGCACTCCACCAGGTTATAACATGCCGTGTCCCTTGAAGCCTTTTGAGTCGACTCAAAATGACTTCTGAGTCGAATCAACTCATAAGTCACCAGGTTTGGCACTCCACCAGGTTACAACAAGCCCAATCCCTTAAAGTCTTCTCTGGTTCTTCTGTATTCTGAGACGTCTCATAAGTCTTGTGCGTTTGCAATGGCGATGGGTGGGTGGGTGGGTGGGTGGGAGGTATTTGACTTGCCCACTCCCTTGGAGTCTCCTCTCGTTCTTCCAAAAGAGAGGCATGTGTCATGTCAGTACGCATTCCTCATTTGCCTCTTTTGAGGCGCCTCAAAAGTCAAAAGAGAGGCATGTGTCATGTCAGTACGCATTCCTCATTTGCCTCTTTTGAGGCGCCTCAAAAGTCAAAAGAGAGGCATGTGTCATGTCAGTACGCATTCCTCATTTGCCTCTTCCGAACCAATACACAAGGGTCTCTTTCTCTCTCCTCCGTTCCCTCCCAAGTTAGAGACGAGACAACTGGGCCTGCTGCTTCCCCAAACTCTGGGTCATCATCTTTTTCCTTCTCCCCTACCACCCCACTTCCCCCGCGTCTCTTCCCTCCTCTGCTCCCCCTGTTCCCACCCTCTCAGGAGCACAAGTGAGGGACAACTGGGTCTGCTCCTTCCCCGAACACTGGGTCACTTGCTCCCCTCTCCCCACCCCTTGCTCCCCTCTCCCCACCCCTTGCTCCCCTCTCCCCACCCTTGCTCCCCTCTCCCCACCCTTGCTCCCCTCTCCCCACCCCTTGCTCCCCTCTCCCCACCCCTTGCTCCCCTCTCCCCACCCCTTGCTCCCCTCTCCCCACCCCTTGCTCCCCTCTCCCCACCCCTTGCTCCCCTCTCCCCACCCCTTGCTCCCCTCTCCCCACCCCTTGCTCCCCTCTCCCCACCCCTTGCTCCCCTCTCCCCACCCCTTGCTCCCCTTATCCCCCTTCCTCTCGCCCTCCTCAGGAGCACAAGTGAGGGACAAATGGGTCTGCTTCTTCCCATTACACACAAGCTTGCTCCCCTTCCTCCCGCCCTTGCTCCCTCCCGCCCTTGCTCCCTCCTGCCCTTGCTCCTGGCCCCATCCAGGAGCGCAAACAAGAGACAACTGGGTCTGTTTCTTCCCAGAGCACACCCTTGCACAGGTCTCCACACCGCTCTTCCTCTTCCATTCCTTCTTCGACTGGCGCTTTATACAGTACGAGCAGCAGCTCCCTAGCGAGGATCTATTGTACTCGCAAAGGTGCCTCGACGGGCAGATATTACGGCAAAGGGCAAGTGTACTGGCACGGGAGCGCACATGGGATAATGTACGGTGGAGGCAGAATTTTTGTTCACGGCAAGAGCTTGATGCGGTGTTTTCAGTGGGATGTACCGTGTATAATCGACTGGCGGTAGCGGCGCGCAGAAACAGGAATTTGGGAGTGTTTTTGGCGCCACGATCTGTGCACACTACACTGTTCAGTGTTGCTTGGTTCCTGAGAAGTGTGAACGGGGTGAAGCTGAGTAGGTTGTTTGAGACGTGGTATGGTTTTAGTGGGAGAAAAAAGGGCATGTTTGTGTTTGAATAGGTTGTTTTGAACTCACATGAATTGCAATTAAGGAGTTGATTTAGGCATGGCAATTGTACCCAGTGTAGCTGCTTGTAATTTTGCTTTCAACACACTAACAAATCATGCCTATCGTATTATAGCCGTCGAACACATTGACCTTGTCAAGCATGGCAATGACTTGTGGCATGGGGGGGTGTTCGAGCCTTCCCCAAAGCAACTCAAATGTTGTGCACCATTCAAAAGCAGCTCAAATGTCGCGCACGGCACGGCAATGACTGGCGGCATGGACGGGCATTTGAGTGTAAGCCCTCTCAAAAGCTCCTTAGATCAGATGTTGTGCACAGGGATTTCTTTCCTGTGCTGAACACATTGACCTTGTCAAGCATGGCAATGACTTGCGGCATGGAGGGGCATTCTAGCCTCCTCACAAGCAGCTCAAATGTTGCACCTCTCAAAAGCTCTCGAAAGCAGCTCACTCAAATGTTGTGCACTGGAATCTCTTTCCCACTGAACACATTGACCTTTTCAAGCATAGCAATGACTTGCGGCATGGAGGGGCGCGCAGCAGAGGATCCCTCCCAGCAGCACCGCATGACTCGTGCGATGTCAGGAGGACACTTGTGGGGCAAGATGGGGCGCACGCCCTGGTAGGATGGGATGAGGGGAGGAAGGATGAAAAGCGGGGAAGGTGAGGAGCTTCCCAGCAGCACCGCATGACTCGTGCCAAGTCAAGGGGGCACTTGTGGGGCAAGATGGGGCGCACGCCCTGGTAGGATGGGATGGGGTAAGTAAGAGGAGGTGGGGAGGAGGGGAGAATGGGAGGAAGGAAGAAACCAAGGACCTTCCCAGCAGCACATGACACACGCCAGATGAGGGCAAGGTGGGGGAACGGAGGAGAGGTTGATGTGGCACAGGCCCAATTGGGTGGGTTGCCTCAATTGGTGTGGTGTGGGGAAGCCAAGGGGGAGGCGGGGGGAGTGAACAACACGATTCCCTACTGACTTCCCCTGTTGGGGCACTCGAGGGGAAGGTGCAGCACACTCCCTGGAGGATTGTGGAGAGGCGGAGTTGAGAAAAGTAATGGAGGAGGAGGTGAGAGAGGAATAACGAGAAGATGGGACTGATGTGCCATGCGCCATGCGCCATGCGCGATGTGCCATGTGCCGTGTGCCATGTGCCATGTGCCATGTGCCATGTGCCATGTGCCATGTGCCGTGTGCCGTGTGCCATGTGCCATGTGCCATGTGCCGTGTGCCGTGTGCCATGTGCCGTGTGCCGTGTGCCGTGTGCCATGTGCCATGTGCCGTGTAAAATCTGCCATGCCTCATGCGACATGCAAGCAGCACAGAAAGACTCACCTCACGGATGGCGGAGGGCATAGTACTCAAGTCAAACGAGTCAAACAGATTCTCGCAGGTCAGCAGCCTCCTCCCGAGGCATCTCAAAGGTCCTCACCTCACTGATGGCAGAAGCCATTTCGCTGAAGTCAAACGAGTCAAAGGGGGTCTCGCAGGTCAGCAGCTCCCACAGGCAGATGCCAAAGCTGTACACGTCAGCACGGCGGTCGTATGGCAGTCCAGCCAGAACCTGAGGGAGGGAGGGGGAACAGTCAGATCAGAGTGCAGAGGTCAGCACCCGTCATTGACACATAGCAAAGCAGTACACGTCCGCATGGGTAAGCAGCTCCCATGGGCACATGGTAAAGCTGTTCACGCCAGTGCACTCACATTTGCTGATATCTGCCTGTATCTGCCTGTATCTGCCTGTATCTGCCTGTATCTGCCTGTATCTACCTTATACCAGCGAAAGCAACGCACCTCAGGAGCCATGTATCCCACTGAGCCCGTCTCCCCACTGGCGTCATGAGGCAACGTTTTGAGTCGACTCAAAAGCCTTCAATCTACATGTTATCACCACATGCAAGCAGCGCACCTTCAATCTACCAGTTATCAGCACACACAAGCAACGCACCTCAGGAGCCATGTATCCCACTGAGCCCGTCTCCCCACTGGCGTCATGAGGCAACCACCCCCCCGCCGCCTCCCCTCCTTTCTCACCTCCCGTCACCACACCCTCCTCCGCCCCCTCTCGCCTCTCCTGCCTCGCCTCTCCCGACCTCCACATCCCGCCCTACTCCACGCCTCTCCTCCCCTTCACCATTCCGAGCCGAATCCTGCAGGTCCTCTCCCTGCAGCACGTCTCGTGGCTGCTGTCCAACAGCCTCATCACCCGCCCTTCCCCCTACCTCTGCCCCCGCCACCCCTGCCACTGCCCCTGCCCCTGCCTCGCTCCCAGCGACCCCGGTTTGTTCTTGAGAATCCCCAAGAACCCCAGCAGAGCCAGAGTTGTCACAGCGCTGCGCGCCCCCACGGCCACGAGCCTGGCAGTCACCTTCGAAGCGCGCGACGCCAAAGCCGGCGATCTTGAGGCGCCTGCGATCCGTGAGGAGGAGGTTGTCGGGGCACACGTCCCCGTGCACCACACCGCTGCTGTGGATGTAGGCCAGACTGGTGGGTGGGTGGGAGAAGAGGGGGGGGTGAGACAGGAGTGAAGAGGTGACGTGATCCGTGCGCAGCAGGTTGTCGGGACGCACGTCCCCGTGCACCACACCGCTGCTGTGGATGTTGGCAAGACTGAGGGGGGGAGGAGGGATGAGAAATGGCGGATGGGAGGGAAGGGAGGAGGTGACATAGTCCGTGAGGAGCAGGTTGTCGGGGCACACGTCTCCATGCACCACACCGCTGCTGTGGATGTAGGCCAGACTGAAGGGGGGAAGGGGGAGGTGGTGTTTGGGGTTAGGAAGAGGGGGATGAATAGGGAGGGAGGAGGCGGCTGCGGTCCGTGCGGAGCAGGTTGTCGGGACACACGTCCCCGTGGGCCACACCGCTGCTGTGGATGTGGGCCACACTGGTGGGTAAGTGCGGAAGGGGTTGGTTGGTGGGTGTGGTGTGGGTGTGCTTGGATACTGACTGCATATCGACCGGCCCACTCAAGTGAAACACAAACCTCTACCACACTTCTCCCCCCCTTCCCTTCAACCTCCTCACTCACTCACCCCTTGGCGAGCTGCAAGGCCAGCTCCACCAGCATGTGCAGAGGCAGCTTTCTGCGCTCCCTGGCGGCGCGAGCGAGACACTCCTTGAGCGTCAGGTCGCCCACATACTCCATGATGAGACACCCCACCACGCGCCTCAGGAGTTCCCAGATGCAACCGATATAGATCCCCCCCGCAATCACTCACCCCTTGGCGAGCTGCAACGCCAGCTCCACCAGCATGTGCAGCGGCAGCTTTCTCCTCTCCCTGGCAGCACGGGCCAGATACTCCTTGACAGTCAGATCGCCCACATACTCCATGATGAGGCACCCCGCCACGCCGCGCAAACGCGCGTCCACGCCGCGGGGGGTGGTGCAGGGCGCACAGTCCGCTGACACGCTCGCTGCTACCAGCTGGACGTGCAGGCATGGGGGTGGGGAAAGAGGGGATGGGAGGGGAGGGCGTGGGAGGGGAGGGCGTGGGAGGGGAGGGCGTGGGAGGAGAGGGCGTGGGAGGAGAGGGCGTGGGAGGGGAGGGCGTGGGAGGGTACTCCTGTTCTACTTCCATCTCATAGGTATGCTTCAATGTGCTCGCCCCAGTTTCGCCTGTATTTGTAAGCCATTTCAATGTTTCATATTTTCTGCCTGAAAGGATCTTGGATATTAGTGCGGCTGGACACAGGAAGAGTCTGATGGCAGCCCGGGTCCCGGACTCACGTTGACAATTCCTGCCAGCTGGCTTGGGTGAAAGGCGTTTCTTCGCCCCTGCTTCGCACCTGCCGAGCTGACTCCCGGGTTGACGCTGGCTCACCTGAGTCACGTAGGGGTGCTTGAGGCCTCGCCACACGTGCACCTGGCGCAGCAGAGTGGCTCTCTGCTTGGCGCGCAGCACCGGCGAGAACGACCCCGCTTCGCCCCAGTCGATTGCCTTCACTGCACGCATTCGCGGGGAGGGTGGCGGAGAGAGAAAGGCAGTGTTATGAGGAAACATAACCACGGTTGAGGGAAGTCGGTAGAGAGCGAGAGGGAATGGGGTGAGAAAGGAGTATGAGACAGGGCAGCAGGCAGGCAGCAGGATGCAAGAGCCAGCGATACTGGTGTTACTTTTGAGCCAACGGAGCCAGCGATACTGGTGTTACTTTTGAGAATCAGCAATGCAAAAGTAACACCAATGGAGCCAGCGGTCAGCAGTAAGATATGCAATTGAACAACTTCCAACAGCGAATCTAGGGGGGACAGGTGGAGTGCGAATGACGTGGGGTGAGATGAGGGGTGACTTGGCGAGTGGGGGGTGGCACGGGGAAAGCAGAGGGAAGGGAAAAACGGGCGTCGCGGGGGAGAAAGTGGGCGTCGCGGGGGAGAAATGGGCGTCGGGAGGAGAAATTGTGCGTACCGGCAACATCCATGTCCCTGAACGCGCCCTTATACACCGTGCTGTACGCGCCCCTGCAAATCTCTTTCTTTAAAGTCACACGCCGCAAATCAACCTGCCACGCGGGGTCGCCTGCTATTGCGACATCGCCTGCGCCCCTCCGCCCATCTGTACCCACTTCCACCTCCGCAGACCGCTCCTTATTCGTCCCGTCCTTCGCACCCGCTTCCTTACCACACTTGTTTAGCGGCACACCCGAGACATTATTAGCAAAAGGCACCACGTCACCATCACTGCGGATGGCAGCAACGGCCGCCGCAGCGGCAGCACGAACAGAATCCCCCTCCCCGTTTCCATGAGAACGTGCCCTACCCAGCACATGCTTCCCGTTCTTCTCCGCTTTCTCCTGCCACGCCGCGCCCAATCCCAGGCCTCCGTCGCCGTCGCCGTCGCCCGCCTTCTTCTCGCCGCGCCACGGCATGGACATGACTCGGTCCAGCGCCTTATCCAGTGCGGCGATGTTCACCCCCACGGAGGAGCTCTCCGAACGCCGCCTCCTTCCGCCTGCTCCCCCTGCTCCCGCTGCTCCCCCTGCTTCTCCTGATTCCGCCTGACCGCCGCGTCCCACCTGCACCGAATACGACCTACCCAGAAAGGAATTCCCAGCGTCGCGCTCGCTCGTTTCGTCTTTGACGCCATTGGACGGGTCGGTTCGCACTCTTAGCAGCTCCCCGTCGAAGTCTGCGATTCCTGTGGCCGTGTCTGATGGTTGCGCGGAGACTGTTGATTCGGATGATTGTGAAAATCGAAACACGTGGCCTGCGCTTAGGGACGAAGCGTCGTGCAGCTCCGCCATCGCTTGCGCGCGTGCGCGCGTTTCCGAGACGCTTCAATACGTGCGCGTCCGTCCGCGATTGACGACGTTCCAATTTCTCACGTGTGACCGACGCGTGCAGGTATCGAGGTGCTGCGGATGACAATAACGAGCTTGACAGTCGCCAACTGAAGTGTGCGTGGAGTTAGCGTTCGCTGTGCAGCTGCTGCCAGAACGCAACGCAGGGCTTCCTGGTAATTGATTTCACAAGAGCTACGCCGCGAATGCACCACCTAAGAAAGACCGTATTGTACGGTGGCTTTATCTAAGGACACTTATGTCGTTCACTATAAATTTCCTTGTTCCTTAATATTTGTCAGTGCCTGACAACCTGTATAGAAGATGAATTTGGGAAAATTGAAATACGTAAAATGACTGAATCTGTTACTTACAGTTGCACGAGATAGGACAGGATAAATAACCACATGATCGTGTCGGCCTCCTGGCTCGAGATTCACTGAATAACACCTAGTCAACACTGAAGAGACCTGCCTCAATTGAGCTGGATTAGTCAGCTTCTGAAAGAACTGCATTGCATTGCATCTCGCCCAAGATTTCATGAGAACGAAATGCAATGCACTTGGCACACAGAGGCTGCGTTCTACAGGCGCATCAGCCCGCATCAATGTACATTGATGCGTTCTACCATGGCTCCAGGAATTTTCCACGATAACCTGCCGACAGGTTATCAAGGTTCGCGATAAGTGCAAGGCTGCCGAAGCAAAACAAACCCGAATGCCTGCAGAACGGCATTTTTGGCTTACGAAATTTGTAATGTGTCCGCTTTCCAAGAAGATTCCTCTCCTAGCAATCTGGCGCATCATTGATGCTCGCGTCATGCGACTTCGAAAACTCGGATCATGCGCGCGTCAGCTGATGCGCTGCAATCTCATTGGCCAATCAGTTTGGCCAAACCGAAATTCAGCGACGAAGAAACATCTAAGAAACCTGTAACATTCGCAATTTTTTAATTCGTCAAGAAATTGAATGTCCAATTTCTTGACCTCAACTCAATTTCGTCAGATTCTCCAAACCTCAATTTCAAATGTCCGAACCTCAATTTCTCAATTTCCAAATCGCAATTTCCGAACCTCAATTTCTCAATGTGCGGATCAGGCCGAGCCTCAGACGCATCAGAGCTGATGCGCCTGCAGAACGCAGCCGGAGAATACCTCCCCGCAGAGATGCAGGGGACGACTGGGTGAATATGGAAGTCTGGCTGGTCTTATGACGGACGGTTATTTCTGTTCTTTTAACACGGTTCTGTACGGTGCAATACGGTCAAGAGCAGATTCAAGTCGTACCGTGTGGAAACCTTCTGAACCGCACTAGACGCTCAATGGACAAGGTCTGGGAACCCTAAAATGTCTTTAGGAGAAGCTGAGAGCCAATGACCAACCGGCGAGCAGTTCCAATGTCCAATGACCAGTCCCGGCCCAGGGTCCTGGAAAAATTCGGTTGGAGGTGCCCCCATCCCATGAAATGAGCGGAATTTCCGAGGAAATCAAAGCATCTTGCCATCACCTTTCGCATCCAGCGAGGCGAGGAAAATGCGCCGCACCATGGCTGCAGACAGGTCAGCACTCGCGGAAATCTCGAGGCCAGCGCAGTCCGTTCGCGGTATTAGCATTACGAACAGATTAGTGAATTAAGGTGGTGGTTTTTTAGCAGATTGCAATAAGACATTATTCTAAGACATTATGCTCACCTTGGTGTGAGCTTTTTACTTAGGCAGTGAGCAGCTACAGATACCAAGACATGATACAAATAATATAAGGCATGTCTTATTTACCTGCAAAGACATTCACCTTCTGCAGCATTGCAAGAACTTGGGGCATCGAAGGGCGAGCAGTAGGGAGGCCTTCCCAGCAGCAACGCATAACATTGGCCAAGTCAGGGGGGCACTTGGGGGATATAATGGGGCGTGAGCCCTGTAGGAGGGAGGAGAGGGTGGGAGTGGGAATGGGGATCGCACACTAGGCACTGATGAACGGAAGTTCTAGAACCAAAGGGATGCACAGTGAAGTAGTTTGTAAGGATAGCAAGCATAGGCAAATGGCCATCCCTCCAACGTCTCACTTCAAGTCGGTGCCTTTCCCAACTGACTGCTCCCACAGCGGAAAAAGCAAAAACACCCCCATCCATCCCCATCCCTATCCCCTTCAGCCTACACTGCTTCTCCCCACCCGAATGACCCTCCCATCCCTTACCTCCTTGACAGCATCGGCCACTTCCCCAAAGTCTAGGTTCGGGAACGGCGCCTCCCGGGCGTAGAGCTCCCACAGGCAGATGCCGAAGCTGTAGACGTCAGCAGAGCGGTCGTAGGGCTGCGAGAAGAGCACCTGGGGGGGTTTCGGGTGAGAGGGGGGTAACACGTCACGAGCAACGGTAGGGGGGCATGTCACTCCACACGGGGGCAGATGCTGAAGCTGTACACGTCAGCAGGGCGGTCGTAGGACTGGGAGAAGAGCACCTGGGGGGGTGTCGGATGGTCAGGGAAGGTGGGGGAAGGTGGGGGAAGGTGGGGGAAGGTGTGGAAAAGGGGAGAGGGGGGGGGGGGAGGGTGTCATTGCACCTCAGAAGGGTGTCATTACAGCTCTGCACATATACACAGATGGCAGAGCTGTAGGCAACAGAAGGAACGGCAGAATCACCTCAGAGGCTCTCAGGCACTGTAGGCTGAGATTCGCTGGCAACTCTGAGACCCTTGAAAAGTAAAATACCTCAGGGGCGCTGTACCTGAGGGTTCCCTGCAGCTGCCAGTGGCGGTGTTGACTGGGTGTGACGAGTTGGCTAGTGGGTGACAGAGGGGTGGTGGGTGGGGAGGGGTCTACTTCAGGGAGCTGTGGCTGCGCCTGCAGCTGTTGAAAAGTCTCACACTCAATCTGAATATACCTCTGGCGCGCTGTAGCTGAGGGTGCGGCGGCAGCTGCCAGTGGCAGTGCTGACTGGGTGAGACGCCTCCACACGCGCCGCCCCGAATCTTGCGATCTTGAGGCGGCGCTTTGACGTCCAGAAGGAGGTTCTCAGGACAAATGTCGCCGTGCACCACGCCCATGGAGTGCAGATACGCCAGGCTGGCAGAATGGGGGGGGCCAGGGTCGAGGGGGGAGGGGAGTGAGTGAAGGGAGTAAGGAGCGCGTTTCACGAATAAATGCCGCCATGCACCATGCCTATGGAGTACAGATACGCCAGGCTGGCAACGAGAGTTGAGGGGAGAAGGGAAGGAGAGGGGGGGACGACGGACAACAGGGGAGAGGGTAGGGCTAGGGTGAAGAAGGATGGCGAGAAGTGAGGAGTAATCAACCCTCATTGCACTCACTCACCCTTTGACTGGTTGCACTCACTCACCCTTTGACAGATCGACTACCCCTCGTTCAGAGATGCCTCAAACCGGGGCTTCTGTGGGGAGCAGAGGGGTAAATCAACTGCAATCGTGTCTCTGCTTGCACTCACTCACCCCTAGCTGAGATTAACTGCCACTTGTTCCGATGCCTCAATACTCAACGAGGTGACGCGCACAGCAGGTGACGCGCACAGCAGGTGACGCGCACAACAGGTGACGCGCACAACAGGTGGCGCGCACAACAGGTGACCAATCACTGTTCCTTCCTTGATGGCACTCACTCACTCACTCACTCGCTCACTCACTCACTCACTCACTAACTCACTCACTCACTAACTCACTCACTCACCCCTTGCCGAGATCAACTGCCACTTGCACAATGAACGGCATCGGCAGCTTCCTTCGCTCGCGGGCTGCCCGGAAAAGATATTCCTTGAGGCTGCAGTGTTCCGCGTGCTCCATCACCACACAGAGCGCATGCCCCTTGAATCGTGTATCCGCCCTGTCCGCCCCTTTCTCCCTGTCCGCCCCATTCTCCCTGTCCGCCCCTTTCTCCCTGTCCGCCCCTTTCTCCCTGTCCGCCTTTCCCTGTCCGCCCCTTTCTCCCTGTCAGCCCCTTTTTCCTTGTCCTTTCCATCAGCAGCGCTACTAGTGGCAGCGCTAGTGGGGGTGGTCGGCAGTTGAGGGTGCTCGGGGATTGATCCTCCGATGAACACGGGGAGGGGAGGGATACACACAGGAGAGGGATATGCGACGCTTGGAGAGTATCAACTGAAGGCCGATGCGAGGGTGAAGGTGCCTGTTTTTGAGGCGTCGGATATATGTGCTGCAGATATAGGGCAGCAGGGCAGCCGGGATAGACGACGCTCGGAGGGTCTCAACTGCGGACGGATTTGAGGGTGCTCAGGCGACGACGGTGCCCCAACAGAGTGACGTGCAGGGGCAACAGGACGGATGGATGTGCTGGGAGGAGGGATGAAGGGATGGAGGGATGGAGGGATGAACAACGGGAGTGCTATAATGCGAGCTAGAGAATCATCCGCGTCTACTCATCCATCCCTCCCAGCACAGAAAACCATCTGGATTCCCATGAGAAGAAAGGGAAGGTGGATGTAGCGTGAGGAGGATCTTCTGAGGCGTGTCGGTAGATGGGACATGTGGGTTTCACCTTGACTATATTGGGGTGTTTGAGCCGCCTCCATATAGTCACTTCCCTTAGGAACTTGGCCCTCCTCTGCTCCCACTGCTCCCCCTCGGACATCTCCCCTTCCACCTCGCTCCAAGGCACCACCCGCACTGGTGGTGCATGGGAAGAGGGGGAGAGAGAGGGTGAAGATTTTCGAGACGTTGTAACTCTTCCATGCACCACTCAGTTCTCTTATTGCTCCCCCTCGGACATCTCCCCTTCCACCTCGCTCCAAGGCACCACGCGCACTGGTGGTGCGTGCAGGTGTGAGTGTGAAAGGTGGGGGGGAATGTGAGAAGAGATTTGACGCGCACACCTACACTGTAACTCGACCGTGTACCAGTCACAGTGGTAGCCTGTTTGGATGAGCTTTGAAAGGTGTGAGTGTGAAAGGTGGGGGGGAAAGTGAGAAGAGCTTTGACACGTCTTAACTCAACTGTGTACCAGTCACAGTGGTAGGTCGTTTGGATGAGTGTGGTGTGTGTGAGTGTGGTGTGTGTGAGTGTGGTGTGTGTGGTGTGTGGTGTGTGGTGTGTGTGAGTGTGATGTGTGTGAGTGTGGTGTGTGTGAGTGTGGTGTGTGTGAGTGTGGTGTGTGTGGTGTGTGTGGTGTGTGTGGTGTGTGTGAGTGTGTGTGGTGTGTGTGAGTGTGGTGTGTGTGGTGTGTGTGAGTGTGGTGTGTGTGAGTGTGGTGTGTGTGAGTGTGGTGTGTGTGAGTGTGGCGTGTGTGGTGTGTGTGGTGTGTGTGGTGTGTGTGGTGTGTGTGAGTGTGTGTGGTGTGTGTGAGTGTGGTGTGTGTGGCGTGTGTGAGTGTGGTGTGTGTGAGTGCGGTGTGTGTGAGTGTGGTGTGTGTGAGTGTGGTGTGTGTGAGTGTGGTGTGTGTGGTGTGTGTGGTGTGTGTGGTGTGTGTGAGTGTGTGTGGTGTGTGTGAGTGTGTGTGGTGTGTGTGAGTGTGCATGGCAGGGGAAGGGAGAAGGAGAAGAGCTTTGAGACGTCTTGAGTTACATTCCGGTTCCAGGAGCCTTTTAATCAGTTCAAAAGGTGAGGAGGAGATGGCTCATACCTGCAACGGGGCAGTCCTTGTATTTGCCCTTGTACACAATCCCAGACGACCCCTTAGCAATCTCTTTCTTTAAAATAACGTTCCTCAGCTTGATCTCCCACACCGGCCGCTCCCCAACCCACGCCTGCCCCGCCTCCCCACTCCATGCAGGAGACATCAGCTCCCCCTCCCAACCCACACTCCTCATGCTCCCCATGCTCCCTGCTGGGCTGGCATTCCCAGTGCCGGTTATCCCCCCCCCTGCCTCCCACCCAATGCTGCGAGCACTGCCAACTGGGCTGATACTATCTGCTGCAGAACCTCCTTCCCATCCCACGCACCCGGTGCTAGCACCGGTGCTAGCCTCGGTGTCAGCCTCGGGACTAGTCTCGGGATTTGTGTCGGAATTCGCAGTGGCAGCGGCAGCGGCAGCGGCAGCAGCAGCAGGGTTAGCACCAGCAACCCGACCTGCTATGGCATACCCTCTGGCCACCACACCTTCCGTACTGATAGCAGCAGCACCTGATGCTGCTGCTGATACGGATGGGCTAGCAGGCGCAGCAGCAGAGGGCGAGGAGGGGGTGAAGGAGGCGGGAGGGGAGGGGTGAGAGGAGCGAGAAGGGGAGGATGGGTGTGGAGAGGGGGGTGGGAGGGAGGAGTGAAGAGGGGAGGAGGAAGGGGAAGGCAGGGAGGCGGGGGTGGTAGTGTGGGAGGGGAGGAATGCGGGAGGAATAAGTGAGGGTGGATTGTTTGGACGAGTGGAGGGCGGTATGAGACGGAGAGGGGGAGCGCTTAGGTGGGGAGAAGTGGAGGTTGGCTCAGAGGAGGCTAGTTGTTGCCGCATATCGCTCTTGCCCTCTGCAATCCCTTCACTAGCGTCGGCAGCAGAATCATGGTCTAGGGAGCCAGATTGAGCTGTACTCTCTACAGAGCGACCCTCTGCCGTTACTGTACCAGACGTGCTGTTTAAACCAATTCTCTTCCCTGCAGTTGCAGCAACGCACGCTGCGCCGCTCCCTGCTGGTTCTCTCACCGCCTCTCCCTCCCCCGATGCTGCCACAGCTGCCACTGCTGCTTCTGCTGCTGCCGGCGCCACTGATGCTGCTGGTGCTGATGCCAATGCTGATGCCAATGCTGATGTTGATATTGATGCTGATACTGGTACTGACACTGGTAGTGTCTTTTGAGGCACCTCACCAGCTGTTGCTGCTGCTGATGATGCCCGTGCTAGTGGAACAGAAGCCGGCGTTGATGCTGACGCTGGTAATGGCAATGGCAACGCCGTTGCTGATGCTGATGCTGATGTTGATGCGGATGCTGATGCTGCTGATAAAGCAGGAGGGAGGCTCAGCCGTGCGCCTTTCCCGCGTGAGAAGCTGAAGCGGCCAATGGAAGAGCTGAGGGCGGAGAGGAGAGATGGCTTGCCCCCTCCCTGCTCACTCGTACTGCGATTAACAGCAGCGCTATTCTCATCCGCACCACCCCTCAACCCACCAGCCTGCTTGCTGCTGCTGCTGCTGCTGCTGCTGCTGCTGCTGCTGCTACTCCTGCTGTTTCTGCTGCCGGTGGTGCTGGTAGAAAGGCCAGCATTACCTGCACCAGATTCCCCCTGCCTAGCATCCCTTGCAGGGTGGTCTTGGCGGGAGGCAAAGACGTTGAGTGAGCGCAGCAGGGTGATGACTTGCGGCATGGAGGGGCGGGATGAAGGGGCGCCCTCCCAGCAGCAGCGCAGCACATGCGCCAAGTCGGGGGGGCACTTGGGGGAGATGATGGGGCGCACGCCCTGGGGAATTGCATGGGGGGAGAGGGGAAGGGGAGAAGGGAGGGGGCCGGGTTGAACCAAGGGGCCTCCCAGCAGCAGCACAGCACATGCGCCAAGTCAGGGGGACAGTTGGGGGAGATTATGGGTCGCTCGCCCTGGGGAATTGCATGGGATGGGGGAGTGGGGAGGGGGCAAGACGAGGGGGTGAGCAAGGGCCCTCCCAGCAGCAGCGTAGCACATGCGCCAAGTCGGGAGGGCACTTGGGGGAGATTATGGGGCGCACGCCCTGGGGGAATGCATGGGATGGGGGAAACCCGGTGGGGTGGGGGAGGAGAGGGAGTGAGCAAGAACCCTCCCAGCAGCAGCGGAGCACATGCGCCAAGTCGGGGGGGCACTTGGGGGAGATGATGGGGCGCACACCCTGGGGGATGGAGGAGCAGCGGGGAGATAGGAGGAGGAGGGGCGGAGTGAGCAACACTAGGGGGAAATGATGGAGACATGGAACGGGAGGGAGAGATGAAGGAAAACTGAGTTGAACAGAAATCGGACGTAAAGCCAATCGCAAGATTCAACCATGTCTCTTTTCGAACATCTCCGCGAACTGCAACAGGCAAGAGGTCAATGGTAATGGTAATGCTAATGCTAATGGTAATGATAATGATAATGGTAACGGTAATCGTAACGGTAATGGTAAAAGTAATGGTAATGGTAGTGGTAGTGGTAATGGTAATGGCAATGGTATTTGTAATAGCAATAGTAATGGAAATTTTGATGGTGATGGTAATAGTAATGGTAATGATAATGTTAATAGTAATGGTAATAGTAATGATAATGATTACAGTAATCGTAACGATAATGGTAAAAGTAATGGTAGTGGTAGTGGTAATGGTAATGGTAATGGTAATGACAATGGTAATTGTATTAGCAATAGTAATGGTAACTTTGATGGTGATGGTAATAGTAATGGTAATGATAATGGTAATAGTAATGGTAATACTAATGATAATGATTACAACAATCATAACGGTAATGGTTATGATAATGGTAATGGTAGTGGTAATTGTAGTGGTACTGATAGTGATAACGGTAATGGTAACGGTAATGGTAATGGTAACGGTAATGTTAACGGTAATGGTAACGGTAATCGTAACAATAATCGTAACGGTAATGGTAATGGTAATGGAAATGGTAGTGGTAGTGATAGTGGTAATGGTAATGGTAGTTCTGATTGTGATGGTATTAGTAATGGTAATGGTAATAGTAATGATAATGGTAATGGTAGTTTTGATTGTGATGGTAATAGAAATGGTAATGGTATTAGTAATGGTAATGATAATGGTAATTGTAATGGTCAATGGTCTCGTTATAGTCACCATTCATTCCATACCTGCAGCAGAAGGTCGGAGATCTCGTTGTAATCACACTTGGGAAAGGGCGGCTCACAGGAGAGCATGGCCCACAAGCACATGCCAAAGCTGAACACGTCTGCCTGGCGGTCGTAGGGAAGGGAGTTGAGCACCTGGTAGTTGGGAGAAAGGGGAATTTGAGGGGTGAGGCAGGGAAGAGAGGGAGGGGGTCCGTTTGGGCGGCTCACAGAAGAGCATGGCCCACAGACACATATAAAAACTTAACGCGTCTGCCTAGCGCTTGTATGGGAGGGAGTTTAGCACCTGATGGGAAGGGAGAGGAGGTGAGGGCAATGAGAGAGAAAAGGGAGAGAGGAAGTGAGGTTGGGAGGGTTGGGGATGGGGATGGGATAGCATGGACAACATGCACATGCTCGCGCACCTCAGTCCTGTTCACCTCAGTCCCGCTCGCCTCAGTCCCTCTCGCCTCAGACCCGCTCACCTCAGTCCCGCTCACCTCAGGAGCCATGTAGTTCGGATTGCCTCTCTCCTCCCCTCTGCCCGCGTGACTGTATGCGAGGTCTCCCTCGATAGAAGCACAGGCGAAGCCCGCGAGGTGCAGACGTAAGGTGGAGTCGAGAAGCACGTGATCGGGACACACGTCGCCGTGTACCACGCGCAGGGAGTGCAGGAAGGCGAGACTGTGGGTGAGGGGGGAGTGGGTTGGGGGAGAGGAGGATGGGTGGGTGGGTGAGGTGCAGGCGTAGAGAGGAGTCGAGCAGCACGTGATCGGCCGGGACACACGTCGCCGTGCACCACCCTCAAGGAGTGTAGGAAGGCGAGGCTGGTGTGGTGTTGCGAAGGGACGGTGGATGGGAGAATGGAAAAGGTAACATGAATGAGGTGCAGGCGCAAGGAGGAGTCGAGCAGCATATGGTCAGGGCACACATCCCCATGCCCGTGCCCACAAGCACATCAACCCCCCCTCACCCTCTCCCCCCCCCCCCCCACCTTTGGCGAGCTGCATAGCCAGGTCCACCAGCATGTGCAGCGGCACTTGTGCCTCTCCCTGACAGGCGATGCGGGTGAGATACTCCTTGCAAGTCACTCCCGTGCTGATGAGGGAGCTCACAACGCGCGCCTGATTGCCCCGCAGAGGGATGAGTGCAGCACAAAACAACCCCCCTCATCTCATCGCACCTCACCTCTTAGCAAGCTGCATGGCTAGATCCACCAGCATGTGCAGAGGCAGCTTCCTCTTCTCCTTAGCAGTGCGGGCGATATACACCTTGAGAGTCATTCCCGTGCCGATGAGGGTGCTCACCACAAAAGCCTGCTTGCCCCGGAGTGCATCATAAAACAGCCACCAACCCCCTCGACCTCACCTCTTGGCAAGCTGCATGGCCAAATCAACCAGCATGTGCAGAGGCAGCTTCCTCTTCTCCCTGGCAGTGCGAGCGAGATACTCCTTGAGCGTCACGCCCGTGCCGATGAGCGCACTCACCACACACGCCTGCTCGCCCCGCAGGCGCGAGTCCACCCTCTGCTGCCTGGGCGTCTGGGGGGAGGGGGATGGGTGGGCCTCGGGGGAGAGCAGGGGGATGTGCGCCCCTATCACCTGGTTGGGAGGGGGAGCACACGCACATGGGAGGGGGGGGGGGGGGGGGGGTCGCGAGGCGGCTCCATTTAATCACCTCCCAAATGAGCCGTCCTCCTTACAAGCCGACTCAAACAGATGGACAGGTACGTCCCCCTGACACTGACTGACTCACCGGGACTATTTGGGGGTGCGTGACGCGGCTCCATATAATCACCTCCCGTATAAGCGCCGCCCTCCTCTCCTGCACCTCATGCAGCGATGAGCCGTCGTTGCTGCCTAGGTCCACCACCTTCACTGCCAGGGACGCACACGGGGACGAGGGCGGGGGGGCCAGGGGAGGAGGGCGGGGGGGCGGGGGGGCGGGGCGCGGAGGGCATGGCGTGGAGATGAGAAGGAAGTAGGTCAGTCCTCCCGCCTCTCCTGCACCGCGTGCACTGATGACCCGTCGCCCCCACCCATGTCCACCTTCACTGCAACGCACGCACACAGGGAGCGGGGAGCGGGGAGAGGAGAGGGGGTTGTGGAATGAAGATCATCCGCCTTACCTGCAAGAACCACTTTCAACCGATACCTCTTCCCCCTACCTACGTGACCTCTTCCCCCACAGCCTCTCCCCTTAAACCTACTCTCTCTCACCCATTCCAGTCCTCATCTCTCCCATCCCTCCTCACCGCACTGCACCTACCAGCAACGCTCTGCTTGCGGTATACGCCTCTGTACACCACGCTGGAAGACCCCCGCGCAATCTCCTACCCTCTCTCACCCCTCTTCACCGCACAGCACCCACCAGCAACGCTCTGCTTGCGATACACGCCTCTGTACACCACGCTGGACGACCCCCGCGCAATCTCCTTGGTCAGCGTGATCTCGCGCAGGTCTACCTCCGCCCACTCCGCCGACTCCCCCCACTCCCCCCACTCCCGCGCCTTCCCCGGACTCGGCGCGGCCTCCCACCCTTCCGCTTCCCCCGGCGCGGGCGAGATGTCGAGCTGCGGCGGCCCCTCAAGCCCCCCGCGGGTGCACGGCGCAACGGACCAGCGGACGGCGGGAGGCGGGGAGGAGGGGGAGGGATCGGAGGGAGCGGAGGGAGCGGAGGGATCGGAGGAAGCGGAGGCCTCGTGCTGCTCCTCACTCTCCCCCCTCTTCATCCCGTCGTCATTTGCGTGGTTGGGACTAGGTTGCTTCTGAGGTGCCTCTGCGATCGTCGTCCCCCTCTCCTCGCTATCTAAATTGATGCCATGCGTTGAGCTGTCCCGTAGGTCTTTCGCGTTCCGTGATCCCTCGACCCCCTCTGACCCCCCGACTCCCTCTGATCCCCCGACTCCCCGCATTTCCTGAAGCTCCAATACTCCCTGCGTGTCCATTTCGCGACCTCGGTCCGCAGTGCGCCACGAATGTACACTCTTAAGAGCAAAAGGAAAACACACTTCAACGGTTAGTAAAACGAGGTAGGTTGCTACATTGTGGAGCGGTGATTAGGTATTGTCGAGGAGTTCTGTACAAGCCACATTGACGGAGATATCAATGTTACATGCAGGGACTAAGGGAAGCACATATTGAACCCCTGATTTCTTCCTGATAAGCTTTCTAACTACCTGCGCTCGAAAACTACCCACTAATCCCGAACAGCCTTCACCAATGACGAATCACACGCACACGCCTTACCAATTTCTAGGTCGCGGCTTGACGACTACCACCGTATGCGTCAAGAACAAGCTTCAAGTCTAGGCAGTAATCTTTATAATATGGTACATCAGTACAGAAGATCGGTTCAGTGACGAGAGCTTATTCCCTGCTGGCAAAACTGCTTCCCTGCCATAATGTGGCACCAACCATAACAATTCATTTTTTTTTTTTTTGCTATTCAATCATTAAATATACACACCCTAAACACGTAATGTGTTAGTAAGTGTAGTGGAATTTAGCGTATCAGTAGGGAATATTAATTTCCTTCGAAATCCTTCACTGAAGACAGAACAGTCATTCACACCATGTGTCTCGCCATAGTGTGTCTGAAAAAGAAAGGGAATGGAGAAAGGGAATGGAGAAACAATTCATGGTTGTATAAGTATATGCAGGTAGTTTTAGAATCATATATCGAACCAATTGAACCTGAGAAGCATAATTGTCATGCAATACGTACGATAGAGGAATTTCGAGTAGCATTTTTTTCCCACAAGCTAACCACATCAGCAATAGATCCACGATGGCTCATCCAGGGTTGATTCCAACACGAGCCGGTGGTGCATGTATGTATGTATGATGCAGGAATATACACTCCAAATGATGTATTTTTCTGTATAATTAGATTCTTCACCTGATCGTACAGAGTCCTCGCTGTCCAGAAAAGGGATTCGCGCTCCTCCTTAGAACACGCCGAATTGGAGCCCCACCTCAATGCACCCCACGTTCCGGCTCTCACTATACTTGTGATGTGTTTCCGGGCATGGAGTGTTTCGATCACGCAAGAATATGCATGAGTCAAGTTATCAGGCAAGAGGTTGCCAATCATGGCAGCAGCGCAGTCGAAGGGGGTTTGGAAGAGGAAGATTGGAGTGGAGATGTCGAGAAGGGTGTGCTGTAGGAAGAAGCACTTCCATTGCTCGGATTGCCTGGCGGCTGGATAGAATGGGGTGGAGAATGGTGAAGAGGAGTTCAAACCAAGGTGATTAAAGGTGCAAAGGTGATATCATGCTAGGAAGGAACTGGAGGATACATGTCCAAGGAAGGTTACGGTGGTGTGAGGAAGAGGAAGATTGGAGTGGAAATGTCGACAAGGGTGTGCTGTAGGAAGAAGCACTTCCATTGTTCCGATCCCCTGGCAGCTGGATATGAGGGGGTCAAAGGCGATAAAAACAGTCAAATGCGAAGGCGATATAAAGAGACAAAGGTGGTAAAAAGAGAAAAGGTGATCAAAAGCTAGAAAAGGTGATGGGATAGTACATGCACAGCAGGTTAGGGTGGTGGGTGGGGGTACCATAGGAGCAGGTAGGGTTGACCGGACGATGCAGCAATGTCAATTTCTGCGCCAGCGCTTGAAAGGTGCGCCTTGAAAAGCGATCCCTTGTGTCTGGGAATCACAAATTTAAAGAGGAGGCAGGGGGGAGCCATTCAGATGGTGGGAGGGGCCGAAAGAAAGGTGCGCCTTGAAAAGCGATCCCTTGTGTCTGAGAATCACAAAGTTGGAACAAGGGAGCCAGGGGACCATTCAGATAGTGGGAGGAGCCGAAAAAAAGGTGGAAAAAACGAGGTCGGGGGACAAGACAAGTCACCTGTGAGGACAGGGGGTGTTTGCTTTGCCAAAACAAGGCGCGGTAAGCAAGGTTGGGCCGATATACTAGAAGGGCGTACCTAGGAAAAAGCCAGCGTCTACAAGGCATCGGGTGGATGCGGATGGGTCTGATGGGGGGGATGGAGGAATCGGGGGCGAATGGTGTGAGGGGTGAGGGAGAGGTGGATTGGGCAAAGGGAAATGGAAAGGGAGCAGAGAAGAACGGCTGAAAAGAATGAAGAGAGGGATGTGACAGGACCACCTGAAAGATGCAAGAGAGGCAGAGAGAGGGAAAGAGAAAGTTGATAATTGAGATGCATGTCATGTGATGAGAGAAGGCAAATTTGAAAGAGACATGTCATGTGATGAGAGAAGGCAAATTTGAAAGAGCATCTATCCATACAAGGTGCAGGAGAGGGGGAGAATTGGCACACACCTTGCAGCACCGCCTGAATGATGTTCCATCCGTCCAGGTAGATGGCTGAATGATGTTTCAACGTCAGGTTTGACCCCGTTGACCCCGTTGACCCATCCGCCTCCAAGCTCACATTCGTTGCCAGGGCGATCCTCACTGATTTTGGCGAAGTGCCAGCGGTGCTCGGATGAGAGTAGCTGTCTGTGAGGTTGATCCGCCCTCTCGTGCCGGCGTAGCCGCCCCCATCGCAGTAGAGGAGCCTCACGAGGTTCCAGTTGTGGAAGAGGGGGTTGATTCGCTCGTTGGAGCTCAGCACACCGGCAAACGTTTCCTGTGCAAGGCGTTGACATGGTGCAAGCAAAGGGTGTGGTGGGGATTGGGTTGGTTGAGGGGTGAACAAGAAAAGGGAAGAGGGGTGAGTGGTGATATGGAGTCTGCACGGGAAAGGCAATAGAACCAGGGGCGGAAAGAGGGGGCTGAGGAGGAGTGAGGAGGAGTGAGGAGGAGTGCAAGAAGGAGGTTCATCCCAACACTTTGTTGAAGTGAAATAGAGAAAAGTGAGCCCTCTTCGAGGCTCAGGCATCCTCTTGCCTTGTGAAATATGTTTTAGAACTTTCAAAACGGATGTACAATCTTTTGATGGTAGACGTAGCAGAAACCTTTCTTCTTCTTCTTTTTGAGGCGTCTCAAAGGCAACAACAGCCTTACAGAGTCATTGAGTTGCTTCGGGTATCCTCTTGTCGTCCCAAGCAGTGTGCGCGCACGCTGCGCGCATGCAGTGACAGTGACGCACCAGCCGCCTGCAGGCAGGTATATGTGCCAGTTCTGGCGCCCCGAGCCAGTGCCGGCGCGGAAATAGTATCCCGGAGGGCTGGAGCAGGGGACATGATATGGGAAAGGTGGTAATGAAGCGTGTGCGAGAACGCTGTGTGCATGCAGCGATAGTGACACACCAGCCGCCTGAAGGCAGGTGTACGTGCCAGTTCTGGCTCCCTGAGCTGAAAAGCATTGCTTTTGGCAAAAGTGCGGCGAAATGTCCTAAACACACACGCGAGTTGTTGAAAGCGTGAACAAACACTAATTAACCGCCTAGAAGCTTGGACTTAAAACGCGGTGACGTTTGAGTTAGGTACAAAGTCGGTTCGGCCTAGTCGCTGATTGGAGGCCTCGCTGGCCCACCTTCTCCATACACTTCTGAGACGTCTTTAAAGACACCTTCGCGAGCTCGCCTTCTATCCAGACACTTGGCACCAAGCGTATAAATAGGACAGCATAATAAGCGGAATATCAGGAGACTGCTCAGGAAGCCGCTTCGTCCAGAGAACTATCCCGACTACTAACGCAAGAATCACTAATTGGACTGCTGGCAGGATTACCTTCCATCCAGGCACTTGGCACCAAGCGTATTATTAGGCAGCAGAATAAGCGGAATAAGCGTGCTGGTTCTACTACTAGTGGTACCAGCATCCTCAGGAGTCCCTCTTTTCCAAAGTACTATTCCGACGACCAATGCAAGCAGCGCACAGACTGCTATGACAGAGATGATGAGGGACTTTCGGACCTGCATGGCTGGTAAAGCGAGGAGAGCATGGGAAGAAGCGGCTGGGTGATACTATGAACTTAGTCAATACGTCGCTGAGGTTCAGGCGAATGTGCCCACTACAAGTCGCTATTTGTTCCCAGGAATTTTGGACGAATGCATTGCATTGCAAAGGACGTCTCACGGCAGTTGCACCTACCATTCTTGCTGGATAGCTGGAAGGGGAGAAAAGGGCGATTGAAGCTGAACTGACCTGTGGCGTGAGCATGACTTGGTTGGACTACTGTACTCTATCTGTGGTCTGAGCTGGAGTGGAAAATAGGGACGACGCGACGCGACGAACGTGTCTCTGGTGGTTTGAGCAGATGAAAAATAGTTGCAATGCAAATCTGCAGCCGCAAACTTGTACGGTTGGGGAATAGGGTTACTTCTTGCCTGACCGTGCCTGCCTTGCAAGAGAAGGCGACTTGAAATGCACTGCTGTTCACCGAACCTGCGGCCAGGATACAACGCTTGCGTACACTTGCGATGTTCCCAACAAGCCGTACCTTATTTTAAAAAAAATGGGATAGAAGCACAACTGATTGCTAATATGTTGCATATAGATAACAATGCATATACACAGCTCGATAACATCCAAACACAGAAACAACCAAATGGCTCAGTTGTCATGCAATATGTTGAACAGAGGAATTTCTAGATTCCCAAAACCCAAACGCGTCAGCAAGAGATCCACTGGGGCTCATCCACGGCTCATTCCAACATGAATTGGTGGCATGTATGTACGTACGATGCAGGAACATACACTCCCAATAACGACTTTTTTTGCAAGAAAAAACTCTTTACTTGATCGTATAGAGTCCACGCTGCCCAGAAAAGGGCTTCCCGCTCCTCCTTTGAGCATGACGAGAAGGAGGGCCGACTAGAAGGAGGGCGGATCACCGGGAGGGCGTACCCAGGAAGAAGCCAGAGTCCACGAGGCACCGGGTGGAAGCCGATGGGAAAGAAGAGGCCAGCCAATCATAGAGGTTTGCCGTGGCCTGCCCGCCAGCCGAACTGCCCGAAAGCAAAATCTGGGAGGCGGAGCCAAAGCCACGCTGAAGCTGGAGGTCTGAAAGGGAGAGGAGGGGTATGGATCGGAGGGGGAAAGGACCAAGGAGAGGAGAATAGAGGGATTAGAAAGTGGAGAGCAGGTACATGCACAGGAGTGAGGAGAGACGTAGGGGTCTCTCTTGAGAATTCTCTAAAGTGAATCAAAGAGTCAGGAGAGACATATGGGTGATGGAGTGAAGAGGAGGGAACAGAAAAGAAAAAGGGAGAGAGGGAGGGCAAGGAGTGCTTGGAAGAGAGGCGGCATGGGTTGAAAGGGAAGTAGAAAAGGAGAAACACGAGGATAGTGGCATACAGGAAGGTTATAAAGGCTTCAGTTACTAGATTCCATGAGAGCAGGACACAGTTGGGTGTAAGAGAGGAGCTTCTACAGGGTACAGGCGCAGTTGGGTGTAAGAGAGGAGCTTCTACAGGGTACAGGCGCAGTTGGGTGTAAGAGAGGAGCTTCTACAGGGTACAAGCGCAGTTGGGTGTAAGAGAGGAGCTTCTACAGGGTACAGGCGCAGTTGGGTGTAAGAGAGGAGCTTCTACAGGGTACAGGCGCAGTTGGGTGTAAATGGACACACCTCCCAGCACAGCCTGAAAGATGTTCCATCCGTCCAGGTAGACGGCCGAAGGCAGTGACAGGTTTGACTCCGTTGGCTTGGTTGACTCCGTTGGCTTGGTTGACTCCGTTGACTTGGTTGACTCTGTTGCACCGATTGCCTCGAAGCTCACATTTGTTGCCGCGGCGAGCCTCACTGCTTTCGAAGCAGTGGCTGTTGTGTTGGGGTCAGAGTAGCTGTCGGTGAGATTGATCCGCCCTCTCGTGCCCGCATAGCCCCCACCGTCACAGTAGACGAACCTCACAACGTTCCAGTTGTGAAAGACGGGGTTTTCGGTCTCATTGGCGCTCAGTATGCCGCCAAACCACACCTGTGCATGGCAACGCCACGGTGGAAACAAAGAGTGCAAAGCAAAGAGGTGGCCTTTGAGTCGACTCAAGATTCACGGTCTGATTAGACCTTGACGCGCCAATTAGACTTTGAGTCTAATTGAAGCTCAGTTTACCGCCAAACCACGCCTGTGCATGGCAATGTCACATTGCAAACGAAGTGTGTGAACCGAGGCTGCGAGGGGGGTGGTAAAGGAGAAGGCTAGGCTAGGCTGGGCAAGGAAAACACAAGTACCTTGTTGAAGTCAAGAAGCAAGCTTATTACAGACACATTGAAAAACACAAAGAAAAGAGGGTAAAAACACGTGGTAGCAGCCTTACGGGGCCGCTGCCGTGCTCAGGGTATCCTCTTGTCGACCCGAATTTTGTGCCCGCACGCTCAACGCATTCCGCGACAGTGACACACCAGCCACCCCCGGGAAGGTAGATGTGCCACTTGTGGCGCCCTGAACCGGTGCCGGGGCGGAAGTAGTACCCTGGAGGGCTGGCGTAGGGAACGTGGTGTGGGGAAGATGGGGGAGATGGCATGGAGCAGATGGCATGGGGGAAGGTATGGGGGAGGTGATGGCATGGGAGACAGTGACACACCATTCCTCTGAGGAGAGGCAGACGTGCCACTTGCAGCGCCCTGAACTGAACTGGAGCCGGGACGAAGTTTGTGCCCTGGAGGGCTGGAGTGCGGGACGTGGTGTGGGGAAGATGGGGGAGATGGCATGGAGGATGGTACGGGGAAGACGGTATGGGGAAAGTTGGTATGGGGAAGATGGTATGGGGAAGATGGTATGGGGAAAGATGGTATGGGGGACAGTGACACACCATTCCCCTGAGGAGATGTAGACGTGCCACTTGCGGCGCCATGAACAGATGCCAGGGAGGAAGCAGTACCCTGAAGGGCTGGCGCAGGGGAGATGGGAGATGGTGTGGGGAAAATGGCATGGAAAATACTTTTGAGGCGCTTCAAAGGTAGATGATGTGGCACTGTAGGCGCCCTGAGGCGGAAGGAGTACCCTGAAGGGCTGGCGCACATCCCAATCTTCCGGTCTGAAAATTCTGTTCGACACATTTGCCAGACCCAACAACAAAAAGGTAGAAAGATTGTGATGTACTAGGGAAGATGGGAGATGGCGTGGGGAAGATGGCATGGGAGAGGTGGCATGGGGGAGGTATATGGGGAATATGTATAGTGGGGGAGGCATCTCACGGGATCTGATCGATCTGAGCTGATCTCAGCCGTAGGATTTGGGTTGGCGAGCAGCAGAACCGAAAATCAAGGGCGCCGCATGATCGCCAATTGTTTTGGCGCCTCTAAAATCGACGCCCCATGATCGCCGATTGTTGTGGCGCCTCTAAAATCGACGCCCCATGATCGGCGCCAGACTCAGCGGTACTTGTATTGACAAAAAGCAGCCGCAGCGCACGAGCTGACTTCTGAGCCGACGCAAAACTCAAGATGATCTCACCAAGGTGGCACTTTCTTTTTACAGAACGCACATCGCGGAAATGGTTTGTGCCTAAACGGCCTCGAAGTGGGTTTTCTGCGGAAAAGCTGCGGCGCACAACGGCAAGTATCCAAAAAGCTGCGAAAAAACCCTCAAGGTAAGTACTCTCGGGTTCACCGAAAGGACTGACACGGTGCTTGTCACTTTCGGCACTCTGCCTTTTCCGACTCCGAGTCGGAGTCGCGCATTTCGGCAACAACGACGCGCGAACAAGATACATGCCACATTTGAACGAAATGTCGCGGCTCGACAACCTCACTACTTGTAAAAAGAAACTGTAGTACAGTGTTTTCAACATGCAGCACTCATAACAAATATATATTATGGTTGTGCAAAACGCTCGGAATTACTACTAATCGACTCCTCGCAGGCTCACCTTCCATCCAGGCACTTGGCACCAAGCGTGCTATTGCGCAGCAGAGTAAGCGTCGGCAGCGGGATAGGCGTGCCATTCCTACTAATTGGAGTATTACCAGGAGTCTCCTCGGGAGTCCCTTTTCTCCCGAAAAAATCAACCCCGACAGCTAATGCAAGCAGCGCACAGACTGCTATGAGAGATATGATGAGCGTCTTCCAGCCGGACATGGCCATCGGGCGATGGAAAAGGCGTGGACGCGGCGGCCAGGCCAGGTAACACGAAAAGATTACGATGAGGACTAACGATTCAGTGGTTTGAATACGACTTCGTCACGAGTATTATGAGGAGGCTATGAGGAACTGGCTCGCAGAGACGACTCTTAGATGCGCATCAAAGGCTGGGTCCGTTACACGGCAGTAGGCATTAGCGGCGGACGCGAGAAGCATGACGACGACCAGCACGCGACAGACAAAGAACGGGACGAGTGTGAAGTTTAGCGCCATGACAGTTGAGCCTCGAGTGCAAAGAGAAATTGTGGCTTGCAAAGAAAGTGCGAGTGATATTTGGAAAACAGTCGAAGTTCGAACTGAACCGCTTTGCAACGTTTTTAAACGTCTTTCAACTGTACGCTACCGTGGAAAAACTAAGTTCGACTCGGACCACATGCGCCGTAAAGATTTCTGCTGTGCAACACCACGAGACGAACGAATTTGTTCACTGTACAAGAAACCTGCTGGACTCTCCCAAAGCCAGAACAGTTCGCGAGTTCGCCTGAGCTGACAAGGACCAAGCCAGTCAACTCAGGTCAGGCTTCGTCGGCTACGGCGAGTATCATTCTACGTTGGACTTTCGTTGCTGACGCAGCAGCCTAATGCGGGGAGGGGATGGGGTGGGATGGGAGGAGATGGTATGGGATGGGATGGGATACCTCACAAATTGACGTGTTTGAAGCTCAAGGCCAGACGCGATTGTGCTGCGCTACAACCACAAATTGTATGAGCTGTACAAAGAGTGAGTATGTGTACCGGAACAACATTTCCTTCCTTTAGTCTTCACACTCCATACCGCATACACGACTATTCCTGCCACCGTACACCTAACAGTATCCCACTACCACTTCGCAACACTCGCCTCCATACTGTTCCCGCACCACGACCATCGCGCCCAAACCACCCGGCTCGGCTGTACCCGTGACCCGGCCCACGCCTTGAAAATTCCCAACCTCGGCGCGAGGCCCGTGGGGCCACCCCTTCACGACCACGTTACTGTTAACGAACACTTCTGCTAATTAACTATTTTCTCATGCCTTTGCGCATTATGATGTTTGCTTTGATAGCACTCTTCGTTTGCTCACTCAATTGCATTCGTAATGTTTGGTATTCAGAGCCACGCTCCTTTTCGGACTGTGCACACCTTTGCTTCCCACCTGATCGCATATTTGGGGCGGTAGACGTCCCTCAGCGCCCAGTGCCGCTGATGTGTGCTCTCTCGTACTCGTTTTGCCTCCTTTCGCTGCACCAGTATCACTAAGGGTGAATTCCTGGGCCCGGACACCATCCGAAGTTCGCCCACCTGAATGGTTTTGGTGTGAGGATGGTGTTCGTGTGGGGCAGGGCCCCACTCTGGACAGTTGGCAGGGTCCGTCAGGGGTTGACTGTCGCACGTGTCAATTGTTTTCGCGACCAATCAGGGTGTCCCGCGATCGGCTGTAGTCCAGCAGCGACAGTCCTTGGGGCGCCAAAATGAAACGGCCAGCTCTAACTTTCGGGCACTGGTAAAAACAATGACCGCGTAATGTTCGATAGTGTTTGCGTGACTACATTCTGTATTGAAATTACAATCATTGCACCAATATTGATGGCCACACCGGGGCAGCGAAATCATCGAACGTGAACACATTACACTCTTGACAGGTGAGCTGTCTCGAGAGCATTGGATAGTGGTGTTAAGAACTAAGGCAAGAATGAGTAGATTAGGTGAAGGATCGGGTACAAGACTAGGGTATCGAGAAAGTTTTGTGTACCCCCTAAGGCTATCCCCAATATAGCCTAGATAATGATATGCATATATTTTACAAGTGGAACGATCGCACAGCAAAAAACTTGATGTGCAAACTGGTCGCACATCCACTGGCCGGTTGAGATGAACGTGTCCAGACTCCGGACCGCGTGGCCGAACATTCAATGTGATTTTTGACATTGCGTACCGCGTGGCAATACTTCGGATGGTGTCCGTGCGGAGGAATGCGATCTAACCAGCAACATTTCATTCTGATAAAATCGGGATAGAACTGCAGCGATTTGCTACATACCATATGTTACAAACAGATAACAACGCGTATACACATCTCAACCAGAACACATGCAGTAAGCAGCCAAATGACACAGCTGTTATGCAATATATCTAATAGAGGAATTTCTAGATTCCCAAAACCCAAACGCGTCAGCAAGAGATCCACTGTGGCTCATCAACGGCTCGTTCCAACACGAATTGGCAGTGCATGTATGTACGTACGATGCAGGAATGTACACTCCCAATAATGTTTTTTTCTGCAAGAACAAGCTCTTGATCATAAAGAGTCCAAGCTGCCCAGAAAAAGGCTTGGCGTTCCTCCTTTGAACACAACGAGTTGGTCCTCCACCTCAACGCACCCCATGCTCTGCTTCTCACTATACTTGTGAGATACTTTTGGGTGCTTAGAGTCTCCCTCATGCAAGTTTCTGCACGGTGGTAGTTGTTAGGTAAGTAGTTACCAATCATGGCAGCGGCGTAGTCAAAGGGGGTTTGGAAGAGGAAGATTGGAGTGGAGATGTTGAGAAGGGTGTGCTGTAGGAAGAAGCACTTCCATTGCTCGGATCGCCTGGCGGCTGGATTGAATGGGGTGGAGAATGGTGAAGAGTCAAAACAAAGGTGATTGAAGGTTCAAAGGTGATATCATGCTAGGAAGGAGCGGGTTACAGGAGGATACATGTGCAAGGAAGGTTACGATGGTGGGAGGAAGAGGAAGTACCATGGGAGCAGGTAGGGTTGAATAGGAAGTGCGGCGAAGGGGGGGGGATGGGGGATGAGGGATGATGGTGGGAGGAAGAGGAAGTACCATGGGAGCAGGTGGGGTTGAACGGACGATGCAGCCAGGTCAATTTCCGTGCCACCGCACGAAAGGTGCACCTTGCAAAGCGATCCCTCGTGTCTGAAAAGTGCAAAAGTCAAGTGCGAGCAAGTTCAGCAAATGAGTCCATGGGGAGAAAAGTGGGCACTGCGCTGACAAGGCATGGTTATGGTAAGCAAGGGAGGGCCAATTCAGGCCCAAGTTACCAAGAAGCCACGTGTAAAAAGTGAAATTTTGAGACGTCTCAAAAATCCACTTTTTACACGTCGGGCTGACTACTAGGATGGCAGGGCGGATTACGAGGAGGGTCGGGCTGACTACTGGGATGGCTACTGGGATGGCGTACCAAGAAAGAAGCCAGAGTCCACAAGGCATCGGATGGACGCGGATGGGAAAGACGAGGCCAGCCAATCACAGAGGTTTGCCGTGGCCTGCCCGCCAGCCGAGCTGCCCGAAAGCAAAATCTGGGAGGCAGCGCCAAATCCACGGTGGTGCTGGAGGTCTGATAGGGAGAGGAGGGGTATGGGGGATGGGGGATGGGGGATAGGGGATGGGGGATGGGGGACGAAGGAATTATTTTTAGACGTCTCAGAATTTGAGGGGCGGCACCAAAGCCACGGTGGTGCTGGAGGTGTGAATGGGAGAGGAGGGGTATGGATTGGAGGGAGAAAGGACAAGGGAGAAAGGACTTTAGTTAAAAATACCATGAGCGCGAGCAGGACACGGGTGGGTTTTGAGTCGACTCAAAACACGACTTTTGTTAATAGATGCCATGACAGCTGGACACGGGTGGGTGGAGGAGAAGAGCTCTGCAGGGTGCAGGCAAGGGGGGGAATCGGCGCACCTTCGAGCACAGCCTGAATGATGTTCCATCCATCCAGGTAGATGGCTGAAGGCACTGAATTGGTTGACTCTGTTGACTTGGTTGACTCCGTTGACTTGGTTGACTCGGTTGACTTGCTTGGCTTGTTTGACTCTGTTGACCCGGCTGCATCATCGAAGCTCACATTCGTTGCCGCGGCGAGCCGCACCGTTCTCGAAGAAGCAGTGGCTGTCGAGTTCAATCGAAAGAAGCCGCGCGTGAGCTTGATCCGCCCTCTCGTGCCGGCATAGCCCCCGCCATCGCAGTAGACCAGCCTCACGAGGTTCCAGTTATTAAAGACGGGGTTTTCGGTCTCGTGGGCGCTCAGTATACCGCCAAACCACGCCTGTGCATGGCAATGCCACAATGCAAACGAAGAGTGCAAAGCAAAGAGGTGGCCTTTGAGTCGACTCAAGGTTCGCGGTCTCATTGGCGCTCAGTATACCGCCAAACCAAGCCTGTGCATGGCAATGCCACAATGCAAACGGAGCGCGCGAGGGTGCTTGCTAAGGAGAAGGCTTGACTGGGCAAGGAAAAAACAAACAGCTTATAGCTGAATGAAGTCAAGAAGCAAGCTTATTACACACACACACACACACACACACACACACACACACACACACACACACACACACACACACGCACGCACGCACGCACGCACGCACGCACGCACGCACGCACGCACGCACGCACGCACGCACACAAACTTCAATAGATAAATGAGAGTTCACAAAGGCTTGAGGGTAGAAGCAACAGCCTTACTCGGCCGCTGGGGTGGATGGGTATCCTCTTGTGGACCCGAATCCTGTGCCCGCCCTCTCAACACATTCCGCAACAGTGACGCACCAACCACCCCCGGGAAGGTACACGTGCCACTTGCGGCGTCCTGAGCCGGTGCCGGGGCGGAAGTAGTACCCTGGAGGGCTGGCGTAGGGGAGGTGGATGGTGTGGGGGAGATGGGGGAGATGGCATGGGGGACTGATGGCTTCGCCAGGAGCATTGCTTCATATCAGTAATCACAAGCCGCGTGTTAAGCGAATAATCAGTTGAGAATCACTGATTTGACGCCTCGCTGGCTCACCTCCCATCCAGGCACTTTTTAAGTAGTAATTTATAATGGCTGCCTTCCTCCATGTGAACAAGGAGGCCGGCACTCAAGAGTTTCCAGGCTCACCTTCCATACACTTTCTGAGACGTTGCAGGCTCACCTTCCATACACTTCTGAGACGTTGCAGGCTCACCTTCCATACACTTCTGAGACGTTGCAGGCTCACCTTCCATACACTTCCGAGACGTTGCAGGCTCACCTTCCATACACTTTCTGAGACGTTGCAGGCTCACCTTCCATACACTTTCTGAGACGTTGCAGGCTCACCTTCCATACACTTCTGAGACGTTGCAGGCTCACCTTCCATACACTTTCTGAGACGTTGCAGGCTCACCTTCCATACACTTCTGAGACGTTGCAGGCTCACCTTCCATACACTTTCTGAGACGTTGCAGGCTCACCTTCCATACACTTTCTGAGACGTTGCAGGCTCACCTTCCATACACTTTCTGAGACGTTGCAGGCTCACCTTCCATACACTTTCTGAGACGTTGCAGGCTCACCTTCCATACACTTTCTGAGACGTTGCAGGCTCACCTTCCATACACTTTCTGAGACGTCTCAAGAGACACTTCCAAGACGTTGCAGGCTCACCTTCCATCCAGGCACTTGGCACCGAGCCTATTATTGCGCAGCAGAATAAGCGTGTTACTATTGCTAGTAGTGGTACCAGGAGTCTCTCCAGGAGTCCCCTTTGCGCATAACAATAGTCCGACTATAAGCGCAAGCAGCGCGACGATTGCCATGAGAGATAACACGATGAGCGACGCCCGGCCAGGCCGCATCGCCAGATAACAGGAGGAAATTATGAGGTCTAAGTATTGAGCAGAGGCGACTCTCGAGGCGCGTCAAAGGCCGGGTATATGGACAAATGACACGAGGAGATTATGAGGAATATGAGCTGAGTAGTAGAAACACGAACGGTGTGCTTCAGGTAGCAACATGTGAGGCAAGGTGTGCGTCGGATGCGAAATGAGTCTATTGGTAAGAATCTTAGGCAAGGTGTTGCTCTAAGAAATTGGGCCCAGTGCGGCGTTTGTGTTAAGAACGTCTGACTCCTAGTGAATCTGAGGGAAGATGATACGTACCACGGCAGTTACCACTACACTACACTACAGTAGTACAGTGCATCCCTGTGCTGCTTCTGCTGGAAGGGGGAATATGATAGCATGAACGCCGCACAGAAGGGCGAGTCATTCTCGCGCGCTTGGAGATAAGCTGAACTGCAGAGCGCGCGAGCATGACTCGCCCTTCTGTGTGTGGTCTGGAAAATAAGGACGGCGCGCGACTTCACGATATTTTCGAGCTCGCGACGCGCCAAGAGAGACGGCAAATATCCGGGCTGCAGACTCGTTCAATGATCGCAAAAGCTTTCTCCTGAAGCCCGAACGTACCTGCCCAGAAGGAGAGGAAAGGAACCACCCAAAGGGACGAATTGCGGTGCTGTAGAATGGAGACGGTTACGCGTCACGCATACACGCGACGCCCAACCTTGCCCATACAGTACTCTCTGGGTTTACAAATCTCCTCGTAGAATGGTTCCAGGATTCGTCGCAGAGTCTCGCCATTTCGGTTGTGATTGCGACGCCAACGTCTGCAGACGCACTGTACATCGGCCTACACCTGGCGATGTCGCCAACCGCGGTGCCGTCACTGCCGGCAGGTGCAAACGCGTCCTGTACCATGAATCACGACGCCCAACCAATCATAATGAAGAATTTGTATTACTCTCCGAGTCTATTTCCGTGTCCTGACCAATCAAAGCTCAACCCTAAAATCTGCTCGACAAATGATACACACATGCCCAAGCTTATCGCGTCCGCCTATCCCGTGTGCAAACCACGCCCCTCGTGGGGCAACGATACATTGTAAGCAATCTCGTTTTTGTGTCACAGCCGCTGAACAGACGCCGTCATGTGCTGCAATTTTCATTTACAGTACAAATGTTCAATACTAAAAGAAAATCGTGAACGCAAACTAAAACCGATGATTGGTTGACTTTCCTGGTCCTACCTCTGGCACGCACTACGGCGCAGAGCGCTCCCCCGGCCATGCAATAATCCCCTCACCCCCCAGTCATTCGCCCACCGATGTTCCCCCAGCCCGCCCGACATCACGAACCGCGTATCTTATCGAGGACTAACCTCACCGAAACCCGTAATAACGTTTTGGAAACCTGTCGCAACCTCACAATCCCAGCCAACCGCATCAGAACCATCCGCCGTTCGCGCAAAAGCAGTGCCATCCCCAAGGTGGTGGTGGTTGGTGCGGGCCGCGGGCGGAAGCAACTCTCCCCCCTCGATACTACCTCCACTTGCCAATTCGCATTTTAGAAATCAGCTTTCCAACAGGTTGTTTCTCCTGACCAGACCAGACTGGTCTAGTGCGACTGAGCAGGGTCGTTTTGTGTGCCTGGACTGGAAGGCTGGAAATTGTTTTTTTTTCATCCCCCAATCGACCCAGAGCGGCTGTTTTTGACTTGGGCAAAGACTTGACGGCCGTGATCGCCTTAGAGCAGGGGGCAGCGCGGATCTTAGGGAGCAGATTAGCGTCGCACAGCGTACGTGTGTGTTGAACCATATCAAATTCGTGTCAAAATATATGCTGCTTTTTGTTTCTGTTTAGGTGCGCTATGTTCGCTATGACGCTTTCAGCTACGAAGAGCCGTGATCGTCGTGCCACCTTGTAGTCCTACAGGATGCGACGTGTCGCGTCTAGTACATCCCTTTTCCGGGCAGCCCGTTCTTCCACGTCGCGATCGGTGGAGTCAGCAGCTTTAAATCCTAAAACTCTCCAATTGAATTAATGACCGTCGAGATTCTCGCCAATTACTGTGAAATATCGCAAACTCCTGTCGTCACTCACGTCGCATCGTCGCATGGCGTCGGGTGTAATCGCATCGTTTCGTCGCATGGTGACGTCGTGCATAATCGCACTGCTTCTAACGAGCACCGGCTGCTATCAAGGTCCCGCAGTGGCAGCCGCGGTGGTAACCATTCCAGGAACACCTTCGCCGAAGGTTTCGCCAAAGCTTTCCCTGAAGATTCCGCCAAAGGTTTCGCCGAAGGTTCCGCCGCCTCTCCCCGCGGGGCGCATCCCTGGCGGCGGAAACGTCGCGGCTGGGGGAAACTCCACGTGGCAGCCCAGCGATTCGTGGCAGCCTGAGCTGACGCTACTCGCGAACAACTCGTACGGCGCGCGTTGCCTGGACGGCAGGTGCGCGGATAGGACGAGTGTGACAATCACGGTAATATGATCGTGATCGTGGTATTCGCGGCGCGTTGCAGTTAATCCGTGGTTGTCTGGTGTGAATTGTCAAGAGAAGACAGGTGGGCTGCGAAGGCCTCATTTCCATGGTTGTCTTGTGTGAATCTCCTGCCTCTATTCTTCCTCGCCATTAGTCGCGCATCCCCCAGCCCCCTGCTCCCTTGTGCATGGGCGGAGGGCGTTCGGGTTCCGCCACCTTCCCCTTTCCCCTCTCTCCTCTCTCCTCCCACCCCCGCCCACCTTCCCCTTCCCCCTCTCTCCTCTCTCCTCCCCTTTCCCCTCTCCCCTCTCTTCCCCACTCCGTCCCCCTTTCCCCCCCGCAACCCCCCTTCCGCTCTCCCCCGCAACCCCCACCCCCCGCTGCCACCCCCCACAGTCCCCCGGGGTACTACTTCCGCCCGGGTTCGGGGGAGGGCGCGGATGCGTGGCATGTGCACCTGCCCATGGGGGGGTGGTGCTTCAACCTCAGCACCTGCGCGGATCGCGCCAAGACCTTCCTGGGTTCGTCCCGAGCCGACCTGCAAGAAGAGAACCCATACCGCCATGTGAGCGAGGAGGCAGAGGGGTGATAGGGGGAAATGGGTAGGAAAGGGGGAGTGGGGTGGGAAGGGGAAGGAGGTAAGGGGAGGGTGAGGGAGGGGGAAAGAGGAAGGGGGAGGGAGGGGGACGGAGGGGGAATGGGGAAGGGGATGGGGAGGGAGTGTGCGAAAAGGAAGGGGGACGGCAGCATTGGCAGCTCGTCTCTTGCCCCCATCTCCTCTCGTTTGAGTCACCGTTCCAAGCGTTTCTTGACTCCATCACTCACATCCGTAGAAATCTCTGTTTTTAAATCTGAACCGTAGAAAACTCTGAGCTTAAATCTAAACCGTTCGCCTGGTTGTCAATATCTGAGCTCGTGTCTGCTTCTTACCTCTCCCTCCCTCTCTCACCCCTCCTTGCACGCTGCTGTGTGGAATGCCGCCACGCCGCTCGTCCTCCACCTTGACCCCTCACTGCAGGCGCGGTGGGACTATCAGGGTACCCTGAGCAGCAGGAAGAGCGTGAAGTGAATCCGCGCTTCTACAACTGGAATGCGGTCGTGCCCACCTACTGCTCTCTCCGTCCCATGCCGCTCTCTCTTACCCTCCCACCTGCAGGCGCGGTGGGGCTACCAGGGAATCCTGAGCAGCAGGAAGAGCGTGAACCCGCGCTTCTACAACTGGAGCGTCGTGGTGCCCACCTACTGCTGCTGCCTCTGTCCCACGCTGTTCTTTCTCTCCGTCCCACACTGCTCCCTCTCCCTGTCCCACGGCCCTCCCTCCCTCTCTCACCCTCCTCCTTGCTCTGTGCCCCATTGACCCTCACTTCAGGCGCGGTGGGGCTACCAGGGAATCCTGAGCAGAAGGACGAGCGTGAATGCGCGGTTCTACAACGGGAACGTCGTCGCTCCCACCTACTGCTCTCTCCCCGGCCCACGTCTCTCACTCTCTCCATCCCACACCGCTCCCTCTCTCTCATCCTCCTTGCTCCGTGCCCCCTTGATCCCGCACCTGCAGGCGCGGATGGGCTATCAGGGCATACTGAGCAGCAGGAAGAGCGTGAACCCGCGCTTCTACAACTGGAACGTGGTCGTGCCCACCTACTGCTGCTGTCTCTGTCCCATGCCGCTCTCTCTCTCTTACCCTCCCACCTGCAGGCGCGGTGGGGCTACCAGGGCATACTGAGCAGCAGGAAGAGCGTGAATCCGCGCTTCTACAACTGGAACGTCGTGGTGCCCACCTACTGCTGCTGCCTCTGTCCCATGCCGCTCTCTCTCTCTTACCCTCCCACCTGCAGGCGCGGTGGGGCTACCAGGGCATACTGAGCAGCAGGAAGAGCGTGAATCCGCGCTTCTACAACTGGAACGTCGTGGTGCCCACCTACTGCTGCTGCCTCTGTCCCATGCCGCTCTCTCTCTCTTACCCTCCCACCTGCAGGCGCGGTGGGGCTACCAGGGCATACTGAGCAGCAGGAAGAGCGTGAATCCGCGCTTCTACAACTGGAACGTCGTGGTGCCCACCTACTGCTGCTGCCTCTGTCCCATGCCGCTCTCTCTCTCTTACCCTCCCACCTGCAGGCGCGGTGGGGCTACCAGGGCATACTGAGCAGCAGGAAGAGCGTGAATCCGCGCTTCTACAACTGGAACGTCGTGGTGCCCACCTACTGCTGCTGCCTCTGTCCCATGCCGCTCTCTCTCTCTTACCCTCCCACCTGCAGGCGCGGTGGGGCTACCAGGGCATACTGAGCAGCAGGAAGAGCGTGAATCCGCGCTTCTACAACTGGAACGTCGTGGTGCCCACCTACTGCTGCTGCCTCTGTCCCATGCCGCTCTCTCTCTCTTACCCTCCCACCTGCAGGCGCGGTGGGGCTACCAGGGCATACTGAGCAGCAGGAAGAGCGTGAATCCGCGCTTCTACAACTGGAACGTCGTGGTGCCCACCTACTGCTGCTGCCTCTGTCCCATGCCGCTCTCTCTCTCTTACCCTCCCACCTGCAGGCGCGGTGGGGCTACCAGGGCATACTGAGCAGCAGGAAGAGCGTGAATCCGCGCTTCTACAACTGGAACGTCGTGGTGCCCACCTACTGCTGCTGCCTCTGTCCCATGCCGCTCTCTCTCTCTTACCCTCCCACCTGCAGGCGCGGTGGGGCTACCAGGGCATACTGAGCAGCAGGAAGAGCGTGAATCCGCGCTTCTACAACTGGAACGTCGTGGTGCCCACCTACTGCTGCTGCCTCTGTCCCATGCCGCTCTCTCTCTCTTACCCTCCCACCTGCAGGCGCGGTGGGGCTACCAGGGCATACTGAGCAGCAGGAAGAGCGTGAATCCGCGCTTCTACAACTGGAACGTCGTCATCCCCTCCTACTGTGACGGAGGGGGGTTCTCGGGCAGGCGAGGGCCTGTGAGGGTGAATGGTCGCAACGTTACTCTCTACTTGGAAGGATGGAAGATCATGAAAGCCGTGCTGACTGGTGGGTTGGTATGTGGGTGGGTGGGTGTGTGGGCAGGCGAGGGCCTGTGAGGGTGAATGGTCGCAACGTTACTCTCTACTTGGAAGGATGGAAGATCATGAAAGCCGTGCTGACTGGTGGGTTGGTATGTGGGTGGGTGGGTGTGTGGGCAGGCGAGGGCCTGTGAGGGTGAATGGTCGCAACGTTACTCTCTACTTGGAAGGATGGAAGATCATGAAAGCCGTGCTGACTGGTGGGTTGGTATGTGGGTGGGTGGGTGTGTGGGCAGGCGAGGGCCTGTGAGGGTGAATGGTCGCAACGTTACTCTCTACTTGGAAGGATGGAAGATCATGAAAGCCGTGCTGACTGGTGGGTTGGTATGTGGGTGGGTGGGTGTGTGGGCAGGCGAGGGCCTGTGAGGGTGAATGGTCGCAACGTTACTCTCTACTTGGAAGGATGGAAGATCATGAAAGCCGTGCTGACTGGTGGGTTGGTATGTGGGTGGGTGGGTGTGTGGGCAGGCGAGGGCCTGTGAGGGTGAATGGTCGCAACGTTACTCTCTACTTGGAAGGATGGAAGATCATGAAAGCCGTGCTGACTGGTGGGTTGGTATGTGGGTGGGTGGGTGTGTGGGCAGGCGAGGGCCTGTGAGGGTGAATGGTCGCAACGTTACTCTCTACTTGGAAGGATGGAAGATCATGAAAGCCGTGCTGACTGGTGGGTTGGTATGTGGGTGGGTGGGTGTGTGGGCAGGCGAGGGCCGGTGAGGGTGAACGGTCGTAATGTTACCCTGTACTTGGAGGGGTGGAAGATCATGAAAGCCGTGCTGAATGGTGGGTGGGTGGGTGAGTGAGTGAGTGAGTGTGTGAGTGAGTGAGTGAGTGAGTGAGTGAGTGAGTGGGTGCGCAGTGATTGTTGTGCTCTAGAAGCTTCCACACACTCCGCCCAACCCCCCCATCCCGCCACACATTCTCTCTGCACCCAGCCTCTCCACTTATACCCTTACCTGTTCACTTTTGAAATGTCTGAAAAAGTCCTCTGCATACATGCAGTCTCTTCCTTACCTGTCCCTGTCAGTCTCTTCTCTTCCTTACCTGTCCCTGTCAGTCTCTTCTCTTCCTTACCTGTCCCTGTCAGTCTCTTCTCTTCCTTACCTGTCCCTGTCAGTCTCTTCTCTTCCTTACCTGTCCCTGTCAGTCTCTTCTCTTCCTTACCTGTCCTTACACAGAGACTGTCATTCTCTCCTGCCTCCGTCTCTGCTGTGCTGTCTCAACCCGTCGAGCCTCAACGTTACCAACGTCTCCCCCTCCCTCCCTCCCTCCCTCCCTCCATGCCCTCCCACCAGACCTCCTCACCAACCGCGGCCTGCATTCCGCCACCTCTCTGCTGCTCTCCGGGGCATCAGCGGGCATCAGCGGGCATCAGCGGGCGGGCAAGCCATCGCCACCTTCTGTTGCCTCCTCGCCTACTCTGTCGCCCACTCTTTTGCTGTCAACTGCTGCTCCCTGCTCTGTGTCCCGTTACCCTCCCACCAGACCTCCTCACCAACCGCGGCCTGCATTCCGCCACCTCTCTGCTGCTCTCCGGGGCATCAGCGGGAGGTCAAGCCGTGGTGACCTTCTGTGGCCTCCTCGCCAACTCAGTCGCCCACCCCTCTGCGGTCAAGTGCCTGCTGGACTCCGCCTTCTTCACTGGTGGGTGTTGACTGGCGTTGACTGGCGCTGACTGAGGTTGATCTATGTTGACTCGCGTTGACATGGCCTTCTTCACTGATTGATGCACCTTGTAAGATAGTTGCCTCTGTCGCCCACCCCTCTGCTGTGAAGTGCCTGCTGGACTCCGCCTTCTTTGCTGGTGGGTGTTGACTGGCGTTGACTGGCGTTTGCACGGGTTGGTGTGCTTTGTAAGATAGTTGCCTCTGTCGCCCACCCCTCTGCTGTCAAGTGCCTGCTGGACTCCGACTACTTCACTGGTAACTGTTGACTTGCGTTGACTCGTGCTGACTGATGGGGTGTTGACACCCAAACTCCTCGTTTAAAGCCAAAAGTGACTCTTCTTTGTGACTATCACTGCATATCCCGACTGACGGTTTTGCGCCCCCCTCCCCTTCCCCATTCCCCATTCCCCATTTCTCCGTTCCCCCATTCTGGAATTCCTCCATTCCATTGTTCCCCAGTTCACCAGACTCGTTGGATCGAAACAGCTACCCCTAGTTCCAGCACATGGTGAAGAACACAGCTGAGCTTCACAACTCCGTGCTTCCACTCATGGCTTCGCATCCCCTCTTCCCCTCTTCCCCTCTTCCCCTCTTCCCCCCTTCCCCTCTTCCCCTCTTCCCCTCTTCCCCCCTTCCCCTCTTCCCCTCTTCCCCTCTTCCCCTCTTCCCCTCTCCCCCCTGTTTTTCGTTCCTACCCCCCTTGTTCCCTTAGTGGGAATATACGCTCAAACCCTAAAGCGTATAGCGTATACACGCTAGCGTGTGTACGCAAAACGCAATACGCTAGCTAATACGCTATACGCTATCAAAAAAAATTTCGGGCTGCCCAGGGAAAAAAATCGCTTGTATACAGAAAGATGCGGAATCTTCTGCTGAGCATTTCGCCTAAGTCGAAATGCAATTTGACGGTCTAGGGAAGCGGGAGTGGGCCTTCGAAGTTGCAGGCAGTTCAAATTTGAACATTAGCTTGGTACCGCATTGGAACCCATATTATCTACGAATTCCAACCTGTCCAAAACGTCCCCCACCAAACCCCACTCACGCTACTTACCAGCCAGCAAAATTCCAGTCGTCATTTCTAGTTGGCAATTCCCGCTTTCTAACAGCAGAGCTCCTTCCGATTCCTACCTACTTCTCCTTTTAGTGTCTACTCCACGTCCCACCCCAATCGCCGTTCAGACTTAGGGAAATGCTACGAAAGTCTTAATGAGAATAGGGATCACCTTCTTAATCTTGAGCACGACGTTTTTTTCACCCTGCCCGGGATAGTTTTTTACCTGCCCGAAAAGCGTATTACCAAATCGACCCTTAAGCGTTTAGCGTATATACGTTCGCGTATATACGATACGCGTATATACGCTATAAGCGTATATTCCCACTAAGCTTGTTCCCACATGCAACAGACTCATTGGACCGAAACAGCTATCCCTATTTCCAGCACACGGTGAAGAGCATGGCGGAGCTTCACGACCATCAATGCACTCCCCTGACCCTCTCCCCCTGGTTTTACGTTCCTCCCCCCCTTGTTCACTCGTGCAACAGACTCATTGGACCGGAACGGCTATCCCTATTTCCAGCACACGGTGAAGAACATGGCGGAGCTTCACGAGTCTGTGGGCAACCCCAAATGCGCCAAGGGTAATTCACCCTAGAAATGCATCACGCAATCCATCCCTCTCGATGCACCTTATGCGGATCTTCTTGTCACATCGGTGCTCAAATGTGTGCAAATGTTTCGCAACACATTGGTTCTCAGAGGAGTTGGTCTGGCACCAGATGACTTGTCACTGTATCGACCAGACTTTCAAAAACCAGACAATGGGGTCCGTTTGCCCCTCCTTGAACTCACCCTATCGCTCCCCTCTCCCCCCACTTCTTTCCCATTCCCCATTCAAGCATCACCCCCATTCAAGCATCACCCCCATTCAAGCATCACCCCCATTCAAGCATCACCCCCATTCAAGCATCACCCCCATTCAAGCATCACCCCCATTCGAATCAAATGCACCCCATCACCCCCGTTTCCCTCCCCCAGCGCAACCACCTGCCATGCGCTGGCGCTGCTTCTTCCCACAGTACACACTCGCCACTCCATTCCTCTTTCTCTTCCCACAGTACACACTCGCCACTCCATTCCTCTAAACCCTAAACCCACAGTACACACTCGCCACTCCATTCCTCTTTCTCTTCCCACAGTACACACTCGCCACTCCATTCCTCTTTCTCTTCCCACAGTACACACTCGCCACTCCATTCCTCTTTCTCTTCCCACAGTACACACTCGCCACTCCATTCCTCTTTCTCTTCCCACAGTACACACTCGCCACTCCATTCCTCTTTCTCTTCCCACAGTACACACTCGCCACTCCATTCCTCTTTCTCTTCCCACAGTACACACTCGCCACTCCATTCCTCTTTCTCTTCCCACAGTACACACTCGCCACTCCATTCCTCTTTCTCTTCCCACAGTACGCACTCGCCTTTGTCACGCGCCGCCCGGTGTTCATCGTTCAGCCGCTCTTTGACTTCACCAATTCTCCCCATTGCCCTCCTCTTCTTCCCGCAACTCACCCCATCTCCCATCCCCCAGCTCAACCCCCCCGCCAAAAAGTCGCGCTGCTTCTTTCCCCTGTACACGCTCGCCTTCAAGGCTCAAGGCTCTGTTTTCCCCTCACCAACTCACCCCATCAACTTGAACTCCCAACCCCAACCCTCCCCCATCCCCCAGCGCAACCCCCCGCCAAGAAGTGGCGCTGCTTCTTCCCGCAGTACGCGCTCGCCTTTGTCACGCGCCGCCCGGTCTTCATCGTGCAGCCGCTCTTTGACTTCCGCGCCCTCGTGCGCGGTAACCAGCTGCCCGAGGACTACGGTTACGTCTTGAACTGCCTGCGCTCGCTCCTCTCCCTGCCCGTCCTCCCGGAGAAGAAAAAGAATCCAAAGATTTCTCGCCAAGCGTTTGACCTAGCAGCTGTGGATGAGGGGGGAAGTGAGGAGGGACTGTTACAGGGTTGGAAGGAGATTGAGGGAGACGGTTACACTACGTACTCCATATGGGCCGAAGCGAATTTGCGAGAAGCAAATGAAGCGGCAGCAAGCGGAGCAGCATCAGACAAGGCGCTGTCATCAAGAGGGGTAGCAAATGTAGCGGCAGCGAGTGAGGCTGCATTCGTATTGCAGGCTGGGGTGAATGCAACAAAAGGGCCAACATCATTCTGCAAGCCGGACGAGTTGGTGGCGATATTGACGGTGGCGAATAATGTTGCAAGGTTCACCAAGATGCTTAGACGAAAGAGCTTCGGCACATTCTTGCCTGTGGAATATGAGCATGCAGTAATCACATCTGAACTCTGGACGAACAGTGTTTTTAATGGGGTCACGATGAGAGATGCTGTTGCTAATTGGTATTTCTCATAATGTAAATTACTATCATGCTTTTCATTCTTGTTGTCTGCATGCTGTAAACCGTTAATGCATCTGTATATTTGCGATTTCATGCAAAACAGATGCTGTCGGCGTTGCGTTACAGCGCCCTCATATCCTTCCCCTCGCTACAGACTCAGCGCCTCGGATTCCGGCGGCGGTAAGTTGACCCGACCAGTCACCACCAAGTCTCGCGACTATTACATACCGAGACGCGATCATCTGTGATTGGTTCAGAACCATCTCCAGCGCCTCCCCAACCTCCCCATTCCCGTCGCACAATTTCCGCCCCACCTGTTTTTCTCCCTTCGACACCGCCCCCCACAGCTGTGTCGGGCAAACAAGCACCGTTTTCTCCTGCTGCATCTGCGCCTTTTGGTTTCCCCCACCCCGCGCTGTCCCCTCTTCCCCTCCCTCCATTTCCCCGAGCTACGGTATCCCTTCACTTCCCCAATTCACCCTCCCCTCCCCCATTTCCCTCATTACCCCAACCGCCCACCATCTCCATCCCCCTTTTCGCCCGAATTCGCCCATCCCCGACATTTGTTCCAGAATTGGCCCCTCCACCTGCAAAAAAAGGACAGATGTGACCGTTCACCGCCGTTTGAAAGCACCAAGAACCGTCACCAACCTCATGGATCCTCCCCTTTTTCTTCACCCCACCAAACCAGCCGTAGTAGGTGCACCAGTGTGCACGTACGCTCACCGACAGTACTACTGTACAGAACTGTCTGATACCTAACCTAACAGCGAACATGCTTGAGTGGCAGGTATGCAGGCACAATGCGAACCATGCATTCATGCAGCATATGTGCTTGCCTGTTTCAACCCTTAAAACCCGCAGGCCAAGAAGGCCAAATTTGGTTCATCCTTCCTAGCATTGGTTGGATGTCCCAAAAATGCCTGTGATCATTCCCGAATTCTAGACCTCGTCCAACATTTCGGACACTCCTATTGGTTCGCAGGCCTTTTGCGTTTTCACTCCCAACCAACCTTCCTAAGGTTGAAATTCTTGGCCTGCGGGTTTTAAGTCGGCTCCGCGTGTTCCGCCTCGATAGTCTCGTCCTACAGTCCATGGAGCTTGCCCTTCATTTCGTTCCTGCCTGTCATTCCGCGCAGTGATCTGGTCTGATTGATTACTCTGCTGCAGTGGTCAAACGATTGAATACCGTACCGTACCCTACCGAGTGACTGCTGCGGCGGACGAGCCTTGCTCCCGCTGTGCTGCGCGTGTCGCCGATGCATCGTTCGTGTTCCAGTTAATCGTTCGTGTTCCAGTTAATCGTAGCTGTAATGGAACGAGCAGGACGCCGGTTGAGCAATTTAGGTCGTGAGCTTTAAATAGTTGCTGTTCATTGTCGACAGTTCAGCTCCATTACAGTCAGTCTAAATTGATTAGTTGCGTCTAGATGGCATTATGAAGACTACCTGCGTCTGGATACCGCTAGAAGGGACTGAAATGGCGAAGCGCTATGAGAAGTATAGTCCGTAACCAGATCGCAAGTGCAGCATCTGTAACATCTGTAGTGGTATGCAACATCGCCTGGCGCGTATAGAGACGCCTTTAATAGGCGGGAGGTCGTCTCTGCGCGATCGCATGTGCCATAGCGCCACCGCGGAACGAATAGCGGGTAACACGCGCCTACTTCGCCACTGCCGTTCGCAGCCCGTCGTAATGCCACGATCGTCAAGATCGTCGCGAGTGTCGCGAGCGCCGTCGTTAGTAACCCTCGCGGTGGCGCTGGTGCTATTGGCGGGGGGCGCGATTCGCGGCGGCGAATGCATGCTGCGAACCATGCGGCTCGTCACCCTGCCGAATAACGCGCTAGGCGCCAGATGTCTCGACGGCAGGTACCTCGTGGCACGCCCTGATAGGTCGATGCTTCTGCTGACTCATGAGAGAATTAAGTAGTCTAGGTGAACTGCATACCTTCGCATACCGTTTTGCCTGCTCCTTTCGCCCCCAACTCCCTACCTTCTCCTTTCCCCTTTCTTCACCCGTCCTCCTCCTTCCTCCCCTCTTCCCGCTCCCCCCTCTCCGTTTTCCGTTCCCCCCTCCCCCTTTCCCGCTCGCCCGTTGCCCCTCCCCGTCCCAATTCCTCAGCGAACCTTCGTATTACTTCCGCCCAGGCGCCTCCCCTGCACCGCCCGTCAAGCGGACCTCTCCGCGCGCAGCCTCTTCGCCAATAGCAGGCGGCCACGTGGCAGGCAGCGCCCAGTCCGCCAATCGGCGGTGGTTCGCCAGCAGAAGCAGCGGGATTACCACGGGGAAACCGAATCAATGGCCATCGTCGTTGCCGGCGGGCGGCGCCGCGGATCGCGCCACGTGGCAGCCAGCGCAAACGCCGGGGGGCGACCCGGAGATAAAGATTCACATCCACCTGCCGGCGGGAGGGTGGTGCTTCAACGCGCAAGAGTGCCTTAATCGCTCCTTGACCTTCCTGGGTTCCAGTGAGGGTTGGCCCACTATCATCCCCGATGTGAGTTACCCCCCCTACCCCGCCCCCCCCCACCCCCCCTCCTCCCTCCCCCCGGCTTCCCCCTCCCCCTCTCAGCCCTCCCCGTCTCCCTCCTCGCCGTTTCCCCCCTTCCCCTATACTCTCCTTTCGCCAACCCTTTCGTTCCCCGTCCCCCCACCTTCAACGTCCCTAAGTTGCGCCCCTCTCGTTCCCCCTTCCTCCCACCCCCTCTCGTCACAACTACTGCGCGCATCCCCCTTTTCCCCACCCCCCCTCCCCCATCCTTCCCCAGTCAGCCCCCATGGGCGGCATTCTGAGCGGCTTTCCGGACTTGAACCCTCCGTTCGCGGGTCAGCGCACATCTCCTCTTCCCCCCCACTCCTTTCCGCTCCCCCCATCCTCCCCCAGTCGGTTCCCATGGGCGGGATTCTGAACGACGATCCGGATGTGAACCCGCTATTCGCGGACTGGCCCCTCGCGCGCATCAACTACTGCGACGGCGGGGGCTTCGCGGGGCAGCGCGGGCGCATCAACGTCACCATCCCGGGCGCGCCTGTTAGGGGGAAGCAGGCGGGCGGGCAGGCAGGGGGGCAAGGGGGAAAGCAGGGGCGGGTGCTGGCGGGGATGAAGCCCGGGCCTGGGGGACCGGGGGCAGGCGGGGGGAGCGGGGGGGCGGTGGGGGGGAGGCCGGGGGGGACGGTCGGGGGGAAGCCAGGGGGATCGGCGGGGGGGAGGCAAAAGATCGTACCTCTTTACATGGATGGGTGGAACGTCGTTCGGTCCATCATAGATGGTGCGTTTCTTTGGGAGTGAATCGAAGGGGCCCCAGGCTCGAGGCTGTGCAACGATTCCATCACAGTGAATCGAAGGGCGACGATTCCTTTGGGAGTGAATCGAAGGGCGACGATTCCTTTGGGAGTGAATCGAAGGGCGACGATTCCTTTGGGAGTGAATCGAAGGGCGACGATTCCTTTGGGAGTGAATCGAAGGGCGACGATTCCTTTGGGAGTGAATCGAAGGGCGACGATTCCTTTGGGAGTGAATCGAAGGGCGACGATTCCTTTGGGAGTGAATCGAAGGGCGACGATTCCTTTGGGAGTGAATCGAAGGGCGACGATTCCTTTGGGAGTGAATCGAAGGGCGACGATTCCTTTGGGAGTGAATCGAAGGGCGACGATTCCTTTGGGAGTGAATCGAAGGGCGACGATTCCTTTGGGAGTGAATCGAAGGGCGACGATTCCTTTGGGAGTGAATCGAAGGGCGACGATTCCTTTGGGAGTGAATCGAAGGGCGACGATTCCTTTGGGAGTGAATCGAAGGGCGACGATTCCTTTGGGAGTGAATCGAAGGGCGACGATTCCTTTGGGAGTGAATCGAAGGGCGACGATTCCTTTGGGAGTGAATCGAAGGGCGACGATTCCTTTGGGAGTGAATCGAAGGGCGACGATTCCTTTGGGAGTGAATCGAAGGGCGACGATTCCTTTGGGAGTGAATCGAAGGGCGACGATTCCTTTGGGAGTGAATCGAAGGGCGACGATTCCTTTGGGAGTGAATCGAAGGGCGACGATTCCTTTGGGAGTGAATCGAAGGGCGACGATTCCTTTGGGAGTGAATCGAAGGGCGACGATTCCTTTGGGAGTGAATCGAAGGGCGACGATTCCTTTGGGAGTGAATCGAAGGGCGACGATTCCTTTGGGAGTGAATCGAAGGGCGACGATTCCTTTGGGAGTGAATCGAAGGGCGACGATTCCTTTGGGAGTGAATCGAAGGGCGACGATTCCTTTGGGAGTGAATCGAAGGGCGACGATTCCTTTGGGAGTGAATCGAAGGGCGACGATTCCTTTGGGAGTGAATCGAAGGGCGACGATTCCTTTGGGAGTGAATCGAAGGGCGACGATTCCTTTGGGAGTGAATCGAAGGGCGACGATTCCTTTGGGAGTGAATCGAAGGGCGACGATTCCTTTGGGAGTGAATCGAAGGGCGACGATTCCTTTGGGAGTGAATCGAAGGGCGACGATTCCTTTGGGAGTGAATCGAAGGGCGACGATTCCTTTGGGAGTGAATCGAAGGGCGACGATTCCTTTGGGAGTGAATCGAAGGGCGACGATTCCTTTGGGAGTGAATCGAAGGGCGACGATTCCTTTGGGAGTGAATCGAAGGGCGACGATTCCTTTGGGAGTGAATCGAAGGGCGACGATTCCTTTGGGAGTGAATCGAAGGGCGACGATTCCTTTGGGAGTGAATCGAAGGGCGACGATTCCTTTGGGAGTGAATCGAAGGGCGACGATTCCTTTGGGAGTGAATCGAAGGGCGACGATTCCTTTGGGAGTGAATCGAAGGGCGACGATTCCTTTGGGAGTGAATCGAAGGGCGACGATTCCTTTGGGAGTGAATCGAAGGGCGACGATTCCTTTGGGAGTGAATCGAAGGGCGACGATTCCTTTGGGAGTGAATCGAAGGGCGACGATTCCTTTGGGAGTGAATCGAAGGGCGACGATTCCTTTGGGAGTGAATCGAAGGGCGACGATTCCTTTGGGAGTGAATCGAAGGGCGACGATTCCTTTGGGAGTGAATCGAAGGGCGACGGTTCCTTTGGGAGTGAATCGAAGGGCGACGATTCCTTTGGGAGTGAATCGAAGGGCGACGATTCCTTTGGGAGTGAATCGAAGGGCGACGATTCCTTTGGGAGTGAATCGAAGGGCGACGATTCCTTTGGGAGTGAATCGAAGGGCGACGATTCCTTTGGGAGTGAATCGAAGGGCGACGATTCCTTTGGGAGTGAATCGAAGGGCGACGATTCCTTTGGGAGTGAATCGAAGGGCGACGATTCCTTTGGGAGTGAATCGAAGGGCGACGATTCCTTTGGGAGTGAATCGAAGGGCGACGATTCCTTTGGGAGTGAATCGAAGGGCGACGATTCCTTTGGGAGTGAATCGAAGGGCGACGATTCCTTTGGGAGTGAATCGAAGGGCGACGATTCCTTTGGGAGTGAATCGAAGGGCGACGATTCCTTTGGGAGTGAATCGAAGGGCGACGATTCCTTTGGGAGTGAATCGAAGGGCGACGATTCCTTTGGGAGTGAATCGAAGGGCGACGATTCCTTTGGGAGTGAATCGAAGGGCGACGATTCCTTTGGGAGTGAATCGAAGGGCGACGATTCCTTTGGGAGTGAATCGAAGGGCGACGATTCCTTTGGGAGTGAATCGAAGGGCGACGATTCCTTTGGGAGTGAATCGAAGGGCGACGATTCCTTTGGGAGTGAATCGAAGGGCGACGATTCCTTTGGGAGTGAATCGAAGGGCGACGATTCCTTTGGGAGTGAATCGAAGGGCGACGATTCCTTTGGGAGTGAATCGAAGGGCGACGATTCCTTTGGGAGTGAATCGAAGGGCGACGATTCCTTTGGGAGTGAATCGAAGGGCGACGATTCCTTTGGGAGTGAATCGAAGGGCGACGATTCCTTTGGGAGTGAATCGAAGGGCGACGATTCCTTTGGGAGTGAATCGAAGGGCGACGATTCCTTTGGGAGTGAATCGAAGGGCGACGATTCCTTTGGGAGTGAATCGAAGGGCGACGATTCCTTTGGGAGTGAATCGAAGGGCGACGATTCCTTTGGGAGTGAATCGAAGGGCGACGATTCCTTTGGGAGTGAATCGAAGGGCGACGATTCCTTTGGGAGTGAATCGAAGGGCGACGATTCCTTTGGGAGTGAATCGAAGGGCGACGATTCCTTTGGGAGTGAATCGAAGGGCGACGATTCCTTTGGGAGTGAATCGAAGGGCGACGATTCCTTTGGGAGTGAATCGAAGGGCGACGATTCCTTTGGGAGTGAATCGAAGGGCGACGATTCCTTTGGGAGTGAATCGAAGGGCGACGATTCCTTTGGGAGTGAATCGAAGGGCGACGATTCCTTTGGGAGTGAATCGAAGGGCGACGATTCCTTTGGGAGTGAATCGAAGGGCGACGATTCCTTTGGGAGTGAATCGAAGGGCGACGATTCCTTTGGGAGTGAATCGAAGGGCGACGATTCCTTTGGGAGTGAATCGAAGGGCGACGATTCCTTTGGGAGTGAATCGAAGGGCGACGATTCCTTTGGGAGTGAATCGAAGGGCGACGATTCCTTTGGGAGTGAATCGAAGGGCGACGATTCCTTTGGGAGTGAATCGAAGGGCGACGATTCCTTTGGGAGTGAATCGAAGGGCGACGATTCCTTTGGGAGTGAATCGAAGGGCGACGATTCCTTTGGGAGTGAATCGAAGGGCGACGATTCCTTTGGGAGTGAATCGAAGGGCGACGATTCCTTTGGGAGTGAATCGAAGGGCGACGATTCCTTTGGGAGTGAATCGAAGGGCGACGATTCCTTTGGGAGTGAATCGAAGGGCGACGATTCCTTTGGGAGTGAATCGAAGGGCGACGATTCCTTTGGGAGTGAATCGAAGGGCGACGATTCCTTTGGGAGTGAATCGAAGGGCGACGATTCCTTTGGGAGTGAATCGAAGGGCGACGATTCCTTTGGGAGTGAATCGAAGGGCGACGATTCCTTTGGGAGTGAATCGAAGGGCGACGATTCCTTTGGGAGTGAATCGAAGGGCGACGATTCCTTTGGGAGTGAATCGAAGGGCGACGATTCCTTTGGGAGTGAATCGAAGGGCGACGATTCCTTTGGGAGTGAATCGAAGGGCGACGATTCCTTTGGGAGTGAATCGAAGGGCGACGATTCCTTTGGGAGTGAATCGAAGGGCGACGATTCCTTTGGGAGTGAATCGAAGGGCGACGATTCCTTTGGGAGTGAATCGAAGGGCGACGATTCCTTTGGGAGTGAATCGAAGGGCGACGATTCCTTTGGGAGTGAATCGAAGGGCGACGATTCCTTTGGGAGTGAATCGAAGGGCGACGATTCCTTTGGGAGTGAATCGAAGGGCGACGATTCCTTTGGGAGTGAATCGAAGGGCGACGATTCCTTTGGGAGTGAATCGAAGGGCGACGATTCCTTTGGGAGTGAATCGAAGGGCGACGATTCCTTTGGGAGTGAATCGAAGGGCGACGATTCCTTTGGGAGTGAATCGAAGGGCGACGATTCCTTTGGGAGTGAATCGAAGGGCGACGATTCCTTTGGGAGTGAATCGAAGGGCGACGATTCCTTTGGGAGTGAATCGAAGGGCGACGATTCCTTTGGGAGTGAATCGAAGGGCGACGATTCCTTTGGGAGTGAATCGAAGGGCGACGATTCCTTTGGGAGTGAATCGAAGGGCGACGATTCCTTTGGGAGTGAATCGAAGGGCGACGATTCCTTTGGGAGTGAATCGAAGGGCGACGATTCCTTTGGGAGTGAATCGAAGGGCGACGATTCCTTTGGGAGTGAATCGAAGGGCGACGATTCCTTTGGGAGTGAATCGAAGGGCGACGATTCCTTTGGGAGTGAATCGAAGGGCGACGATTCCTTTGGGAGTGAATCGAAGGGCGACGATTCCTTTGGGAGTGAATCGAAGGGCGACGATTCCTTTGGGAGTGAATCGAAGGGCGACGATTCCTTTGGGAGTGAATCGAAGGGCGACGATTCCTTTGGGAGTGAATCGAAGGGCGACGATTCCTTTGGGAGTGAATCGAAGGGCGACGATTCCTTTGGGAGTGAATCGAAGGGCGACGATTCCTTTGGGAGTGAATCGAAGGGCGACGATTCCTTTGGGAGTGAATCGAAGGGCGACGATTCCTTTGGGAGTGAATCGAAGGGCGACGATTCCTTTGGGAGTGAATCGAAGGGCGACGATTCCTTTGGGAGTGAATCGAAGGGCGACGATTCCTTTGGGAGTGAATCGAAGGGCGACGATTCCTTTGGGAGTGAATCGAAGGGCGACGATTCCTTTGGGAGTGAATCGAAGGGCGACGATTCCTTTGGGAGTGAATCGAAGGGCGACGATTCCTTTGGGAGTGAATCGAAGGGCGACGATTCCTTTGGGAGTGAATCGAAGGGCGACGATTCCTTTGGGAGTGAATCGAAGGGCGACGATTCCTTTGGGAGTGAATCGAAGGGCGACGATTCCTTTGGGAGTGAATCGAAGGGCGACGATTCCTTTGGGAGTGAATCGAAGGGCGACGATTCCTTTGGGAGTGAATCGAAGGGCGACGATTCCTTTGGGAGTGAATCGAAGGGCGACGATTCCTTTGGGAGTGAATCGAAGGGCGACGATTCCTTTGGGAGTGAATCGAAGGGCGACGATTCCTTTGGGAGTGAATCGAAGGGCGACGATTCCTTTGGGAGTGAATCGAAGGGCGACGATTCCTTTGGGAGTGAATCGAAGGGCGACGATTCCTTTGGGAGTGAATCGAAGGGCGACGATTCCTTTGGGAGTGAATCGAAGGGCGACGATTCCTTTGGGAGTGAATCGAAGGGCGACGATTCCTTTGGGAGTGAATCGAAGGGCGACGATTCCTTTGGGAGTGAATCGAAGGGCGACGATTCCTTTGGGAGTGAATCGAAGGGCGACGATTCCTTTGGGAGTGAATCGAAGGGCGACGATTCCTTTGGGAGTGAATCGAAGGGCGACGATTCCTTTGGGAGTGAATCGAAGGGCGACGATTCCTTTGGGAGTGAATCGAAGGGCGACGATTCCTTTGGGAGTGAATCGAAGGGCGACGATTCCTTTGGGAGTGAATCGAAGGGCGACGATTCCTTTGGGAGTGAATCGAAGGGCGACGATTCCTTTGGGAGTGAATCGAAGGGCGACGATTCCTTTGGGAGTGAATCGAAGGGCGACGATTCCTTTGGGAGTGAATCGAAGGGCGACGATTCCTTTGGGAGTGAATCGAAGGGCGACGATTCCTTTGGGAGTGAATCGAAGGGCGACGATTCCTTTGGGAGTGAATCGAAGGGCGACGATTCCTTTGGGAGTGAATCGAAGGGCGACGATTCCTTTGGGAGTGAATCGAAGGGCGACGATTCCTTTGGGAGTGAATCGAAGGGCGACGATTCCTTTGGGAGTGAATCGAAGGGCGACGATTCCTTTGGGAGTGAATCGAAGGGCGACGATTCCTTTGGGAGTGAATCGAAGGGCGACGATTCCTTTGGGAGTGAATCGAAGGGCGACGATTCCTTTGGGAGTGAATCGAAGGGCGACGATTCCTTTGGGAGTGAATCGAAGGGCGACGATTCCTTTGGGAGTGAATCGAAGGGCGACGATTCCTTTGGGAGTGAATCGAAGGGCGACGATTCCTTTGGGAGTGAATCGAAGGGCGACGATTCCTTTGGGAGTGAATCGAAGGGCGACGATTCCTTTGGGAGTGAATCGAAGGGCGACGATTCCTTTGGGAGTGAATCGAAGGGCGACGATTCCTTTGGGAGTGAATCGAAGGGCGACGATTCCTTTGGGAGTGAATCGAAGGGCGACGATTCCTTTGGGAGTGAATCGAAGGGCGACGATTCCTTTGGGAGTGAATCGAAGGGCGACGATTCCTTTGGGAGTGAATCGAAGGGCGACGATTCCTTTGGGAGTGAATCGAAGGGCGACGATTCCTTTGGGAGTGAATCGAAGGGCGACGATTCCTTTGGGAGTGAATCGAAGGGCGACGATTCCTTTGGGAGTGAATCGAAGGGCGACGATTCCTTTGGGAGTGAATCGAAGGGCGACGATTCCTTTGGGAGTGAATCGAAGGGCGACGATTCCTTTGGGAGTGAATCGAAGGGCGACGATTCCTTTGGGAGTGAATCGAAGGGCGACGATTCCTTTGGGAGTGAATCGAAGGGCGACGATTCCTTTGGGAGTGAATCGAAGGGCGACGATTCCTTTGGGAGTGAATCGAAGGGCGACGATTCCTTTGGGAGTGAATCGAAGGGCGACGATTCCTTTGGGAGTGAATCGAAGGGCGACGATTCCTTTGGGAGTGAATCGAAGGGCGACGATTCCTTTGGGAGTGAATCGAAGGGCGACGATTCCTTTGGGAGTGAATCGAAGGGCGACGATTCCTTTGGGAGTGAATCGAAGGGCGACGATTCCTTTGGGAGTGAATCGAAGGGCGACGATTCCTTTGGGAGTGAATCGAAGGGCGACGATTCCTTTGGGAGTGAATCGAAGGGCGACGATTCCTTTGGGAGTGAATCGAAGGGCGACGATTCCTTTGGGAGTGAATCGAAGGGCGACGATTCCTTTGGGAGTGAATCGAAGGGCGACGATTCCTTTGGGAGTGAATCGAAGGGCGACGATTCCTTTGGGAGTGAATCGAAGGGCGACGATTCCTTTGGGAGTGAATCGAAGGGCGACGATTCCTTTGGGAGTGAATCGAAGGGCGACGATTCCTTTGGGAGTGAATCGAAGGGCGACGATTCCTTTGGGAGTGAATCGAAGGGCGACGATTCCTTTGGGAGTGAATCGAAGGGCGACGATTCCTTTGGGAGTGAATCGAAGGGCGACGATTCCTTTGGGAGTGAATCGAAGGGCGACGATTCCTTTGGGAGTGAATCGAAGGGCGACGATTCCTTTGGGAGTGAATCGAAGGGCGACGATTCCTTTGGGAGTGAATCGAAGGGCGACGATTCCTTTGGGAGTGAATCGAAGGGCGACGATTCCTTTGGGAGTGAATCGAAGGGCGACGATTCCTTTGGGAGTGAATCGAAGGGCGACGATTCCTTTGGGAGTGAATCGAAGGGCGACGATTCCTTTGGGAGTGAATCGAAGGGCGACGATTCCTTTGGGAGTGAATCGAAGGGCGACGATTCCTTTGGGAGTGAATCGAAGGGCGACGATTCCTTTGGGAGTGAATCGAAGGGCGACGATTCCTTTGGGAGTGAATCGAAGGGCGACGATTCCTTTGGGAGTGAATCGAAGGGCGACGATTCCTTTGGGAGTGAATCGAAGGGCGACGATTCCTTTGGGAGTGAATCGAAGGGCGACGATTCCTTTGGGAGTGAATCGAAGGGCGACGATTCCTTTGGGAGTGAATCGAAGGGCGACGATTCCTTTGGGAGTGAATCGAAGGGCGACGATTCCTTTGGGAGTGAATCGAAGGGCGACGATTCCTTTGGGAGTGAATCGAAGGGCGACGATTCCTTTGGGAGTGAATCGAAGGGCGACGATTCCTTTGGGAGTGAATCGAAGGGCGACGATTCCTTTGGGAGTGAATCGAAGGGCGACGATTCCTTTGGGAGTGAATCGAAGGGCGACGATTCCTTTGGGAGTGAATCGAAGGGCGACGATTCCTTTGGGAGTGAATCGAAGGGCGACGATTCCTTTGGGAGTGAATCGAAGGGCGACGATTCCTTTGGGAGTGAATCGAAGGGCGACGATTCCTTTGGGAGTGAATCGAAGGGCGACGATTCCTTTGGGAGTGAATCGAAGGGCGACGATTCCTTTGGGAGTGAATCGAAGGGCGACGATTCCTTTGGGAGTGAATCGAAGGGCGACGATTCCTTTGGGAGTGAATCGAAGGGCGACGATTCCTTTGGGAGTGAATCGAAGGGCGACGATTCCTTTGGGAGTGAATCGAAGGGCGACGATTCCTTTGGGAGTGAATCGAAGGGCGACGATTCCTTTGGGAGTGAATCGAAGGGCGACGATTCCTTTGGGAGTGAATCGAAGGGCGACGATTCCTTTGGGAGTGAATCGAAGGGCGACGATTCCTTTGGGAGTGAATCGAAGGGCGACGATTCCTTTGGGAGTGAATCGAAGGGCGACGATTCCTTTGGGAGTGAATCGAAGGGCGACGATTCCTTTGGGAGTGAATCGAAGGGCGACGATTCCTTTGGGAGTGAATCGAAGGGCGACGATTCCTTTGGGAGTGAATCGAAGGGCGACGATTCCTTTGGGAGTGAATCGAAGGGCGACGATTCCTTTGGGAGTGAATCGAAGGGCGACGATTCCTTTGGGAGTGAATCGAAGGGCGACGATTCCTTTGGGAGTGAATCGAAGGGCGACGATTCCTTTGGGAGTGAATCGAAGGGCGACGATTCCTTTGGGAGTGAATCGAAGGGCGACGATTCCTTTGGGAGTGAATCGAAGGGCGACGATTCCTTTGGGAGTGAATCGAAGGGCGACGATTCCTTTGGGAGTGAATCGAAGGGCGACGATTCCTTTGGGAGTGAATCGAAGGGCGACGATTCCTTTGGGAGTGAATCGAAGGGCGACGATTCCTTTGGGAGTGAATCGAAGGGCGACGATTCCTTTGGGAGTGAATCGAAGGGCGACGATTCCTTTGGGAGAGAATCGAAGGGCGACGATTCCTTTGGGAGTGAATCGAAGGGCGACGATTCCTTTGGGAGTGAATTGTTGCCCTTTTGACATTATTCTCTCTCCTTCCCCTCTCAACTCCACGCTCTCTTTTTCTCACACCCACTCTCTCTCTCTCCCCTCACACCCCACTTTCTCCTCCCCACTTTCTCCTCCCCTCTTTCTCCTCCCCTCACCCCACCCTCGCACGTATGAAGTTACTGGTGCTGCACCTAGGAGATTTTTCCATCTCCCACTCACGGCTCAAATCCTATGAGTCGACTCAAAGTCACCGCAGGCGACTATCAAACTCTAATCCCATGCCCCCCCCCCCCCCCTCCCCCGGCGCCTTATCCATCCCCTCCGTCCCCCTACACCTCCCACCCTTCCCCCTCCCCCCCCCCCCCCCTGGGCCGCCCCTTCCCTCCAACGCTCCCAACCCCTCCCTCCCTGCAGACCTGAAGGCGAAGCGGGGTTTCAACCTGCCCACACAGAAGTTTTGCTCAACCTGCTGCTCAAGTTCAACCTCCTACGCTCTCTGGGAGCTCAGCAAACGGGCAGGCGGTCATCTACCTCTATTCCTTCCCCCCTCCCTCCACTCATTCCTCCCCTTACCCATCCCCTCCGTCCCCCTACACCTCCCCCCCTTCCCCTCCCCGCCGGCCGTCCCTTCCCTCCTCTCCCAACCCCTCCCTCCCTGCAGACCTGAAGGCGAAGCGGGGCTTTAATCTGGCCACAGAGGTTTTGCTCTCGGGCAGCTCAGCGGGCGGGCAGGCGACCATCTACCTTTGTGACCGCGTGGCTGCTGCCTTCCCCACCGCCACCACCCGCTGCGTTGCAGACTCGGGCTATTTTGTCAGTAAGCTATTCTGTTACATGTATTGTTTGGGTGCTTGCTATGTTGATGTTACTTTTGAGAATTCTTAAAAGTAACATCAACCTATTCTGTTACATACATCGTTTGGGTACTTTGTCTGAAAGTGGAGTGATGTGCCGCACAAAAGACAAAGTCTACAGCTCATATACATCATACCTATACACATATTAGTATACATATATGGTCTCGTTTATAAGCAGGGAACAAAAACCCGAAACAAACCGACATGAAGACTCCTGTTGACTTTTCTTGAATCCCCTCCTTTGCTCCTATCACCCTCACCCCACTTCAACCCCTCTCAACACCTGCAGACTCCATAGATCGCAACGGCACGCGGCTGTGGGAGCGGCTGGCAAAGAGCATCTCGACCACTCAGCAACTCAGCAACCCTGCCTGCCGCAAACGTCAGGGCCTTCCCCATCCCCTCCCCACCTCCTCCCTCCCACACGCACCTCCCTCCCACACGCACCTCCCTCCCCACTCCCTCCCTCGCGCACCTTCTTTCCCTTGCTGCCCCTATTTCCTCCCGCCCTGCTCCGATCGCCTTTGCATGGCATCAACCTTCTTCCCCTGGATCTCAAAAAACTTTTGATGCGCCTCGAAAAAACCCTCCCCCTCTCCCCTCCCTTCTGCTTCTCCTTTTTGAAATAATGCGACCTGCAGGGCTCCCTCCCTCGCGCCACTGGGCCTGTTTCTTCCCCGAGCAAGCCCTAATGGCGCTAAAAACTCCCATCTTCGTCATCCAATCGCTTTTTGACGTCGTCGCGGCGGCGATTGGAGGGCAGACCCGCACCACTCCGGACCACAATTTTTATAACTACACTGCTACAGTACAGTGCGTGAACGAGCTTTTGGATATTCCAATGCCGATAACAATATTTGTGCGGTCTGGCACTTGGCGGAACGTTCGATATAAGACGAATTACTGCAAGGTTGGGGAGCGGACAGCGATGTATAATATGGCGCAGTTGGTGTACACGGGGTTGGAGAGGGCGAGCAAGGAGCGGCAGACTAGGGGGATTTTTCTTATATCTAACGGCATGCATGGTGTGGCTTTAATGGATGACAGGTGGGTGGGGACTAAGGTGAAAGGAGTTAGCGCCAGAGATGCATTGACACGGTGGTATAACAGTAGATTGAACAAAATTTTCTTCATGCATGAGTAATACATGCATATACATGTTTTGTAATGCCACTGTCCAAAAAAATTCTCGCTGATGACTGCCTCAGAAAAGATCCCACTTGGCACAGCCCTGACATTGTGTTCTAAGGTACCGGTACTAGGTTTGCATAGTGATTACTCAGGTTGCTAAGCAGTGTAGCTATCTTCACGACTTACGCAGATATCTGGTATGCGAGATACGTGCAATTCCTTTTCACGATGATTCTTCAACCTCCAGCGGCTGACGTGGCGGGATTGTTGTGAACTTGCCGCACCTCACGGGAATGCCAAGACCACGACCACGACACCTCGTGCGATATTCCAGAGCGAAACCTTTCACTTTCAGGAAGTTGTTGACGCACCTTCGCAAATCCCCGTCATCCAATGAAGCAGTCGTTGCTTATATCGAAATGGAGCTTGGATTCGTCAATGTGTTCGCCACACAGTGTTACGAGGTGCACCACTTGCTTGAGAAGAAGTTTCGCCCGAAGCGCGATGAGAGAGGCGGTTCGAGCGAAAACCGGCTGAGTGATGTGCACTTGTGCTGTCCACTAGCTCAATCCGCCACGTACCTCCAGCTTCCAGAAGCAAACCATCGCTGTGCTATGCCAGGGGCAAATTCTCCTACCAAAAGCAATTTCTTGCACAAGCCAACCAGATCCAAGTTTCCCCAACCCAAACCAGACCTATGCCGCGCCTGTATAGGCTTTTCGGTTCTCCTCAGCTGAACGCAACACCCGCCGCCTCGCAAGTCGTGCTGAAGCGTCCAACTGCTAACCGCACCCAGTTAGTACTGCACCACCTACTTTGCGAACAAAGGATGACCTGGTTTTGCCGAAGCGACAGCCCGCACCAACCTTTCAATTCGCAATACCCAGTCTCGAGCAGGTCTTACTTGCTCGCGGTCATGTCTAGATGCACGCGTACCCGTCGCATTCGAATAATTCCGAATTAGCTCCACTTACGCTGTCGCCTTCTGTAATTGGCGGGGGATAGCTCGCCTCCGTTAGACGCTCCCGCCTTCCAGTTAGACTCTCCCTCCGTACGAGACTACCGTGAATGCGGATTAGTATGGCTCATGAGCCTTAGTAGGCTGCACCATATCGGTACGGCATTGCACATTCGTAAGCCATAGTATACTTCGACACCATGGCGCCTTGATAGTGTCTCATATCTCCAATTCAACAAGCGACTCTTCCGGGGTCGCCTTGATAACGCCCGGGCCGCCGTTGATCAAAGCTCGCGTCGAGTTCGCTATCGTTTCCCAACCAATTATGGCGAAGCCGTGGAAGGACGCCACGTGGCATTGGCGCGCGTTGATCCTCACGCCTTTCCTTCTAACTCTCTGCTGGCTTACGTGGCCGGCCCTGCCGTCCGTCCACGTCAGCGTTGACGTCCATTGGCCGCAAGAGCGAGATTCCCTAGATTCCATCTCGTACCTTCTGAATCTACCCGCCCCGCTAGGGACTCACGCGGAGTTATCCGGGTTGGAGAAAAGCGCAGAACCTCTGCGAAATAAGCAAGCAGCGGGTAACACTCCGGCCGGCATTCCTAGACAGCGCCCCGATGACGGCGATAGACGGCGGCGTCCGGAGGGTGGGGGAAAAGAGGACGTAGCGCTGCGCGGGGGGAAGCGCGGACCGGGGGGGATGCGGGCGGAGGACCGGGAGTTCCGCGTGCTGCCGCTAACGGTGAAAGCGATGGCGGTGGCGAGCGCGTACCGCGTGGGTGAGAGCAGCTTCGTGGTAATGGGGGAGTACCTCACACCCGTCTTGGCGCATCATCTGAAGCGCGCGCTCGTCGACGAGTGCGCGTGGGAGGGGGAAACCGACGACCACGCGGTGACTGCGGCAGAGTTTCTCTGGGTATGCTCCTCCCCCCTCCCTTCTCCGCACCTCCTCTCCCCCGTACATTTCACCCGCGCGATCGCTGCCGCGGAGCTTCTCTGGGTAGCCATGCATTTCACCGCGCTTCACCCATACTCGCCGTTTCCGAGATCCGCAATGTCTCTCTCCTGATGTCCTCCCTTCTGTCCCTCCCTCTCCCTCTCCCTCTCCCTCTCCCTCTCCCTCTCCCACTCCCTCTCCCTCTCCCTCTCCCTCTCCCTCTTCCTCTCCCTCTCCCTCTCCCTCTCCCTCTCCCTCTCCCTCTCCCTCTCCCTCTCCCTCTCCCTCTCCCTCTCTCTCTCCCTCTTCCTCTCCCTCTCCCTCTCCCTCTCTCTCTCCCTCTCCCTCTCCCTCCCCCTCTCCCTCCCCCTCTCCCTCCCCCTCTCCCTCTCTCTCTCCCTCTCCCTCTCCCTCTCCCTCTCCCTCTCCCTCTCCCTCTCCCTCTCCCTCTCCCTCTCCCTCTCCCTCTCCCTCTCCCTCTCCCTCTCCCTCTCCCTCTCCCTCTCCCTCTCCCTCTCCCTCTCCCTCTCCCTCTCCTCTCCCTCTCCTCTCCCTCTCCCTCTCCCTCTCCCTCTCCCTCTCCCGCCACGTCACGCCTAAGTCAGCTTCGAAAGGAGGACTACCACGGCACGCCGTGGGCGCCGGTGATGATTCGCTGCACGTTCGCGCGGCCCGTGGGGGGTGACAATAACGGAGGGTCGTTGCTGCTCCGGCGACGGGGAACCGAGGAACCGAGGGCGATTGTAAAGAAGTTCCCTTTGGTGATTCAAGAGATGGAAATGGAGGTGCTTCGCGAGGAGCCGGGCGCGTTTGAGCTTATAAAGCAGCCGCCAATATACGAGGTACGCTACAACCAAATGCCGTTGTATCGTGTATGAAATTACTTGTCTGAATTCCCCATCCCACTGCTCAAGTTCATCCCCCACGCCGCCGTCTGATTGTAACAAATACATCTACATTCACTGTTACACCATCCCCTCTCGATTCTCCCTGCAGTTGGCGCACTGTAGCGGTCCCCTTTATGGCCACCTGCGGCCCCGTGCCGTCTCTGATTGGCTACACTACCACTCGCGCGCAGTTGGCGTACAACACTTCTTCCTCCACGATTTCGGGGCTATAAGCGGAGATTACTCCACCACGTCAGCAGATACCGCAGCAGGACCAGCAGCAATAGCAGGAGCAGCAGCAGGAGGGAGTGCAGCAAGCGGAGCAAGAGGAGGGAGCGGAGTGAGCAGGGTGGGCGGAGCGAGAGGAGCGGAGACTGGCGGAGAAGAGGAGCCGTCGTTGGCGGAGGCCGTGGCGCCGTTCGAGGCGCGAGGGCTGGTGACGGTGACGCGGCTGCTGGGGCACGAGCGGTTCCGGTCGCACTACTGGCACCAGATACTGACCCAGAACGACTGCCTCTACCGCGCCCGCTACACCGCCAGGTAATGACCCTCTATATTTCTTAACTATTTGTGACTTATAACGAGAACGAAGGGAACTTGTTCCAGCCCAGGGTGATGTGCACACGTTTTTATTGCATTTCACATTGAGAGCTTGGCATCGGCATGCAGGCACGCTGAGCAGCTGCACGCCCCTTCCCTGCACAACTTACGCATATCTTCTTTCATATCTTCACCCCTCCTTCGTTTCCCCACCCTCCCCCCCCCGTCCCCCCGGATGGCTCATCTTCGCTGACATGGATATTCACTCCCTAACCTCTTCGCAATCTGACCCATCTGCACCCTTTCCCACCGCTCCTTCATCCTTCCCCCACCCCCCCCGCAGGTGGCTCATCTTCACGAACATGTACGAGTATCTTCCCTCCCTAACCTAACCTCTCTCTACCCTTTCCCACCGCTCCCCATCCCCCACCCCCTCCTCACATGTGGCTCATCTTCACGGACATGGACCTTCACTCCCCAACCTAAATTCCTCACAATCCAACCTCTCTCCACACTTTCCCACCGCTCCCTCATCCCTCCTGCAGGTGGCTCATATTCACGGACATGGACGAGTACATCTTCACTCCCCAACCTAACCTCTTTCCACCCTTATGCACCGCACTTCTACCCCCCCATCCCCTCACAGGTGGCTCATATTCACGGACATGGACGAGTACATCTTCACTCCTCCGCCCGCGTCGCTCTCCTCCGCACTGGCAACGCTGGCACGGTCCAGCCGCGCGTGGGCGACCATGGGTGCGTACTGGGGCTTCATCACGCGCTGCCGGGAGAAAAACACGGACGACAACAGCAGTGGCAGCACTGCCAGTAGCAGCAGTGGCACTGGTGGTGGCAGCGGCAGCAGCGCCAGTGGCGGCAGCAGCAGCAGCAGCAGCAGCAGCAGCAGCAGCAGCACTGGACTTATCAGCACAAGCAGAGGCTCAAGGGAGTTTATGGAAACAGCAGGAGGGTCTGGTGAGGAGGAGATAAATGGATATGAGGCCCAAGGGCTCAGGGAAAAGGAGCTTCTGGTGGGTTATTTACCCATGAGGAGCCGACTTCCCATCTGCAGCAGCCTCAACTACAGTGAGCCCGCCACCATTAACACAACAAAAGCTTTTTTCTGCCCGGAGCACTTTGGACGGAGGAAAGTGGTTCTGGACCCGCGGAGAATTGACCAGGTTACAGTTCACGAAGTGTTGCTTCCGGGGAATGCCACAGGGGAAGTTTGGAATGCTTCTTATGAAGCCGGGATGCCTGTTATAATGCACTACCGAGGCATCCTGAACCAAGAGAAGATGCCGAGATGTGTGAGAGTGAGATTGGAGGAGACTGTGGGGAGTAAAGGTGAGGGAGAACAGTTGAACGTGATTGATTTCACGTTCTCAGATTACCTTAGGCAAATGTTGGCTGGTGTTTCTCAATAGCGATTGTATGAAATGCAGTGAACAAATGTTGTATATTGAAGGAGATAAAGTTGAACTGCAAACTGTCTGATTTTGTTTAAATTTTTCTTACCCCAAGAAGATCGAGGTCCCATGATCTAGCGGTTATGATGTCAGACTCTGAATCTGAATGCCCGAGTTCAATTCTCGGTGGGACCTTTCTTGCCGTTCGCCTACCCTTCTTTTTGGCCTGTCGAGGTTGCTTGGTGGGGTTTACAGATTTTGGCCTTGTTCGATCGATAGCTTTGAAGTCCAGGGGTAACCACAGTCCTATCAAAGTATTGCGTGGCTCGGGAAAGGCTCGGCTGCTGCAAACGAGGGTTTTAAACCTCACGAGAGGCTAGGCGGACCCAAACCAGAACCTCAAGTACACCTAACCCGCGCTAATTTCAAAAACTTCGCACCGAGCCGCGATTTTGCCACTTGCGCAAGGGATATTTGTGTAGGGAGTGAGCACCTAGCTGTCTCTGCTGACGGGGCGGATTTGCCTCGCGCGTGTGTCGAGCGAGAAAGTTACGAAGCAGAAACTGTTTCTCTTTGTTTGAGAGTGGTTCGGCAAGAATTTTGAGTATGGGATGAAGTGCCAGCATGTCATCCCACAGCGTCGTAATGTTCTGCTGACCATTCACCATGCCACGTGACGACAAACCCTTTGAAATTGGGGGGATTGAAATTGGCGCGGGCTAGGTGTACGTTCGGCACACCTACGAATCTGGTGCGGTAATTTTCGCTGCGGACCGCGGTCCAAACACTGTACCCACTGGTCAAGCAACAGTACTTCACGGGCAAAAAATACTTGGTTTCCGCTGGCTGCACCAACGACAGCCGCCCCAATGCCACTTGTTCGATCGATAGCTTTGAAGTCCAGGGGTAACCACAGTCCTATCAAAGTATTGCGTGGCTCGGGAAAGGCTCGGCTGCTGCAAACGAGGGTTTTAAACCTCACGAGAGGCTAGGCGGACCCAAACCAGAACCTCAAGTACACCTAACCCGCGCTAATTTCAAAAACTTCGCACCGAGCCGCGATTTTGCCACTTGCGCAAGGGATATTTGTGTAGGGAGTGAGCACCTAGCTGTCTCTGCTGACGGGGCGGATTTGCCTCCCGCGTGTGTCGAGCGAGAAAGTTACGAAGCAGAAACTGTTTCTCTTTGTTTGAGAGTGGTTCGGCAAGAATTTTGAGTATGGGATGAAGTGCCAGCATGTCATCTCACAGCGTCGTAATGTTCTGCTGACCATTCACCATGCCACGTGTGCTGTAACCCCAGCAGGCGACGACAAACCCTTTGAAATTGGGGGGATTGAAATTGGCGCGGGCTAGGTGTACGTTCGGCACACCTACGAATCTGGTGCGGTAATTTTCGCTGCGGACCGCGGTCCAAACACTGTACCCACTGGTCAAGCAACAGTACTTCACGGGCAAAAAATACTTGGTTTCCGCTGGCTGCACCAACGACAGCCGCCCCAATGCCACTTTGAAGGTGTAAACATTTCGGGCAGAAATTGTGTAAAAACATTTGTACCCTAAAACGTTTGGTGTACAGTTTTCCCGTAAAGCAGCTGATGATTGTTTTTTGAAACGCGTTTGTGTTCGAGGGTACACTGGGATTTGAATTTTCCATCTTTCACCCAACAGTGAGTTTTCCGAAGTTCACCACGTGCTATTTTGGAATTTTGTGAAACAATTTCTCGAATCTGATTTTGCTAGAATCAATTGAATTGCGCACTGTGACAGTTTGTTTTATCGGTTGACTACGCGGTTCTGACTGTTGTGACTTGGGCTGTTCGGGCAGCTGGAAGGAAGTGACCCCAGGTTCGGACACCCTAGGCCGACTCGGCTATACTTTGGTGGGAATGAAGTGCAATCGAACAAGGCCTTTGTCTGTAAAGATTCCCAGATTCCCCGCTCCGTCACCCATTATCGCGATTACTGTAGCCATTCTTGAATGCAGAAGACGTTCTTCATCGCGCTGGACGAGACACGCCAGACTCTCCACACGCACTTGCTGCGGAGATCTCCAACGAACCGTGAACCTTGGGGGCGCTACACTCTTGTGTACGGCGTGCTGCGTCCTGGAGTGAGCATAGATTCTGGCAGCAATATGGGATCTTGTATGTGAGGTAACATAGATCACACAAACAGCACGAAAGCAGCAGCACAGCAGCACCTGCCGCGAGTTGAGAAAGCGGGAGGAGTAAACCGCACGTTTGAACGTCACAAAACAACATTCATACGCCTCGCTGGCAGGCAGCTCAGCTATGGATCTAGTTTTTATGTTGAGGCGAGGGGAGAGGTTCTTGTACAGAACTGTATTCCAAAAGGCCTGAAGACCAGGGTCTTGGTCCTGTCCTGGCGTGTCTTGAGGGTTCTGTGCATCACTTGCACCGCGTCCGTCAGATCTTTCTACGTGTAGCGTGAATCGGCCCTTCTCCCTGACGATTCCCATTCCAGTCATAATTCTAGTACGTGTGCCTGCTTCTATCAGGAACTTGCGCACATAAATTTGTGCCTTCGTGAGACTTCTCCATCTCTTACGCACTGCTTGTGCCTCAGCCTTTCCAGTTGAGACTTCGAACTTGCCAGTTCTTTTGGTTTATCTCAGTCGCATCGAGTCCAGCACCAATGTTGACTCCACCTCGCTTCCATCGCAGGAGCTCCAGCGACGTTTTGAATTTCGCAGAGCCCATCGTCGTCATGCTCCCTGACGGCTCCGCCAGACTTTACGCGACGGATTTTGAATCCGTCGCGGTCACGGCGCGCCGAGTCCTTGGCCAGTATCCCGACCACAAGTATTCGCTACCAGCTCAGATGGCGGCTTCGCGCCGTTGTCGCCAAACCGGATACTGAAGCCAGGAGGCACGTATCAGATCGTGCGACGCGATGTTGTGCATCCGCGGCCAAAGAAAAATGTTCATTCAATCTCAGCACGTTCCAGAAGTTTCCCCGTCGATCTGGAGGCGATTTGTTCGGAACTTGACATCAGATGTCGTCAGCCAAGATCCTGGGAAAGGAGGATTTCAACATCTCTTCGCGACCGACCTAATATGAGCACAAGCGCGTCGGAGCGGCCCCCGCAAATGAGGCAGGGCGCTGATGACACCGCAGGGGGAACAGAGCAAGAAAGAGATCACCGGAACAGTTCGGGCTACTACCCGTGCAGTGGATCGCTCGTTCATCCAAAGGTCGCATGTCCAAGACCTGGGACCTCTGATGGGACTTACCGAGGCAATCCTGCATCGAGTGGTCGCATTTTTAGGAGGTCGCATTCCCGCAAGAGTTTGATCTCAGAGGACCTTTTGAAGGCTGCTCAGCTGCAGCAATTAGCTGGAGAAACCAGGATAAGTTAATATTTCGATCTAGAGCTTTGCTGTGCTCTGGGTATGTATCAGAATGGCTATGTACAAATATTTATGATGCTCCGTGCTCCATGTACAGAATATGTATCTAACACTCCATGCATTCCTTCCCCTGCTGATGCTCCTGTAAATGTGGTGCATAATGGTGAGATTTTAGTTGGTGTGAGGTGATTTTCGTTTCGTGTATTTTTAGGGCTGACTGTA